GTATAGGTGCTTTAAGGAATACCTACTTAATTTAATTAAAAGCCTCCTAATGTTCCTTGTTTAATTTAAACCCTATTTCTTTCTTTGTAATCTTAGAGAGGGGTGCTGTAATCTTTAAGTAATCCTTAATAAACTTCTAGTAGTAGTTAGTAAATCCTAGAAAGGGATTGTTTATCCTTAACTATTTTAGGTTTTAGCTAATCCTATACAGCCGCAATTTTCTTTAAGATTATCTTAACTCCCTCCGTAGATATTATAAAGTCTAGGAATTCTGTCTCCTTAACATAGAATTCGCACTTCCCTAGCTGTAAGTATAGCTTATATTTTTTAAGCTTCCTAAGTACCTTCTTAATATGTTCTACATGTTCTTTAAGTAATCTGCTAAAGTACACTAGTACATCGTCTAGGTACAATGTAACAAAGATCCTAAGGTACTTGTAGAGCGCGTTTTAATAACTAATTAAAAGGTAACTAGCGCATTTATTAATCTAAACAGTATAACTATGTACTTAAAAAGTCTATACTTCGTTTTAAACGCCATTATCTATTCGTGACCTTCTTTAATCCTAAGTTAGTAAAATCCTTCCTAAAGGTTGAATTTCGTAAACGACTTAGCTCCTTAGAGTTAATCTATAAGCTCTGTAATTAGTAGTAAGTGGTATTAGTTCTTCTAAGTTGCGCTGTTTAACCTTCTAAAGTTAATATATAGTTACTATTTCCTATTAGGCTTCTTTACAAATAAGATAGGTAAGGCTATTAGGCCTAATCCTAGTTAGATAAATCCCTTTTTTAGATTCTTCTAGATGTAATCTTATAGCTTAGCGTTGTGCTTAGGCACTATAGAGTACATTAGTCCTAGGCTTAGCTTAGCTCCTTCCTCTAGGATAATCTTGTAATCCTAATCCTAATAGTCTACTAGGTCTGTAGCCTCGTTTTCTTCGAATAGTTCCTTAAACTTATTTGCTTAATACTCTCTTAGTATCTCTAGTAGTAAGGGTCCTTCCTTTATAGTCGCGACTCATCTTATCTAAATAACTCCTATCTTCTAAGGGTCCTTTGTATAGATTCTTATAATCTTATGCAGTAAGATCTTGCTAAATCTCCTGTCCTAGGGTAAGCTCTAATTTGTTAGGCGTATCTTATATTGTACTCTAGTAATCTTGTGCATAGGTTCTCTTCTATGTATTGTTTTTATTTGCTAATTAATAGCAGGGTTATAGGTATCTAGCTAGTTATAACCTATTCACATGTCTAGTCCTCCTGGATCTATAATGTTAATGTTTTTTTAGTAATCTATACCTGCTATTTATAGCTTTGATAATTTAGTCTCTAACTAGATTATACCGTTTCTATATTCTATAGGTTTCTTGTTAGCAAGTATTATGAGGATTAGTTTACTTATAACCTAATATAGTATCTTGTGTTTCTCTACTACTTATAGGGAGATTATTGTTCGTGCGGCCCCGCTGTCTACGAGCGCCTTAATATCTTAACCTTGTACAGACATAGTTGTAAGCAGCTGCTTTACTTAACTATTAGCATCCTGTAACTTCCTAAGGGTTGTTTTAGGAGTACCTTTGCTAGCGTGACCCTATCCCTAGCAGTATCCTAGTTTTTTAACTTCTTATTCTCCCTCTACTAGGGAAAGTAGCCTAAGTTATTCTTTAAGCTGTAATGCGTTAAGCATCTATTATCGTAGCAGAAACTCTAGTGTATGTTCTAGTAAGGTATCTCCTCCTTAGTAATCTTCTTCCTAGGTTTCGCCTTCTTAGCCTTGTAAATTAGGTAATTTACAACCTTGCAGATATTTAACAACAGGGTAGCATAGTAGTAGTTGTCTACCTATTGTACCTTGTTAAGCTGTTCTTAATAGAACTTGCATCTATTCTTACACTGCGTCTATAAGAGCCTGTAGTAGATCTCTACCTTCTCTAGTTTATAGATGTAGTAGTTGTCTACTAGGCATTTATCTGCCTATAGACTTAAGTAATAGCACTAATCCTAGTCTGCCCTGCACTTCTCTATATCTTCTTTATAGAACTTACAATCTATCTTATAGTTATACTAGCACACTTTCTTATATTCCTTAGTATCTTCTACTTTAGTAGCTTCTTAGTCTAAAACCTTAGCTATAAGTTCGTTAAAGTAAGGTTGTTAGCGTACGGCTTGGTACCTAATTTTTTTAGCGTCCTTACTAGTAATTATAATTTAAGTCTAAATCGTGCAGTCTTTAGCGTAGTGCGTCTTATCTTTGTATATTTAGCACTAATTAGTAGCTAGTTGTGTCCTTACTATTTTTCTTTTAACTTTCTAATCTGTAGCTCTTAGTTCTTCTGTAACTAAAACCTTAAGTTGTAGTACTATTACGAATCTTTCTTTAGTCGCTAAGCGCGCCTCCTTATAGAGGTCTAAGTTGCTTAGGTTATTGTCTAACTCCGCCTAGGTTGGTAAGGCATTCCTTATCTAATTATCTTAATCTTAACAGCTGCCTATTTAACCTGTTCTTTATTGCAGTCTCTAGCGAAGTGTCTAACTTTACTATAACAGAGATATGCTTTATTATTGTAACGCTCCTAGCGTTCTTCCTCAGAAAGTCCGTTATATCTCTTTCCTTAGGTCTTTCTATCTTTAGCCTTCTCTTGTACCTTACTAGTTATAATAGTATTACTATCCTTGTTATATCTACTACGCTGTTTCCTTATGTTAGCTACTATAGGCTAGAATCGTCCCTTTTACTAAGAGCGTTCCTATAAGTAATTGATAATGCGCGTAGCTAGCTTAATTAGAGCTTGTAGCGTTCTAGGCTTATTATAGTGTACAAGGCTATCCTTAACATCCTCTTTTAGGCCTGCTTTATATACCGTTCGAAGTGCCGCGTCGTCCTAATTAATCCTAGCCTGTAGTTACTTAAACTCTACTATGTAGGCTAATATAGACTTAGTTTGCCTTAGGTAAGTAATTTATTTCTCTACCTAGTTCTTAGCGTCTACTTCTCTAAAGATGCGTCCTATCTCTTGCTTAAATGTAGTCTAACTTACAAACATAGCTCTAGTTTTGTCTTTAGTTCCCTTATATTCTGTATCTAGTAGGTAGTTATCTACGTAGGGCTGCATCTAGTTTAAGGCCTTACCTTTTATATATATGCTTACTATAAGGACCTTGTCCTAATCGTTAGGTACTTTATTAAATTTGCAGTATAAGTCGATGTTAGTAAGGAATGTTCGCAATTTCTCGCGTCCCTTATCGTATTTCTTAGGCGCTACTATCTTAGGTTTCTTTGTAGAAACTAGGCGTTTGTTTAGGGTAGCTATTAGCTAACTTGTAAGCTAATTAATTATATTCTACAGCTTAACTATCTGTTGTGCTTAAATATAGGCCTGTCGCCTAAGGTCCCTAAGCTTTGTAGCGCTAGGGTTCTCCTCTAAGTCCGAATTAGATGCGTTAAGTATAACGTTATTCTCTAGCGCCTAGGAGGGTCCTAGACCCTAGGCTATGTTGTTTTAAGCGGCTCTTAGAGATAACATCTTGTTAACCTTAATTAGGTAATTAGTTAGTTAATTTGTCTACTTAAATCTAAGGGTTGTTAAAGTATTACACAGGGTTAGGCTATACCTCTTTAAGCTTAGTGTTACGGTAACCACCGTGGTTCCCTTGACACTGAACGCGCTACAGAATCTAAGTGCTCCGCCAAGCACCCGAATTCTGCTTATTGGCCGGCCGGGCCTAGCGCTATGCGCACGGCCCCCATCGATAACTTCTCACCGCCTGTACATGCTGATTCTGTTTCCTTACGCAACGTCTTGTATTACACCAGATATCGTACGTAGCCACAATTAACGCTTCTAGTAAGCTCTTAAACACGTGCTCGTAGCATCTCGTGACACTTAGTCTGTACTAAGGCGAGGTAGACTAAAGCAGTAAGCTGTGCAGTTTATCTAGTAATTTGTGTAGAAAAGAGTTATTAAAGTTAACTAAAGGTAAAGATAATCTAATTCTATGTGTAATAAAATAACTAGTTAACAATCTATATAAGAGATAAACTATTTAAGTTAACTACAACGAGTGTAATAATAAAACCTTTCTATCTTTATATCCTATTATTAAGTCCTGTTGTCACGGTAACCACCGTGGTTCCCTTGACACTGAACGCGCTACAGAATCCGAGTGCTCCGCCAAGCACCCGAATTCTGCTGATTGGCCGGCCGGGCCTAGCGCCATGCGCACGGCCCCCATCGATAACTTCTCACCGCCTGTACATGCTAATTCTGTTTCCTTACGCAACGTCTTGTATTACACCAGATATCGTACGTAGCCACAATTAACGCTTCTAGTAAGCTCTTAAACACGTGCTCGTAGCATCTCGTGACACCTGTGCTATTACTACTATCCCTCCTTAGCTAGATGTTTGTAATAGCGTCGCCATCCCTTCCTGCCTTGCCATCCCAGATAGCTAGTCTTGGCGGGATGGTTCATCACGTGACCCCTGGCCCCCCGATGATCCTTACCTTCTGACGTGGACGTGGTTGACCTCCAACCCACTTTCCATGTCAAGGAGAGAATCCTTCGTGTCACTTGTAACACGATTCTTTTGGAATTTTCCATCTGTGGTAGAGGGTGCACAACTCGACCATGTGCAGAACGCCCACATACACGGTAAATGTTTTACTTGTTTCTGACCTACGCTATCACTCTCGCTAATACTATGGGACGCGTTGCGCAAACCGCCTTACGCTAGCATTGGAATCAGCGTTTCTAGACCACGCGCTTCGGTGCAAACCAACCCGCGAGCTAGTCGGGCCGAAGAAGCATTGATGTTGCTGACAGGCCTTGCAAATTGACGATTCAAAGGACCGACTTCTTAGCATCGTTTCATCTCGTACGGCGTTATCCTTCACTATGCATCATCTAATCATATAAAGGGGCTTGGTATAAGACGACATCATGATAACGTCGTTCGTATTACGACGCCTTTTCGTGCCTTGCCCTTTTTCATCGCCGCTATGCGCACTACCTCATTGATTTTCAGCGTCCTTTGCCCTGTTTCACTCGCAGCTAGCGCAGGATGTGGAAGCACCTTGCCTTCGGGGCTTACACCGGGTAAATCTACCACAAACGTGACAATATCCTCAAAATCCGTCATTGGCAAGACTACCGAACGCCGATACATTTTGCACCTGCCATCTTCGTTCCAAGTCTCAAACGACAAGGCGGTGCCGCTGGTAATCGCCTTCCATGGCCAGCAGCAGCCTGCCAGAAGCATGGAGGTGATCAGCGAGTTATCCAATCCGGCATTTAACCCAAACACTATCGTGGTCTATCCAGAAGGCATGGATGTTCAGGCTCCCGGCGTGAGTTCTTCCTACCAATATACGCTGTTGAGTCGGACAACGAGTGGAGCTGATCGTACTGCTTAGGTGCAATGGCTAGGGGACCCATTAGCCCCTACGTCCTCAGTGATCGACGACCGGATCTTTGTCGATGAACTCCTTACACATCTCACGTCCACGCTGTGCATTGATGAGAACCGTGTATACGCCGCGGGCCTCTCTAACGGAGGTGGACTAACGGGCCTGTTGATGTGCGATCCCAAGTTGAACAAGAGATTTGCAGCCTTCGCGACAGTAGCGGGCGCATTCTACCCGGACGCAAGTTTAACAGAACCTCTGTTCCAGAGTGGCTGTCTTCCGAACTTGCAAGGCAGAGCGCTTCCTTACATGAATCTTCACGGGCTGAACGATAGTGTGGTTGCATACGATGGCAACAACAATCCGCCACCAGCATCTATCCCAGTTCTGAGTTGGGTTGAGGGATGGGCAAAACGCGGCAACTGTTCGAACAATCCTCCGGCCGTGAACGTGGCAGGCGACAAGGTTACAGAGCGACGATGGCAGTGCGATGGTGTTAAAGATGTGGTTGTTCACAGAACTATTCAAGGATTTGGCCATGGATGGCCGAGTCGTAATGCTCAAGGCGAGCCATTCGATACTCTGAGAATTGGGCCTACAACATGGGACGCTACGCCACTTATCTTGGAGTGGTTCGCGAAGTGGACCTTGTAGGCACCGAAGCCATAATCTAGGATACATAAGTTTCTTCGGTAGCTTTACCGCTGTACACTCGCTTGCTGCACTAAGCCATTGCCTACTCCCTATTCTCTGCATCCTCATCAAATGCTGTCTTTCTCTTTAATTGCGGTAAGGTTATCGCGAACACTAGCAAGTTGACAATGACGAACATAGCGATTGCTGATATAAATACCAGGCGCAAGCTGTGGCTGTATGCCTCAATTACTAATAGTGATATTAGCGTTGGTGCTATGCGGAGGCGGACAGATAAACCTGGTTTTCAGAAGCAACGGGTAAGAGGTTCTAGACTAAGAGTATTACGAACCTTGACTCTGATGCTCCGGATCGAGGTCAATGATGCTGCGGACCGATCTACGAACGTGTTGTATAATCTATGAAAACCGATTAGCGTAAGACCGTTGCTATCAAAACGATGGCGTAGTAAAACCGGCCAAACTAGTCGGATGAATTAGTCCGTGGCAAAAAGAAGCGCGGTGAAGCATTTTGTCAAGCTTGTCACCCGTACAGCGTAGACACAATGCGCTATGGATGTTTTTGCAATCTTGTATGTTCGCTGGAGAATTCTCGGGGAAACATTCAGGTAAGGTTGAAGTGGGACGTACCTTAGCCTTGTTGTGACCGGTGACTAAGGTTTCTAGGTGCAATGTCAAGGCGTTCTGGAGGATGAGGCTACTCAGCGAGACACCCATTACAATGCCCAAACTGCGCCACAAAATGAGTGTGCTGGTCATGACTGCCTGATCCTCCTGTGTGCTTGTTGCAAGGACTGCAAGGCTCGTTGCAGGGAAGCTAAGACCTTGACCGATACTAGACGGAACTAGGAAGATCGTGGCAAGCCACTTCGGTATCCCGTCCCACATTGCGGAAAGGCATACAGCGCCCAACAGCATGGAAAGGGAGCCAACAACGATGAGCCATTTCATGCGTCCGGTCGCGGTCATGATGAAGCCTGCAGAGACGCCGCAGATAGTGAGGGCGACAGAAGGACCAGCAAGGCGGAATCCGGAAATTGACGCTGTCTCGAGTTCAACTGCTTGGAAGTACAGTGGTGCGTTGAATAAGATGGTGTTCATCCCCACCTGAGCGAAGAAGTTGTTAAAGACAAGGTTGCCTCGCGGTCTGCTGAACAACATGGGCAGAGGCATGACCGGTCGGACAGCTCCTGACTCAACTTTGACAAGCATGGTGCCGGTTACCGTCGCTATCACGAGCGAAGTGATAACAATCCAATGCTTCCACGGGTATATGTTGCCACCAAGGTTCAATCCTAGAATGAGGAATGCGACGGATACCGTTAAAAGCACGGATCCGGCGACGTCGAATCCCTTTAGACCATCTCTTAGACCTAAGCCGTAGCGCTTGGCCAGGTTTGGACCAAGCGAAGCAGGCGTCGTGAATATAGCATTGATCAAGAGTATGATTAGGACGGGGATCTGTATAGCAAAGGTCATCCGCCATCCTAGTTTGTCACATAGAAAGCCACCAAAAGCCGCCCCGCAAGCGGAACCCCCTCCGTAGAAGAGGTTGATGTAGGCCTGGTAGGTGCCTCGTACTTCGATACTGACTAGATCATTGGTCATGATGTTACCCATCGACAGCACCCCGGCTGCGCCGATGCCGCAGAAAGCTCGCGCCGCGATGAAGCTACCAACAGTTTGTGCAAGAGCACACCATGCGGTCGTGGCTGCAAGGACAACAAGACCAGCCAGATACAATGGTCGACGACCAAGGGTATCTGACAGCCGACCCATTAGCGGTTGGAGCGAGGTTGATGTAAGCAAGAAGGCTGTCGACAACCAGGACGCTGAGTTTGATGCATGGAAGTACGATGTGATGACTGGATGACTTGATGCCATTAAAGTGGAGTCAAACATGGCAACCTACCGGCATACAATCAGTACACGTATCTCCAAATGTTTTCAAAACTCACAAAATACCCAAGCAGAATACCACCAAACACAAGTCTAAATTTCCACACCCCGACGCCCTCAAGCTTCCCATTCTTCTGGAATTTGACTAGGCTTTTCGTCGCATGCGCGATGGTAGTCTCGTCGTCGTTGACGTCGACCGATTGAGCATGTAAAGCGCATCTGCTCTCTCCTGATGTTGGGAACTGGGGCGCAGCGCCCTCGCCTTGTTGCGCTGCCTCTGCGGTCGTGATCGCATCTTCTGTAATTGAATGTGAGCGGTCCCGGTGGTTTGCCGAATTAGAGCGAAGAAGTGGTGTTCGCTCGGACACGGACGATGACATCACAGCGGCAATGAGTTGTTTCCCAATCCACGGCAATTTGTCTGTAAGTCCAAAAATCAGCCCGTTGCATGGATCGCGTCAACGACGTTAGAGTGCAGGGAGAGTCGGAGCTGACAAGCTTTCGTGATTCAGGTGCCAACGAGCCGAACCACGCTAGTGTTTCCGAGTTCGCCGTCACTTATCCGTTATCAAAGACGGCCCTATCTTGCACGCCGCAACTCCTAATATTGACTTGCAGAAAAATGAAGACGCCACTTCGAATAGCCATCCTAGAGTGCGACACGCCACCGGCAGCTGTTGTTGAGAAATATGGCAGATATGACCGTATCTTCACCACCTTACTGGAAACAGCAGCTACGGAACTGGGCTTATCGCCGAAGCAAGACCTGGAGTTGAGCGCATTCGATGTGGTCACAGCACAGGAGTATCCTGACTCGCAAGATGTAGATGCTGTGCTGATTTCAGGCTCAAGTAAGAACTAGTGGGGAAAAAGCAACGTTCGAGATTGTGGCTGACATGGCGCAGAACACAATTCCTTCGATAATGACCCATGGATTCTGAAGCTTGTCGACTTCACTGAGAGGCTGCTGAAGCAAGACCGCGTTCGAATCATTGGTGTTTGCTTTGGTCATCAGATTCTTGGAAGAGCCGCGGGGGCTAAAGTCGGACGGAGCGACGATGGATGGGAGATCTCAGTCTTGCCTGTGCAACTTACCGCAAAAGGCAAAGAGATCTTTCAACAAGATACCTTGGTATGTCTCCTAGCTCTCAACAATTTGGATCTTTCCTGCTAATATCAATAGGCAATCCACCAGATGCATAAAGATATCGTTTTTGAGTACCCAGACGGCGTGGAGAAGCTGGGTGGATCACCACGCTGTCTGGTGCAGGGTATGTACAAGAAAGGCAAGCTCATCTCTGTGCAAGGGCATCCTGAATTCACTGAGCCTATCGTAACCTACTTGGTCAAAATGAGGGCGGAGCAGGGTATCTTTGATGATGAGCAAGCAAAGGATGCGCTGGAGAGAGTTGGGAATCATCATGATGGAGTGACCATTGCCAAAGCGTTCTTGAAATTTTTACTGGAGGACTGAAGGATGCGTTTGATCGTGGTGTAGAACACAAGCTATTGTAAAATTGAGGACTATATACCCACGTGCTGATAACTACCTTGCTCCAGGCGTAAATATTATCGGGAACAGGTGATGGGTATTGAGACTGCCCCACACCCACTTTGTGTGTTCCGGGCGAATTTTCGGTTCCATAGAACCCCGCCAGGAATGGATAAAACAGACGATGACAATTTCTAGTTATTATTTAGAATTTTCACCACTTTTTCAAATCAATTAGACTGGCTTCGTGGCGCAATGGTAGCGCGTCAGATTCCAGTTTCTCTGGAGATTCCTGAAGGTTAGGCGTTCAAATCGCCTCGAGGTCACAAGCAGTTTCTTTTTTGCAATACTTCTACTCGTGTTCTCTTTTTACCAACCTTGATTTGAAGCTGAGCTAACACCATTCGTGTACTTTTCTACCACTGCTATATACAATTCACATATGTTGTTGCTGCTGGCTTGCATCGTTGGTTCACATTACTTGACACTAAGGTCTGACATACAATTCGCACATGGATGTTGCATGTAAGATGCTTGTACGTCACAGTCACTCTTGAGCGCTGGGTATGTTCGTGCACGACACTGCTGATTCTTCCTGACGCCGCTCCTGCACTCATATAGCGCGATACGGAGTGCTTAGATGTCAAAACCTCGGATGACACCCGTATCGTAAGTGCCTTGTTCAGTGCACCTGTCATCTTCGTTCAACGCTTTTGTACTCTGTCAGGTCGTCGTCCGTGAAGAACATCAGGCGTAAAATGTTTCTTGTTCGAAAGTGAAGGACGACAGTCGCGTCGAGGCCAGCTAAGCCTCACGTCATTAACGGCCGGCAACTGGCCTTTCGCACATTCATGCATTGGTTCCGCCCCATAAAACGTCGCAGCGGGCGCGGAACGCTGATCAATGCGCCTTCTGGAAGCGGCGCCGACAGATTACCAGGGTCCAAGTCTCAACCTTTCATTATCCGCCATCACCAACTGCTCCCCTCCCTTTACGTCGCTCGTTTCACGCAAAGCACTTCTTCGATTCCGGCCGCGCCGCTACCGTACTCTTCCGAAATACCTTTTTTAATACACAACGCTGCTTTTTGCATGCGCATCGCTCGATAACTGTCTACGGACTCAAATACTCCCGATGGGAAAGTGTATGCAATCACCTACATGCAGCCCCATGCCCGCCACACAGCTAGTACGCTGACAGTATTCGGTAAACAGGGAGATATGGTGTTGTTCTGGATGCTGGGTCCTCTGTAAGCTTCCCAAGCAGCCACTGTGCAATTATCGCAGGGTTGCAGCTAACTCAATCCTAGGGGACGCGCGTCCATATTTACCGATGGCTCAACAGCGACGCAGCTCGCAAGAAGGCTGGCGATACACAACTACACAGCCTCCCGGTCATAGAAACCGACAAGAAGTGGACTAAGAAGATACATCCGGGTATGTGGGCAGTATGGAGGACCCTGGCGCAAAGTAGACTAACATGAGATGGGACAGGTATCTCAACCTTTGGCGAACACCCACACGACGTCGGGTCTGAACACCTCGATAAGCTCCTTAGCCATGCGCTCAAACATGTACCCCTCGAAGAAGTCCCGAATACGCCTCTGTTCCTGCTTGCGACAGCGGGCATGCGCATACTCCCCGAGCGACAACGGAAAGAAGTGTTGAAGGAAGTCTGCAAATTCGCGCGTAGTACGACTCAGTTCCAACTACCGGATTGCGACGTGCACGTGCAGGTCATACCAGGAGAGACAGAGGGTCTGTATGGTTGGATAGCCGCGAATTACCTGCTCGGCGGGTTCGATCAGCCGAAAGAACACGATCATGGCAAAGGACACAACACTTATGGATTTCTGGATATGGGAGGTGCGTCAGCTCAGATCGCCTTCGCACCGAATGCGACCGAAGCGGAGAAGCACGCAAACGACTTGACGCTCATGCGATTACGAACGATTGATGGCACACCGCTGGAGTACAAGGTGTTTGTGACAACTTGGCTGGGGTTTGGCGTGAATCAAGCGAGAGAGCGATATATCAAGGCTTTGCTAGAGTCGAGCGCGGAGACTGAGCTACCCGATCCTTGCCTACCCGCAGCTCTCAAAGTAGAGGTTACAAAAGATGGAAGAATCATCGACTCAGACGACGAGGGTGATGATGAGCCCAAACAGAAGGCGGCGGCGAAGTTGATTGGCACGGGACAGTTTGCGGAATGCTTGCATCAGACGTACCCATTGTTGGAGAAAGAGAAGGAGTGTAAGGACTCGCCATGCCTGATCAACGGTCAGCATGTACCAGCCATCGATTTCAACGTAAACCACTTTGTAGGCGTATCCGAGTACTGGCATACTACACACGAAATCTTCGAACATGGACACAAGGACAAGGCATATGACCTCCAAACATACCAGGAGCGGGTGGAAGAGTTCTGTAGTCAAGACTGGAAGAGCATCGAAAAGGGCATCAAGAAGGAAAAGTGGGGTCATAAGGTTGACGAGGAGAAGGCACAGGAGGTGTGCTTCAAAGCTTCCTGGATCATCAATATGCTCCACGACGGAATCGGCGTACCTCGAGTTGGCATTGAAGACATGAAGGGCAGCAAAAACACCACTAAATCTGTCGTCGACAGTGCAAAAGCAAAGGGATTCCTGGACCCGTTTCAAGCAGTCAACAAGATTAACGACGTCGAAGTCAGCTGGACTCTTGGAAAGATGGTCCTTTACGCCTCAAGCGAGGTCCCACCGCCATCTGAGAAAGCGCTAGCAGTAGGTTTTGGATCCAACGTTCCTGGTATACCATCGGACTTCCAATACCCCGGTGGCGTACCTAGACAGTACGAATCAGACAGCGACTGGCATCGCCTGTTTGTAGAGAATCCGCAACGTATACCGGGCTTTTTCATCATGATATTCATCTTCATTTTCATCTTCTGCCTCATACTTGGTAAAGATAAGAGGAATGCAGCCAAACAATCTATCAGCAGACTTTTCAAGAGCAAACAGGGCAAAGATCCTCTGCACCGCCGTCGTGGCCGCGGCTTCCCGGCGAAACTTTTCGGCCTAGGCGGTTCCTCGTCTCAGACCCAGCAACCCTACGAACGTGTGGACTTGGAAGATGGCGATGCAGCGAATGAATTCGAACTTGAAGAGACTTATTTGGAGTCATCAGATAATGAATTCTCTGATTCTTCTGAGGGCTCCAAGGTAGGAAGGACGAGTGGTTGGGCGACGCCGCAGATCAAGACTGAGCCTGCTCCGGGTGGACCGAGTTACTTCGGTGCCACGACAACCGGAGACGTGGTCAGAGAGGGTACGGGATTGGGTCTTGGACCTCCGAGCGCGTTTGAGCTGAGCCGAACGTACAGTCGGGAGAGAATAAAGAGCCGCGCCAACAGTCCGAAGAGAGGGAAAGGGATGAGCAAACTTGATGAATGAACGGTTCTATGACGATGATCTTTACCTCTCTGGCTCGGTGTTTTGCTCTCTATGGAGCAGATTTCTTCCGATGTAGTATAGTCAAGAGGAGAATTCGGTGCAATCTGGTGTCATGGCGTTGTCTCATCTAGTAGAGGCGTTTTGTTTACGCACTGGGCATCGTTGTATATATCCGTTATATGAAGCTATTGATTCTTTCGCTGCAGTCTAAAGTAGCATATAAGAGAAAGACTTGAAACGCTTGACAGTAGTTCAACCTGTTAGTAATATATCCGCATGTATTGCATGTATAACACCCTCATTACGCTTATTAGTAACTAGGCCAGTGAAAATCCGAGCCAGCTAAGAGGTCTTCAGGTCTCTTAAGCAAAAGAATACACAAGTGCTTGACTCGCAATCCGCCTAGACATGTCACGGACGCCTATGCACCCACAGATATATCGCAAAACTATTAGTTTACCATGCTAAAAGCACGTTGGATGTATTCTTTGATCCCAACGTACACGTCTGGCAGTTGTCAAATATGCACTGCCTCTCACAAAGGCTCAGGTGCAACATTTCGTGTCAGATAGGTTAGCTAGGCTTCCATCTCCACATATCATTTGGCCCCGTATGCAACCGTCCTGGCACGACAGTACCTGCATATCCGTCACAAATCCTTGCAAACGCACTAAATCGAGCACTACAGATCAGAGTATGATAACTACCCTAATCTGTTCTAAAAGAACCCCCACTCCCCAGCATTGATATTAAATTGGAAACACGCGTAGAATGAGTAATACTTGGACAGGTGATGTTTCATAAGGTCACTATGTAACTTGGCTGATAGAACTCTCTTGAGATGAGGACTACCAACTCAAAGTTCCAAGTTGAAAGTGTATCATACATTCAGCTTTTCGTATCTGCAGTACCAGCCTAACGGCCAGTTAGATAAAGTGTGTCTGCCCTTTACTCATCTGCTCACACTCATCTTTGGAACTCTCCTAAGAGAGACCGGCAGGCCAATCGGTTGCCACATTTCAAATCAGATTTTCCCAGGTGGCTGTTTTCCCTGAACACTGAGTGAATCATTCTGTCGCAGCCATGCAAGCAACAGCTTCCCTTACTACCGCGTTCATTACACAGCCTCACAGCCAAAACCGGCTCGTGACGGGTACATGCGGTAAGGCTTTGAATAGGTGTAATGTTGAGAGAAATGTGCGGTGGCGAACAAGCTCAGGATAGAGCCTTCTCGTTCCAGGGTACGGCATGCGAAGGCGATTTGGGAGGCTGTGTACTCTAGCCGCCAGCGCATTGCTAGCCGGTTTCGGACTAGGTACCAAGGTGAATGGTTCGCGCAGGAACGGCGGACGCTGGAACGTCTACCGCGAGACCAATAGTCTTGCATGTCTCTTGGTTCTTCTTGCGGGGCTTGTCCACAGTCCCCAGTCTTTGTTGTTTCGCTTCTTCTTACCTTGGTGACTGTGCATGGAAAAATAGGAAATATTTTAATACGCTGTTCATACTGTCTGAAGCCATAGCTTATCGCAAAACTAAGGGAATTAGGCTTCGTGAAAGTAGTCACTCATGCAAGCATACACAGACTCTATTTCGTTAGATTACAATTAATGTCAACCGATACAGTGACCAATGCTACAAATTTCTCATCACCCTGTAAATGTCGGCGACCATCTCAAAGGGCGCTCTTCGGTCCAAAGAGAAAGATGAGCGCCTTGGTCTGTCCTCTCCCGAAGCTTTCAAAAACCTTCAGCATATCATTTCCGTGACACGATAGGGTCGCACATGCTGTGTTCAAACATGAGAAGCTACTCCATGACATTCCAAAGGACGACCTTGTTGATGTGCAGCAAAGGTTCAGGACACGGTCGTCAGGCGTCTACTAAGCGCCGGCGTCTCACCCACAGACGAATCAACAAGCAAGCAATACTGAACGCTTTCTTTAGATATTACCTTTGCTCTATTTCACGCCATAACGCAAATAGAGCAATATTGACATGTGCGCAGTTCAAAGGAAAGTAAACTTACCATATCAAACTTTGAGATCTGAACAATGTACTAAGAAGGTCGCGTTTAGTCAGTCGCGACGAGTATCCAAGGTTAAAGTGTACATCATCAATTATCCTATTCGCGTACCATCGTGAAATTCCGCGAGTATATTTAGGGCGAGTTTTTCCTAGAAAGAACTTGAAAAAATGAGCTTCATCACAACGACATCATACTGCTGCAGGCCCTGTACGTCGTGGGGTTGACCGCCAAGGTCGCAGAAGCGGTCATCTGAAGCATGTCAAGATCTTGTGTGCAGCAAGCTCTCACTACTGTAGCTCACAATCAGAAGCTTATGTTGTGATGAAGCGATTGCCAATCTCATCGAAACTTGAGTAAAATGAGCCTAAAAGGTGCTCCTGAATGAACACTTTCGCGCACATGGTCCCAAGTCTACTAAATGCTATGGGACGCTGAACCTGCAGGATTGTAACGGTCAACGCGCCTGGCGATCCAGGTTGACGATGAGAGCCATCACGGCGCCAATGACGCAAATAAACTCCATCAAGACTGGGCGGGTGATGAGCACGGAACAGCCAAGCTTCTGGAGCTCTTGGCTTCTCGGAAATTGACGCATCCCTTTATCCATACATATCTTGGATCTTCAGGTACGAGGGCGGCGACATAAACGTAAGCCAACAAAGCCGAAGACAAGTGGAGCTGATGAATCGCCCAGCGGCATCGGTTGAGGCTGCGCAGGCGGCAAAAGAATTTTGTGTCGCCGCCACTGGAAAAAATGAAAGCGTAGTGTTGCGGCATCAGCATTAGTTAGATGAATGGCACTGGTGCGGCCAAGAAGACAGGAGTAGCTATAGGCGGAAGCGCGCTCCTTAGCATTTTGCATCGATGAATCACTTGCGATATGAGCGCTCAGACGCTGTGCGGTAGGCGTCGCTTGGCCTTGACCTACTGGCCATACGGAAGGCGACCCGTTTGGGTATGCACGACGTTGATGATAGTCGTGTCAGGCTTGTTGTTGCACAACTGGCCACATGGCGCATCGTCGCTTGGAAGACAGCATGCAGTCGCGACGCATGTAGATGTAAAACGGACTTGGCTTGAACAGTTGTTAACCGGTTAATCGTGGGGTGAAACGGAGGCTGGGACTCGAGGGGTTAGGTTAGAGGTCATCCCGCTTAAGTCCCGCACCCATGCTGCTTGCGAAATAGCTTTCGACGAAGATGGCTTAGCGCTCAGGGTTGGCATCGGGGCAGTGCAAGTCTTAAGATCCTCAGCCAAGGCCATGGACCTTGTTGTGCCTTTGCGAAATGCCTGTTTGCCTTATGTCCTCTGGGAGCCAGCATCTCAGATCACCAGGCATTTCTCCTTACCAAAAAGCGTGATTGTCGCGTCGTCTCGTCACCTAATAACTTCTACGAGTATCCGGATACACCTGAATCTCATCCCACACTCGACCGCGAATGAGCAAGCGCGGCGCCAGAACACTGCCACTCTCTAGTCGATAGTATCCTGCTCTTCAGCATCCCCGAATCATTCCTTCAGGTAAGCCTCTTTGATAAGCTCCATCGCTCTTGCCGGCTATAACCACGCGCTCCTCCAGTTTGGGCAGACCCGAGTTTGTGGCTGAGCAACGACATGGAGCTGCAAACCCAAGGGAAAGGTGCTAAGAAGGGTAGTTACCAGACTCTTTCTCTCAAATACTCGTCCATCGGCTCTTGCCTCCGCTCTTTACTACGTGCAAGGCTGCAACACCGTCCTCTCGCCTTAGCCGCCATCACCAATAGTATCCTCGTAACCTGCATGTACTTTTCTACATGAAGTCTTCATAACTTAGCGAAGTCACCGGAACTCTACACCTGATATCGCTACGCTTACGTCCATTACTCGTCTGCCTGCTGCACAGCCCCCCCCCTTCAGCCTTCCATTGCAGCCTCGAGCGCACAAGGCTACCGCGATGGCGAACAACGACGCGAGCAATGCTCCTTCAAGGCCACGAGCACCGACCATCACCATCGACACATCTGCTACCAACGACCCTACCATGGGCGACTCGGTACCCTTAGGAGACATTCAAGATAATAACCGACCAGCAACACATTCTAATACCGATAATGTCTCGCCCACACACACAAGGCAACAGTCACAAGAACTGCGTAATGCGCATTCTTTCGATAGCAAGGAGAGCAGACCCACGAGCCCGCATAACATCAGCTCCCCGGTCATGACATGGAACAACAATGCTGGTCTACTCAACGTCCCTGGTGCGCGATCCCGCGGCAACTCGGTCGATTCGGCGACGGACAATGGCGAATCTAATAGCACTGGAACATATGTCGCATCATCACAAGGTGATACATTGAAGGGAGACTTGGGACCAACCGAAGTCATGAACGATAAAGATGCTTTGAAGCCCGATCCGGGCACTGAGGCTGACTTCGAGGTCGAGAACAACAAGTTCGCCTTTTCGCCTGGACAACTAGGAAAGCTTTACAACCCAAAAAGTGTAAGCACCAGCGCCTTGATCACATGCGTGCACATCCTAACATCATTGTGTAGTTATCAGCTTTCCATGCTCTCGGCGGCCTTGACGGTATAGAAAAAGGTCTTAGATCCGACCGCAAGGCCGGCTTAAGTATTGACGAGCAACATCTGGACGGCGTTGTGACCTTTGAGGAGGCTATCACTCCGAGCCGGACCGAGTCTCCACAAAAGTCGTCTCCAAATGGAGTAGCTCACACCGACAGCGCGCTCTCTGGATCTAAAGAAGACGCCTTTGCCGACAGGAAACGTATTTTCAGTGATAACCGCCTTCCAGTGCGGAAACCGAAGAACATTTTTCAACTAGCATGGATGGCCTATAACGACAAGGTCCTAATCTTGCTTACATGCGCTGCTGTCATTTCGTTGGCCCTTGGACTCTACCAAACTTTTGGCGTAGAGCACAAGGACGGCGAGCCTGCTGTCGAGTGGATCGAAGGTGTCGCCATCATTGTCGCCATCGTCATCGTAGTTGTCGTAGGTGCGGCAAACGATTGGCAAAAAGAACGACAGTTTGTCAAACTCAATAAAAAGAAGGAGGACAGGACTATCAAGGTAATACGCTCAGGCACAACTCGCGAAATCTCCGTCTACGACATCTTTGTTGGAGATGTTGTCAATCTTGAACCGGGTGACATGATTCCTGTGGATGGTATCCTCATTCAAGGCCATGGCATCAAGTGCGACGAGTCTTCGGCTACCGGAGAGTCTGACCTACTCAAAAAGATGTCTGGAGACGAGGCTTTCAAAGCTATCGAGAGGCACGACAACCTCAAGAAGGTCGATCCGTTTATCCTATCCGGCGCCAAAGTCTCCGAAGGTGTTGGTTCTTTCATGGTAACCGCTACTGGTGTACATTCTAGCTACGGAAAAACGATGATGTCCCTGCGCGAAGACAGCGAAGTCACTCCCTTGCAGAACAAACTGAACGTTCTTGCGACGTACATCGCCAAGCTTGGTGGAGCAGCTGCCCTGTTGCTCTTTGTTGTGCTCTTCATCGAGTTCCTCGTCCGCCTAAAAGGCAGCTCCGCTACGCCTGCTGAGAAGGGTCAAAACTTTCTCAACATTCTCATCGTCGCCATCACAGTCATTGTCGTCGCCGTGCCTGAGGGACTGCCACTGGCTGTCACTCTTGCGCTAGCGTTTGCCACAACGCGTATGTTGAAAGACAACAACTTGGTCCGTCTTCTCCGATCTTGCGAAACCATGGGAAACGCAACCACTATCTGCTCCGACAAGACAGGCACATTAACACAAAATAAAATGACGGTTGTTGCTGGCTCCCTAGGGACTGCTCTTCGCTTCGGCGACCACAAGCTCAAGGTATCCTCAGCACCATCTACCGATGATAGCAACAAGGGTAAAGATGTGGCGGAGTCGCCTGTAGAGAACCCCAATGATGTTTCGGCGCCCGAATTTGTTGCGACTTTGAACCAGGACGTCAAGGATGTTCTACTGCAATCAATCATTCAGAACACGACCGCCTTCGAGGGTCAGGCTGGAGGCCCTGATCCGTTCATTGGCTCTAAAACTGAAACCGCCCTACTCGGCTTCGCACGCGATTTTCTCGGCATGGGCAACGTTGCTCAGGCGCGATCCAACGCCAACATCGTACAGGTAATACCTTTCGACTCGGCTATCAAGTGTTCTGGGGCTGTTGCAAAACTAGACGATGGTCGCTATCGCATGTACGTCAAGGGCGCGTCCGAAATCCTACTGGGAATGTGCGATAAGATCGTCACGGACGCCAACAAGGAGCTCGTCGAGACATCTATGACGGGGGACAACCGCGAGACCCTCGAACAGGTTATTACCACCTACGCGTCTCGATCTCTGCGAACTATCGGCCTGATATACCGTGACTTCGAAAGCTGGCCTCCTGCTGAGTCTTCCAAGAACGAAGATGACCCAAGCCAAGCTGTCTTCAAGGACGTCTCCAAGGAGATGACTTTCCTGGCCGTCGTTGGTATCCAAGATCCTCTGCGAGACAGCGTTCGCGAAGCTGTCAAAGACTGTCAGCACGCCGGTGTCTACGTTCGCATGGTCACTGGTGACAATGTCCTCACCGCCAAAGCTATCGCCGAAGACTGTGGAATTCTTGTACCTGGTGGTGTCGTCATGGAAGGTCCCACCTTCCGCAAGTTGTCAAAGCGAGACATGGACGCTGTCATCCCTAAGCTATGTGTCCTCGCTCGTTCTAGTCCCGAAGACAAGCGTAGGCTTGTCAAACGCCTCAAAGAGCTCGGTGAGACTGTTGCCGTCACTGGTGACGGAACCAACGATGCGCCAGCGCTAAAGACTGCCGATGTCGGTTTTTCCATGGGTATTGCTGGTACAGAAGTCGCAAAGGAGGCATCCGCCATTATTCTTATGGACGACAATTTTGCTTCTATTGTCAAGGCACTGCTCTGGGGACGTGCAGTCAACGACGCTGTCAAGAAGTTCTTGCAGTTTCAGATCACTGTCAACATCACAGCGGTCCTGCTCACCTTCGTCTCTGCCGTATCTAGCGATGATCAAACATCTGTGCTGACCGCTGTTCAACTGCTTTGGGTCAACCTCATCATGGATACCTTCGCCGCATTGGCCCTCGCGACCGATCCTCCGACACGCAGCCTTCTCGATCGAAAGCCCGACCCGAAGTCTGCTCCTCTTATCACATTGAGGATGTGGAAGATGATCATCGGTCAAGCAATCTACCAGCTGGTCGTCACCTTCATCCTGTACTTCGCCGGCGAGTCTATTCTCAGTTACCACAGTGATCACGAGAGAGAGCAACTGCCAGCTTTAGTCTTCAACACCTTCGTCTGGATGCAAATCTTCAACGCATTGAACAACCGTCGACTTGATAACCGTTTCAACGTTTTTGAAGGCATCACCCACAATTGGTTCTTCATCGTTATCTTGGCTATCATGATTGGTGGTCAGACGATGATCATCTTTGTTGGTGGTGTCGCCTTCAAGGTGACGAGACTCAATGGTGCTCAGTGGGGCTACTCGATAGTCTTGGGTTTCCTTTCTCTGCCCGTTGGTGTAATCGTTCGATTGGTACCTGATGAGCTCATCCGGAAGTGCATCCCCGACTTCTTCAGGCGTAAACGAACTCCCGAGCTTGTTATTTCCGATGACGACTATCAGTGGAACCAGGGCTTGTTGGAGATCCGCGACGAGCTTGCTTTCCTCCGGAAAGTACGTGGTGGGCGTCTTAGTGCCATGAAGTTCAAGGTGCAACATCCCAAGGAGATATTCACAAAGTCCCGCTCTAGCCATTCACTGCCTGGCACCCCTAACAACGGCCCACAAGATGACGGTTCTCAAGCGCCCCCCACACCGAACAGTCGTCGTCGTAATAGGTCCCGTTCAAACTCCGCGTTCGGTCCGGCAACTGTTATGGCTGGTATTGTTGCCGGTAGTGTTGCCGGTTGGTCGCCAATAGACCGTGGTCATGGCGACAACGACTCCATCAAATTCAGCCGCGACGCGACCAAGCAAGATCTTGAGGCACAGGATGGCATCGACGTGCATCCGGATACCAAGTCGACCGATCCCATTCTAGCGCCCGACGCGAGCGAGTATCGTGGCCCTCCTAGTCAGAACATGGATACGACGCCAGAGTTCGTTGTGGGACCATTCTCAGGCCACTCAGGAGATAACTCCAAATCAACCGGACCCGGAACATAGGGTGTCCTTTCCTTCACCCTATAACCCGAACACATTTTTATGCGTCTTTCCTTATGTTATCAATCGTGCATGGTAATGCATGTTCTGTGGCGTTCAGGAGTTGTCGCCGCGAGAACGAGCTACATTGTACATACCCTTTGCTCTCTTGATTTTCTCTTCCTCACGCCGGGCTGTAACTGCCTCGCTTGATGTATTACTGAGACCTTTTTCCTATTGCTGCATTATGGTATAGAGAAACAAGCTCCTATAGCTGTGTTGTCTTTTCTTCGCTTCTCAAAGCGTGGCTGTTTTTCGGGAGCGCTCCAATATTAGGTAGTAAAACCAAACAGCAGAATTGAAAAAAGAAGAGTAAATTCGTGTTGCTGCTGAAAGCCTTAACTTTTACCTCCAATCTTGCATGCTGCTAATTCGAGAGCACGCACGCACCTAACATAAGGAGGAAGCTAAATGTAACAAAGACATCAAAATGCTCATCAACTAAACAAACTTTAAAATTGTTTATCTGCATATGCATCGCGGCCATGACGCCTTATTGTGGTAGGCAAAAAAAGAAGTTCTTGTGCATGGAGCTTCGTCGGCGCATATTCGGAAGCATGGATGCTCACGACGTCATCTTAGAAATCGAACGAGCACACCACTGCTGACAGTACGCTTAACTGGCTCCAACAGTAGCATCAAACCTCCTTGAACGACACATCTTCGATCAATCAAACGCTCAATACTGCTGCTTCTTGTGCTATCTTTTTTCCAACTCCCAACAATAATGGCCCACCATATCCTCCTCATCGGCGGCCACGGCAAGATCGCCCAGATCCTTACACCACTCCTTCTGGCGAAATCATGGAACGTGACCAGTATGATACGTACTGCTTCTCAACAACCAGCAATTGAGAAGCTGGGACAAGGACAACCCGGAAAGCTGCAAGTGCTGGTCAATAGTGTGGCGGACGTGAAGAGCGAGGGGGATGCGAAGAGCATCTTGGAGCAGGTTAAACCGGATTGGGTTGTCTGGAGCGCTGGTAAGTACAGACTTGAACTTCTACGTCAGGAGAATACATTCATACTCACAACACTTAGGGGCCGGCGGCAAGGGCGGCGCGGAGATGACGTTCGCAGTCGACCGTGACGCAGCTATCGCTTTCACAAAAGCCAGCATCCACACACCTTCCATCAAGAAGTTTCTGACCGTATCCTACCTGTCTTCCCGCCGCAGTCGCGCACCTTGGTGGAGTGATGAGGATTGGAAGGCTGCGCAAAAGGTCAACACGGAGATTTTGCCGAACTATTTCAAAGCTAAGGTTGCAGCCGATGAGGTCCTCACCATCCTTTCTCAAGACCGAGTACAGAACGAGGAGAAAGATGGTGTGCCCACCAATGAGCGCTTCTGTGGGATCAGCTTGAGGCCCGGTACGTTGACGGAGGAACCGACTGGCAAGGTAAAGATGGGAAAGATTGGAGCGGGTGGCAAGACGAGCCGTGCGACGGTTGCAGAGAGTGTGATCAGAGTCCTGGAGACTGATGGGTTGAGGGGTTGGGTTGATATTATCGATGGTGATAAGGCCATCGAAACGGCAGTAGAGAAGTATGTCAAGGAGGCGCAGGATGCTGCTGAGGGCGAGGATCTAGAGGACATGAGGAAAAGGGTTGAGAAGCTGTAGGTTAAAGCTATCTGACTTGGCCTAAGAAGCCCAAAGACCTCGAGAGTGCAGAGAGATTAGACTGCCAAATTTTGAACCTGCCCTGCCGCTCCGTTTTTGAGGTAATGTAATCACGTACTCTGCGTCCTCTGTTTCGTCAGATCTCGGACCTCATCAATCTTTTGTGATTGTCGTGGTTTTCATCGATCACGACAGACAATCGCACCTAGTTGTACAACATTTCGATATGATACAATTTATACGTTCATGTACTAGTGATGGTATCAGTAAATCTTAGAACTATTTAACAGACAGTCAATACAATTCCACACGAATCCAGACTATCCAGATTTCTCCACTGCGCTTCCACTAGCCCACTCCTTGAAGTCAGAAAGGGTACTTTAATGAGGTTCCTCGTATACGAATCGAGGTGCGTGCAGGGAGTAACGGGTATTGCCTCTTCAGTTCGCTTCCTGAAGACGTTCTTTGCACGACTTCCAGGGTAACGTGTTCGAAGGTCGATTAAGCAACACCCCTGCGCAATTTGTTCTCTTGGCTTCCCCTCTTCTGTTTGATGCAATACTACTGCAACAGAGTAGCATCTCTAGTTGTTATAACGTATAGATATCCGCACAACTAGGATAGCGCTTTCCGTACTCTAATTATGGTCTTTCTTACGCATCAATCTGCTCTCCTGCTATGAAGTTGCGGAGACGCAGTGGTGGTATGTCCTGGCTGAAAATCAGTTAGACTTACGACCGTGAAGCCATCATGAGGGGAGCAGTAGCGATGCATACAACATTCCAAGCACCATATCTCTAGACGGAGTGCAGCGAAATGACACAGCAAGTGCCCAATGTGTAGAAAACGTCTGTGTCAGTTGGGCTTGCAACTTTCGGAGGCGCGCTATCGCATTTGACTTAGCCGTAAACACTAGCGTCTTGGCGCTACCAGCACGTCGAAGTCCCATGCAGTTCGTTTCGTGACGCGATCGTCAGATCACGCGTCACAACGCTGATTGCCCATGAGCGTATTGGCAAGACGCATCAACACAACGTCTTTTATCCGCGCAGAGCAGAGTATGGAGCGACTATGGTGCCACCGCACACGCGCCTGAGTAACCTGAAGATGTTCATAACTCTACACGAAGCCAGCACTCAGCATAGTAGCAGCAACAATCAACATGTCGAAAACCGCCTCGATCCCACAGTCGGCTCGAGTGCAGAAAGTCTGCACCCTGTGGACTCACGACGACAACCTCTCAAGGGATGAGATCGTTTTCAATGGTGAGAAGTTCCCTGAGCTACCCACTAATGCCGGTGCGCTCCTTCAGATCGTGGCGATACATACAGATAATGCTGTTCGAGACTTTCACACGGGACCCAAAAGCACATCGGGAGATGCGACGCAATCCAAGACCGATACATTGCATAAGGATGCGAATATAGATCTTCATCCGAAGAGACATCGTCGGGATTCGATAACAATAACCATTGATGAGAATGGTTCAACCATCCCGGAGGGTCGCCAAATCGATGCGGACAAGGCCTATGTGTTTGTCCCCAAAGCGCTCCCTGCGAATTTAGAGTCGAAGTATCCAAACCTTCAAGTAAGCTATACTTAGGAGTGGCAAATCTGCGTAGCTAATGCAGACAAGGTTTCTTTGTCCGAGAGAATTGCTAGGGTGTTCGGGTTCCGCAATAGGATGCAAGTCGTAGTGACTGAGGCTGATGAGGATACGTACGAAGCTCATCATGTGGAAATCGTTTTCCGTGATGAGTATCTCGCACGCGCAGATATGTGGCGTATGGCGATCGCCGAACTCAGCAAGCGAACGGTCTACCGAGGCCAAAGGCTGCTTTTCATGGGTACCATCAAAGCCACGATCAAACACATATATATTAATGGTCAGTCCGTTCATTCCGGCTACTTCTCGCCCAAATCGAAACCTATATTTCGCAGCGAATCAGCACGATACACGCTGTTCATCCAGATGTCCAGAGAAATGTGGGATTTCGATACTGAAGGCGCCGGTGAGATCATGTTCAACAAGGTTGTAAGCGGATTCCTTCCAGACTTGTTCAAGAGATGGTTGAGAATAAATGCGCGACATTTGGTTACCATCATCCTGTTTACAAGAATGCAATACGATGGGGAGCCTCTGGCCGATCGCCCCGAAGGGACCACAAGCAACACTTACACTGAGTCGCATTCGGGCACTTTCAGAGATTACTACAGAGTCGTTGTGAGCGATATGGCCAGCGGCGATTGGATCAACATTCTCTATCAACTGAAGAAGGAGTTTAGAATGTTTCTCCGGGAAGTTTCCCTAGTCCGTAAGCCTGTAAAGCACGTCACCATCAATGAGGACCTAGGATCTGAAGACTCGGCTACTGATATTGTCGTAGCTGGTCGACCTTCTTCCGCAAGCCAAGGCAACATCCTGGAGGCTATTAATCTGGCTGCGGCTCAATTTGCTAGGGACTACATCGATCGCGACCTTGTCCGCACGGGCATCTCAGTCATTGTTGTTACTCCGGGTACTGGTGTTTTTGAGGTTGACTACAACATGCTCAAATTGACTACGGATACTTTGATTGGATCAGGCATCGGTATTGATCTAGTGTGTCTCTCACCAATGCCTCTTCACTCCGTGCCTTTGTTCAAGTACCAAACGCCTCGTTCGGTATCCGACTTGAAAGCTGAGCAGGACAAGGAACAGCATGCTGCTGCGAGAATGGCGCGGACAGAAGAGGACAAGACTCCCCGTCAGAGCCACCCAGACTTTGGCTCTATGTCACGCGCATCCACCGTACGACACATACCGATAGACGTGTCTACCGACTCATCGGACGGATGGAGGTTCGCAATGCCGTATTGGGTCGACGTCTCTTTCTGGTCTGGAACATCTGAAGAGATATTAGAACTTACAAAGCCACGGAAGGCTGATAAAATTGTGAAGAAGTCACGCAAAAAAGGTCGCATCTTTTCTCTACGGTGCCGATTGTACGAGCTGCAGATGATGGGTGTCATGGAGAATGAACTGGGTGACATTGCAATTCCTTACTTAGAAGAGGACCCGATGTACCCACATCATTTGCGCAAGTTGTTTGAACCGGATGAGGAAGATCAGCAAATCCCACCAGTATCCAAGCCTTCCGCAATTGTGGCAGGCTCGTACTCTTCGCGGGGCGACAAAGAATACAATGACGATCAACTGGACGAAACCAGAGCTGCCCAAAAGGCCTGGATGGAGGCATACGACGGTGGAGTCTTTTCTCCTCTTATGGAGAGGCACTCTCCGTCAGACCAACTTCAGGCTCATAAGCGAAGGCTAAGTGATGAGATTATCAGCGGGTCTCCGGAGCTATCACGAAGTCTACGATTGTCTTCTTCATTCCGTAGCACGGTTCCGTCATTTGGAAAGACAGCTCGACCTCCACCAGAAACAAATTTTCCGCAGCTTACGCGTGAGGGATCGAGAGAAGTCGAAAGCCAATCTCCGCGAGGCAACACCTATCGTATGCCAGATTCCAAAGGCGAAGGCGTGCCGCGAGCCGATGTCTTGCGGCGGCAGAACAATTTGACTAGAGATGATTCTAGGACTGGGCGCCCTGTGGTGCACAAGAGAGGTAGTTCTGGAGACTCCCAGGACCATCAAACTATGATTCCCACCCAGGGACATTCTCCAGCTCCTAATCGTGGGTCATCTCCTCCAAGGCGAGCTGGGCTCTTGCCTCTGGCTAGCGCCGGGACGTCAGCACCAACTAAAACAGAACTGAAGAGTAGGCCTTCAAATTGGTTCCTAAGGCAGATGAGTTTTGGTGGAAAGGCTGCTCCGGCGAAGCCAACTCTTGGCGATGCCACCATTGATCTCAGTCAGGGCAAAGTGAAGCCTGCAATGCTGACCGTTGAGAAGAATCAGAAGGGCGCCATTGCTGAAAGGTTGGCGAGCACTCGTCATACTTCTACAGGAAAGCCATCACAACCGATTGCGATAAAACCTGCATCGCGCGCAGGTCCTACGTCAGCTGAATCTCTCGCCTCCGACCGTGCAAGCCGCTCAGTTGAGACCGTGAGAGGGGCGCGATCCAATCGGTCCAATGTACCTTCGCAGCCTGGTTCAGTTGTGAGGGATCCTGGATCAACGTTTCTACTTGCAGGAGCGCGAGGTGCAGGTGAGCACGCTGGACCAAAACCAGACCTTTCTTCTAGTGGAGGCGCTAGAGAAGCTCCCCGAACTTTGTCTCCAACAAGCGCGATCGCCCCTTGGGCAGTCTTGGTCAACCCATGTAACCCGAAGAAAAATGTCATAAGCTCCAAGAACCAGTATCGGCGCTGGCATCATGTTTTTCCTAGAACCTTGAGGACAGGTACCGTAAAGTGGAGGTCGTTGTGTTCACCTGCTGCAGTGCCGTTGACTCACGAGTGGTTTCCTTCCGTTGATCAAATAGCATCAGAGTACAACGAAAGTCCGTACAAGATCACGCAGAATGAGGATGACGACATCCTGGAAGCACCAAAGAGCCGAGAGTCTCTCATCAAAGAGCTAATTGCTTTCCGCCTCTCACACGGGTTCCAAATCATCGTGGGCTCTTCCGTGGCGGAGTTTTCAGGCCGACAAGAGAAAACTCTCGCCAGCATCCTTGATCCTGAGTACATGTCTAGTGATGGAGACACTGTTTTTATGAGCGTTGGAAACAGCATCCATCAGCTGGTGTGTGTAGCTGGAGGAGAAGTAGAGGTAAGAAGATACAACAGGAAGCCCACTACAGCACTGGAGTCATCCGCTGGCGTTGACACGCCTTTTCCATACAAACCTTTTATCCGTACTGCGTTCGAGGATACCTATGACCCTCGAGAAGTTGTGTTGCGTCCACCACGAAGAGAATACAACTGGAACATCATTGACACCTTCTTGGCTGGGTATCATGACGAGTTTTCAGAGGTATTACGCTTCTGGAGAGCTCGCTTTGTCCTGATTCCAGTCGATATACCAGCCATGCATCGGAGACCGTTGCCTATGCAAGACTCGCCAGAGGAGATCAGGCTCGAAGGCATTCGCAAGCTTACTCAACTATGGCAGAAGTTCCGCTACATTCCCCCAGAAGAGCGCTACTTCCAGCCGGCAACTGCCTTTAAACAAAAGGACCCAAACCCGCTTGCAATTGAGTATCACACACGCGATCCTTCGGCGGTCGTTGCGGCTGGTCCAGATCACTCTTTGCTCAACGACACCGACAGTGAATTTCAAACTTCTATCTTTTCCGATGCAGAAAAGTACCATACATCTAATATAGACATCAGAAAGCTTGCAGAAGATTTACAAGGCGAAAAGGGGATTCAAATGCTTGATCGTCGATGGCATCTAAAGTTGCACTACAACTGTTTCCTGGGTTTTGACCTCACCAACTGGCTGCTTTCGAATTTCAAGGATATCGAAACCCGAGATGAGGCGGTAGATTTTGGTAACGAGCTCATGAAAAAAGGCCTCTTCCAGCACGTACAAGGGCGGCATCAGTTCCGTGATGGTAACTTCTTTTTCCAGATCGCAGCAGAGTACAGGGCTCCCCGGGCGGAATCACGAACAGGGTGGTTTGGTATGCGCAAGGCAGACAAGTCTGTTCCTTCCACGCCGCTGGCGGAGGCGCCTCGCACGTCACCTCTGATGCCGAAGAATATCAAGCCACGTCCAGGTACTGCCGATTCTTCATCTAACAGCTCTGGCTCCCTCGAAGAGGGAGAAAAGACACCGACACGCGACGAACCAAATAAGCGAAAAGTCATCATGTCACGCGTTATGCGCTATGATGTGGACCCTAGAAAGCGTTCCTATCGACCTGAGATTATTTCACTACACTATGATCGATTGCATAATCCCGACAACTGCTACCACATCCGCATTGATTGGATGAATGTTACCGCGAAACTTATCGAAGATGCCATCGTTACTTGGGCTACGAGCGTAGAGAAGTACGGCTTGAAACTGGTGGAGGTGCCCATCGCGGAGGTAGCGGACATCATTGATCACCATCCATTCCGTTCGCCGTATGCAGTTAAGCTTGCACTACAGCCTCCTCAAGCTCAGCCTGAGGCGATGTGGGACTCGGCAAGCTTTTCTCCCCAATACCCGAAGGCAGACAAATTTGCTTATCACAAGCTCCTACTTCGAAGACTCAACTTTGTTCTGGATATGGAGGCTGCGAGTGCCTTTCCGCCTGACGTTGAAGTTACATATTCCTGGGGTACGCCCGACTACAAGTATACACAGTTTATTCACAAGGGTGGAGGCGTGCTTGCTCAGATTACTGACGATGGCAACTTCCTTCTGCTAGCAAATAGGCTTGCGCACAACCGTGCCAAAGACCAGAGTAGGATTCGGCCTGTGGATCCCTATGAGCACAAGAGAGCAACCACAGATGGTAGCCAAAGCAGTCGTTTACCGTCGACACCTGCAGTAGAGCGCGGGAACCCGCACCGCAGTCCCTTTGCAAGTCCTTTGGCACGACCAGTTCAAGACGCCAGTCTCCTCCATACTGCGCTCACATTCCACGACTCGAGGTCATCAGCAGCGACTACTCCAGCCCTTGCATCCAGTATATCCCTCACTCCCGAACAAGTCAAAGATGAAGTTGAAGCTTTTTGTTGTAAGGCCTCGCTTCTCTCCACTTTCTACGCCGAAGCTTTCCGCCATGCTCCCTCTCCTTCTCCACGGATCTTACCAGTAGGGGAAGACAAGATACCAAGCTTGGGACTACCGCCAGCGATTAGCATTAGGGATGCTAGCCCAACGACTGGAGGCTGGACACTAAGTAGCACATTTGGAGGGCCTAGTGGTATAGCTGGTCGAAGGCAGGGTAGTGAGGGAAGCATGTATAGCCTGGGGAAAAGAGGCAGTGTGGTCGAGGGCATGGAGGGAGCGCCGAGGCGACAGAATAGTCAGGGAAGTGCTGGAACTGGAATATAGGCCCACAAACGGCATTAAACGTGTATAAGCGTGGGTGCAGTACAGTCCGCGCACCTTTTTGTTATTTCGTTATTTGTGTTTGGGGCTTTACAGGCGTAACTGGTATTATGGACAGGTTGGAGATTTCTGCAAACGATACAGTGAAAATGGTGCAGTCTCTCAATTCCGTTACCGAGCGATGCACTGGTACAACAATCCACTCATGTCTTGCGTTCGAAGCTAGGCCCTCAAGAAATGCATCACCATCCGTTTCCTGTGTGTTTTGACAGAGGCGACAGCACAGAGCTCTAGGGCACGGTTCAATGTGGGGTACGACTTGGGAAATAGGCCACTCGCTACTGGCATGCATTTGGGCCCCGCCAACGGACCCCACGCGAGTAGCTTGCCAAAAGTTCGTGCCCCAAACACAACGCCGGCGCAACGTCCAGAGCAGCGCCATGGCACTACTTGAGCTGCTGGAACAATTGTCAGCTGGTTAGTTGTTGGGCTCCACACAAACACATGTTGCTAACATTGCTACAGGGTTGCTCCGCATATGGCACGAGCACCGACTCCCCATCCTCCTTGCTGCACTAGTCGTAGCGACGATTGCGCGTCTTGCCATCTATTCGCGCGACCGGAGAGAGAAGCTTTCTGTATCACCAGCTCCTTCATCACCTGCGCCCGTGGAGAAGACGACTTCGGTCCAGCTCAAACCGGAATGGCTGCCCGAATATACCACGACGCTCAACTCTTCGGAGCTTAATGTCGATAACCATGCGGAGGACGATACCAGGGCCGTGGCTGCAGTCGCAAAGGTGAAGAAGGGACCTAAGATGGTCAAGGGCAGGAAGACACCGAAGAAGCTTGCTGCAGCCCCGACGTTTGACCACCAAGCGGATAGGATACAGCCATTGGTTTTCTTCCAGTCGCTATCTGGTACGACGGAACGTTACGCTAAGCAGTTTGTTGAAGTTCTCTCCGAGTGGACAAAGTAAGTCTTGGATATGTAACAGGCATGTGAGACATACACTTACTTCTGTCTTCACCTTTGCAGAGGGTGCGACCAATCGAAGTCCTTCCTAGAGCCCCAGACACTCGACATATCCTACATTGAGCACGACGATTACTTCATCAGTCCGCCCAAATCCGACGTCAACGTCAAATACTTCTACATTATCCTCGTACCGACGTACAATATCGACACCGTCTTGGACGTTTTCGTAGAGAGCTTGCAGGAGACACACAATGACTTCAGGATTGATACGGCGCCATTGAGCGGTTTGGTTGGATATGCTGTGTTTGGCTTTGGCGATAGGGAAGGGTGGCCGACAGAAGAAGAGGGCTTTTGCAGTCAATCGAGGGAGGTGGATAAGTGGATGGCCAGGCTTACCGGTCGTAAGAGAGCATATCCACTAGGCATGGCCGACGTCAAGAGCGAGGCTGAAGAGAGGTTACAAGATTGGAGAATAGGCGTCCAGGATGCCCTCGTGGAAATCGTCGAAGGACGGGGACTCGGTGAAGGCGTACCAGGTAGTGGAGATGCCATCGAAAGCGATGAAGAAGATCTCGCAGATGAAGATGGTCAAAGCACACGAGTAGATGACGTTGAAGACCTAGGTTCGATGGTAAATTCGTCTGCTGGACCGATACCGGTCGACTTTACGACCTACAAGAAATCCGCAACCAAACCTGAATCTCTCCAGGCCGCCACACCCCGTCAGGTTCCCAAGGAGATGGTTCCCACTACCTCCCCTACCTATGCCGCTCTTACAAAGCAAGGTTATAGCATCATTGGCTCTCATTCAGGCGTCAAGATCTGCCGATGGACTAAATCCGCTTTACGAGGCCGAGGCTCCTGCTACAAGTACTCTTTCTACGGTATTGCCTCTCACTTATGCATGGAAGCCACCCCGTCTTTGTCTTGCTCGAACAAGTGCGTCTTCTGTTGGCGACACGGTACAAACCCCGTGGGCACAACATGGCGCTGGATAACTGATGCTCCGGACCTGATTTTCGATGGCATAACAGCCGCACATTACAAGAAGATCAAAATGATGAAGGGTGTCCCCGGAGTCCGAGCCGAGCGTTTTAGCGAGGCCATGCGCATTCGTCACTGTGCCTTGAGTCTAGTCGGTGAGCCCATTTTCTACCCGCACATCAATGAGCTCCTCGATATCATGCACAGGAATCGAATTTCCACGTTCCTTGTCTGCAACGCCCAGCATCCAGCTCAACTAGCTTCTTTGATCCCAGTGACACAGCTCTACGTCTCCATAGACGCATCCAACAAAGACAGTCTCCGCAAGATTGATCGACCACTACATCGAGACTTCTGGGAGCGTTTCTGTGCTTGCTTGGATATCCTTCGCAATCGTCGTTTCGAGCAACGCACCGTCTTCCGCCTTACGCTCGTCAAGGGTTTCAACATGGCCGAGGAAGTGCGCGGCTACGCTGACCTTGTTGAACGCGCTCTACCTGGTTTCGTCGAGGTCAAGGGCGTCACATATTGCGGAACCTCTGCGGCTGGGTCCGCAGGCCTTACTATGCAGAACGTTCCCTTCTATGAAGAAGTTGCCGAGTTTGTAACAGAGCTTGAGAAAGAACTAAACAGCCGCGGACTTACTTATGGTATCGGCGCCGAGCACGCGCACTCCTGCTGTGTCCTGCTAGCCGACCGCACAAGGTTCAGGAAGAACGACAAATGGGCTACTAGAATTGACTTTGAACGCTTCTTCGATCTCTATGAAGGCAAGGTGCAGGGAACGAGAATGGAGGGGGAGAAAGTGGTGGGCTGGAGACCCGAAGATTATGTTGGCGAGGAGACACCTGAATGGGCTCTTTGGGGCAATGGCGGATTCGATCCTAGAGATGCGAGAGTGTATAGGAAGGGCAAGGGTCCAAGAGGTGATGAAGATGGGGAGAAGGGTGCGGTAGCAGGGAAAGCCACCGCGACTGCTTTGGAATTTTGATCATCATCATGAACCGAAGATATATTCAGAGTAATCCGAGCTGAACAAAGTTTCATCATTGTACTTCTATGTATGCATTCCATTCGTCAAGTCATAATCTCCATGAATAGGGCTGTGGTAATGCCGCACTCATATAGCTGCCCACTCAACAGAGAAGGCCCTGACGGACTCGTTCTCTTGCGCGTCTACCTCAGGATTCTCGCCACCGATCATGTAGGCTTTCTTCGTTCCTGTACCGAGGCGTCCTCCGCCCACAACATCTAGCAGGTCGAACTTCTGGTCCCAACCCAAGCCTGTTGCCGCAAAGTGGCTGTGGTACCGAAGTGGGTCGCCCGGGTACACGTTGTAGTGACATCCGAAGCGTAGGCCAGGCATGTGGTAGTAGCCCTTGGAGTGTAGATAGCGGAACAGCGGGTAGCTATCCGGCACAGTTGGTGGAGGGACAGAAGGGTCCTTCGCGGGTGTTGATAGGGGTGGGTATGAGGTTGTTGGTGTGACGTAGTGTTTCTGAGCGGCAACGCCTTTCGGCGCACTACCCTGAACAGGGACGGCTGGTTCGGGAGCAGGCGAAGGGGGCGCAGCGTCGAACAGCGAAACCTCGGCGGCAAAGGAGTCAATCTTGGGGGCCTTTACTTGCACCCAGGAGTCTGAGAAACTAGAGCCTTTCATGATGAACCCTAAACCAGAGCTACCAAGATCCGAGCTATCAGTGACTGAACTAGCAGGACTGGAGATGACCTTGGCTGCCTTTACCGGCGCCCTTGAGTCTGAGAAGTTGGAGCCCTTCATGATGAAACCAAGACCAGAACTTGCGACACTGGAGTCGTCTGCTTGGAGTGTGTCTTCTGACGTCGTGCTTGCAGCAATGCTACCCACAATGTCCTTGTCAACTTCCTCCCTCTTCAGACCCTTCTCCTTCAATGCCCTCTCCTTCCTCCTCTCCGCTAACTCGGTCTGTTCCTTGGTGACATCCTCTCCTCGCTTGTCCATTTCCTCCATGTACCTCAGCCTGTCCTCTCGACTCATCTCCGCAAAAGCCTTCTGATGTGCCTGCGCATCATCCACGATATACGCAGCGCCTTTATCGACGAGTACCCTAGCCTCTTCCGGCATGAGTTCAAGTGGTACGCCCAGAAAAACGTTTTGTTGGCTGAGGTTCGGTATCGTGCCGACCAGGAGACCGCAGATGTTGTGCGTGCGACGGCAGTGCGCAATAACGTCCACATCAAAGAGGAGGTAACGGCCAGCTACGAGGGATATGGGGAAAGGTTCTTTAATTGGTTTGGGAGCCGGAGCTGCCGCCATAATATGGAACTAAAGCAAAAGCTTGGTTAGCTCCTTGTCTCGAAGCGTGAAAGAGCGGTGAAGGCAGTAAAAAGGTCATCCTCATTGTGTGAATACAATAAGAAAACAGCATGTCCACCTTAGGTGGATCTCAGCGGATTGACAGAGTTATTGGTTTATAATCCTAGGATGGAGTCTCTCGTGCACACGTGAAAGTGAAAAATAGACGGGTGGTGTGGCTCGAGCTTATTTCTCCATTTCCCGTGTGTACAAGAGACAGTGTTGAAGTACGAAGGGTTGAGGCTTACCTACATCGCGAGAGTCGTCGCGAGAACGAGTATGAGAGACGAGAGATGAAGAGCTCAGGGTTGAACTTTTGAAAGGCTTTTTAGCTTTGGGCCGTACCCACTATTATCCGCGTCCATCTATGTAGGTTGCTCGCTTATGATTGGTCTGAAGCAAACACTAGTGTTTGAAGTGGCTTAGGCTGAGCAAAGCGGCCAAGCTTGATTGCTTACTAAGGACCTTTGAAACGGCTGCCAGGCGCCGCATCCGTAAACACGATCCGCCTTGAGCATCAGTACTAAGAAACAAGAAGATGGGACCGCCATACTTCCCCGTGTCGAACAATGGCCAAGATGCCACGCCGCCAAAGACGTACTATGAGCAACAGCGCGAGATGCTTGTTACTGAAATTGCCCAAGTGCGTGCAGCCACATAGTCCCTCACGGAGCGCATTGCAGCCTCCCAAATTTACATTTCTCACACCGCATGTATGCTAACAAATTGCCAGAGTCTAGAAGTCGTCCTTCAAAACATCAACAAATTGAATCGTTCACTCGAGGAAGTAACGTCGGTGGGGAACGAGTTCGCACCCGTTGAGTCGCTGTGGAGTCACTTTGAGAACGTCATGGCCAAGGACCCGAATGAGCAACAGGAAGGTACGCAGGAAGGTACAACGGAACACGAAGGCGAGACAGAGTTGCCTCAAGAACGGAAATGAGTAGGTGCAGGGAAGCACCTTGTTAGTGCACGGAGAAGAATAACGCGCCTCGAGGTGCACGGCCAGCCGCCGAACAGGCATCAACGATAAGGAATATGATGCAATGATACCCCAGAGCGAGTCATCAGCATGGAGCACGACCAGTGTAGAGGAAAACAGGTTTCAGAAATATGCTTCATTTATTGCCTAGGCGCAGGCAACCTTTGGCACCAACTCCCGCCATGCGTACATACAGAATACCGAATACAGATACAGGGAAAGAAAATGCTGCTACTGTGGACCTTTGGAATCGCTGTGTCCATTCTCATGCCAAAAGAAAACCCAAACGCCAGCCGACCATGTACATGAGAAGACTTCCCTATGATGTATAAGAGGAAGCGAACATGTGCGGACAGTGATGGAGGTGAGCCGTATGTGGTCATTAAACATCTTGATCGTGTCGTCCAGCGTCGTGAATCTCGATATGCTCTCCTCTCGATAGACACAGACTATAGCACTTTGCAGCCGCTGCGCTTCTTCTTCTTGCCGCCCCCAGCAGGGAACGCTGATGTGTTCCCTCTTGATGAAGTCGCTGTGCCTACGCGGCGCTCTTCTTGCTCCTTGTGCTCCTCACCAACGGCCATTGTGACGGCCATGTCGAAGATCTCCTCTACGCCGTCTTGCTCTTTACTGCTGCACTCCATGTAGGCAGCGCCCATCTTCTTTGCGACCGCACGACCTTGCTCGGTGGTGACGGGCGTCAGGCCTTGTGTCTTGAGTAGCTCGATGCAGTTCTTCTTGTTGCGCAGATCAGACTTGAGACCCAGAAGCATGAGTGGCGTTGTTGGGCAGAAGTGAAGGACCTCTGGGTACCACTGGGCTTTGTCAGCACGTGTATGATGGATGGGAATTGCGGCATCTTACCTTGTCCATGACGTTTTCTAGTGAGTTAGGGCAGTCAATGGCGAAGCAAACGAAGATAACATCTGTCTCAGGGTAGGAGAGCGGTCGCAACCTGTCGTATTCCTCTTGGCCAGCGGTGTCCCACAAAGCAAGCTCAACCATCTTGCCTGTTGGCGGATGAGGAGTGTGAGTAATGTAGTTCTCGAAGACAGTAGGGACATATTTCTGCGTCGCATTAGTATCACATGACGTGTCTCTTGATTGTTTTGGGCGCCTACCTCTGGGAAGTTGCCGGAGCTGTAGCTGATCAACAGACATGTCTTTCCGCATCCACCGTCACCGACAACAACGAGCTTCTTGGAGTAGGCTGGCGGCTCGGTAATGGCCGTGTCGCGCGTGTTGGTGGTTCCATATGAGCTGACAGTGCCATTGCTATTGCGCTCACTCGGTGTGCGGGCGTGGGTGCGGACTGGTGTGATTGATGAAACGGGCGCCTTTGTGCTCTGCTTGCGCCGGAGGTAGTCGTAGTTTTGGGAAGGTGCGGTGGCCATGTTTGGTGTTGGGGCGGGATGTCTGGTGGTGTCAAGTTTCAGACGGTAGTTATCAATACGGAGAAGGAAGATGGTGTTGGAGTTGGTGTGGGGAGCGAGTGGTCGGGGCTTAAGAGAGTTGCATGTTGACTGTTAGAGTGCTTGGTCGCATATGGCAACCACGCTATGTCACCAGCGGCTCGCTAAATTAGCGCCAAGTTGCAACGTGCCTGTCCATGTCTATCGATCGATGGCATGCATGCTAGCAATCTACCCACAGCCTCGTCTTACATTCAGACACCATCTCCCGTAGCGCTTCTCCCTCCGCCTGCGCTGGACATGCACGTTCGATCGACTCGCCCACGCCCTTTCTGCGACCGCTGCCATGAGTCCGCGACATGATGCGCCCACCGACACCGTAGAGACCAAGGAGCCCAAATTAGATGCCGGGAACAAGGGCCACGACCACTACGCCCAGCGACTGCCCACATGGCGGAATGCCCTGCGGAACCGCCTCATACCCATTGTGCGCTGGGAAACACCATGGCTCGCCCTGATGCAGCACAAGATGCGCTCGCCCGCACTCGACTCGTACTTTGCCTATACCGCCAACCTCGGCACACATACCTTCTTCATGGTCTTCCTGCCCATCCAGTTCTGGTGCGGATACACTAGCATCGGTCGAGCGTATGTCAGGAGCTGTCTTTCACTATCGTGCGACGTCTGACGTACACAGGACTGTCTTCATGCTTGCAGCCGGTGTGTACGGGACTGGTTTCTTGAAGGACATGCTCTGTCTGCCCAGGCCCTTGTCGCCTCCACTCGCTCGTATCTCCATGTCCGGCTCTGCGGCCCTCGAATACGGCTTCCCCTCGTCCCACTCTGCCAATGCCGTGTCCGTCGCCTTCTATGCCATATACATGTTGCGCCAGTCGGCCGAACAGGATAATTCCAATTGGAACATGGGTCTGCAGGCCCTGTTCTACTTCTACGCTCTCTCCATCATCGCGGGGCGGTTGTATTGCGGTATGCATGGGTTTCTAGATGTCCTGGTTGGCAGTATAATGGGTGCCTTGATTACAGCTTTCCAACTTGTCTGTGGAGACTGGATGGACTCGTTCGTCTTCAGTGGAAGTTATATGGACATCTTCATCGCAACCTTGGTCGTCTGCGTCTTAGTCCGCATTCACCCGGAGCCAGCCGACGACTGTCCATGCTACGACGATAGCGTGTCCTTCTCTGGCGTTGTCATTGGCATCAATCTTGGTGCATGGCACTATGCCCAGACTGGCTACGCATTGAAAGACGCTTATCCATCGTCCGTCCCATTCGACTTGCAAGAGATGGGTTTGCTGAAGGCGACAATGCGCATTCTGCTTGGTGTTGTGGTCATCTTCGTCTGGAGAGCGACTATGAAGCCTGCCTTGTTTACCATACTGCCACCCATCTTTCGCCTTCTAGAGCAGGCTCGCTGGAATATGCCTCGCGCCTTCTTCCTGAATGCCTCCAAGTACAAGTCCATCAAGCCTTTCGCTGACGACGACAACGTGATTCCACCTGCGTCAGAGTTACCGCATATGCTCAAGAACCTCGCTCACCCACGCAAGCGATCTGTCTCTGTCGGACCACAATCTGCCGCTGATGCTTACGAAACGCTTGCTTACCGAAACCGACGACGAAGAGAAAGCGTCAATTCGCTGGATGGTGCTGTACCTGAAGACTCAGCGTGGGCACCCAGTCCAGCTGTTCTCGATACACCCAACATCGAGAAGGGGGAGCTGTTGCTTGGCGCAGGTCTCCTACCTACACCTATGGCGTCCCGTGTACATTCGTACGAGCAGATGATGGGCACTGGTGACGTACAGTTGAAGGAGAAGAATGTAATCACTCCCCCAGAGAGCGATACAGACGTCGCAGGCGAGGTCTACAAGCTTACACAGAGTCCGACTGAGGAGGAGAATGAGAAGCGAGAGATTTTCATGAAGCTTACGACGCCACGGGTGCGCTATGATGTTGAGGTTGTCACGAAGCTGATTGTGTACACTGGTAAGTATCTCGCCGTCAATAGCCTCACGACGATGACTGACTATGAGAAGGTATTGCATATATAGCCGTGGCAGGTAACCCTATATTATTCGAATTCTTGGGTCTGGGTATGGGTAATCAGTCGTAGTTTATTCGGCTTTCCAATTCCTGTCACATTCTCTTTGCTGTACATTTGCCAACACAGTTGGCCGGTCTCGACGGCCTGTCTAATGAAACAATGATATGATTCAAAAGACGAACTTTTCGAATGTATCGAAACTGAGCTTGATGTCGAAACACCAACACCCTGGTTTGTTTGTCCTTGGTCTAGGAGAAGACAAGTGAGTGATTGTATGGGAATTGAATACAGCATACATATTTGTTGCCTTGTGGCTACGCTTTGATTGAAGTTATTAGGCATGTTGAACTTGACGCAACATGTACTCGATGCATTCTCAAGCAAAAAAACAAAGGGTAAAGGATATTGTATACCTCCAGGCTCTATTATCGACACAACGATCATTTGCGGGTAAAACATCGAGGACCTTCTACGCTATATTTCAAGCATAACTCGATTGTTAATAAAGCGCTCAATTGTACGAGCCTTTTTGATACTCTCTCAGCCCCGCATACGTGCCACCCTTGACAATTTCCTTGGTCTCGCCTATAGTGCCAAAGCAGCAATGTTCGACTTTGCCCAAAGGTCCCTCCCTAGGATCATCCTCGAGAAGCACGCCAAAGCGTAACTTTGTCTTGGTCAGCTCTTTAGGAAAAGGATCACCACCCAAACACGCCCCCACGCTCAACTGATCCAGGGTAGGGTTACGGGTTGTGGCCATGATACGGGAAAAGAGTACGTCGGATGCTACTCCATTCCCATGAAGTGACCATGCGCCGACGAGCATGAAGGTAAAAGTGACTGCGATGACGATTGTGTACCCGATCCAAAGGGATCGTTTGTAGTACACGTACACCATCATGGTACGTGATTTCAGACAAGGTACTTCTTGAGTCTGGGCAATGACCAGTTTCGGCTCGTTGAGAAGGGTAATTAGCATATCTTCGAAAAAGTCTTGGATCTCCGTCTTCAGATCCACCAACGGATATGAAGTGCTGCTGTTGACTAATCGCGTTTCAGACAGATCTGAGTAGGTGATTAGGATCTTTTGTTGTTCAATCTTGCCACGGAGGAAGTGACGTAAAAGTGAGCCCATAGAATGATATGAAGCTGTTAACTTGTACTTTTCCACATTCTCTTGGGGCTTAATGGAATCTTTGTCAATAACAGGGCGCAAGAACACTCGCTCTCGACGTGTTGCGGACTGCCTGGGACTGAAGTTCATATCGAAAGTGTAGTTGGTGTACTGCATAACGCATTTGAATATCTTTGGCTCATGGATGTTTCCCCATTTGGCTCTGTATTTCTTCTGGTCATCCGGGTAGGGTTCAGACGTGTTGATGGCATAACCGATCCAGAGATCAGGCTCACTTTGCAAGACACCCAGAGATGTCCCGTTTTTATCTGCTTCTGGGTCTTGATGTCCATAATCACCTTGATCGACGTCCGCAGAATATACAAGGCTCCCATTTGGTGCAAGTGTAGCTGAGCTGAAAGGTGCGTCAGACCCATTGATGTCGTCAATGTCATCGCATTTGTACCCGGGTCCCATAAAATCTATCGTATATGCTGAATGTGGGTATACGAAGTCAGTATAAGCCTCACACGCAGTTCGTACAGAGACACCTACTGCAATTCCAACCGGTTCCACAAAAAGCTGAAGACGCATTCTCCCGAGGCTGTGGCTTCTGCATGTACACACTACTAAATGCCAAGCGGCGGGCGTTCTTCGACGGTTGATCATAGTAATCGAAATAACTCCCTGCTTTTGCTGCTGCTCTGGCCCCTTCTCTGTACTCTCGTTTCTCTTCTTCGACTGGCTCGGTAGTGTTGTAGAAGTTCAAGCTCTTCAGCGAAAACTTATTCATGTCCCGGAAATCGTATGTAGACTCCTGGGTGAAGTTTAGGGTAGCCACTGAGCACGTAGCAGTATCATTGAACGTTCTGAGCTCGGATGTGAGCGAAGCTGGGGATAGAACGGATGCGAGTGGTAGTAACTTCAGAGTCAGCACAAACATTTTGTGGAGGAATTGGGGGCGTACCCAAGTGCAGGCGGCCATCAACGTCGCAAGCTTGCCGTTCCTGATCATTTCCCAGTTTAGGAAGAATTGAGTTGGGTCTTCTGTTGCAGAGAAGAGGCCATCGATTCCGTTGATCGTCATCGCCTTTCGCCGAAATGTGTACCATATTCGCTGTCGATTACACATGATGACAGTCCCAACAAGTGTGCTTTTCACGAAGAAGGCCAAGGCAGTACCGTATCTTACCATCTTCAGTTGCTCGGTAGCCGGCTGCCCGTCAAGATGCATATAGAACAAGTGGTGGCCCACTGCTGCCGCGAGCCCAGCCAGGAACAACGCTACGATGAGTGCTGGAGTAGCCCAATATATGTGCCATTGCGCCAATTGGCCAGATCTCCGATCGACCAGAGCTTGTGTGTCCGCATCCACGGTCTTTCTATGATATAGCGAGGTGGAGGTGTACGTCGACTCTCTCGTCGAGTGTACGGAGAAACCAGGACTCTGTTTAGGTGTCAGCACGAACAATACTGTTGCCTCCTTCACAAGTAGGAGAATATTAAACGCAGGCTCAGAACTGCCTCCGTAAGCAGCAGAGTGTTAGATATAGTTGATGTATCCTCCTGCCTCGCCTAATGTATACAACAGAAGAACGTACTGTTAGGAAATTAGCTGGATTTCGGAACGATTCGTGGTGATAGCCTGACCCAGGTTTCGCTCACGAACGGGCTCATATCGGCTATCGTCATGTGATAGGCCAAAGTATGCTCCCGGCCGCAACTCATCTTTCGTAACCCCATCCTGGGGCTGGCCCTGAGATCGTCCGCGTGCACCGTGTGTCTCGGTCGCATCTGGTGACCACTGAGATAGATAGGCGAGCTCGATAGGATCGGATTCTGAACGAAACGGATCGTAGGGTTCGGGATGCGATTCCGGGGAAACGTCCCGTGAGGAGTACGGCGGCCGAGGCCCTCGAGAGGTCATCGTAGTTGCGATTCTGGGGATCTGGAAGACTGCCGCACAGTCATCGGTAACAACACCACAATGCTAGCATCCAGCGGAGAGGTTACACATGCGATGTAGTGGTGTATGCAACATCTCAACAAGAAGAGAGCTGCTGAAAGACTACATGAGAGCGCACATTATCGCATACACGTTTCTTGGGGAAGATTGCAACGGAAACGAGACGGCGCTCAGAACGTATCCCCGGTTGCTTCAACATGGCCCCGCTAGATGTAGTCTGTTCCGGAGAACAACGCTGTGGTAGCGCGAAGCGCAGGAAGGACTGGCTATTGGTAGGCAATTGACGCACTAAGCGCTACTGCAGATGGATGGCTTGGAGCTGAAGACACTTGGTAGCTGAAGCGTTTCACTGTTTCGACGCGCCTTATCGGGTCGATAGTGCAGTTCCTGATAACTATGTGCGTTGGAGGGTATTCGGGCTTTAGCTGAATGAGGCTGTTAATGTTGCCAAGCTGCGCCATGAAGCTGAATACCGCTGCGTGCCGAAGTAGGTTTTGAGCATTGAAATATCGCTCAATCAACATTAGACCGCACCTTAACACCGCTTGACGCCTACAACAGCGCGCAGGCATCGCCCTAGCACTATTTAGACACCCTGCCAGCTCCAATACCACAATTTCTTTGTGACTGGAGGCCATACGGTATCTACGCAGAAGCTCGCGTTCCTTCAGTCGCACCACTTAACAGCAAGACCTACCTTAAAGCATTAGGTCTGCTGTCCGTGACTGCGAGCACATCGTAAGACCTAGTGAACACCCCTAAGTACATGAAAGGTACCACTCAGAAGATACAAGTCTGTCATGCGTGGCACGCCGGGCGTGAGTGCAGCCATGGATGCAAGCCGTAGTATACTAAGATAGCTTCTCGTCACCCGTTGACTGTGTCGCAGCAGATTCGAATGCCCATGTAATCAAGTAAGCATAGTTACCCCGTCGGTTGCCTGTTCACTAAGGGACCTGTCGCGCATAGAAGGCAGTGGAAGACAGAGCGGGGCACGAATAGGCGCGAAACCACGCGACACCCTCGCGTTTCTTTACCGGCAGACCCACCCCAACTGCTTCAAGCTTACAAATGCGGCTTCGAGTACTGAGCTTTGCCGACATCTGCCATGTTTGAACGCTGTTCCATTCTCTAAACTGAACATTCACCGAAGATCCGAGCGATTTCCGGCAAAGCAGACAGAGCAGCGGTCTGCCGTCCTGATGGATCCGTCTTCTAGACCGGCAGTTCACCAGCAAAACCATGACATTCAAGCCGCTATTGGGTCTTCCCCATGCGACCAGGCTAATCGCCACCTACATACCAAGCTAATGATCTAGGATAGCCGCAGTTTACAGGGAGCTAGGAGAGGTGACGTTAAGTTAAGCTAGCTTCTGTGGTTCTTGCGTCACTATTCGGACCTTCGACGACCCCACATGCACATGGCAGTACATAAGGAGCAGGCACCCTCATGGCGGAGACGTCATAAAGCTTCGAAGATCTCCTGAGAGCTTCAATTGATATACCACCAAACTCCTCTCCTCACCAAATTACCCTAATACACACAAAAATAACCCATAATATGGCACCATCAACGACAAAGGCCTGGAGCGTCCAAGGCAAGGATGGCTTCGAATCTCTCAAGTTCAATGAGCAAGCTAAGGTACCTGAGGTTGGCGACAAAGACGTTCTGATCAAGGGTGTGTACAACCCATCGAACAGCTATCCGTAGCAATTACTGATCAATTGACAGTTCACGCTGCGTCACTTAACTACCGCGACCTTATCATCCCCATGGGCAAATACCCCTTCCCCATGAAGGACAACATCATTCCCGGTTCAGACGGCGCTGGTACTGTAGAATCGGTCGGCAAGCATGTCACGCGCTTCAAGCCTGGAGGTTCGTATTCCTGTGCATACCTTACCGATCCATATAGCCTCCTAACATCCTCCAGACAAGGTTGTCACTCTTTTCAACCAAGGTCACATTGCCGGCTCCCTTGACGGACAATCTCTCGCCACCGGTCTGGGAGGCGCCCTTGACGGCACCCTTAGAGAATATGGCGTTTTCGATGAAGCTGGTCTCGTCCACGCCCCCTCCAACCTAAACATGCTCGAAGCCTCAACACTGTCCTGCGCCGCCCTCACAGCTTGGAACGCTCTCTATGGTTTGGAGTCGCGCGCTCTTAAGCCTGGTGACACAGTCCTCACACAAGGCACCGGCGGTGTATCCATCTTCGCTCTACAATTCGCAAAGGCGGCCGGCGCCCGCGTGATTGCTACAACAAGTTCCGCAAAGAAAGCTGAGCTTCTAAAGAAATACGGTGCCGACCATGTCATCAACTACAAGGAGACACCCAATTGGGGCGAAGAAGCCGCGAAGCATACACCCAACGGCGCAGGTGTACAGCACGTTGTCGAAGTCGGCGGCCCCGCTACAATGGCGCAATCTCTCAAGGCCATTGCCATCGATGGAGTCATTAGCATCATTGGTTTCATTGGCGGCGGCGGAAAGGAACAGCCTACTTTCCTCGATTGCTTGAACAACATCTGCACTGTACGTGGTATCTTGGTCGGTTCCAGACTGCAGATGGAGGATATGTGCAGGGCAATTGAGGCCAATGACATCCATCCCGTTGTCGACGAGAAGGTATTTGAGCTCAAGGAACTCAAGGAGGCGTACCAATACATGTGGGAACAGAAGCACTTTGGTAAGCTTACCGTTAAGGTTGCTGCGTAGAGTATGGGAAGGTAGCGTATAGAAATTCTACAAATTACTTCACCCTTGGCAAAGACATGGATTTGGAGCAAGCTGTACAAAAACTATAGACACACCTAGGAGGGTGCGTGGTTGGTGGGCTAAAAGTTTCTGCAAAGGCATATCCCAGAGAATACCTTTAGGGATCATGTTTACATGTCAAAAGGAAAAACAAGAACAAGCCTCCTAACTATGCATTTATGCCAATGTGGCGATGGGTATCATGGGGTATCAACGTCGTAATCGTCTGAAGTGACCGAACTCCATGCTATGCGCCGTAAAACAATCCAAAATAAAAAAAACGAACATTCCCAGCCCAATCCATGCAACGCAAAACAAAAAGCAAAATTCGTGTCTTCGAGTGGCGGAGAACTTGCTCATTCCAGCTCGGTAGTAGGCTGTCGGGCCAGCAGAGTAGCTGCGATACGCTTACGCGCGTCATCCATGCCATTGGTAGCAAGGACACGCTTGGGATCGTCACCACGAATGAGGATCAAAGCGTTCATGAGGGTGAAAACACCGCAGTCGCTTCCATTCAGTTGTTGTTCGCTCCGTTGAATGTTGTCTTTGTCCCATTCCTCGGGGATGAAGTGTTCACCGAGCTCCTGCTTAAGGTATTCCATCAGTTTGTCGATATACTTTTGTCCGTCAAGGCCCATGGAGTCGAAGTATTCCATAGAGCGGTCCTGGGGATAGACAGCTAGCAGACGCCAATGTCCCTTGTCACAGATGGGATAGAGGATAAGCTGAGCATCTAGGTATTGTTTGCCTTTGAGCTGGAACCTGTTTGTCCAGCGCGACGTATCGGCGGTTTGGTACCAAAAGGAAGAGAAAGCGTGAAGTGCAGGTGCCGGGCCGTTACGTTTATGTACAAAGCCCAGTTCCTTCTTCTTTGCGGCGACAAGAATGGAAAGATATTCGTTGACAATGTTGTCGTTCAACCATGCCCTTGGATCCCCATTGAACACTCGAGGCAACAGGGTCGCAAAGTCTCGAGCATAGAGCTTCTCCTCGATGACCCATTGACTTGCGTTGCGGCCGTGGTTAGTCTTCAGTGCAGCATCTTGCAGTATCTTTTCTTCTTCAGGAGAGAGTGGTGCAATCAGTGGCTTCTGTGGCGGAGGTGGTGGCGCCAAGGCAAGCTTTCTCTGCATGTCTCTCTGAAGATCCTCGAAAAGCTCTAGTGAAAGCTGAGATTCCTCGAGCGATTCATCTGGAGAGTTGAAAGCATCCACGGAGACACCGCGCCAACCACCATCCTTGGCAGGGAAATCGAATAGCGTAATCCTCGGGCTACTAGCTGCTGAAGAGCTAGGAGAAGATGCTGCCCGACTGCCGTCTGATGCGCCGCGATTGTTGTTCTGGAACACATCGTAGTAGTCCCTGATCGGACTGGAGGTAATCGTCTCTAGTGTGGAATCGAGCATTTCGCTGACTTTCTCATCAAAGTAGAAAGGTTTGCATTTAGCATCCTTTTCCCATCGTACTCCCTTCCTTCGTGGCGAAGTCGGTGCATCAAGAAGGAACGACAAATCGTTTTCGTATTCGAACTCAGGGGCTTCAGGCTCAAAGTCAAGTTTCATCAGCGAGCCATCGGTCTCTGATTGTGGTACCGATGGAGAGTTGTAGAGTTGGTGTGTGTGTGGCTCGTGGATAGGAGGTGCGTATGACAAAGTATCTGTGGAGTTAGAGGGGTCTTGGTTGACTGCCTCGGTGGGATTGGTTTTAGCTGGCTCGGTCTCGGTGGAACCTTGCTCCGTAGACTCCGTCAGAAGCGCGGCCTGTCTGCGTTTGACATCATTACCAAGCTGTCTTTTCAACAGCTGACGTCGCATAGGTGTAACCGAGGGAAGCTTGAAAGCACGCTGGCCATTGCGGCTTGAGTTGAAGATTGAGTTTGCGGATCCTAGCACTGATGGCGATGCAAAATCTGGAGAGGCATGTACAGCAGGGGACTGATGCTGCGAAAAGAGCCATGCCGGAGCTGCGTTGTCGCAAACAGGCGATTCGTATTCGTATGACGGGGGAGTCGAGCTCGCTAGTGAATCGATCTGAGGGAATTCCAAGGATACATTTATGGGAGAACCTGTTTGGGAATTGCGCGGCGGGGTTGAGGTGAGGATGTTGTCAAAGGAGAAGTCGACATCGACGTCGATAAATGTGTTTGCGTCGTCGGAGTTGTTGCCATATGTGGATGTAGTCTCCAACTCGGCGCAATCTTGTGTATTCGCTGGTGGTGACGTATATTGAATCGGTGAGTCGCGGAAATGACCAGGGCCTAGGCTGGAGTTCCACGACTGTGATGCGCGCGCCTGCCTTTGATTCTCGCGACGCGTCTGGTTTGCGCGCGCGCGCACTGAAGGTGAGGGTGTCGAGTCCTCTTCATCTGCCACGCCTGCGGCAACGAAGCGCTTCTTGCTGGAGCCAGTCGAAGAGATGATCGGGATCGCTTTGATAGTCTGCTGGCGAAGGTATCGTTCTGCGAGGCGCACCGGGAGTGAGAGCAGGTTGACAACGCTGACGGTCGCAGCCCACTTGCCGAGCGTACTGAATAGAGAAGCGCGCGGAGATATGACTTCTTCGGCGGCATTGGCGTATTCCTGCGGCCATCCACCGGGAACATGCATATACGGTACAGAGGAAGGCGTAGGGTGCTGCGACTGCCGTTGTTGTGAGCTTCATTCCAGTCAATACCTACAGCGAGCACTTACCTGCAGTTGTGGAGCGCCGAAGCCATTGGCAGTGACCACTGGCACATCCGCAGGCATGCTGGAGAGGTAGGCGCTATATGCGCGTTTTGTGGGCATTGCTGCTATTACTTGTCGCGTTGGTGGTTGCGATGCGCAATAGTGACAATAGAGTGTAGAGTGGAGAAAGGACGAGGGTCGCGGCTGCCGCACAAAGCTGCCCGCAGTAGCGCCCGCGCACAGACTTCGGCGGCAGTTCGCGCTAAATCCTCTGCGGCTTTTGGTATCCGGCGCGGATAAACATTCCTCCATGGCGGCCAACGCTTCCAAGGTCGTATGTGCCTGCGGTGCGTGGTGTTGATTCTCCCCATATTCCTGTCATAGACCCTGCTGCCGCCTTTGATATCCCCTTGTACGCCATACAGTCTCTGATCCCAATTATCCCCAGATTTCAAGTCGCTATCGCCTACCGCGTCCATTCGCGTCTTCTGCACGTCATTGGCCGAGTTTGAAGGGCAAGAACCCCTCGACAGCTCTACATCACAACAACCGATCGACCACCCCACCTACAACGATCCCGCAGCCCCGCAACCATGGATACCAACATGGAGGATGTCAAGATGCCGGAGCCCATGCAGCTGTCGTCTGCCCCTACGTCTGAGCCGACCACAATCCCCACGCTGGATGGCTGGATTGAGAGCCTCATGAGCTGCAAGCAGTTGGCCGAGAGCGACGTACAGAGACTATGCGACAAGGTATGCGACGTTGCCTCGCGCAGAAAACTGCCCAAATTGCACCTTCTGACAAGCATTGTGCTACAGGCCCGCGAGGTACTTCAGGACGAGTCCAACGTACAGCCAGTGGTACGAACCATCTCTACTGCGACTCCGATATCCGCTCACTTTAGTACAGAAATGCCCCGTCACAGTCTGCGGTGATATACATGGCCAGTTCCATGACCTGATGGAGTTGTTCAAGATCGGTGGGCCCAACCCGGACACAAACTATCTCTTCATGGGTACGTTACCTGCTTTAGCCGCATTCACTCATACTGACATCGACAGGCGACTACGTCGACCGAGGCTATTTCTCCGTCGAGACCGTGACCCTTCTGGTCGCACTCAAGATTCGATACCCCCAGCGCATCACCATCCTTCGTGGCAACCACGAGTCCCGTCAAATCACTCAAGTATACGGCTTTTACGACGAGTGTCTCCGCAAGTACGGCAACGCCAATGTTTGGAAATACTTTACAGACCTTTTCGACTACCTGCCGCTCACTGCCTTGATCGACAACCAGATCTTCTGTCTGCACGGTGGTCTCTCGCCTAGCATTGACACGCTTGACAACATCAGGGCGCTCGATCGCATACAAGAGGTGCCTCACGAGGGACCAATGTGTGACCTGCTCTGGTCCGACCCAGATGACAGGTGTGGCTGGGGAATCTCACCCCGTGGTGCAGGATACACGTTCGGTCAGGATATTTCAGAGGCCTTCAACCACAACAACGGCTTGACGCTAGTGGCACGTGCTCATCAGCTAGTCATGGAGGGGTACAATTGGTCGCAAGATAGGAATGTCGTGACCATATTCTCGGGTAAGCTACCCCCCGTTCTGGCGCTGATTGCACGACTAACATTTTACAGCACCAAACTATTGCTACAGATGCGGTAACCAGGCCGCCATCATGGAGATTGATGAGCATCTGAAGTATACCTTGTAAGTCTTCATCCTTACTGCGCATCATCGCCTTCCTCTAACACATGCCACAGCTTGCAATTCGATCCTTGCCCGCGCGCTGGCGAACCTATGGTCTCACGAAGGACCCCGGATTACTTCCTCTAAATAGGCTCTTAATCTTGGCTCCTACCGCTATCTTTGCACAGCGTTACATTTGGAGGTCATCGCTGAATACACTGTGTACGGTTGCGTTCCTGGTCACCAAAGCCGCCATGAGAAGTGGCGGGAGACGCGTGACACTGACGTGCTCGCTTGAAGTAAGGCTTTCACTGTCTAGAAGACCCCAAGAAGCCATACTAGAGAGGCGTGGGAATATTACAACAGGTTGTAATGTAGCTCGTGCACAAAATGATAATGGTAGAGACTTGATTGTAGTGCTCGATACTCCCATAAGCTTCTTCTTCGTGAAGAGATATTTGATGTTCCTGACTGATTCCTATACCTAAATTGTCATTTTTAGTATGCTATCATCGTTGCCATTTCATTTCCCTGCTTGTTCTTTCCATGTGCCCTCCTTCCTACCTCGAGTCGATTCATGCGTTGGTTTGTCGGGGACGCAACCTGGGTACATCAGAGGGTTGGGTGCATCAGCTGGAACCTATGTCTGCTCCCGAGCCTGCCTGCACGAATGCGAGGTACTTGTTCTTTGTCGCAGTACGGTCAAAAAAAGTGTTCAAAAGGTCGAAGTGTCCACAACCCCGTGATATTTTCAATTCAAATCAAGTTGCCGGATTGTGACGTAGTTAGATAACACAGTATTATAATTGAGGTCATCTCTGGCGCGAACCGTAAGATTGGTGTTCGAGGTACCTCTGGCTGAGACAGACGCGATTCAACTGGGAATATTAGCTGAGTCAGCCACCGCCGTACCTGTGCAATCGAACTTTTGTCCATCGCCAACATCTCAAGCCACACCACAGCGCCCACCATGTCTCTCACATTCTTCCGACGTCTTGCACGACCCTCGGTCCTCTCTGCAGCCTCATTCGCCCCGGCGCGATCGATACGGCCTTCCATCGCCGCCACCGCTTTCCAGAACAGCACCCCGGCTTTCCCAGTCGGCCGAACACCAGCATCGCGCGCAAACAAATGCACATTGATACAAGTCCTGCGACAAGGACGGATAGCACAAAAGGCACGAAAGCTGCGATCACCACAATTGAGGGATAGGCCGGAGCTCAAGGGCGTGTGTTTGAAAGTGGGAACAACAAAGCCGAAGAAACCAAACTCGGGCGAGAGGAAGATTGCGAGGGTCAGACTGAGTACGGGCAAAGTGATCACGGCCTATATTCCGGGAGAAGGTATGGCATGGAGGTGTAGGATTATGGGCCGACGAAAAGACTAACTCGTGTTTAGGGCACAACGTACAGCAGCATTCAGTTGTCATGGTACGGGGTGGACGAGCGCAAGATTGTCCAGGTGTGAAATACCATTTGGTAAGAGGAGCGTTGGATTTGGTAAGTCGTGCAGCTGTCAATGTCAACGAGAAAGACGACGCTAACTACTCGTAGGGTGGTGTTGGTAGCAGAATCACCTCGCGGTCCAAGTACGGAACAAAGAAGCCCAAGACGGCATAGATGAAAGCTGCGGTGGAGTGTATATGATTGTAACATACCCTAGCATCAATGGCGTTGGAATATAGAGCACTTGGAAATGCAATATGTGGTCACTCTAGTGTGCATTATATGAGAATTCGGGTGAACTATCGATGCTCGAGCCGTTGCAACGTATCAGACAAGCACCCCATCCATGATACAACCTGAACAGGTGTACCTCAGTTTTCTGTTACTTTGCAGCCTACACCTGTACTAATATAGGTATTATTTATGTTAATATACTAGCTGGAAGTCTACAATAATGATAACAATTTAGAGTTCTTCCATTATAAACTGTTGTAGGCTGCAAGGTAATAGAAGACTAAGGTACACCTATTGAGGTTTTCCTTGCATGAGGTGGACTTGTGTGTCTAGTATGGGTTCACTTCGGAGATAGAGCGGGAGTTTACCCATGTAGCTGCAGCCCGCCCGCTCGGGTCGCGTCATCCCCACGCTTCACACGGCCAACTTGCGGACCTAGCTATCCATCCGTCTTCGCGCATTTACACGACGCTTAACACAGCTGTTACCACGGACCGTGTCAACACCGACAGTTACCATGTTTCTAGTCGAGTAACTATCTAATCCCCTCAGCCTTCTAAATCGTTCTGGTTATCCTCGGATATCCGCAATCGACAGCAATGGAGACGCCAGGCGCGTTTGCCAACGCGACTTCTTTCTTGCCGTCGCCAGCGGACTTGCTCATGGCACTACCGCGCCTGTTCTCTAAAGCCAGTTCTCTTGGCGATATGATGCGCTCGGGTGGGAGCGTTATTGCGGAACCAACAGCCAACCTGACTAACAGCACCATGACAACTACGACCCCAGGCTTTGTACAGGAATCCATTGCTGCTGCGGCTTCTTCGGCGGCTACGCTTGAGGGCGATATGACTGTATGGCAAGCCTTGAGGAATGTAGCCGCCTGGTTCAGCTACATAACTTCCAAATGGGCCATTGCAACCTTCGCCATTGTAAGCTTGGACTCTCCCACTCTACATCGGTCTCCTCTTACTAAATCTATGTTCACAGGCAATCATCCTCAATAGGACTCATTTCTATGGAAACAGCCGCGTTCCACTCTCTTTCGACCGCCTTTACCTTCGTTTCGCCCTTTACATCATGCCCCTAATCCTGTTCCTCTATCAAACCCATGGCATCCTACGAGCCATACGATGCCAAACATCCCCAGGTTGGTCCAATATGCAATACGGAGCAAACGGACGGCAGCTGGACACAGACTTCGGCGGCGAAGGCGGTTATCTGTGGCAAGTCGCATCGGCAATGCTCTTCTGGGAGACTACCGAGGAATCGTGCCGAGCTGCAAACATGCTACCCGTGGATCCATCCACCACACGACCCTCTGGGTCACTAGCGCTTCTATGGCCCATGTTCGTGACCCTAGGGTTCGGTCAGTTTGTCGATACCCTAGCCTGCGCCCTGCAAGGAAGACGCCCGATTCAGGAAGTCGGAATGACCATTTTTGAACATTCGCTCGCATTTGCAGAGGCAGAGGCTGTGGTAACCAAACCGCTGGCGGTCGATTCAACACGCTTCTTCAAACCAAAGTCTGTCTTCACCCCAGACGGCACCTCCCTCATGATTCCCAGGTCGAAGCTTTCCAAGATGGCCAATGTACCGCCGGAAGTGTTATTAATATCCCTCATTTCTAGTGTAAGCCACTTCATAAGCAACTTGTTAGCAATTGCTGGGGTGCGCTCGAGATGGCGATTAGTGACGACTACCATGTGTGGGCTAGCATACATGTCAGCTTTCGCCTGGAGTTGTATCCGTCTCACCAGGATGGTCACTGATCCAGACCACTATGTGGGCATCTTGAGGTTTCCCACAGTATGTATCATCGGGTTCATTCCACACCTGCTGATACTTGTGGGGATCGCAGTATGCGCACTAATATACGTATTGGCTTTCCTTGTCACCGTATTATCCCCGCCTGCAGGACACACCGAAAATTTATCATTGAGAGAAAGATTCTCATTGGCATATGGTAATTTACATGCCAACATTCATCTATCCTCGATTACGCCGTTAACGATTAACTGGCATGAAGACTTTTACACCACGATACTCAAAGTAGGCTACGTCATTCTAACCTCGGCTAGTGAAGCCGTGTTCCTCAATGAGGGAACCAAGGTCAATGTTCACGCAATGACATGGCTTGAAAAACAGAGATTACAGGAACTGCTCGCTCGACGGAGGAAAACTCGGGAGACGATCACCGGCATCCCATCCGAGCTCAGGAACGATACATTCGCGCATGGGATTGAGGTAGTTGATGAGCTTAGTGATGTTAGAACGGATACATCATCGTCAGGCTATGCAAAAGAACGCAAGACGCGAGGTGTTACCTCCACAGATTCTTCTAATGCTATAGGACAGAATGACCCCGCCCTTCAGCAGCGCAGTCGCTATCTCCAAACGTACCAATTCTTCTTCCGTATATCGAAGTTGATCATCCTTAGCCTTGCAAGGATTACGGACTGGGCTTTGACAAAAATGGGAATTAGCTACCGGCCTAGATGGCTACGACGTACTGTGGGGCTCCATATTGATGATGATGATGACAAGATGTATACTTCAGCAGCCGGCACAGGGCGATACCAGAACCAAACAATGTCGTCAAAAGAGTCATGGCTTACCATGGATGACCGGACTCGAGTCCGTCAGGATCGAGAATTCGACGTTGAGTTGTTCGCGAAGGAGAGACTTCGACAGAGTGGCTTTCACTCCGAACCAGATGCTGAGGACTCTGAAGATCGTCTCAATGACTACCTGTATTCTTGGTGGCGCAACGGCAGTCTCTGGAACGAGGTTGATAACAGCAGGGACTATGTTGTTCCGCAAGACGACGACACTACTAGCGTAGTATCATATGCTACGACAACAGACAACGACGAATGGTCAGACATGGACGATGGACAAAGGACACCTACGTATGCCACATACCAGCGGAGCCGGGAAGAAACACCTTTAGCGGACGACACAATGGATTTCTCCCGTCTTTCTCAACTCCTAGATCCAAAGACTAGAGAGGATCGGGAGGAGGCCAAGCTGCTGTCACGGCACCTTCAGAGCTCGAATATCATGACACGCTCGCAGTATCGCAGGGCTCTTGAGCGCGAAGAAACCAAGATCCTGACAACATCGCGCTACAAAATGGGCGATAGCGTCCACATGTCTCCAGAAGAAGAGGAGCAGCTTCTGGAAGATCTTATTCTCAGTCGTCGGAGCGCAACTGTACCGCAGGGCGCGAGCAATGCTGGCAGCTGGGACACGGGAGCAGAAGGTATGGGCTCGGAGGGACCACAGTGCGTAGTTTGCCAAATGTCACCAAGAACAGTACTGGTATGGCCGTGTGGATGCTTGAGCTTGTGCGATGATTGTCGAGTGGGGTTGGCTTCGAAGAACTATACTGCGTGTGTATGCTGCAGGACGAATGTGGCTGCATACTCACGGCTGTATGTGCCTTGAGTATGATTGTTTGCACACGGGCTGGCGTTTTGCTCTTGTTTGCATGTATGTATGTATGATTCTGTATATGATGGTCAGTTGCTTCGGAACTTATCGGAATGCGCCAACTATAGTGAGATACTAAACGGTACTCGTGACGTTTCTGAGTGCTAAATGCGCAAGTAATAGTGGGTCTGTTGATGCGATTTGCCAGTGCCATCTCTGTTGCTACCCCACGTTCGCAGCTTCCGTCTGGGAGTGGCGATCGTCATATCAATCACTCACATTTCTTATCTTGGCAACCGTAGACCGAGTCATCAACTTCGCCCTCCGAAATCCGTCCTCACACCAACACCACGAAGCCATACATCCTCGCGCACGCATCCATTCACCTTGACTGAGCACTGCCAATAAGCTCGGTCGACTGCCCTCATCCACGAACCCTTCCCACAATTTTATGCAGCCAGAGCCTACAAACGTATTACAAAACGTTTCCCACCAACAGACCTTTCCCGACACCGCCACCGTCTCCCAGCATGGACAGCGCCGTAGCGATGACTTGCAGGACTCTCTGCAGCCTCACTCCGGTGAGCTGTGGGAAGAGCCTGGGCCACCATCGGATAGACGCACATGCGATGCGACGCGTTCAGACGAGGCCAGCAACGGAACCGTCGACGCTGTGGAGTCAGACGGACTGAAGCGCAACGCGTCTCCCTCACTGCCACCGAGGGATAAGATTACTGAATATGAGAATGCGCTGAAGACTTCACCGCGAAAGCCTGCTGATGGGCCCCTCTTCGAGATTATCAAGAGCAACAAGAAGCCTAGCGATAAGAATTCTCCTATCACGAAGCTGCCCAATGGTGTGTACAAATGCCTCAAAGACTGGCAATATGTGAACACCTGAATATGAGCTGACCTTGCGTAGAGGTCTTGATCCACGCTATTGCCCACCTGTCGCCAAACGACCTTGCCGCCGTTTCCCTTGTCTCTCGCCGCTTCCACGATGTAGTCACTACCCCACACGCCTGGCAGGTGGCCTTTGGTCGCTATTTTCCTGGCCCGCATTCGCTCGAAGATGCCGCATTCCGTTCAGCGCTCGAGGGCAATGGCTTAGTCGTGCGGTCAGAAAAGAGACGCTTCACTAGGCTCACAGCATTGGCTTCGTGGAGGAGCGAGTACATTCTGCGTACCAGACTGCTGCGGTCGCTAGTTAGGGGCAAGCCTGTGCAAGTTCCTTCAACCCCGTCCCGCGCCGCTCAGATGCAGACAGTCACCCCAATGATAACCTATGATGCCAAGACGTATACCATTATCAATCACCTACAGGCCACGTTTGGGTCTGGTCTGAATAAGAAGATGCCGCGCTTCATTCATGGTGCAGACGATATCGGTATGGTAACCAGCAGCGATCCAATGACTGGCAAGGTCGATCCATGGGGACAGAGCGACCCCCACTTTTACGGTCAATTTTCAGAACGCTTTCCTGGTGTCGCCGAGTGGGGATTAGGCTCGGGGGAGGTCGTCGGGCGGCCCAATGTAATGGACATATCGCAGCCGTATGGCATGATCTACGGCCAGGGCTGTCCAGAAGGCTCGTGTTACTACCGTTCCCTCGAGGAAATGCGTGGTCGCTTCATAGCTGAACCCAGCGACTTCACTTTGCCAGAGGCTGGTATACCAAAGCTAGGCATCGATGGCGGCGCCATCTGCAGCGTTTGGATCGCCAAGTCGAGCACAATCCCAACGCTCTCGGAAGGTTTGATCGGAATGATGATGGGCTCTGCAGCTGGTGTCGTCAGCGCCTGTAGCATTGGCACAGATGGTCTTCGTTCATCTCGTGTACAGCGTGGCGAGTTGACTGCGCGCTGGGTTCTTAGTCCAGGCGTACCCATCATCGCTATCGCCGTGGATGAGCAATACTCAGCTAAGCGCTATGCCCAGAACCGCATCTGGGCGGTCGCTCTGAATGCTCTTGGCGAGATTTTCTATCTAACCAAGTTCCCAATCCGCAGCCAGGCTCCCAAGGGCGACATTGAGCAGTACTCGGAATATCTGGGCTGGCTCACTGGTCGCAGTGTCTACTGGAATCTGGTAGAGCCTAGCCGACGTACTGCAAGGCCAGATCCGTACAGCGACGCCGATGTTGACGGTAGCTATTCGCCCAGAACATCATGGGATGGGATGTGCTTAAGCAAGGATCAAATCATTGCGGAGACAAAAGAAATACAACAATTCATCCGCAAGCAACCGAAGCATTTCCGAAAGGCCTGCCTTGGATGGGATATGCGTCGAAGACTTGAGGTCGACTTTGCCGGCGATGACGGCAATTATGCTGGAGAGGCCATGGTCGTCTTCGAATGTGGGCTTGAAGAAGGAGATGTCACTGACGTCAAACGCTTCACCCGATGTAAGACTAACGGCCAAGAAAAAAGTACTGGCCCCTCGAGTCACATTTTGACGACTCAGCCCGTGCAGACTACATCTTTGTTCGGTGGCACAGGCATGGGAATCCTAGATTCTGGAAGGACTTCTCCTCGCGGGCGCAGTTCTTCATATATGTCGACTGCAAGTTCACCGGATCGAGCAAGCCTATTCGAAGAGTGGAGGTGTTCCAAACTCACTTTCGGCGGCTTTAAGAGCACCCGACTTACTACCACTACATTGGACGTTTCTACTTTCGCCACTTTAACCCTGTCTGAAGACCCCGCGCTCGGTTTCTCGACCTCCTCCACTGCTTCCTCGCCCTATGCTTCACCCATGTCTGTTGCAAGTCAGCCGGCATCTCCATCTGACATTCCTGGTCAGCGCGCAAGATTCCTAGCTGCTGGCACCAAGTCAGGTGTAGTGCTAGTTTGGGATGTCCGGGCGCCCATATCGCGCTCGTCCGAGTATATAAACAACATCGATCCTGTCCGGATCGTCTACACTGATTCGCCAGAGATATCATGCTTGGCTGTCACCTCCCTTTATCTTGTAGCTGGTGGAAACGATGGTCTGGTACAAGCATGGGATCCACTGGCCTCGAGTATGTCGCCTATCACAACACTTCACTCTCGGCATGCGTCGCGTGCCCGTAGACAACTTGTACAGGCCCAAGCCTCCGTCCAAGGAGTCGGCATCAACATGTTTGCTGCTGGTGCTGTATGCCTGGATCCTGATCCCACCGTCTTGCGAGGCGCAGTATCGCTTGGCAACCAACTTCGATTCTGGAGTTACAGCTCATCTGCCGCCGATCAGTACAGGAGCAGCAAACGTAGGCTTCGACGAGCCGAGCGTGGAAGTAATAACACTACAGAGCGCTTTGCTGGCACGGGCAGAGTCAACTTGAAGAACTACATCGCCAACGAGCAGTCTGAGTTAGAGCGTGATAGGCAAGAGCGTCACAAGCAGGCCGAGCGTTTGGCTGGTCGTTTTGGTACAGAGCTGTTGAGCGAGGACGAAGCTTTGGCATATGCCGCGATGCTTTCCCAAGAGACTATGGAGGCGGAAGAATTGCGCCGCATTGAGCGAGAGAGCAGTGCCTTCAGCAGTGATACTGTAACGCCAGAGCCGAGTATCCGGGCTCAGCCTTCGCCACCTGCCATCAAGGACGATGAAGAACTGGATGCCGAAATTGCTGAAGCCATCCGCCTTTCTCTCAACGATAGCTCGGGCGCTGGCATGTATGAACCCGCCTCAACGTCACCTCCCGCGTTCGATATTCCGATCAAGTATGCCAAAGGCAAAAGGTCTCTGCCATCACGTTCTCAAGGCAACACCCCTGGGAAGGGCAAGGCCACTGCTGGATCGAGCAACGAGAGCGAGATGTCAGATTTAGAGTTTGCCATGCAGTTAAGTCTTGCTGAAGAGCAGAGTCGGAAGGATGCTGAAGACGCCTTCCCACCGCTTAGTCCAGCAGCTGGTAGTAAGGGTAAAGGGAGGATGTGGTAATGTGGTTTGTCGGCCAGCTGGCTTGTGTTGGGCGTGTTTGTTTCTTCCATTTCCCTTCAGCGTTCCTGCGCTTCATAACTCTTGGATGTTGTATCTTCTCACTTCGTCGCTTCGAGAAACACAGTACACAGATACCCAGTGTTACCTTGACTTGCTCCGTTGCACCATGATCTCGCCATTCTAGGTTCGAGAACGGGGCGAACGGATCATCTGTACGCGTGCGCTTAGCTAGATATGCTTATTGGTTGTAGTAGATGACTTTAGTATTTTTGTTCTTAAGACACATGTTTAGAACAGTTTTATCATCCCTTCCCAACCACGACCTGACTTATTGGCACTTGACTGTTTCTTCATTATCCGCTCTCAATGCGGTTAGTCTGGGCGCCTTACCGCTCAGACCCCTGACTCTTGCCAGGCTCCAACGGCGACATTGTGTTCCTCTTCCACACAGTACTAAACATAGAGTAACTTCGAACAATTTCTTGTTCGGGAGAGTCAGAAATCTACGAAGTAATCTGAGACTCAACGGCACGCACTACGAGATCTTTTTCAACAAACAGTCAGAGTCCTTGGCATATACATTTCCTTGCAAGATCTCGTCAGCGTGCCACGTCCTCGAGGCAACGAGAACGGGTTCCGAGAGCCTTCCTTCCAGGTTCTGATATGCTCCATAAATATCTCATCAATCTCACAGGAGCGCGAAGCCTTGTTCTACATCAACACTAAACATGGCTGGACTATCAATCACATCAGTATTACTGTCCCCTATCAATAAGCTCCGTGGGAAATCAAATCCATACGAGAAGTCCCATCATGCCAACAGCCTCCCTCACCCCACAAATACACCCACCAGTGACGATCTTCTCGCTGAAGCACGTCAAGCGGCCGGTCGTGATCCCGTGACTGGACAACGAACACCCAGCGCCGCAAGCAAAAAAGCGAGGAAGCAACAACCGTCTTTGGAGCAACAGCAGCAAGCGGCAGCAGAACAAAAGGCGGCGTTCCTTGCTTGGGCAGCAAAACATCCACAGGCGGCTGGGCGACCATATGAGAGCTATGAGGCTTTTGTGCAAGAGATGGTAGCAAAGCGGACTGGAAATTTTGAGCCGCAGGGTGGGACAGAATACTATGCGCCTGAAAGGAGGGTGGAGGAGTACTACTTGACGGGCGTAAGGGATTAGACTGCTGGCATGAGCTGGGCTTTTCTTCTTCTTTTTTTGGTACTTGATTGCGACAGTATATGATTGCTGGAACGTCGCGAATGACATGTAATGACGTGGTCTGTTGGGCAGGCGGTGAGCTTGTGACAAACGAAACTTGGAAGGTGCAGTCGTAGCTAAACACGACCCGTAATCAGCGATGCCTGATAGTATCTTCCCCAGCTTCGTCCACACCTCATGTCTTCTCTTCTCATCTCTCTCTCACACTACGTAAAGTGAACTCACACCTATCCTGCAATCCTCTACAGTTCCCTCGGAGAATTCGTCACTATGGGTTCAGTGATGCTGCAGCACCTACCCTCGGCATGGCACGTCGACCAAGCCATCGTGCGTTTTCCTCCTTCCTCACTCTACCACGGCCATAAGTCCTCTGCAAGAGCCAGCTCTGAACTCTCTCACTCTAACATGACCTAGCTCAGCGAAGAGGTTCGTATAGTGTGCCTCCGATTCGGCAACGACTACACACCCGAATGCATGGACATGGACGAGAAGCTGTACAAAATCGTAGACGCAGTCAAAGACTGGGTTGTCATCTACGTAGTCGACAACAAGGTAGGTGCCGCTTCCCTCACCTATTCTGTCGTCTCAAAATGTAGCTAATGCGGATGCTACAACAGCAAGTTCCCGACTTCAACGCCATGTATGAAATCTATGACCCTTGTACAGTCATGTTCTTCTGGCGCAACAAACACATGCAAGTCGATTTCGGCACGGGCAATAACAACAAGATCAACTTCCCTATTGGCACGAAGCAGGAGCTCATCGATATATTGGAGACGGTGTACAAGGGAGCGAGCAAGGGGAAGGGGCTTGTTGTTAGTCCTAGGGATTACTCCACGAAATGGGCATACTAGTCTGGAGCTAGGTGATAGCATGACAACAGAAGAGGAAGCCTGATCTTGGGTCATTCGGGTGGAGTAAGACTAATACTGAAATTACGGCAGATGGTATGAGGAGGCACACATATCCTAAATGGTCCACCATCCAAAAAGTCTGACGAGAGTAGTATTGCGGTGATGAAATAATACTTTTCAAACGAGCTGTCTATCAAAAGGCATCCTTGCCTCCCGTCTATAACCCCAACAGCAAAGCGATTAGGCCTGGGATTATCGCCAGACAAATCTTGTGCAAGCCGTCCAACGCCATACCTGCTATGCAGTATGTCCCGCAAAGAGAGCAAATGTAGCAATATCAATGCTCGCTATGAACAAAGCAAAACAACGCCAAAAAGGTATGCACCACCCTAGCAAGAAATGTTAACAAGCCTGACTAATGTTTCGAGGAAAACAAATGCAACTTCTTCTTCTTCTTTTCCTTGCCTTCTTTCTCCTCTTTACCAGGCTTCGTGCTGCTTTGTGACGACGACGGGCTGTGCTTTTGCGGTTGGGCGTTAAGATTGATGGCACCTAGAGCGGCTGTTGGGGGCTTCGGACCAGCGACTCTGGGTCCTGATGGCAGACCTCCAGACATGGGAGGTTTTGTGCCAGCGGGAGGTGGTGCCGGCTTTGGTGGCTCAGGCTTCTCGAACAGATGTGCTGGAGCTTTTGGTTGTGGTTGATCGATGGGTAAATGCAGATTCCGGCGGTTTTGACTGAGATCGCCAACTTGGCGGAGGAAGAGTTGCGGCTTCATCATGTGTGAGGTGACGAGGAAGACGTCTCTTGAGGTTTTGTTCGAGACGTCGTAGCAGGCCCGGGCTTCGGAGTAAGTTGCGCCACCAGCCACGAATACAATAACGCGTTGACGAGGCTCGGCACTGGCGAGTCGCGACTTGGCCCATGTCGGTTTCGCAGAGCGAAGGGACGCAGGCGCAGCATTGTCTTGCGCCATGCTGGCAGCATCGTCCGGCGACATCTTAGTGAAAGGAAAGACATCCTGGGGCAGACTGCCGCGAATGTGCTCTTCTAGCATGTCCTGTAACGCGGGGCTGAACCTGGACAGACCGTAGTCTTCAGCATTTGGGGGCGGTGCTGCTTTAGGGGGGAATAGTGGTGGTGGAGCATCTCTTTTCTCTTTCAACTGTCTGGCGACTCGCGCCCCAAGGAGGTCAAGGTTACGAACGACTTCGCCGTCAGTGGGCGGCAGCTGTGCGTGGAAGAGGAGCTTCTGGAGGTCGGCTGGTAGTATTCCGTTCTTAAAGAGTACGTAGAGCGCAACAAGACGTAGTCGGTCAGCTGGCGTTATCTCCTCATCGTCTAGTGTGCGCACGATCTGATCAGTCATGTTCTTCGGCTTCCGATAGTCTTCATCGAGACCGGTAGCCAGGCACTGACAAGGTTAGCAACAATTGCGACTTGATGATGATTGAGACTCACCTGCTCCACTGAGGCCAGGTCCGGAAGTTTGTGCTTCTGGAATATCTCCATGCATTTCTGCGCCATAGTGAGATGTAAGGAGTAGGCCTCCTTCATCTCCTGGAACTGCGGCAATCCAGCGATCATATCCTTGATTGCATTCAATCCATTCATGCCGGCAGCGTTTTGGGCGTCTTGGTTGGTGAAATGGGGGTTGTCGGCGATGAACTTTTGGAAATCGCTGATCAGCTTGTCGAGAGTGTCCTTCATGTGCCGATGGCGATTCTCGACCCATATCTTGTCCTTGTCAGATATCTCCATGTCCTTTTCCTCAGCGCCTGGATCTTCCTCGTTGACAATTGTGCGGTACGTTACTTTGTCGCTGTCTTGTATAGGGAGCAGATCCATGGCCATTGCTTGGTATGTGAACTCATGAAGAAAGGGTGCCATGAGGTCCATGGACCGATCGGTGATGTAGAGGGCACCGCGGGGTCGGTTCGATTGTGGAGGGAAGTCTTGGTTGAACTGCGCGTACATGTCTAGCTTGTCTTGGACGAAGCGGGCAAGATGGGAGCACAAGACACTAGCCTCGTGGGTTGGAGTTCGCGGTCGGTAGTAGCGGATGATGGGGTATTCGCCCAGCGCGACGCAGATTCCAGTTATCTGGTTCGTTAGCAAACGCACTTTGGGGAAGGAGTAGTGCCTACTCTTTCTGCAATGTCCTCCATGTGCCGTACCACAAGGTTGTTGCACTCGGGGTGGTAGAGGATGGGGAAGCTCCAGGGGTCTTTGAAGGTGATGAGGTGTGATTCTTGAGGATGGAAGTCGAGGTGTACTGTTCGGAAGCTCCGAATCTGTTCGCGTGCCATCTGCGACCGGTCTATGCGCTCCTTGAGGTGTGGTGGTAGCACTGTGCGCATTAGCCAGAGCTTGAGAGGGTTGGAGTAGTGCCCTCGTACATGTTGTCCATATCAGGAAGAAGCCCCTGTATCTCCGCTGGTCGAATTCGGCCATCATGCAGTCGACGATGTGCGGCTTGGGTGTGATGATGTATATGGCGTCCATGTCGCGTATCGTCTGCCGCCGGTCTTCGATGCGCTCGATGTCTGCGAGGTCAGAAACCGGTGGCCGGGTAGGGTACAGAGTCGCGTACTTGTAATGTTGAGGTTGAGGATATCATCTTCTTTGACCACGTTGTTGATGAGCTTTTGGCTGTCCTCGTCCACAATGAGTATCTTCCACTACGCACGAGTCGTTAGCGAGGCGTAGGCGCAGAGTTGGGGGGGTTGCATACGTCGCCGCGAGTCGTCTGCTTGATCGAGTTGAGAATGACTATGTGTCCTGTCAGCAGCCGTCTCCCCTGGGCGCCCAAGGTGTCCACGTACGTTCTCGCTGGATATCTATCATGGACGCCATGTTGGCGGGGTATGGCAGCCAATGCCGCCGAAAGGGGACGCGTTGGTGAAGGCTAGAGCTGTGTCACGGTAGAGGGCAGAGGGTGCGTGTTCAGCAGCACTGTGTGGACGCGGCGGGCGTGGTGTTGGGCTGAGTGGTGGGTGTGGGGAGCGCGTCGCAGCTAGAGGTGGTGTCGCAAGGTTGCGGCGGCGGTCCCTTGCCCGCCGGAGGTCTCTAGCAGATGCTTGGCCCAACTTTTTGTTCGACATGACATCGTCGACCCGAATACTGCTGCCGTCCTTCTTTTGCTACAGGCGCATGGCGCTTTGACTGTTGTATTCTCCTTGCCCGCACTACACCCACGTCCCTACCCACTACTGGTATGCCTCTACTGCCAGCGCGGCGGAACTCGCTGTGTCTCATTTGCTCTTTCGCCGCCCGCTCACGTTCGCTTCCCCCACGCCTCCTCCCCCGGATCCAAGTCGCACAAAGATCAGACCCCGCTGGCGGCAGGGCCTACTTCAACCCTCTCCAACAAAAGAACCCCTTTCGATCAGGAGGCTCCAAACCACGTACGCCTGCGTTCCACGTAGTTCGTGATAAACTCGACAAACTACGGAAAGAATTTGAGAAGCCGGAATTCCTAGAGAGCCTCCAGTTAAGCCCTGGAGAGTTCGATAAAGAATGGCGTACCTTCGAGCGGTCCATCAACCTATGGATCAAGCAGGCCACGCCCGAGTTGGTGAGTCTGGTGAATGAGGCACAACGGAAAAAGGCCACGCTCGAGACGAGACTACGATACCTGTTCTATGCGCAGGCATGTGGTGGACGCTTCACTACGGCCGAGTTGGAGAATCAGAAGGAGGTAGCGGATCTGCGCTATCCGGCCGAATGGTACCCAGCGACACGAGAGATCACACGAACGATACACATGCACGTTGGGCCGACCAATTCTGGCAAGACATACCACGCTCTGAAGCGCCTGGAAGAAGTGGATTCGGGCATCTATCTTGGTCCACTACGTCTGCTTGCCCATGAGGTCTACACTCGTCTGAATGCCAAGGGAAAGCCATGCGCTCTGGTTACTGGAGAGGAGCAGCGCATGCCTGAGGGCAGTCGTGCCAACATGTACAGTTGTACTGTTGAAATGGCTCCGCTGAACACCAGATTTGACGTAGCTGTTATCGACGAGATACAGATGATCAGTCACAAAGAGCGAGGGTGGGCGTGGACACAGGCTTTCATGGGCCTACAAGCCAAGGAGATCCATCTGTGCGGAGAAGCGCGGACAGTGCCGCTGATGCGCGAGCTCTGTGCTCTTGTTGGCGACAAAGTACATGTACACGAATACGAGCGTCTGACGCCACTCCAGGTGCAACCTCAGAGTTTGAAAGGGAACCTCAACAACCTAGAGAAGGGTGACTGCATTGTTGCCTTTACCGTCCTGGGTATCCATGCTCTACGCCGAGAGGTTGAGAAGAAGACAGGGAAGAAGTGCGCTATTGTATACGGAAGTTTGCCACCCGAGACAAGAGCTCAACAAGCACGTTTGTTCAACGACCCAGATAACGACTATGATTTCCTCGTAGCTAGTGACGCCATTGGTATGGGCCTAAATCTGTAAGTAACGTCCACTCCTGACCCAAAGTAGCCGGGGGGCTGACTAGTGCAGTGCTATCAAGCGTGTTATATTCGAATCTACCATCAAAAGCAACGGCATCCAATACATGCCCTTGCAAATCTCTGAAATCAAGCAAATCGCCGGTCGTGCTGGTCGTTACAAGACCGCTCATCAAGCAGTTACTACCGACTCCGAACAAGCTTCGATTGCTGACGGCGCTGTTGATCCCACCATTGGCTTAGATGACAAGCAGCCCGATACTATCGAGGCAGATAAGCCCGAAGAGAAGACTATAGGATGGGTTACTACACTCGACCAGGTCGATCACGCCAACTTGAGATTGGGCATGAAGCGTGAACCCGAAGATATCACGTCAGCCGGCCTCTTTCCTCCATCTCTCATCGTTGAGCGATTCGCAAACTACTTTCCCCCAGGTACACCATTCAGTTACATAATGCTCCGTCTGCATGAGATCTCCGAGATACACCCTCGATTCCATCTCTGTGCGCTAAAGGACCAACTGGCGATTGCTGACGTCATTCATACTGTCAAGAATTTGAGTATTCAAGACCGTATCATGATTTGTGCAGCGCCCATCAACATGCGCGATCCGGGCGAAAGAAACTTTTTGCGCCAACTCGCTGCATGTATTGCAGAAGGCAAATCAGGTAGCCTATTGGACCTTGACACTCTCCCACTTGGCATCATGGACCAGCCTCCTTCAGGCGAGCGCAAATACCTCTACGAACTGGAGCAACTGCATAAGATGCTTGTATGCTATCTATGGTTGAGCTACCGGTTCCCCAATGTCTTCACCACCAGGTCTCTTGCCAACTATACAAAGAAGCTTGTTGAGGATCAAATCGAAAAGACGCTCACCGATTTCTCGTTCATCGAACAAGCGAGGATGCGGATGAAGAACACCAGGGAACAAGCAAGAAAGACCATGGTTGTGGAGCCTGAGGATGTGAGTCAAGTGGACGGTCCCCAGGTAGCAACGTTGAAGCGTCAAATTCCTGCACCTCCTGGTATGCCAGAAGAAGCAAAGGACATCCTTAACGATCCGGAGTTGGCCTCCGATATGCCAGCAACCACGGATGAAGCGATGCGAAACGAGACTTTACAATCCAGTGCCTAGATGGTTATTGTATGAATGTATGTATGACGTATTGTATTGTATATTCTGGGTAAACCTGTAGAAAATGTTCTGTCTAGTCATGAATGGGTTGGAACACCTAACATTGATAATTAAACTGTACCCTAGAGGTACTCGCTAAGGTTTTACATTAGCCTGTATTATATTAGAACTTACTGGATACCTTTAGGTCGTAGTTTGCTTACGTACAAATTAAAAAGAACGAGCATCTTCGTATATGACCATGTCCACATCCCAGGCATCTACGCACTCCCACCAATCCACTCAGCCCCTCCATTGGCTGCGACTACACTCCCACTAACCCACCTACTCTTATCACTGACCAGAAACCCCACCACATCCGCTATATCCTCCGCCTGTCCCAATCTCCCTCCCTCAACAACCTTGACCTTTGGTAGCCTCTGCTCCTTCAACGCCTGCACAGCTTCAGGGGGATATGATCGGAGACCGGGTGTATCCGTCAACCCTACCGACACTGCGTTCACGGTTGTTCCTGGAAAACTGTGTGGCAACTCGATAGCCCAAGAACGCACGAGCGCCTCCATAGCGGCACGCGTAGCGTTGAATAACCCAGATCCAGGGGAAGGGTCTCGCACGCGATCTGAAGAGATGAAAACGACTCGGCTGTGTGGGGCGAAGAGTTCTTGACGAACCAGATTTTCCATGACAACAATGGGCCAGTGTAGGTTTCCTGTTAGTGAGTGGCTGATGTCTGCTTCGCTTGCGCTGCCTATTCTAGGGCGAGTGTTGAATGATGCGTTGAAGATGAGTATGTTGAGTTTCTTGCCCGGGAAATGATTCGTGAAGCCTGTCAGGAGAGTTCCGATAGAGGGGAGAGATCTGATGTCTGCGGCTACGCCTCGCATGGTTGGGACTTCGTTGTCAGTGGAAGCGTAGAGGCTGCGGACGGTGGTTGAGAGGGTGCAAAGTTGTGGGCAGATTCGGGGGACGAGTAGGTTCCTAGGATGGAACAACCGCGTGTTGCAAGAGAGAGGGATATTGCGCGGCCGATGCCTCTTGAGGCACCGCTTACATTTGGGTTAGATGTTATTCTCCAGGTCTGTATGCGAGTTGATGTAGAGCATGTTGAAATCAAGAAGTAGACGGACATGTATGATGTGACATTGGAATGGAACAAGGTTCCGTCAAGGACAACAAGTCATAAGAGAGGGCTAATTAGAAGCAGATTTTGGATGCATAAGAAAACGTAGGTGTAGAAATATATGCCTTACGTGACAATGGCAACCTTGCCCTTGAGATCCTGCTCCTGGAGTTTTGGCGCAGGTGGTATGTAATCCGCCATGTCGAAACTCACGGGCCTATCGTAAATATAAAGTGTAGGGTACAGATACGATGGAGATGCAGTTCTTGATGTTGTTATACGACTATATGCAATGTTGTTGTGTCACATGTAGTCGCACGAGATGGGTTGGAGCTTGCGGCAACAGGCGCAGGCTACGTCATCACCAAGCTGGACTGTTCCTTATAGAGCCAACACCATAATTCGGTACTGATTACCAAAGTATGATTCCAGAGGTATCAGTAATACGACAGAGCGTAAACTAAGACAAACCAAATGAAGCACCTGTCGATTCGCACTCGCCAAACCCACGTTTGCCAAGAAAACCTTGGAAGCCTCACCTGCCAGTCTTCAGCCTTGGAGGTCCTTCGTCTTGCACATGACACCAGGCGACCTATCATGTAATAGCACGTTTTGAGGCAACATATATTTGCATCTCAGCTGCGCGACTGGAGGGCAAGGGTGAGTGGTGTATAAGATGCGGGCTCTTCGCATAAAAGTCCACCTGCAGTCTCATCGCCATCAAGCACTCGCACATCATAATTTAGTCCTACCAAAAGAGCCAATATGCCAAACAGGATAGGTTGCACGCACGTATCCACTCGCCTGCTGACCTAACATTCTAAAGTCTGATATAAAAGTCGGCTGGTTCGTGACTCTGTATCGTACAAGCATTTGCAAGGGCGAAGCCATGGTTATGAAGGTTCCGAACACTTATTTGGGCGAGTCTCGGCATATGATCGATGGAGGGCTGTTCGTAAGTTGGGAGGATATCGAGACGTGGCGACCACCTAACATGTCGACGGCGACGTATATGGGGTTGGAATAGTAAGCATTGAGACGTGCAGCGAATACGTCATAGCTGGTTTGATGTGTGGTGAGACTTGGAATAACAGGTGCGGGCCGATGACCGTCGAAATAGCATTTGGTTGTAATTGTGATGAATCCCATGTGAGGTCTCTGCGAAAGCGGTATCGATAAGTGAAGGGGAGCGCCCGACTCATGGAAAGGGGGCTAGCGCAAGATGAGCACATGGGCCAATTTCCCAGAGCCGGGCGCATCCGTCATCAATCAGCCTCTTTCACTCTCAACGTCGTCTCCCTACCTAACGCGCAAAGTCACAGTCTTAATAAGAGTATAGCTGAATACACGTGGAGATTCACTCCGCGACCAACAGCCACGATGATGGCGCCTTCACACATCCTGGAGATTCCCAGGCCCAAGGTAGGTCGAGAAACAACACCCACCTAAACAGCCTAAAACACGTGCTGCAAGATGGACGAGACTGACTCTGGCTCGCAGACGTTCCTCCAGAAAATGTCGCTTCGCACAGGGGCAGAAATCATCACCTTCCTACAAGTCATCAACAAAGCCTCTGGCGTCTATGGCCTCCTCGCGCTGCTCACGGGGGCCAAAATCGACGGCTGGCAGCTGTCCATGTACCTTTATTCGACTTTCGCGCTCATCGCTACGACGTTCCTGTACAAGCACATCCGGTTACAAAGTCCTTTTGAGTCGGTACTACTGGCGCATCTGTATGCGCTTGACTCGGTCATCAACGCGTTGTACACAGCCTTCTTCGGCATCGCATGGTTCTACACACTCGCCGCACACCCGGATGAGGGTGCCGGGCTATCTCCGGGCATGAAGGACAACGCCGGCTTCACAAGTCCCAAGCACAACGTTACAAAGGTCGATATTGTCGCCGAGCCGACCGAAGGCATGCAAGCCGGCCAACACGCTGTAGCAGTCGGACAGGGCACTGATGGTGGTGCGGGGCTCGGCAACGCCGTTTTCCAGAGTGGAAGCATCATGTCCATTTCCCTCATCTCCGGTTTCTGGGCCCTTCGCGTCTACTTCGTCTTCATTATGCTGGCTTTTGCTCGCCAGTGCCTCCGTCAACACATCGCTGCCAACGCCTCCTCCGCTGCATGGTACAACTCGAACAACATGCAAACGTCCGCAAACGACCTTGCCGAAAACCCATTTGCAGAAGGCAAAGAAGAGGGCAGCGGCTGGAAGGGCAAACTCGGACGAGTCATGCTCAGCGGCTCACCCAAATACTGGCTTGGTGCTGATGCTGGCGAGGGCGAGGACTGGATGCGTAGCCTGGGCGGCAAATTCAAGAAGAGCACACAGCTCGACCAACCCGTTGGTTTCAACGAGCGCGAACGGAGGCGGAGAGCTGGAACCGGTCCGCCAGTACCGCAGCTCAAGCTGAACCCTGAGCTGCCCAAATAGGCCGTTTTTCAAGAAGATACTGGGTCTGCTTGGTGCAGATGAGGAGAGGGACGATTGACGACAGAGCCAGAAGTTGTAATGACATGATCTAGGGTTGCGCATTCACGAGCCAGAAGCGCATGTGTACTATATACATCTATTATTTGGGCGTACATCAGACATGCATCGCATGACAGCGAAGCATATCGAAGCTACCACTTTTCTTTCGCATAGCATAGCATTTACTATCTGCCATTCGATCTAATATTCACAAGAATAACGAGAACATTTTCTCGTCAAACCTGCTCTCTCTCTCTCTCTCTGACTCATCCGGCACTAAATCTAACACGTTATGAGGGCAGGAGTGGCGGCGCAGATGAGCGCTTACAAGCATGACCCCACCACACCCACGTTGCCAACGTTGCACTAAGCCCCGTGTCGTTTAGTGCAACGCGTCAGGTGAATGACCGGCCTGTCTCACCACATCGCCGGACATGTCTCTGGACCCTGACACCGGCAGATGGTAGGCATGTGCCCTGGACTAGACGTGCCAAGTGCGTTGCGTGCCACTGTCATGCCCCATTAGAAACGGCGGCTGGATGACATGTCGTGCATCGGCGGGCGACGGGCAAGTGCATTGATAAGGGGATGCAGTGGCCGCGCGCAAGACGGCGTCGAACTTGTAACGGCTATGTCGGTACCTTTTTGACGTGTTCTATGACTAAATCTTTTTCTTAGATTATTTGCTGGCACATTTTGTTTATAGCTTATCTGGTACTCCTTGGGTGTTTGTGGCACTGAATCGTTGATCTCAGCCTCACAGTTCGCTACTTTTGTACCACTTAAAAGGACAACGAAAGGATAAACACAATCGCAACTATGGGTATCTTCCGTCGTTCGATGAGCTCTAGCTCTTCACGATCATCACGTCCTTCGACTATCAACTCATCTGCATCCGGCACCGCAAGCTCAAGGACGAGCATAGACTCTACTCTCGAAGAATACGAAATTGCAGATTCTCTGGCTACAATTAAGCAATTACCAACGTCATCGCCAAAGGCTCCGATACTTAGTCTCCCACTCGAACTTGTCCAGCAAATCAGCACCTACCTCGACACTGCTTCCGCAGCAGCCTTCTGTCTGTCCAGTCGATACATCTACTACGCTCTCGGCACTGAAGCTCTTTCTCGCCATGTCGAGGGGAGCAAGAACCGTTTTGAAAAGAGAAAGACCATCGAAGCCGTAGTAGAGCGTGCCTTTCCTGGTCAATGGTTTTGCGCTTGGTGCGATAAATTCCACGCCTGGAGTGCTGAGGATGGACCAAAGAACCAACAGCAAACAGGGAAGAAAAAAGATTGTGCAGACTTCAATAGTTACTTGAATGCTGGAGACGGATACAAACTACGCTATCATCATGTTCGACTGGCCATCAACGGTGCTTTGTGGGGAGAAGAACACGGCATCCCCCTTTCTGCGTTCACTTACGAGAAGAAAGAAATGGCGCGGATCTCTAGAACACCCGTCCCCACTAAACTCAGTCTCTCCGCCAGGATAATACAAGGCCATTTCCTGTTACACAGCTCCTACGCAATCATCCTTCCCACTTTCACAACGAGGAATCGTAACCTCTTGAAGTCGCTTTGGCCTCTCCTTCCACATATCGTTACCGGCCACCGCGACACACCAAACGGTCACACCGGTCTCATGGCCGCCATTGATAACGTGATTCGCCGAGGTTGGAAGTACCAGTTTACGCAGAACTGCTCGACCTGTGCGACGGATTGGAGTGTGACTACCCAGGACTTTTCGCATGCAACTGGTGGACAGGTTAGATTGGTGGTGCAGAGCTGGAGGGATCTGGGCACGGGGAGGACGCCATTCGAGACAGGCTGGAGGGCGCATGGCGTAGGAAGTTGTGCTGAGGGTAGCGGGGCTAACACTTGTCTCGTAAGACTTACCAGTCTACCTGCGGGAACTGTTAGACGCGCGTTTGAGGCTGCGGGTGTGGACGATGCAGCAGAAGATGCAGATACAGGCGATGTGGCCGCAAAGAATACGTCCAAGTCGCGTATCTATCGGTCGTTCATGAAGAGGACTATGTCGGAAGAAGACGATGGTGAAATTAGACGGTCCAGTGCAAGACCGCGCTATTGGCGTACACGAGAAGAGAATGAAGAAGTGGCGCGGAAATATGAAGAGGATAGACGAGATGTTGCGAGAAGTGTTGCTGAAGAGCTAGTCAGACTTGATGCTCAGCGTGGTAGAGGGCTATTCTAGATATGTATATAAGTTCTTACATTTACTCACAATTGCTTGCGCACACATGATTGCTATTACCACTTTTAGTGTGTTGCAATCATCTAATTCGTCACCATAATCTTTTGGATACAGCGCATGTATAAAGGCGCAAAGGGTCTGGTTAAGAGAACGCGAGTTCCTCTAGGGACGTACCAAAGGATTTGTATGGACAGCGAAGACAACAAACGGGTCTACTGGCTTTCTGTGTAGCTTAGGATCGTACAGGCGACTATTGGACCCAATTTTCGAACGGAGGTGACTGGGATCGTGAACAGTGGTAGCCGCAAGAAAAACCTTAGACACACAGAAACATTCTTCGTTGATTGTCCTCGCTCTGCCCTTCCGCACAACACCTGGAAAACATCAACACTCCACGCTCAAGACCGATACTGTCGCAGGCGATATAGCGCCAGGTTGTCAACGTTACACCAAACCCTGTTGCAAATCGCAATCTTCGCTAAATCTACGCTATAAGATGTGCTAAAACGCTGTGTTCTACTAGATGTTCTGTAGCTATAGCTAAGGTTAGTATCCCTACAAGGACTACATACAAGACACACACTTTACCTTTTACGAGTATATAGACAGTAAGCGCTATCTCGTTCGTTGGCCACATAGAGGATTCAGTAACTAAAAACAAGGAAGGCACTAGTATGCAGCAACTCGTAAGGAGCAGTAACCACAGTACAGGTTTAATACCATTGGCGACTCCTTTCGTACCAGGTTCAAGATTCGAAGCTTCAACCATCGACCAGAACAGCTCCAACCGGCCCAATGTCGTAAGAGTGCGGCAATCGGGAGGGAAGCGAGATAGAGGGAGATGGCGTTGATATTTGACACTGACCTGAAGTGCAAGATGTAGAAGTCATGGGTCGTACGTCACATATGGTGTTCGAAGAGCAAACACGGATATGGCAATTTTGAATGAGTAAGAAGGAACTACGCTAGTCTTCTTGTGCGCTAGCCGACTTACCCCTTCCTGCCCCCTACTTTTGGAAACAACATTGACATCCTCATTCCTCTCGTCACGCGCAAAAGTACCCACTGTCATGTGCATCATGGTATTTCTTGTACGCTACAATACATGTCTTCTCAACGTGTCCAAGTCCCTAATCAACAGCTTCCGCAGTGTACGTGATTAGTGAGCAACGAAGTGTACGTGTTTCTCACTCCGGCTCCCAGGCAACGTAACACGACTCGATAACAGCAAAGCTTGTCCACTAGAAAGTATTCCATGACATCCGTTGCCTCAAGGAGCTGTTGTGAAAGGTCACATTGTCACGATGATTGCGGCTCAATGTGTTATACCCGGTCGCAGTATATTACAGAGCATCTCATTTGCTAGTTTCTGAAGAACTGCCGCCTACCTGGGATGCAACCGCCGTGGACCTGTGATCGACAGTGTACCGGTGCGGAGTTCATATCGAGTGGTCAGAAGCTATATTGCCCGTCGCTAATTGATTAAGCTGGACCTGGATCTCCGTCTGCAACAACTGATTTCGGACTCCAGTATATGCGCATTATTTTTGAAAGGGTGCAGAGATGCAAAACTGATTCTTGAATCATACCAAAACAACGTAATGACGTTCCCATGTATGGAAGCTTTGCATGCCAAAAGCCGATCAGGCGGACAAACTCGAGGCGCATACTCCGGCCTTAGCGAGCGAACACCCCTGAACCTCAATCTAATCTGCACCAGCAGTTCGACCGAGAAATCCGGTCAATGCCATTTTGCTAAGGCTCGAGTCAACTTGATTAAGCTCCAAGCTTTGCAGCCAATTGTTGAAGGAGTCTCGTCCCGTCTGGTCCGGAAGCTTCATCTTGCTTACAGGGTTCGGCGCTCCAGTTTTGTACCTGCGTTCCGACGTGAAAGATGATATGACGAAACTCTCTCAATGCTTCTCATGCATTTAAAACGAGGAGTGCTGTCTTTCATGTGGACCTGGCAATACGACTGAGGGTCCGTATGATGGCTCCTCAGGCAAAACCCGTTAGCCAGCTACGTAACTCGGCAGTAGCTCAAGAAGAAACATAGCTCGTGTCGCTATGCGTCTGCCCTGTACCAGTCCTAGCGACATAAGAACCTCGAAAACCTTGGCCATTACTCCCAGGGCTAAACCGCTACCCAGGGAAAGAACCTGAGCCTCATGACCTTTGCTACAAATTGAATTCCTCCCCGAGACCGGAAGATCTTTCTAGAAGATTCCCTCGTATATGCCCATGGGTCGTGGAAGAAGCAATCTAATACAACCGGGTTTCGAAACTATTGGGTGCAGATGTATGAGCGGTAGCACTGGCGAAGGATCGCCCCCAAGAGGATCGTCTGACCTTAGTATTCTATGCCAATGCTCGTACATGGAGAGCATAATTAAACGAAGACGTACAACAAGTGCGCATGAGGCGACTCGTGATACAGCCACAGTGCGGTATGCGAATTTCGAGTTATGGTTACTAGTGTTGATCCACAGCTTTGCCTTCGCACATATGAGGCTGGTCAGTCGCTGTCGAATAGGATTGAAGGCTAAAACTTTGCTACCAATTGGGTGGACCGGTCATAGTACGTCTCCATATGCTTCTCCGTTCATCACTACATGCACTATCCCCTTGAGGCAAAGATCCCGGACGTCGTGGCGCACAGATCTCCGCAATACCCCAGACTACCCCACGATGGGGTTACGACCAGGGAGGCTTCATCTACCCTTCATTACTCCGGCACTCCTAGCGTCTTTTCACACTCCCGACGTCCCGTTACTCTTATGGTATTGGTGAAAACGACTTAGGGGAAGGTCAAGGATGTAGATCTTCTGCGCCTTGCAATAATCAACAGTCATATGGGTACTTCTGTAAAGTACCTTGGATAGTACGTACCAACTGCAAAGTTTTTGTATAAGAAGGCCATCTGAACCGTTGAATACTTCGATATCCAACAACCGACTTTCTCTCAACAAGTCACCATGTACAGGACACTCGCCCTCGCTTCACTCTCGCTCTTCGGAGCCGCCCGCGCTCAGCAGGTTGGCAAAGAGACAACGGAGACACACCCTAAGATGACATGGCAGACTTGCACTGGTACCGGTGGAAAGAGCTGCACCAACAAGTCGGGTTCCATTGTGCTCGACTCCAACTGGCGATGGTCCCACGTCACCAGCGGATACACCAACTGCTTCGACGGCAACTCTTGGAACACGACCGCTTGCCCTGACGGCAGCACTTGCACCAAGAACTGTGCTATCGACGGTGCTGATTACTCTGGTGTGTAACTCTAAATACTGTACAATGCGCTCCTCTAACCTACTCAGGCACTTACGGTATCACCACCAGCAGCAATGCTCTGACCCTGAAGTTCGTCACCAAGGGCTCTTACTCTGCCAACATTGGTTCGCGTACCTACCTCATGGAGAGCGACACCAAGTACCAGATGTTCAACCTCATCGGCAAGGAGTTCACCTTCGATGTCGATGTCTCCAAGCTACCTTGCGGCCTCAACGGTGCTCTCTACTTTGTTGAGATGGCCGCCGACGGTGGTATCAACAAGGGTAACAACAAGGCTGGTGCCAAGTACGGAACCGGTTACTGCGACTCCCAGTGCCCCCACGACATCAAGTTCATCAACGGTGTAGCCAACGTTGAGGGCTGGAACCCGTCCGACAACGACCCCAACGCCGGTCAGGGTAAGATTGGTGCTTGCTGCCCCGAGATGGACATCTGGGAGGCCAATTCCATCTCTACTGCCTACACTCCCCATCCCTGCAAGGGCACTGGTCTCCAGGAGTGCAAGGACGAGGTCAGCTGCGGTGATGGCGACAACCGCTACGGCGGACTCTGCGACAAGGACGGTTGCGATTTCAACAGCTACCGTATGGGCGTCCGTGACTTCTACGGCCCAGGCATGACCCTCGACACCACCAAGAAGATGACTGTCGTCACTCAGTTCATCGGTTCCGGCTCCAAGCTCTCTGATATCAAGCGCTTCTACATCCAGGGAGGAACTGTCTTCAAGAACTCCGACTCCGCTATCGAGGGCGTCACTGGTAACTCCATCACTGATAAATTCTGTGACCAGCAGAAGACCGCCTTTGGTGACACATCCTCCTTCAAGACTCTTGGTGGACTCAATGAGATGGGTGCCTCGCTTGCTCGCGGCCACGTCCTTGTCATGTCCCTCTGGGACGACCATGCGGTCAACATGCTCTGGCTCGACTCCACCTACCCCACCGATGCTGACCCAGAGAAGCCTGGTGCCGCCCGTGGTACCTGCGCTACCGACTCTGGCAAGCCCGAGGATGTCGAGGCCAACTCGCCCGGTGCGACTGTCATCTTCTCCAACATCAAGTTCGGTCCCATCGGCTCTACTTTTGCCGCGCCCGCATAAGCGCTCGACGAGGCTGTTGGGTAAAGTCTTGACCAAGGACTGACGGCTCTGGGCTGTAAGAGCTGGTGGATCTCTTTCGACCGTCCTCTCGTTTCGTTTCACAATTGTATATACTTGTGGTGGATATAGAAAGTGTGCATATAGACAAACAAATTGCAATCACTCAGTACGAAGACTTCATCCTGCCATTTGCGTTGTAATTGTTGCTATCTTAGAGCTCGTTGCCCAAGGCTTCACTTGTTTCTTGTAGTTGTTCAAACTTTCCAGAACGTCCTTGAATGTCCTTCTCCAAAAGCCTCTGGCGCTTCTGCAACTCTTAAATCCTCTTTCTGAGCTCCTTGTTTCTAGCTCTGAGTTCCATGATTCTGCCTTGCTTTAAATTGTTCTTATCCTGCGGTTATTTGATTCTTGACTGCATTGCTTCATCCAATTTCTCCCTCTCCTCATCAAGTGTCCAAGAACGTGCTCGTGTCCGTTGTAGTTGAGGATTAACTGCTTCGCGCATCCGGGTTTGATCCTTGAGTTTGGCTTGTAGACTTGCGTTGTCAGTCTTGTCCGAAAGGATCATTGCATAGGCTCAAATACTGAACACATACTGATATGCTGGACTATGCGAGAGGAAGTGACCTTGTACCCTTCCGTGAGCTGTGGCACAGCAATGGCTAACTACATATGGCTAGTGTTGATGTATATCCGTGGATGAAGCAGTTGCCTACTTTAACATGAACAGGGCTTCTGATCCACAGCCTCCTTGTTTTCTACTCATAACATAGCATCTCATGACAAATGAAGACTCCCCTCCAGCGGTGCTGAAACGGAATACACCCCGAGCGTGAATGCGGCATGGGTATGCAAAACTTGAGAGTTGTACACCCAAGTAGGTCAACGGTAGCTATGATAAAACTCACATGTGCCTACAAAGAACGCGCGAAGATATACCAGATCGGCAAGGGTGCTGATGGCTACGGACCTGCACAATTCCTCGGATTTGGTTAGTACCATGCTCGTCGATCCATCATAACCTACCAATCCGTAACCAATGGTCTCGCGGATCTGATAACATCACTTCTCATGCGTACTAATTGCGAACATCGATAACAAAATGCAATTGCCTACCCTCGGCTACTCAGCCGTCTTCGCAAAGTCTACAGAGCGTCTAGCTCATCCAGATCCATGCTCACAAAAGAAAAATCGCATCCTCGTCCTCGCTAGCATATATACAGTTTCAGTGGTATTGCTGTAAGAGTTCGGCTTGTCTTGGGCTTGGCTGACTTGCTCCAAGTGTCGTCTACTCCTTCTTGACGGTATCTGGGTCTGCGAGGATACCCTCGGCTTCGAGCCTTCGTCGCGCCTCCTCTAGGGCCCAGGTTTGAATGCTGGCAGGCTGTTAGCTTTTATCCAATTATTGCATCTCCACTACACTCTTCCTGATTCCTCTTTTGCCGTCATTCCTATTGGCTCCCCCATGACTCCTCCGCCTTATCCGTCTCTTTACCCCTCTTGCCCACCATCCACCATCCATCTCTCATACGTGAAATTCGTACATACCTAGTGTCCGGCTTGAAAGCGTAAGCAACGACGCCAAAGGCACAAGCTCCTCCGAATCCCCAGTACATAGCGTTCTCCCACCCCTCCTTCTCATACTGCTCACCAGGCTTGACACCGAAGAGCCATCCGGATGGGGGATCGTAGCTAGGTCCGTGACCCGATCGCTTTGTTTGTGACTGTGAGAAAGCCCGGCGGGGAGCTGCTGTGCGGGCGGTAGCGGTGAGAGCGGTGCGCGAGGCGCTGGTTGCGGCGCGGACCGAGTTCATCGTGGTCTAAAGTCTTGCGGGAATGAATTCAGGGGAGGCGTGAAGTGCTTTGGTCGTTCCCGACGCAGGGGAGATGGGTTGTGGTGGGTAATGGCTGTGGTAGTGATGTTCGGGGTTTGAGGTTCCGCGTTGGTTGCAAGGGCTTGGCGTGGCGGCGAGAAGCTAGCGGCGTCGGAGCGAAGCAGCAGAACTATCAAGACGTCAGACCTCGCTCACTCTAGTTGGAACGACGTTTTGATTTGCAACTCGCAAGGACCATATTCACGAGGTGTATGATTGTAGTTGGTAATATAAGACCTTGATGTAATATACCCTCCCAGAATAATGAACATGTGGTCTACCACCAATGACCAGTCTGTGGTATAAGAGCCATGAACGCCGATGCTATGCAGAAACATCAAATGAACGCCGAATGATCGAAGAATGCCTAGGCATAAGCAGGCGTGCGCTTCTCTTCGGCATCTTCCATCTCATCGTCTGGCTGATGGAAAGACATTCTTGCCATGCTCTGAGATGCCTCATCAACCTGTTCCTCGGTCTCGTGCGCCTCGACAGCCTCCTTCCGCCGTTGCTTTTCATTTGCAGCTTCCTTCTCCTTGCGCTTCCTCTCCATGGTCTCGAGCTCGGCGAGTCTCGTAGCGGTTTTCTCGGCTTCTTCCTTCTCCCGCTTCTCACGATCCGCCTTCTCCAATGCTTCGAACTCGTCGTCAATCTCACCCTCATCAAGAGGCTGGTCGGTTTCGTTTATGATGTTCGTAATCTCTTCTGTAGTCGCCATTTGTTCGTTGACGGCATCAACAACACCTTGAACGCCCTCTGCACCGCCCACCTTCTCGTTGAGACCCTTCAGTGCAGCGGCGCCAGCGCGCATGGCCTCCACGATCTCGACCTGATCAGCTGCATGTTGTAGGTCTGTGTAAACCTGCTCAAGCTGGAGGGCGACATCAGAACGTTGCTTGAGGGCGTTTTCGGCAAGCTTCTTCGAGCGCAGTGCAGCTTTGGCGCGGACCATCTGCTTCGCAACTACGGCTTCCCGTGCCGCCGCATCTGCCAAAGCAATCTTTTCCATCAATGGCGATATTTGAGCGTTGATGTTCGCTAGTGTATCGCGAAGATTGGCGATAGCAGCGTCCTCTTCAGTGACTGGTAGAGGCGCAGGCTCATGTTCCGGCTTGAACTTGATCGTCTGCTCATTGTAAGATATCGCCTGCTTGTCTCTAGCGAGGAATGTAAGGACGATATCAAGATCGTTCGTTGTAAGCGGGGCGGAGGGATTGAGTACAGTCGCGAAGCGTTTCAGAAAGTCTGTTTTCGATAACACCCGATCAGCCGTAGATGTGTGCTCCTTCATCTTCTTCAGTATCTTGTCTGCAGCAACTTCCACGTTCTTGATGACCACGAAGTCCCCAACCTCCATCTTAGCTGGCGCTTGTACCTGTCCTAAAACGCCAACCTGCCGTAAGCTCCACTGAAGTACCTTCCATGGTGATGGTATCCACGATGTCTTGTATATGCTCTCTTTCGATGTCAAGAAGTCTTTCAGAGGTACCATCTCCTTCTTCTGCACTGCCTCGTGGAAGACGGCGGGGAGGCACGTCGGCTTGCCATATTGCGGATGTTGCAGGGCTCGCGCGAGCTCGTCGGCTGCTCGTATGTTTAGGAGATCATGTGTGGTGCCCTGTCTGGGAACAACACCCGCTCTCGAGGCGTCGGTGAGCGCCTTTGTCCATGCGGCGATGTTCGCATGGTAGCCTTCGGGGTTTATCTCGAGCTGTTGCCGAAAGTCTGCATAGAGCGATGCAAGGCGGTACTGGCTGTGCTAGTCAGTGATGCAGGGGGTTGGCGATGTGCGGCTGATCTTACTTCTTGAACGCCTCTTCGTGCTGCAAGACGAATTCTAGCATTTCACTCATGTCGTGCTCTGGTTCAGGTACCCACTGCGCTCTGCTGCGCTTGGAACGGAAGAGCGAACGCTTCCGCTTATGACGACTAAGCGTGGGGTCGTCGCTAAAGATGGAGACGTGGGGGCCGCTGGCCAGGTCGCGAGATGGCTTGCGTTTAAGCATGTGCGCGGTCAAACAGCCAGAGCAGTAATACGAGTTGATTAGACGGCATCTATTAGGGTCTAGTGCAGGGTCAGATATCCTGGTAGTATTATGTAGACTATCGTACAATACGGGCGCGTGCAGCTGTTTGCTGACGTGACGCGCTGTTTCAAGATCCCAAGACCCCACTAAGTGCCTTTACTTTCCTCCCTAGGTAACAATCAGCCCAGTCACTGCCTACGTCTCACTAGCGACGCTCCCGTCTTCCTTTGCTTCCTGTAAGCTCGGAAGCTGCCATAACCCTATATCATGTACTCTGTACAGGGAGGGACTCTGAAGTTGCACATTTCGTGTCCATGTAGTTCGTAATTAGACGTGTCTGGTGCTATCCTTGGGACCACAGGCGAAAGAGGCTTGGTCTTGCGGTCGTCACGCCGACTATGATGCCCATATACTCCCACTTCACTTTTTGACTATATTGATGCCGGTATCCTTCTTCTCCATGAACTGTCGCATCTCCTCCAGGTCGTCCATATCGTCGTCACTGTCTTGGTTTTCGGGCTTTGTTGGAGGCTTCGCTGGAGGCTTCGATGTGGGGATTATCTGAGGAGCGTTCTGTGGTGGTGGATCGCGCATGTCCTTGGTCTCGTCCTCCCATGCTTTCCTCTCTTCTTCATCTAGCTCATCCCGCCTGTCCAACCACCTCTCCTGCACGTCCCGAGCGTCCATAGTCGCTCCGTTCTCGCGCATAGCCATCTGCCAGACTGTGTCGTTTGCACCTTCTATTCCACCCATTGCAAAGCCACCCGCGCGGTCGATAGCTCGTAATAGCGTCATCATGCTCTTTTTATCCTCAACTGCCAGTGTCTCGAACCCTACCAGCGCAAAGTCCTCAACAAGTTCCACGATTGCTTTGTTCAATGCAGAGAACTTTGACGTTGGCTCGTCATCATCCAGATCTACGTCCTCGTTTGCGCCAGCCGTTGTGGGGCCTGGGATACCGGACGTCTGTTCGCGGTTGAGGTGCGGCAATAGGTATTGTAAGTCTTGGACTTCGGTATAAAAGTCTAGGTTGAAGGGCAGGTTGGGGTAATTCCGGAGGTTGTCGATCTTTGTGAGGACGTTGAGATGAGGCAGGTCCATCTGTAGCATGCTGCGCAGGGCGAGCAAAAGAGAGGAAACGTATAGCGATGGTCGCGAGAGTACGATGGAGTCGGTCAAGTGTACGACGACGAGCTGATAGATGTTAGTCCCCAGTTACAAGCCATGGGTGGTGGGCGAATACTCGATACCCAAGTTTTTGTAGGCGGAAGAAGATGTTCCGCAGCGAGCCATGGTGCGTAAAGAGTTCAACTTGGCCGGGACAGTCGAAGAGGATGTAGTCATCTAAAGCCATGAGTACACTTTCAAGATAATGCAGTGCTATCGCAAACCTCCAAGTTCTTTCAAGCCCTCCTCTAGCCAGTCGAAGTTGTGCTCCAGTTCCTCGAGTGCAAACAGAACCCCACCATTCGGACCCAAAGTCTCTTGCTCCATAATCTCATCTATCGTGACCAGGTCTCTGACGTCTACGGCGGGCTGGTATGAGGTGTGATCGTTGGCGGGGTCGAGGTTGACAACAGAACACTTGCGCTCGATTGCGCCCATGAACTGTTGCATGCCATCGCAGTATGTCGACTTTCCAGAGCCCGGCGGCCCTATAACCAGTTGTGCAAAAGGCATCTTTTTTGTTGTTGTGCGATCGATGGGGGAACAAGCTGGGGAACGTTTGGAGGGGCGTTAGCGTACATCTTATTTGTTTGGTTTGCGGACCTCCGCCCTCAAGAGCTTCACTTCAACTCCTAGCTTCTCCAACTCGCACAGCGTAATATCGCCAACATGTCAAGTAAGTTGGCTATAGCCTTTTCTAGCGTCTGGTTCGCGATAGAGACTTTGACTAACATAACCAGGCCAATTCGAGCTTGCGCAAAACCCGACCGAACCCATATCGTCGGTCAAGTTCGCGACCAACAACCCGACACGCCTACTCGTCTCTTCCTGGGACCGCCATGTCTACCTCTACGACACACATGCTGAGCCTGGCGGCAAGCTACTCCACAAGTTCGAACACCGTGCGCCAGTACTAGATGTCTGCTTTGGACGCGACGACAACGAGGCCTTTTCCTGTGGGCTGGACTGGGAGGTACGCAGGATCGACCTCGAGACTGGCGCGCAGACCATCATGTCTACACATTCCCAGGGTGTTCGCAACGTCCTCTACTCTGCCGCGCATAATCTTCTCATCTCATCATCATGGGATTCCACACTACACCTGCACGACCTGTCGCAACCTGGCGACTTCTCTGCTGTTCGCCTGCCTTCCAAGCCCTTCTCACTTTCCGCCTCGCCCACCAAACTAGTCGTCGCCATGGCTAGCCGCGCAGTCAACATCTACGAACTCGACAAGCTGGCCGAGGCTGCTAAGAGAGGTGGCGGTGAGGAAGTCGGAGTGGAGCCGTGGCAGCAGCGGGAGAGCTCGATGAAGTACATGACACGCGCCGTGTCTTGCATGCCAAACGATGCGGGATACTCGAGTTCGAGCATCGAGGGACGTGTGGCAGTCGAGTGGTTCGATCCATCTGAGGAGTCACAGTCGCGCAAGTACGCGTTCAAGTGCCACAGACAACAAGTTGACGGCCAGGACGTCGTTTACCCAGTCCATGCGTTAGCATATCATCCGGTTCACGGCACTTTTGCGACAGGAGGTGGCGATGGCATAGTTGCCCTTTGGGATGCAGTAGCGAAGAGGAGGATACGACAGTACCAGAAGTTCCCTGCTAGCGTGCAGACGATCGATTTCTCCAACGACGGCAAATACGTAGCCATTGGTGTCAGTCCAGGCTTCGAGGATGGTGTCGATGATGTGCCCGACGGTGTGACCAAGGTCTTCATAAGGGAGTTGAGCGCGACCGAAGCGTCAGGCAAGAAGAAGTAAGCATGATGAAGTTGCTACCAATGCTCCAAGTTTGTCCGCGGCGGTCGGAAGTTACGAGATAAATATACCAGTTGATCAATGGATCCCCACCACCATCTCGAATATCCAAAGTCAACTAAGGTTGGTCTCTTCCTAAGCGTGATACATGTGCTTCAGCTCAGTTAACACGTGTCAAGGACCTTGATCGCTCCTGCACGTATATGCCACACCTACCGTCTTATTACCCCGCCTTCACCCTATTATTCAATATGTTCACTCCCCAGACGACATTGATCGATGCGAAGCGCTTGGCAGACGTTGCGTCTCGTACTCTTCTTGATGACGCTTCCCTGGTTTTCCTCCCAGTTCCACAGTTCAGCTCGATGGACGATGAGAACCTTCAAAACACCCTTCGTCTGCTCGACCAAGTGGAGCATGCTAGAAGCGAAAGCTCCGACGGAATCATCGTCACTCAGCTCAGGCCTGTCTAGGATGATGAACACCTCGTCATTCTGCAAATCAATGATCTTGAGTAAGGCTTTGCAAAGATGCTGGGTCCTTTCATCTGAATCTCCGTCCCAAGCAATATGCGACTCGATATCGTACCAATCCTGGCCTCTGCGAACCACGGCAGGGTTCTTTTCTAGCAGCTGGAAGATGAATCGTGCCAGCGTATTCTGCAATGTACTCGATCTGATACAAACCTCGAAGGCAACCAGTCGACGTTGAGATAGCAGATCGAGGACGATATCAACAGCTACAGGTGATAGCCAAGACATTGCTACCTCACTGACACCTTCTTCGTTCCGACCCGAGAGCATCAATAGACAAGAGGAGCCTTCTTGCCAGCAGCGAGCCCTATTATCAGCCATGAGATCCGACTTGCGTAGCTTTGAGCGATGCCTGTCGTCATCGAAGCTGGACCCCAGCGTTTCTCGGTATTGCTTCAGCGACAAGGCAGCATCTTCGGTTCGATAGTTTCCAATCTTCAGTCTTTCGCGTAGTGAAACGACCATACTTCTATCTTCGCGCTCTTGCATATCTGCTAGACCTTAGTATTCGACAAGCATCATCGGTATTATCCGTACCTTTGAGCTCGTTTGCGAGTTGATCTACTCGTTGCGCCAAAAGAACCTCGCATCTCGTCCGGATACGACTGAGGATCTTCCTCATATCCTGCTCCATGAGCTCAAACATAAGAGGGTTCCCAAAGTTGATCAGTTGGCGTCCTGAGGCCTGTTCAGTGAACAGGCATAGAGCTAGCATAATACTACTTACCCCAAGTGGACCCAAGGAAATACGACGTCGCTTCACGCGCAAGAAGGATAATTCTTTTGTATGCTTCGATAAGCATCTTCCCCAATTCGGGCTCGGGGTAAATCTTGCGGTACACTGCCAAATCCGGGAGACGATCAGATATCTGCACCATTGCGGATACGATGGCCTCTTCATTCTTGATCTTGAGCTTCACAGTCTTGCACAAGTTAGTTCTTCTCCGACCCGACCTTAATGATGGGGTCCTACCGAAAAGAGCAACGCAAGTGTCGCACCAGCTACTCCACCATATTGAGCGTCAGCTAAAGTGACAATACCCAAGATGCCGGAGTAAGCGTTGAGGAATCTATCGAACTGAACCACGAATTCTTCTGTCTTCGACCAGGCTTTGCGAATTCCCTTAGACCGGCTCTGGTCGAGAGCAGTATGCGCAGTTTCAAGAGCTTCAGCTTGTTTATGAACGTAGGTCAACAAGACATCGAGCGGAATAGCATTCAGCGAATCCATCAGATTACTCTCTTGTTTCGGCGCCGTCACTGCAGCATTACTTTTCTGCGGTACCGAGTTAAGGATACTTGTAAGCTCTGCTTTGATCCCGAGCCCTGTGCGCTTGAGCTTTTTGCTTATATCAACATTGTGTTCGGCAACGAACTGGGGTAATGGCAAACGCTTCCTGCTGTAGTCAGTCGGAGCGCGCACCATCCGTAACCGTTCAACAGGATACGCACATGCACTCAGAGTTAGGAAACCACTGCGATACAGATCTGTATGCTTTCTCATCTTCTTTAACTTCCATTGTCTGATTGCAAATGTTGTTAGCTTGGCTTTGGCTAAATTGACTGCGAGGAAATGATTTAGAATGTTATGTGAAGCCGCTTCGTATTGCTATTACCACACAACTAACACTCGCATAGGCTACAACACAGGAGATCTACCCGCATAATCTGTCAGCACAAGTTTGCAACACTGCCCAGTTGGCTTAGATTGTCAATACATGATGCGTCTTGGGGGCAGAGAGCGTGCGAATCAGAGACCAGCCTGCATGGTTTGCCGCACTCAGCCTTGTATGTGGCGTCCTTCAAGGATCAGTGCAATGGTAACCCCGCGCATGTTGCGCTTTGCACCCGAACAGCAGATTCTGCTGTTGTTCAAGGTTGCTCAGTCAATCTCGGAACTCGAATGACTGTAGTGCATATGCAAGGTGATGGATGGCGCAGCCTTCCCTCGAATCGCGTCCGATATACACGCTTTCATCCTTTCCACGGGTAATATTGGATTGCCAATCTTACAGCCCCCATGCTGTGGTCTTTTCGCGTCAGCGATATGGGGCGCTTCGCGGTTTCCACAGAAGAGAATCCCATCATGTAGGCGAGTACGAATTCGGCCTACGTCAAAGATATACAACAGGGCTCTCGCTACACATCTTACTCCACTTCGCGTGAGTCTTATCCAACATTGCTTGAATCATCCTCTCAAGGCATTGCAACAGTCAATGATGGATGATACCACCGCCGGTACAGAAGAAGGCCTAGTATGAACGCCATACCTGTGGATCTGCGAGTCCTGACAGGATATCTAGGGCCCAGCAAAGACTTTGGAAACAACCCAGGTCCAAGATCAATACATCAAGCTACTTCTGAGAAAGATAGCATTGCTTGAGGAACGTCTCCCAGCAGCTAATAATGACGATCATGCGTCACAGGTAAATACAGACTATCATCGCTTACGAATCTGCTTATCGACTGTGATACAGAAGAATGACCGCCCACCTGAGGTACCGGTTGAGAAGGAGGATGCAAACGAAGAAGAGGAACCCCGATATGTTATCATCGTGAACAAATGGGACCCAGACACTGGAGAATACAAAGATGACGATATAACGAAGAGCACCGAACAGAAGGAGATAGGACCGAAACCTCAAAGCCGTAGAGCATTCACATTTCGGAAGTCCACCATGCTTCGGTCAAGAATCAACTACATTGAAACGGTCGTGTCAGAAGCCAAAATCGAGTCTGAACCGTTGCAGAGGTTGATTGGGACGATAACTAAAGGCCTCGGAGCACCTGAGCTGGTCACGAGCCTCAGCTCTCCTTTTGCCAATTTAGTTTGGACGTGGGCAGAGGCCGATGAGGAAGCTAAGAAGTATGTAGAGAGCGAGACGCCCGATGAGAAGCAAGCTCGAGTTGACCTTCGTGAACTCATGAGAATCGTCTCCACATCATCTGGCATTCAACAGCTCGACCAGTACTTCAAAGAGCGAAGCTTCTTCGTCGAAGAAGGTACTATCTCGCATGCCGCACTCTGGACGCTATTTCCCCCTGGTACTCTGATCGTCTCGCACCCTTTCCTAGGAGAGCCCCAGATCTTCACCGTCGATTCGTGCGATTATTTTGTCCGTGAGGAACACACATTCGATTTGGTTTGTTTCAGCTTTGACTGGGCAGGTACCGAGTTTACACGTGTTCCATTTGAGATGAAAATCCGTCACTGGGGTTCTAATAGGAAAAGTATCGCGGAGCTACCATTCTACCCCCTGGAGTACTATACTAGCCCAGTCGACAAAAACATTACATCGGAGGATGCAATCGCCCAACTCAAGGATCAGCTTATCGCTCGGGGAAAGAAATTCGTCAAGCTCTGTACTGCTGAGAAAGGCAAACAAATGCGAACATACTCTGGCGATGCACACTTTCACGCTGGCCGGAGCTTCGTCAACAGCGCCGACGACGAAGGAATGCGCCGTAGTCGACAAGACGACGACTCGTCAACTTCCACCGAAACTGGTGCCGGAGGCCGAAATAGCGAGGCCCGCTATGTCAAGAGGAAGAAGGTGTGTCCTTGTATACCCCTTGCTATCGGTAAACCGAACCGCTTATCTAACTCCAAAGCAGGTCGATGGCACCACCATGGTGGACTTCGCCTCGTTCTTCGAATATCTCTCTCCCAATACACCAATTTTGGGAGATCTATCACAGTTCCGGGGCCAACTCGAGAATTTGTCGCCCGAGAAGCGAGCCAACCCAATCTACATGGACATGTATAAGACTCACTGGGATCGACATGCACCTGGGAAGACCATGTCGGATGATCAGTACCTGCACTGTCCCCCACGAGTACTCGGATATGCGCTAAAGCAGAAGAAGTGGGCGCAACTGCTAGTCGATAAACTCAACCCGCCTAATGAAGCCGACTCAAGTGTATTCCACAATAAGCTGCAACTCGATCCTGACTATAAAGATCTGGTTAGTTGTTCCGTACAAGCGCACGAATATGGTAAGAACCTCAATGCCAAGGGTGAGTCAATGAGCTTGCAGGATTTCGCACCGGATAAGGGAAAGGGTCTCGTCATCATGCTCTATGGTAAGCGTCTCTTTTCATTCCCTATATAATCTTCGGGGAACTGACTACAAGATAGGTCATCCGGGCGTTGGAAAGACTCTTACCGCAGAGAGCGTAGCCCTGATGGCAGGCAAACCCTTGCTCTCTGTGGGTGTCTCTGATATTGGAATCGAAGGTGACAAAGTCGAAGCAAACCTACAGAAGGTATTTGACCTTGCAGGAAAGTGGGAGGCTGTACTACTCTTGTGGGTCCCGCACCCTCCGGATTGTATGAAGACCTTTGACTAATGTGCACAGCGATGAGGCGGACGTGTTCCTTGAAGCCCGTGGTCGCGGAGAGAACGATCTGAGGCGTAATGCCATGGTTTCGGGTGAGTACAGTGTACATTCGCTGGCTCCACAATACTGACAACCTTAGTGCTCCTTCGTGTTCTGGAATACTACGATGGCATCTTGATCCTCACCACCAACCGTATGAGGTCGTTCGATATTGCCGTTCAGAGCCGCATCCGTAAGTCTCATTCCAAGTGCAAACTGTTCTAACGTCTTGTTTCGTACTAAGGTTTTCGCAGATATTGCGATCAAGTATGAAGAACTCGTGCATAGCCAGCAAATGGCAATCTTCAAATCTTTCCTCGAACAACTAAACCGCAAAAGGCTGGTCTACGACTACGATGATCTGCTAGAGTGGGTACACAGAGAGACCCGCAAACTAGCGTTCAATGGTCGCCAAATCAGGAATGTAGTGTCGACGGCTATGGGCATCGCATTGGTGGACGAAGCGAATGGGGGAAAGCTGAAAAGAAGCCATCTCATTCGTGTTGTTGAGCAGACGAAGCAGTTCAAGCAGGATTTGATTGCTGAGGAGGAGTTGTACAAGAGGCTACAGAAGGGTATATCTTGAAGGAGAGTAGTCAGAAGACAATATTTGGAGGAAGTAGGAAGAGAGGAAGGGTTTGAGGTTATGAGAATGCACCTGTCTTGTGATAATACAATGAGCAACATATTTTGATTTACCAACCGTTGACCAGATACTGATCCGGGATCCGACCAACCCAGGCAGCGATATGACGCTCAAAACATCTCTCTGAAAGACAAATTAGTTAGACGATCATGCTGAGGTCCGTTCCGCTATAGATATCTAGCAAACCGTTGCTTCACCACGCCAACATTACAAAAACAACCAGATCCAGTGTGTAGCAGCACATCCATACTGTTGGAGAAGTTAGCATTCGACGAAGCCGGAGATAGCTACCACTAATATCCCTGCGTGAGTGGTGCAAAAGGTCCCTCTTCCAACAAGCGCCACCAGATTCACATGTTCAGAGGCGCGACCAAGTCCATTACGATAAATGCTTCGTAATACACTATCTGTACGCCCGATACACCCGTGTGCAGCTTCGATGCTGACATGACAGGGGTGTTCATTCGTGCTCGTTCAATGAGCCGCAAGAGGTTTAGCTTGGAATCATCTTATCTGTCGGGCGTACAGCCTCATCACTAGCTAACACCATCTATGGAATCTATGATTGGCGAGTGAAATATATGTTTCAGTTGGTGGTTACGGGGTCATACAGGTGGAGAGGGCGAGTTGACCCGTTGGCATGGTTTAATGTGCGCTAGCAGCGTTTAGCAAAATGCTTGAAAGAACGTAGATACGGGGTATACGGTTAATGGGGAATGTATAAAAGCAGTGAGTTCCGTCAAGATCGGCGGCATTATCTTCTACTTGTAGACAAAGCCTTTGCATTAGAGCTTCTCGAATATAATCCATTACTACTATCCTTTCGATACTGTGTTGCGTACCAAGACAATCATCATGGCAACAGGGACGTCTTGCTCGACGGAGTGTATCAAGGTACGTCTTCCCATCACCAAATACCACATCGTCGCTAACCACTCCCGTTTCAGGGCTCTATTCACGCCGGAAACCCCAAGGGCACTATCGAGCAACTCCATGGTCTCTCCGTCTATATGGTCGGAAACCGGACCACACCAAAAGCAGTCATCTGCATATACTCAGACATCTTTGGATTAGGCCTTCCAAACAACAAAATCATCGCTGATGCCTACGCCGAGTCAGGAGAGTACCTAGTCCTGCTCCCTGACTTCTTCAAGGGCGATCCGGTCGGACTGAAGGTTGCTGACGCGTTGCTCCCTGTTGACGCAGCAGCCCAGAGTACATTTGCCAAATACACGGGTATCTTGGCGAGTATGCCGAGTTTCCTCATGTGGCAGAGGAGACATGGGAAAGCGGAGACGGATAAGATCTGCCTCGACTTTATGCGAGAGCTGAGGCGAGCGACGCCGAGCGAAAGGAAGATCGGTATGGTCGGGTTCTGTTGGGGAGGCAAGTACGCTGTTCGTACCGGATTGGAGAGCAACATGATCGAGATTGAGGGGAAGAAGAAACCGCTTGTCGACGCGATTGTGGCATTGCACCCAAGTCACTTGGTAAAAGCTCCTACGTACCAACTGCATGTGAGACATACACTGACGTAGTGTATCAACGTTATAGGTCGTTCCGGATGACGTCGAGAGTCTCGTCGTTCCCACGAGCTTTGCGTGGGGCGTAGATGATATCGCTGTAAGCTTTGAGACAAAGAGCAAGGTGGAGGCATGTCATGCGAAGGCACAGAAGGAGCGAAAGATATTTCCGGAGATCGAACATAAAGTGTACAAGCCCGGAAGGCACGGGTTCGCAGTTAGAGGCAACCCAGACGATCCACAGGAAAGGAAGGCCTTGGAGGATTCGGAGAAGCAGGTGCTTGCGTGGTTGAAGAGGTGGCTGTGAAAGTCGTTTCGCAACTCGTGTACAGGTACCCCAGGGCTTCAGGATCATTTGGGTACAACTCAGAGAACGAGCATCTTCGTAGCCATAAATTGGTATATCGCCTCGACGTATTTAAGAATTCTTTAGGTGCATAGCGCCGCACGCCCATCTAACGCTCTGCTGAGCTTATCAATTCCGCCTATATTTCTGTGGAATGTTCTTCTCTACGACGCCCCTAAGCTCCAGCCTCTCCCACTCTTCTTGCGCAGCCTCCTTCTCCTCATGCATCTTGAAATGCGCGATATCCTCCGGGTGGTTCAGATCCTCCTCTTTTACGTCATCGCCACTATGGTACTTCTCCCAATGGTGGATCTCGTACTCGTATTCATCATCACCGTGGTGGCCTGGGCCCATGCCAAAGTCTGGTAGCTTGACGTTCTCCGAATCTTTTTGGACGAATTCAGCCAAAGTGATGGAACCATCTTTGTTGATATCAAACATGTCTAGGATAGTCTGGACGACCATTTGTTTCTTTGTCTCGGAAATGGAGGCGCTGGAGGGGTCTTCGAGACCGTAGGTTCGTCGGATGTCGACAGCAGTCCAGAGACCGGTGCTGTCGTAGTCGTGTATGTTGAAGAAGGTAGCTGCGTCGTAGCCGGAGATATGGTGCTCTTCTGCGATTGTGTTAGTCATTAACTCCTTGTTATGTGTTTCGTATCGCGGAAATCCGGGGAAGTTCATACCAGCCATATGTCGCGTCGCCCAGTCGGCGTCCGGTGCTACTTCTACTTGCGCATGCTCGTTGCCGCCATGCGCTGAGGCATTGAGGGCGCATGATACGAGTAGGAGCGCGCCAAGTGGCAGTTTCAACATGCGATCCATGATTTCTTGAATTGTGAGATTCAAAAGCATGTAAAGGTTGCGTTGAGTAGTAGCCCAGGCCTTGTCGGCCAGGGGCTCGGTTCAACAACTGGCCAACCGCCGACACTATGTCATAGGGGTCTCGAACATTTCCACGTGCCTGCATTTAGCCCTCTCACCGCACCGACAACACCGCAAGTTCACGATGAACGTTTTAGTCCTCTTGAGCTTGTTGCTCTTTATCCCATTCATCTTCTTTCTCGCATTTCTTGCCGCTTCGTCCTGCATGGGTGACGGCTTCCGCGCAAGATTTGCTGGAGTCACATTCAATCCTCGAAACGCATCGTTCGGGCGCAACTACACGCGAGGCTTCGGATCGGGAGCAGGGAGCGGTGGCTGGGAACAGATTGAGATGGAAGATATGCTTGGGGAGGACAGCGACTCGGAATGAAGAAGCTGGCACATGCGACAAGAAGTATGGCTTGACCGGCCATCTCGGTGCCATACAGGGTATCTTCATCTACTACACACTACCGCCGATTTGCGTCTTCTAGAACTCTAGATCTTGCTTCTTGGGCATCGCACTAGCACCAGCCGCCTCCCTTACAGCCTCCTCCTGCGCCTCGGTGTCGCCTTCCATTGGCGGGAGGCTGAACTTTGCGATCACAAACTTCCGCCTACTCAACGTAAACGCCATGTCCTCGCCCAAGTCTTCTGCTCCACCACCGCCGCCCTTCTCGTGGAATACTGGTAGTTTGTGCACGGCGAGCATACCCTGCGGTCGCTCTTCGTCCTTTGTCGTACCTGCCGATTGTGCAAGCGCTTGCATGCGCGAGTATGGAAACGGAGACAATTCAAGGACACCGTCTGAAAGGATCTCCATCCAGCGGACGAGGCCTGAGGATCTTGGATACAGGGTCAATGGAAGCGTGACAATGGCGGTCAGACGTGTTTGATATTGTCGGAGTAGCGCGCGTAGAGCATGGAGAAATTGGAGTATGGAGGTCGGGTGGGCTGACGAGGGAGGGTACAGCGCTGGTGAGAGAAGAGCCGGTATTACAATGCGATGGATTGTGTGTGATGGTGTCGACTCGAGTTGCTGCCGTATGTTCTGCAGAATCGAAGGGAAGGGTGACGCAGAAGCGCCCGTCGGTGGAGATATTGGCACGTAGTTGATCGCCGACCCGACAGGCAGTGTGAGACGTTTGGCAAGGTCGAAGGTATGGCAGAAGACCGTCTGTTCTTCGGCTGCACCATCGCTTTGACTCGCTGTCCTTTGCACATTGGGGGAGCCTGTTGCGAACCTTGTCAAAATTGCTCGAAACATGATTTTGCATTCGCAGGATATATGTACAAGACGCACCTCTAGCACTCTCAAACTGTCCAAGACCTTCATACCTCCACGCGATCTTCATTTTTTCCGCTCGCTCCTTCCCTTCCTTCCTCTTGTCTGACTTGTCTTCCGATATGCCTGGCAATTCCCTACCCCACACTTCACCCATGCCTACTACATGCACCTTGTGGCCCTGCACCACGCCCTCGGCTGCGTAAAACCGTAGCAATGCCCCGGCATAGTCCGTCGTTCCGCTCTCGCCTATGAGTATCGAGTGCCCTAGCGCCAGGCCAGCATGTCCTGCCAGAATGCCATCGAGCGAGGGTGTGCCGGTGGATGTGGTGGGGCGGCCATCGATGGGCGAGGGACGGACACCAGGAGGTGTTGGCGCAGGCTGTGCTATTATGGGAGATGAGGGCGCGTTCAACGCGTCTTCGCCTGCTGGTGCACGGGATAGTGCTACGTTGCGCTTGCGAAACGCCATTTTGAGGTGTCTTGAGCTGTGAGTCGCGACTTCTCGAAAATGTTAGAGGGGCTATCGATAAGGCTAGCTAGCGTCAGACGTCATCCAGACCTTGCGCCCACGATGCGCTCGGCAACCTCTCGCAAGTATTTTGTTCTCGTGAAGCAGAACTATGATTCTCCAGTTATTCTATCAAGGTCACTACAAGGGTTTAGGACTTTATGCGGTTTTCCTGTGACTCCGTACCAGAAATTGTGCCACTTCTCATCCTAGTGGCATGTTTGAGACAATCTAGCATTCCCTCTATATCTGATGTGAGAGTCAGACTTATACCAACTGCAAACAACCCTTAGCTAAACGGAATGTCTCCTTACGCCTTTGAATGAATATCGAGTCCCTGGTTTGGCACAGTTAATATCAAACTTTTCGCAGTGTCCCCCAGCAAACCAGTTCAACACGTGCAAACACCACAACTACTTCCAGAAAGCGCCAATTGCTTGCGCTTTTCCCATCCCGGACTAAGTTATCAACGCCCTTCATCGTATCCTTTCATAGTCTTCTTGCTATTTCCCTCTGCAGTCTGTCACCTGTAGTTCGAGCAGCTCATCCTGGTTTGTATAGGAAGCCTGCGCCTTCTGCAAACTTGCTTCCGTGTGAGCACTATGCTCTCTGTGCTTAGACTTTACTTTTATCTATCTCTTCATTCGTGCTCAGACTCTCTTTTTCCATATATTCGTGTCTTTATTTGCACATTCTGCAACTAGTAGCTTCTAATGTTCATTCCTCCAAATGTTACCATCTCGCACTAAGTTCCCGACACGGCTAGCGCATCTCATTAGCGCGCTCTCCAGAGCAGCCATCCTTCACTCGATACCCGTTTCATCTTCGACATCCATCTGTCTTCCTTTCCTAATTTCTCTTAACATTCAGCCATGGCCGAGGATGAGGAAGTCGAATCTGCTTTGATTCCAAGCCTCTACAAGCCGCCCGCTTTACTACCAATAGCACAACTCAAAGATCAACTACTCTACACAATAGAGACGTACCCTGTGACAATTGTTGTTGGCGAAACAGGCAGCGGTAAGCTCTTTGAATTCACACTAAACAGTGTCTTGGAGCTGACATTGCCCAGGCAAGACCACGCAGATACCAAAATTCCTCCTTGAAGGAGGCTGGTGCAATAGTGGCCAGCAAATAGCCATCACCCAGCCTCGGCGGATAGCATGCACTAGCGTGGCAGCAAGAGTAGCGGAAGAGATAGGTACATCACTTGGTCAGAAAGTTGGGTACAGCATCCGGTTCGAAGATGTTACATCCGCGGCCACACAGGTAAAGTTCGTCACAGATGGTCTGTTACTGCGCGAGATGCTTGTCGACCCGTTGCTCTCTCGCTACTCCGTTATCATGGTTGATGAAGCACATGAGCGAAGCTTATCATCTGATATACTGCTGAGTCTACTGAAGAAAGTGCTGAGGAAAAGGGAAGACTTGCGTGTTGTCGTGAGTAGCGCCACGCTGGAAGCAGAACACTTCCTTGACTTTTTCAATCCTGACGAAGGGGAAAAGGTCCATGGCAAGAGTAGAGAAGATTTTGGGTACATTATCGGCATTGAAGGGCGCACATATCCGGTCGAGATCCAATACCTACAAGAACCAACGAACAACTACGTCGAAACATCAGTCGATACAGTCATGAAAATTCACGAGCACGAGAGTGAAGGCGACATTCTCGTATTCTTAACGGGACGCGAGGAAATAGATGACGCTATTGACAAGCTGGGGGATCGCATTGCCGAGATGACTTCATCCCAGCAAAGGCTCATGCCCCTGCCCCTCTACGCCGGCCTGCCCACAGAAGACCAGAATCTCATCTTCACAAAGCCACCGCCGAATACGCGACGCGTCATTTTCAGCACCAATATTTCAGAGGCGTCTTTGACTATTGATGGCATTGCCTTCGTGGTAGACACAGGATACGTCAAGCTCCGCGCCTACAACGCCAGCCTAGGCATCGAAAATCTAGCCGTCGTCCCCGTATCGAAAGCCAGTGCCACGCAAAGAGCAGGTCGTGCTGGGCGCACAAGGCCAGGCAAGTGCTTTAGACTGTACCCAGAAAGCGTATATGAAGGCTTGGAGGAAGCCACCTTCCCTGAGCTCGCTCGCTCCAATCTCGCACCTGTAATTCTGCAGCTTCTCAACTTAGGAATCACGAATGTGGTGCGGTTTGACTACCTCTCCTCGCCGCCATCAGCTCTCGTAACACGTGCTCTGGATCTTCTCTACTCCCTTGGGGCCCTGGACACTCACGCTCGGCTTACAAAGCCCCTTGGTACACGTATGGCAGAACTACCTCTCGAACCAATGCTTGCTCGCGCCTTGTTGAAAGCTGCGGAACCAGAGTTTGGCTGCTTGAGCGAAATGCTCACGATAGCTGCTATGATGACACTGCAAGGCAACGCCTTTGTATCCCATGACGGTGCAAAGAAACAACTCGATGCAGCGAGGCGGAAATTTGGAGTAGCGGAGGGCGATCATCTTACACTGTACAATGTGTACGAAGCTTTCGTTAAAGCTGGTATGGGTAACACGGCATGGTGTCATTCGAATAGTCTCAACCACAAATCGCTCGTCAAGGCAGTCAGTGTCCGGAAACAACTAGTTGCTTATCTGGATCGTTTTGGTGTCAAGGAGAATGTTCTCGCATCGTCGGGCGTCCTGAGGGTTGGCGGTACACCACTTGCCGAGCGCGTCCGACGTTGTTTGACCACTGGATTCTTCGCCCATGCTGCGAGAATGAAGTCAGACGGAACTTTCACTACTGTTGACGGAAAAACGACACTATGGGCTCACCCGAGTTCTGTATTCTTCACGAGGAAGGCTGATTGGGTCATATACACCGAGATCCAGTCCACGAGGGACAAAATCTACATCAGGGATCTGAGTACAGTGGATATGGATTGGCTGACGGAATATGCGCCCGAGTACTATAAGATCAAGGACGGCGGTCGATGAGATGGGAGGAAAGGAAGAATCTTGCGGGTATCTATCAAAACTAAAGGGCATAATTACATAACATCATGAAAAGACTGCTAGTCTCGCATCATTACTTGCATGCTTCCACAAACAGCTCGCGCATACCCTTTAGAAAACCTGCTAGATCGCGTGTCTCGTTCAGTCTTTCCACCACCGTCTCGACTTCTTCGCGCTCAACCTTGGGCCGCATCTCAAGCACTCTGTAGTCGCGTTCGCTAGTGTCCAGCTCAAACCAGGCCTCACGGTCCCACTCCCTCTCATCCACGTTGGTATACACAAACTTGAGCCTATCATCCTTCCCAAGTCCCTCAATCCTCAGTCCCAGATAGTTCTCCCAGAAGTCGAGTTCCGGCTCGTTGTACCGGCTCTGGCCATCAAGGTATCTGCGGTGCTTGAGCTGGGCTTCACGGCGCGCCGAGATGGTCTTTTGCACTTCGGCAATCTGGGAGCGAAGACTGTCGCGGTTCGCTAGACGCTCGTCGCGCTGTAGGGTGAGGGCGGAGATGGCTTCTTGCATCTCGGAAGTCTCCTGAGATTCCTTGGAGATAGTCTGGCTGTGCTGGGCTGTCTTGAGTTCGAGAATCTCAATGTCGCGCTTCTTCATGCGTTGGTCCTCTGCATTTACAGTTAGCATATGATCGATCAGCGCCAGCAGCGTCGTATCACAACATACCGTGAAGTTCTGCGACGTTCATGCGGAACTGGTTGCGCTCTTCGAGTACTCGTCTTCGTCCGTTCTCGATGAAGGCGTCAAATCGTGTAGTGAACTGGTTCATGCGACTGCGAAGGTCGTCAAATCCGAAATTGATGCTTGGTAGTTGATCGGCCATGGACGGCGCATCGTGCGAGGAGGCGCGCATGGTGGTGCTGAGTGAAGGTTCGAAGGTCGTCATGGTGAGCCGGTATCGCAGGACTACTTGCGGTAATCTCGTGGTGCGCAGTACTTTGCGAATACGCCGTGGGTGCGATGCGATGACGAATGGTGAGGGTGGTTGAGATGGTTGCTCCGTAAACAAACATCCGCGCTAATGCGGCAGGAACAAGAGCGGGGCGCATGCACGTGCCGACGCGACCTTTGGCGCTAGTGGAACTTTTTGGTTCGTTCACTTTCATAATCGTGTTGGGCGCATCACCAGGTTCGACATACATCTTCTCCGCTTCCGCATACGGCCCTTTGTTTTCTGCGCCCAAAGTATGAGTTTATACTGCAGCGTCGTTACGGATCGAGAACCTTTACGACAACCAAATGGCTGACAGATCGCTCAAAGATCTAAACTACGGCCATCCTGGCGTCGCGAGTTATGATTTGGAAAACAGACAATGGGCTTTTGCTAGACAATACAAGAGACGAATTTTCAAGCAAATCCGGGCCCTGAAGACCACGCCTTGTACGGGCAACCATGCGACACCTACTTCGACACAACTTGTCTTTCCGCAAACTCCAGCGAATAGGACGAGCATACAGAATGAAATCAGTAACATTGTTCAAGACAACCCTCTACTCGCCCCAGTTGTCGAACTGCTCCCGGAGCTAGCCTTGGTATCTGCTGCCATCTCTTCTACGGCTTCGACCTATGATCCGCTCGTCGGTGACCTTTTGTCTTTCGGTTCGATTACGCCCAAGGGTAGACACGAGGCGTGGCGGATAGCTGCATTGCCGACAGGAGAGACTGGAAGCATACTACAGTTGTCTATTTTGGACAGCGAAAGGCATGGTTGGACAACCGACCCGAAGCCGTGGGTACAGGGACAGACCTTGAAAGCCGCAGAGAGTGCATTTTGGAATGAGGAAGCGGCACCGATACAGCAAATTCGTTTTGCGTATTCAGAAGACAGAAGACCTTTGCTTGCCGTGCGACTCCCCACTCGTACTGTTCTGTTCCATCCAGACTACCTCCACCAACCTCGCGCTGCCGTAACTTCCCCATTTTACCGTCTGCCCAGTTCGACGATTCAACCAAACCCCATACTCAGCATACACCAGAACGATACGGGCGGCTTTCCTCATGTCGACGTTGCCTTCAATCCCGACTTCCAGTTACAGTTTGCGCTCGTCGATGAAAGCCAGACGTGGAGTGTATGGGATATCGAGCATCGGCTCAGGCTTGGTACATACTCAGCTTCATGCGTGCTTCGCGGAAGAATTAACGAATCGGAAGACGGGGATACAACTGGCCAAGACGGCTGGGCGAAAGTCCTATGGGTGGCCGACATCGCGACATTGCTTGTTTGCAACAGGCGCCACTTGAGCATTGTCAGTATCAAGGGCGGATCAACGTCGTACCTACCCTGCCCAGAGATCTTCAGCGAGCGATCCGCAGACTGGATTCTGGACGCCAAGCGGCATCCAAAGGACCGTAGTCGAGTATTCATCTTGACCTCTACTCGACTTACCCTTATTGCAATCACTGCACCAAGCGAGCTCTTGTCATGTGCTCACGAAGCAGGCGCTAAGATCCTTCTCTCATGGCGGCATTATAGAGGCGCTGAAGATTTCACACTCGGGATGAGCGTGCAAATGCTGACAGATGATGGTAAGTGATAAACTCATCCTCCATGAAGAGACCGACTGACAGATTAACAGAGACGTGTCTGATGATCCATTCCCGTGTCAACAACCTCATCCAAGTACACAGCTTCACTGAGCGTTCTTCTGGGCTTGTTACCGGCTCTGATCCGACTCTGCTTGATCTATCCATTCCGGACTCGGGGCAGATAACCAACATGGTTATCGAGACGATGGAACAAGGAGATTTGAGGTCAGAGGTCGGCTTTCTCCAGTTGTTTGTGATGCAGACCGATTTGAGCGTCCACGAGTTCGTTGTATATACACGGGCCTCTACAGCGGACGATTCGATCGAGGACGACCAAGCCGTTGCAAACTTTACACGAGGCACGATAAGACGCCCTAGGAATCGGACATTCAAGTCTCATGCGGTCAACAAGGACGATGATTTCGTAAGCCCTGATGGTCTGGCTACCACAGAATTGCCACGCTCGAAGGTTGTAAGGCCACGGTCGCACTGGTACAACACTTCGAATGATCTTGCTACGTACGAAACACGAAACAATAGTCTATTGGGTGAGGTCATATCGCGGTCTAAAAGTTCGGCTGAGGAGTCTGGCGCAATCGATGCGGTGGCAGTCATGGACCAGGTGAACGAGATGCTGGCAACTGGTGCAGACTTGCCATCTTTACCATTGGGTACTTTGTAAGTAATTTATGCTCACATTGAGATCTGAACTAACATTCACAGGATGGAGTTTATGCGCACGCTTTTTGACGTTGCAGACATCGACGAAGCTTCTTCCAACTTTCAAGAGCTGTTTTCTTCCGGATATGGGCACAACACAATGGATGTTCAACGTATCGCACCTATGCATGTGCTTGGTTTAACCTTCGACGGCGACCCTACGATTTCCGATGTGTACGACACTATACTCCAAACATGGGTTGCACCTCTGCCACCAGAGGTGCCAATTCGCGTTCGGCAACGCTTGGAACGTCTGGCTCGGCGGATCGCCACGGAATTGATGTTCTCAAGCACTTGCATACGTGATGATCGGAGGCAGGTGCCTACTGTTAGCACACAACATGGACAAAGCGAGGATAATCGCGTCGCGTTGCCCATCTTGCCATCCAGGCCCAAAGAAGGTGCTTTTCTTCCCACCTCCAGATATCCGATCTCTCAGCCACTACCGACACCACCATACTCGTCTATACCGCCTTCGTCTTTGCCTCCATCCTCTGTGCTGGGATCGTCCCCGCCAGAAGTGCCTCCCACGCCGCCTGCCCTACCGGACTCCCTCAGTCGCCTCAGCAAGTATCTTCCGACCTCCAAAGACGCAGCGATCATTCACCCAAACGTGGCTCAAGGTCTTGCGCATTGGCAATTAGGAAGTGATCCTCACATGTACAACTGGGCCAGCCTGGAGCGTGCTCTTCAATCCGAAGATCTTGACGAGGAGAGTCAACAGCAACGCGAGAAAGAACGTAAGAAGAGGGAGCGTCGAGAAAAGCGTCAACAGCGTGAAAACGAGCTCATGAGGGCTAGGGCTGAGCTCATGAAGGCTAAAGTTGTTAGTCAACCTACCGCGTTCCCGAGGAGCTCTCCAGGGCCCATGTTGGGTGGTATGGGCAGCAGCAGTCAGGTACCAAGTCAAAGTCAAAGTCAGGTGCCATCTCATGGCAGTAGTTTCATGATGCCGCAAAGTCAAGCGGAGCGTGGCAAGTTCGGAGGTAAGCTAGACAAGAAGAAAAAGAAGAAGGGTAGGATTAGTGGATTCTGAGCCTTGGATGGGCGTATTGTTCCGGACATGGGCCTTCGGGGGCATACACATAGTGTGCATGTATAAAATGGATGTCTCTGATTCGGTGCCGTCATCAGCGCGGAAAGAAGGAACCTCTTCTCCTCAAAGTGGGGCTGGAGGGGTAGCTTCCCCATATCACCAACTACATAGTTTAGCCCTACCCCGGATCCGCTCCTATATACCAAGCATTGCAACCATCCGCCCATATCCACAGTACTCCCAATCATCCTTTGAACAACCCAAATCAAGATGTCAGGTTTCCCATCTCTCCAGCCCGCCTTCACAGTCCGCGTCGACATCGATGCGCCGATGCAAGTCGGAGGTCAGCACGGCCCTCAATTGGTTGTTGTTCCGATGGTCTCTGGCACGGTGAAGAGTGAGGAGGGCTTTGAGCCGAAGTTAGACGGAGAATTACACGGTGTCGGTTACGACTACATCCATAACGACGCTGATGGCGGAAACATGCGCTTGGATGTGAGGAGTCAAGTCAAGTGAGTGGAAGCTGCCTGCATCAATTCAGGTGAAGTGTCTGCTGACAGGTGTTTAGGAACCATGACGGCACGATTCTGGCAATGTACTACAAGGGTACTGTGAAGCTTACACCGGGTGTTGGGAAAGTGCTGTCTGGTGCATCGGATGCTAAGACTACCGACTATGGCGACTCATTTGTCAACTTCACTTTCGAGACCGGCAACGAGAAGTACAAAGAACTTCAGAATGGAACGTATGTTGCTGCAGGTCACTTTGTAGCGGGCGAGGGAAAGCCGGGCGTCGTGGTGGAGTATAAGGTCAGTAAGGTTGTGTACAACGCCAGTCAAGGCAGAATGTAGGAGGTAAGTGTATTTGCGACTTTATTTGCTTGAAGATACTGACTCTCAGTAGAGTTTAGTTCCGTATATTCGAGCGGAGAGCTTTCAATTAATCTCTGTCTCTCAATATATGTCTCGCCTTCACCTCACATCTATGGCTCCAATTCCTCTCTTTGTCCATGTTTCGTAGTGTAAACTTCGTTCTTGGTCACCTTCACTTCCCAAACATGCTCATTGACTGCTGTCGCTGTAAGGATGCCGTTTGATTTGTCCTGGCACCTGATATGACCTCGCCGCCGCTGGCCATTCTTGAAAACAAGTAACAACTTCCACATCTCGCGGTAAACAATCTACTCTACACCCAACGACTTGATTCGCGGTGATTTGATTGATTATGATCATGTGGTACACAGTCTGACGATCCAGCAGCTGCCCAACCGCGGCAATGGACATCAAAGCCAAGTAGTCCCTAGCTGACTTAAACAACTATGCTCCTGCCAACGCGTCTTTCGGCTCCGATCTCATCTCCCATGCCAGTTTCTGTGCATTCAAGAAGAAGTCATTCGTTGACGTCAAAGGTGTAAAACAGCGCAGAAGGATAATGCGTATTGGTCTGTATTTCTTGGGCAACGGCCTGGAGGAAGTCTGGGCATGTGCGACAGGACTGTCTGTCAATTACTACTACAATACGCGCATGAACACCAACTTGTTCAGGTAGAAGGTCGATAAAAGCAACGCATCTACTACCGCGGCACAAACTTCCGTTTCATCGCCGCACATGAATCCGTTACTAGGGACAGAGCTCGTGCGTATGGAAGGGTCCTAGTCGAGATCGTCATTGACTACGTCTTCCTTGCAGGCTGTGAGCTTCATCATGTCAGGAATGAAAATAGCACAGACATGCTGACCGACTTTGCTAAGGCGTGCATTGCATACGCCGAGAAGAAGGAGCAAAATGAAGAAGATTAAGCTAGATTTCGGCGCAACAACTTCGACAGGCCTGGTAGAGAACGTGTAGCGGGTATCAAGACAGAGCCCTCAGACAATTCCAATCGGATCAATCTTTGTGAATATTCCGACGCTTTGGTACACGCAGTTTTACTGCCATTTCCTCTCTAGTTTTCCAGCGCAATTTATCTATTCTCATACATATCTCCTTGATCCGTCATTGCTCACTAAAATTACCATGCTAACTACTGATCTACAGAAGCATCGCCAAAACTACCAGGACAAGCTTCACACCGAACTAGAACGAGAGAGGGAAGCCCGCGCAAAGTTCGAGCGCATCTCCAAGGACAAGGCCCAGCCACTGAGGGCACAGCGCCAAAAGTGCGCATGGGAGAAGAAACTTGAACGATCTACACAGAGGAGCGCTCATATATAAGAGGCATTGCTCAAGGCGACGCAAGCTATTCAGGCCGCGCTACACCAGGAAGTTCACGACAAGAGCAGTCACGAGAGATCTGGTGGCGAAATGGACCAAGATTTTGAGGGAGATGAGGACGGAAGTCACTGAAAGCTGATGTTAGTATGTACCAGAACTATGAGAATGACGTAGACTACAACGGTGGAGAGATGGAAGTGGAGCTACATCGCAAGGTTGCTAAGGCTAGTCACCATTTTGCCCACATCTACATGTCCGGTGTCGACTTCTATTCGTCAGACATTGTTTGTCCTCGGTCTTGAATAGATGCGGCAGAGCCAGCCACTCAGATCATAACTGGAAACTGGAGACTCGAAGAATTTGAGAACATACAACAAAGTTAGCTGCTCAGGCCTTATAAGCTGCTGATACTCACAGAGGACAGTGCATTGATGAGCTCGTAGCAGTCGACAGGACTATTTAGATGGCTACGTGGAACATATGAGCTTGCCTTGTCTCACTTCACGCCACATGTGCTTTCACTTATTGGTAACACTAATGTTACCTCGCGCACATGCGTTGAAGCTCTCAATTTCAGACAGTTCTTTCTCTAGCTTCGCCAAACCCCATCATCCCTGCTCACCTTCACCAAGTCGATAGTGGACGAGGGTGCGTTTGCTCCTGCCTTCGGCGAATTCGACCCGAAGTACAGCTTTCCCATCTGTCTAGCTCCTTCCACGACAACTTTCTTGCGGGACTACCTATTGCCACAAAACACTGGTGAGTCTATTGATCTAGCACGCATACAATCAGGCTTGACTAATTGCTGAACTAGGTCGCTACAATGATCCGCGCATGCGACATGCACCTCGACTCACCGGCTACCATGACGATGAGAAAGAAGTACGTACTTGGCGACTTCACCAAGTATGGCACGGGAAAGCTTGCAACGAAGTTCGCCACAATCTCCAATATGGCACTCTATGAATTCTCCGAAAAACTACATTTGGACGAGAAGAACCGCGCACATCAATGTCATATGCTTCTCGTCGGCCACTATTCGCGGAAGTCTGGCGGCCCACCAGTATGGGCGTACGCTACAGGCGAAAATATATGCTACTATTCTGGAGTGGGAACCCAGGTGACTCTATTGGTCCAGGATATACACTCGTCGAAAGTTTACTACGATCCTCCGTTTAGCTACATTAGTGGCTCGCTAGACTACAATAGTCTGAAGCCTGGGATGAACCCGGAACGCAAGCTTGAGCGTACGATAGTTGATTCCGCAATCAAATTCATCTTCTTGATGAGTGGCCGGCTGGAACAGGTATTAGACCTAGTAAACCCGGACATACTTGGCAACTTCAGACAGGCTTGCGCAAATTTGGTCCGATACCAGAAACCTCTCCATGTTACCGGCCATGCTCTAAATGATCAGTATTCAGAGGGTGAAGCCTCTGTTTCAGGGGCGAATGGACATCTTCATCCTAACGATTGCATTGCAGCTATCGAGCCAAGCGCCCGGCTTGCACACTACAACAAGAACCCGGCCTCGGCCAATCTGCGTAAACGCCAGATTGTAGATATCAGTGACGATCCGACCAGTGATCACTCAAGGCGTAAGTACAGCGTCTGCATGTATTTGATACTTAGCTGACATTTCTATTCAGCCTTGGATAAACGTGCGCGTCTACTCGTAAGTCATTCCTTCTCATCTGCGTCTTCGACCAGGGTTCATTTCAGGTATGATAGCCACTAATATCTAGCTACAGGAACACATTAGCAACTATGAAACCGAGGTTCACGCCAACCTGGAACGTGAAGTGCGAGATCTCAGAGCCCAGCTTGAACACCAAGAAGCAAGAAGGAGTGCTACGAAGGCGAAGTTGGTTCAAGAGAAGTCTAGACGGGGACCGGCTGAAGGACAGCGTGATAAATACTGGAAGAGATGCACGCAACAACAAGAAACTTCCCAGACGAACGCTATCCAGACGGTAGCGGTCAAAGAAGAGGGGAGCCCCAACTGGAAGGCCATGCTTTTTGAGCAGGAAAGGCAGACGGAGCACTACAAACTCAAGTACATCGCCGCCAAAGAAGAGAAGGCGACGATCGAGGCGAAGTCAACGGAGCAAGAAAGAAAGAAGGAGCACTACAAACTCAAGTACATCACGGTTGAAGAGGAGAAAAGAACATTGGAGGCAAGTTCAGTGAAGCAGGACATCATAATCACAGAGTGCAAACGCAAACTGCTTAATCGAGAAGAGAAGGCCGCCGAGTCGAAAGCACAGTTGGTAGAGAGCGAAAAGGCCTCCAAGGACGTCAAGATCGAATACCACGAACTAGCGAAATGTTTGGATATCAAAACTGACGTTGTAAGCTTAACGCAACAGCTGAAGGCTTCACAGTCTGTTCAGAGAGCCACAATCCAGGAGCTTCGTGATACACAATGGCGACGGTCACCTCTAGAGCTACAGATACGTGAATGGGAGGAAAGGGAGCGCACAAGAGGAGACCCGGCCGCTAATATCTTGGTGGAGACGCTGGAACAGCGAGTTCAATATCTGGAAGGGAGCGTCAACACGTTGAGAGCCGCGCCTTCAGAACCCAAGTTGCTCGCTCAAAGGAATGAGATTCAAAGAATGGAAACGTCAGTAAACATGACCAAAGCTGAGCTGGATTGCACCAGAACCAAGTTGGATGCCATAAAGAACTTGAAGGTCAAGGAGGTGGTGGATCAGATCAATATGTCTCTGGGCAAGGTTCGAGTTGTTGGCGATGCTATGCCAGCAGACGTTGTCTCTACAAGTGACTGACTGAGGCAAACATAATGGTTCCATCGTCCGTACAAGTCTTTGGGTTTGATCTCGCAGTTCATGGGTTGTTGTTTAGTAGATGTTAGTGTATCTGAAAGATAATGTATCCAAGATCGATAAGCACGCCAAGTCAAAAGTGACCAATTTCACTTACACCTCATTCACGACACGATCGTTTCCTTCTTCCACGAACAACTGTCCATCGCAGTCGATCTCCCAAACATGCATAAAACACCAACCCAAGTCCAAGTCTAGGGTAGCTACCCGTTCCCAAACCCAACACAATTGCTTTTGCGCGGAACCACTTAGCGTACCTACGATACCGTCCCTTCTCCACTATTCATGCTGCAGTGTGGCAGCACCCGGCTCCGCGATTGTTGAACTGTCGGTACTGTTCGCCCGATCACACACCACAACACGAGTCAGATCGGTAGCACGATAAGATCGCGTGCGATTGAGCATTGCTTCTGAACCGACCACATATCTCGATAATTGTTAGCTGCACGAGCGTATCCGCCGTATAAGTCACTGACTGGTTCAGTCGAGATCAATCAAGCATCGTACGTCAAACAAGGGGCCCCCCCACGTCATGGCCAGCAGTACAGTACCGAACACTGTTCACCGTTTCACCCACCCCTAACGTGGGGAGAAAGAGCGCAAAGGCGGCCGTTTGTTAGTCGTACATCTTAGTGTGGGATACAATGCGCAGGTGAGCTAATTTCCGAGATAAAAATGGCGCTAGCTGCAAGAGGTACGGAAGGTGGATGACGAAAGGGAAAAAAGCAATTCTTGGTTTCGTTCGAGCTTTACTGAATGTGATGGCGGTTGCAGCAATTGCGGGTCTGATTCTCCCTAGGTTTGAGGTTGTGTGTAGATCTCGTCGAGTCGATCTCCGGAATGTCGTTGCACATGTGAGTGTTGTGGAGATCTGGCTGGGAGGTTGTGGTTGTGATGTCTCGGCCTTTCTTCGCCAATGGGAGATCAGCAACTTGGCGTGTCGGCGCTTTGCTACGAAGCGCCTTCGATACATGCCTGCGTTTTGAAGGACAATATGATACTGATGCATGAATGTACACATAAGAGACGCAATGGGTTTAATTGGTATCGATGTGTTCGCTATTAGTCTTAGTAATAAGATACAGTCAACGAATAGAAGGTCAGGACGGGGGTGCCAGTGGAGGCAGGTATCTGAAGCATGCAACCAGTCTATACGCGTCGAAACAACCTCCGCGTCATGCAAAGTCGTGATGAACAGATGCGAAAAATGACGAAGAAAAGAAACAGAAGTGGATAAAAATATGTTGAGAAGTAACAACAATGACGAGGTGGACGCAGAAGCGAATCCCGATACAGGATGCAGATAACCGAGTGTGATAGAGGCGCGTCGCGCATTTTGCATCTGATAGCATGGTGGCGCATCGCAAGCCTTCAATCGGTGCGACTTCCCCATTCGAAACAAACTCCTGGACCAATAGCATTACATTATGCCCTTGAGTCCGCGAAAGCCACCAGTTTTGGAAGACGACGGCTTCTTCTGTTCCTTCTCTTTGACCTTCTTTCCAATATTCTGAGCGCCACCTGTCTCATAGTCAATTTCTGATCTTGCAATACGTAATACACATGGCTCACCTCGACCGTATATCCGAACCTCTGATTTCGGGTCCACTTTGTCCTTTCTATCCTTGTTCGAGCTACCATCGGTATCGGCGGAGAAGCTACTCTGTCCGCTGGATTGGGGCTTTGGAGCCTGAAACTGGCTATGTAAAGAGGCGTCGTAGGCTGCGGAGAAATCCGGCCCATAGTTTCCGCCAAATCCAGGGTACGGTGATGGTGCTGTTTGCGATCGTTGCGGCTTTCCGTGTTGTAGCGATTCGAGCCTAGTAGGGCGAGGTGGTGACACAGCTGACCCGGGGCCGTGGACTGATTCCGGTGAGCGGTACTCGTAGTATTCTTGCTCTTCGCTTGGGGTAGCCTCTGTAGTTGAGAGAGGCGTCAAATACCTCGAGCTGTAGTTGTTCGCTGTCCGAACGCTGGAGTTACGACTGACGCGTGACGTGCCAAAATCGATGTGACCGGCCTTGTCTCGAGGATAGAGCTGTCCCATCTCGGCTTCTCGCTCACCTTGGAGCTCGTGGTACTTCATCTGCAGCTCGGTGTATTGCTCAAGCAGGCGGTAATGAGTCTTCTTCAATTGCTGCATCTTAGCATTGCTCGCTGCAAGCGCCGAGTCGAGCATCTGCTGAACGGATGACGGGAGTTGTCCTGGTTTACCGATACTTCTGTCAGACGTTTGCAATCGTGACTCTAGCTCCATGATCCGGCGTTCATAAGCCTTGACCGATCGTTCGCGATCTTGCTCACGGCTGTTTAGCCGCATGTTTGCGATCTCGAGATCGTTGCGCAAGTCGTTCCGCTCCTGGATGAGAGTGTGCAGCTCTTTCCTTTGATCTTCAAACGCTATGATCTTATCTTGAGCGGACTCAAGCTCTCGTCGAATGTCGCTGTAATCCTCAAGCTCGTATTCCAATGCCTTTGTTCGTTGCTGGGCCTTGAGTTGTTCTGCTTCAGCCCTCTCCACAATCTTCTTGAGTTGCTCATAGTCTGACTGCGTCCTTTGAAGTTCGTATCGTAGACCACCTTCATCACTGTGCCACGTCTTTTCGCTCTCTTTATACGACCGAACTTTGTTGTTCAGCTCGCTCTCCCATTTCTTGGATTGACTTCGACTCGTGAGTGTCTCCTTTTTGAGTTGGGCATACAGCTCGTTTGCTTTGGCGAGTTTAGCCTTTAGCGTCTTGTTGGTGTTGATGAGATTTTGGGTCTCGGCTTCGACAGTCGCTTCCTTGATATGCTTCCGCTGAAGCTGACCGATATGAGCAAGATGCTGTAGCTTGAGATAACGCTCGAAATTGAGGTCGTTTCGAAGCAGCATGATCTCCCTCTGCAAAGACGCCATGGTGTGATTTTGGAAATCATGGTGGGTAGATGAGGTCTGTCCGGATATCGACTGGGCAAAACTATCTAGACTGGGCTGTTGTGCTACAAACCGCTGTGCCAACGGACTAGTCATGTCAGGCTTCTTTGTATCAGTGGTAGGCGGCAGTGTTGGAGAGTCCATCATATCGCGACCTTTCAGCAAGGGAGAAGCCATCGACTTCACGGACACGGCAGACTTGAGTGACTTGCTTCTTGGCGGCATCTCAACCTCGAGAACTTCTGGAGCATCACCCGAAGGAACATTCAGAGTCGATTGAGTATTCCTCCAGCTTTCATCTGAACCATGTACAGTCGTGCCATCCTGATCATCCAGAGTGAAGTGCGAAGGTATTTCTGGAACAGGAGGTAAAGCTGCGTTGGGTGGTGGACCGGGATCCTCCAATGTCGCCGATACAGCAACGCAGAGATCCATGCACTCAACAACGACGTCTGCAGGATCGCTTTTCAGCCACCTGTTTTCGCTCAGTTCATCTTCGACCGTAGTAGTGAACATGTTGGGGTGCAGTAGATGGACACGGCGATAGGGTTCGGTTCGGCTGTGGATGAGATCCTGGTCCAGGTCGAAGTCGCGCGCTCCTGGGAAATTGAGCGACTTGAGGTACTTCCTTGGCTTGCGTACGAAGCTCATGAAGTTAAGCGGGAACAGACCGTAGAGGAAGGTGAAGTAGTGCATGAGGGTTGGTGGGGGCGAGTCGGGGTAGTCCATGGCTGGCTGCACCTGTTCCCAAGCCTGCTCTGAGTCGTCATCATCGTTTCCGTCATCGTCGTCCTCTTCGCTATCGTCGTCCTGCATGTCCATGTCGCCAGTTTTCGAGTCGTTGTTCCCCAACTTATCCCAACACAGTATCCTACAGTAGACAAGGAACATCTTCTCGAGGTGGTGATCAGATGTCAGCGCTCCACATATGTGAGGTAGAAACATGATGAGAACGACAAGGGCAAGCTCGATAACGGTGGACGAGTTGTCGATGAGCAGACATTTCCAGGTTCTGTGAGGTGAAGATGAGAACCAGGGTGAAGGTGGGGCGGCTGCAGGCGGACAAAGGCACTCAGCAAGTTCAAGGCCTGTATGCGATGTTGCTTCTGCAGGAGGAGGTCATCGAGTGTAAGGAGAAGGACCTGGAAGAGTCAGTCAAGACCATGGTATAAAGTGACAGAAGCAACCTTTGGCATCTTGCGCCCAAAGGCAACCAACACTGATTCGAGCTCATGGGCGACAAAGTCGTTCTCTGGAGACACGGCGTCCGAAGGCAGCTTGGTCCTCGCTAGGTATGCGTCGAGTATCTTGTTGGCGAAGAGGGCTGACAACCGCGCGTGCTCTCCATCCTTGTCCTCTTCTGGGTCGTATACCAGTATGCTCTGTACAAAGGCCCTCGCATCTTCAATCTCGCTCTTCTTGTAGCCTATGCCGTCGATTACAGGTCGCAGGGCCGAGTTCCACCAGGCGGTCAGACGCGCCTCGCCTGTTATCGCGGGCCGAAGCAGTCGCAGGGCTGATAAGAAGGCACCGCGCTTCTCGGGACTATGTGCGACATGGCGCAGGTATAGCGCGTGGAGATCATCGTGGAAGCGTTGGGAGTCGTGGTCGTCTATGTCGTCATAGCGCTCGAGGAAGGCTTCTATGGTCGCATAGAGCTCGTCCGGTAGAGGGTAGGGGACTGTGGTGGCAGAAAATGTCGTGTTGAGAGCTTTGAGCGACTCGCGCATAGACCTGAGCGTGTCAGCGATTCGGTATAATCAGACGCTACAGTAGCATCAGGTGTTGCAGCATACCCCGACATGGTGTCTTCTATCTCCACTTGCCGCTGCTACAGTTGCGCTATGTGGGCGATCCGCACGTCTATGAGTATTTTACGGGTGCAAAGCAACGTCTCAGGTAGAATGCACGAGGGTCCGGCAGGTAGTCAGCATGTCACTGCTCATGCAGGTCCGGTCTGGGGAGCCAAAGCTTTTTGGCAGCGGGAATGCGTGGGGTGATGAATGATGAGGGACCAGCAACCGGCAGCAAATAGTTCAACTGCCACGCCTTGGAACATGTACTCAATGGTGCTTTTGCGGGAGCATGGCCCCATGGATGCCCAGCGCTATTGACCCAACCCCGGAGATGCGCCAAAAAAGAATGCTCGTCTCACTGCCGGCGTCCCAAGTGCGCTCGAGCATGCAAGGCTTGTTCTGGTTGATGATGCTAACCCGAGGTGCAGCGCCCAGTCGCGGCTACAGGGCACCGCCGCCCGTGCGTCATAGCCCTGCAAGCCACCACAAACGGCCTCGAGGCCACCATGCTTGCTTCTGTCAACCACCCCTGAAGACATCCCCCATCTGCCTTCGGCCCATTCGCATCAATTCTGTGTGTAACTATCAATCAGTGCGTCTGTGCACGCGACGATTGCTACTACAAGTCCGTTTGTCATGACAAGCATCGCGTGATGCCTACTCCGACAAGATCAAACATCTGCGACTTATTCCAGTCCTGATGGCTCACGGATATGCGACTTGGAAAACTCTAGCCTGCGCATCCCAAGAGGATTCCAACAGCCTTGTCACCACGGCAGCCGCTCGCCGCACCACCAATCAGACGTGCTTGGGACAGACAGCTTCTACCCCAACCTCTAATCGTCTGGCAACTCGCCCTATAATTGCGTGTGTCAGCCATGCCGTTATCTTTTCGCTCGGCTCATACCTCTATATCAGAAAAATGTCCCGGCGTGGCGTTTCACTTTACGTAGGTAGGCTCCGATCAAAGACTATGCTAGATGCGGCAGCCCTGCATGCACTCCTACCCCGATATTTCACTTATCCAACTGCAGTAAACTTTATACATGGGTCCCCTCATGCACAAAGGTAGCAGTATTTTCTTTACTGACCAGCAGAGGTCGATCCTTCTCAATCGTAAAGTACATTAGAACAAACTTCCAAAGGGCCGACGAGGTACGCGGGATGCGCCGTCGCCTAGGGCTTCTATCCATACTATCGCCAATTACCGATACCGAGAACACGGTAACCTCGGACCCATGCCGCCTTGTGCAGCTTCGCCCCGTAACTCCTTCTTATCGCAAGCATCTCCCTCATCCGCACCATTCCGACATTGCATTACAATTTCCATCACACCTTCTCCATCAAGATCAGCGAATCAACCGGATCGGTTGCTGTTCCGATCGGCTTAGCAGTAACACCGCATACTAAGGATCGCAACCGTGATCGTCCCTAGGTGTCTCGTCGCCCTGCAACAGTACGCATATCGACGTGCCTGGAGATGTCCGTCAAAACCAGATAGGCCAATCTGTCCCAACCCCTTGGCCCAACCCTTGCGCCGGCCTATCAAGTCATGCATTCGTGCACTGACATTAAGACCACCTATAAGTTTACAAGGTAGTCAGTCGCCTTGTGTACGAGATTTACAGTTGTTTTATTGAATTGTCAAGACATGCAGCTAGCACTGCGAGCACACATGACGAGACTATTTCGCTTGATACAAGAGCCCTGCATTGCTCTCAGGGCGTTCCATTCATGGTATACGAACAACAATAGGATATAGCTGGACATGTGTCAAACACGCACCGAACACCGTCATGTACACCGTCGCTTAACCGGCTAGGCGCGCATGCAGGCGCCATGCAGCACGGAGCATTATACGAGCTAGATTGTTTCAACGTGAGCTGCAGGAAAGACTCTGCAGAAATGATCCAGAAACACCTCGCCTACAACTCAGTGCTTAGAACATTTAAACGTCGTTTTTTTTTCACATCTCAATTTGCACTACGCTTAGAATACACCCGTTTCCTTCAAAGGAAGAGTCTAAGAAGGCACACCTACAACCTCAAACTGGTAGTTACAAAGTGGCTTGGAGTCCGTAACCTCGATGCTTCCATATCCGCCTCCTACCATGGTGCTTCCATCCCAAACCTCCAACTGCACTTTTCCTGGAATCAGCTTCTCTAGCCCGGTGAACTTGAACTTATTGAAACCCGGTCTGAGATTTGTCTTGTTCAGCTCCTTTGTACCGACATTGACAACAGCGACAAGGTTCGTCTTGCCTTCGGGAACGAGCACGACGCCAGATACAGCGTCCTCGGCGGCGGTTTCGATGTCTGGGGATTTGATTACGTCGTCGTCGTCGTAGCAGGTGCCTCCGACCGTAAGTGTATGATGCCAGAAAGTGCCCTGGACAGCTTTGCCATTGGTAGGATGCATGTTCGCCGTTGTACGATCGCCGTTCTTCCACGCAGAGATGAAAGGCTGGAGAATCTGCCAGTAGCCCGTATGGTCATAGTCTTTTGTGAGAAGTTTTGTTCGGTCGTCCAACGGATCCGAGTGAAGACGGCCCATGTAGTGGCCCTCACCACCATCGTTCCAGGTTTGAAGCTGCACCATGTCCGGTTGGAGATCGAGAATTTGGCCGAACCTGTTCTCAAGGTTTTCTTCGCCACGACGATACCAGTTGTTGTCGTTGTCGAGGTGCTTGTATTGTACCGGTGATATACCCATCATGAAGAGCTTGTCCGCCTTGTTGGCAGCAGTCTGGAACGTACGGTCTGTTGCTGCAGATACAGCGACTTTCCCGTCTTTCGTCTCAGGCCATGAGTTCCAGTTAAACACGCCATCCAGAGCGGCATGGCTGTCGAAGAAGTTGGTGCTGGGGTTGTAAATCTGGTAGAAACCGGGGACAACTAGCACGTCGCCCACCACACCCTTGAACTCGTTCCAGTCGTCATCCGTAAAGTCCTCACCACCGAAAGTCGACAGTAGAGGCTTCTCGATATTGTCGGACGGGTCTCGCATCTTGAGGTAGCAAGTACGATTGTGGTAACTTTGGAAGTAATCGGCGTAGTCCATGGGACTCTTCAAGACGCCATGGCCATGGTCAAAGGAGAAGAAGAGGTTGAAGTCGCCGATTTCATCGGCGTTGTCGAACATGTAGGTCACGGTATCGGTGGACCACCATTCGAACTGGTCTAGAGAATTTGTTAACAAGGCGTACGGGTGGAATCGTACAAGGGTCGTTTACCAAAGTTGAGTGCGAAGCCATCTAAGCCAATGCTCTTCGCATCAAGGATATCCTGGCGAACATCGCCCTTTTGTAGACCGCCGACCATGTAATGGGCCACTCTGTACGGGAAGATCAGTACAAGTAGATATCTAGCATCGGGTTACTTACATTGGTCTGTCGACAACAGAACGTGGTGTAGCCCGACCAGCAGCAGCGCCAGCCATAAGGCCAGCAGCGATGGTAGAAACAAAGCGCATCTTGGTGATACTCGAGTGTTGTACAATTACCAAACCAGCGATGTGGTTGATGGGTGGCAGCCTCGATCTATTTTATACCTTCGATGCCGTATTGCTTAGGCTTCCTCGAAACATGCGTTTGCGTAAGGCAGCCGACTACACAGCCCGTGGCAGCCTCGCCGTTGTAAACAGTGGCGGGTACGAAATGAAAACTAGGTCTGCTGACAGGGATGTCTACGCAGATGGTAGCATTGTGGCCCCGCTGCCTTTTCCACTTTATCCGAACAACAGCCATCTTCTTGATGTTCGCGCAGGATATTTCCCCCTTCTTTAACGCCTGAATATCGCGGCCATAGATCTTTGCAAGCAACCCAAATTCTGCCTCGAAGTTGAGAGGGTGGACGAGTTGAGGCCGTCGACTGCAATAATTGCGAAACAATTTCAAGGACCGTTCCGCGCATTTCCGCAACGCCACATGCTGTTCCGGCCACCAGCTGCAGAGACGCATTGGGAACCGTGTACATTGGTAAGGCTTTTTCGGTTTCGCAAGAGTCGAGATCACCAAATCATCTAGTTAGGGTCATGTTCTAGTAAACGCGTTGTTACATGGTCTATTACGCGGCGGGCCGTGATGTGGATGGAGCATGCAAGTCAAGCCAATCAGATGTTGGTGCTAAACAGTGTGATCCTCGGAATCTCCCACGTTGCCATCGTCATCCACTACGGTCCGCTGTTATAATAGGGTCCAATAAATCTGATTATCGGATATCAGACGATGATGTCGTAGCGCCAGCATCTATATGTTGGTCGTAGAATACGTACCTGGCTTATCAAGGGTACTATATGAAGCGACTTGAGAGTATGTCGGCGAGTATGAATATCGTCAGGCGAACCTCTTGAGTGACCCCCAAAGTCCGCTCTCCGATTAATGTCACATGGTCGGCGATTAGTACTAATCGTATCGACTGGCTGTGTCGAAAGAAGTGTTCAGTGCGTTCATTCCACTCGTGCTATTTACTCAATATCAATCCTCTTCTTTTCTTTCTTATCATAGATAGTTCTCATCTTCCCCTTTCGCTACCATGTCAATCTACTGCTTATCACCCCTCTCACCCAGTCCCTCTTTCCCTCCCTCAACTTTTGTTTCGCCTCCAATACCCGTCGTCCGACTCGGCTGCGCCTGGTAGTCTGGCTGTTTTGCCGGATGGTCGTCTCCGCTCTTATGCTCTTCTTTTGACGCACTAGACTGCTGATCCGTGTTCTGCGTGTCCGAACGCATCTTCGCGTTTGGTGCGGCTGACGAGTTTTCAGAAGGATCCGGAAGGTTGGAAGCAGGATTTGGTGTGTCCATCAACTTTGCGTGACTGGGTGTGGTAGTAAAGGCGCGCAGTTGAGATGTGAGTGGGCGTTGGAGGGCGCGGAGGCGGAGGCTGATTGACGACATGTTGTATGTATGGTGACGTTCTGCGATTCAGACTTGTTGAAGGGTTGTTGAAATTGTGTCGAGTGGGGTTCTACAGAGGAGAACTCTCCAACAAGTCACATATCAATATAAATCATGACGAGCGTTAGAAGCTCGGTTGTTGCAAGACGGAGATGTGATGTCATTGTGACCGCTTCGTCAGTGGCGAAGATCCATAAATCCTCTCTGAAGTCGCGAGATCACAGCTTGAGATTCTCTGATATACTTCTTCACATGCTTCCATGTACAAACAGGGGATGAAAGGAATCATGCTAACAGGTGTATCGCAATGCTCAGCCAGGCGTGGTAGCTACACGTGCTTCAAGCATTAGCGTGCTGATTACGCCGCACTAGTTTACGCACCAGTTTTCTTCAGTACTTGAGATGTTTAGAGAGCCTTGCGACAGCATACTGTAGTCTTCAGAGGGACTTTCAGGATATTCAGAGGCATAGTGGATAAAATGCCACCTTTCTCTACTGAGATGCCAGAATTTATTCTCTTTGGTGATTCGCTCACCGAATGGAGCTTTAGCGAGGAAACGCAAGGCTTCGGGCTGTTTCTTAGGCAACAGTATCAACGCAAGGTTCGGATTGTCAATGAAGGTAGGTCTAAGCACTTTTTATCACGGTCGTCCCAAGTAAACTGTATTCCGACCCTCGATACATTGTTTATCGCCACCGTGACGACCGACAAGGCGCGCCGCCAACATGGCTACGTCTGAGGTGTTGCCCGAGATCGTCTTGTTCGGCGCTTCGATGACGGAGTGGAGTTTTGGAGAGAAGACACAAGGATTTGGGTGGTTTTTGGAGAAGAAGTACGCGGGGAAGACGAGGGTAGTGAATGAAGGTATTACGGCACACTTCTGCCGGTGCTTGTAGCAGATCGAGGGCAAACTTTAGATGGTACACTAACTAGCACAATAGGCAAAGCAGGGTACACATCTAAGCTCGCATCGATGAACAACGTCAATAACGATCACGCAGCTACACATCAACTCGTTTGAAAGAGGACTTTTCCCGAATAATCCACCGCGCAACATCTCCCGCCGCAGCACCAACCCTCCTCTTCACAATCTTCATCGGTGCAAATGACGCCTGCATGATTGGAGAGACGGAGTACGTGCCTTGGCCTCTATTTTCAGCAAACATCCGCGGCTTTCTCGATACCATTCTCACTGAGCATGCTATGGAAAACACAAAGATCGTTCTAATCACCCCTCCGCCCATCAACGGAGCTGTGGTTGAGACTGGGGAAGGTACGTCTGCAAAGGAGATTGAGGAAATCAATCAATCAAGAAAGGAAGGGCCAAGGTACAAGACTTACATGAGCAAGAAGAGGTATGCAGATGGCATCATGCAAATTTCGAAAGAGTATGAAGAGACAGGGAGGGTTGTTGGCCTTAACTTCTGGCAAGACATTGTGGATGCAGTCATTGAAGAAGAAGGATGGCAATATGATGAGCATGTGCCGCCAGGATGCGGCCTGCTTGGCGCGAAATCGTTCCCAACGGGATGGTTTACGGATGGGCTGCATTTGGATGTCAAGGGATACGGGGTACTGAATAAAGCACTGTACGAGTTAGTGCCAGCGAAGTGGCCAGAGCTGGCAGCTGAAAGGTTGTGACTTTGTACTGTAATCGTGCGTTCGTTCTACTGGGTATCTGATCTGTTGCTCAAACCACGCTCAACCCCTGTTCAAAGTATTGCCTGAGCCTTTGGGGTTCGCCTCTACATACTCATCCCATGCTCGCTGCTTCATCGTCTCCTCGTCCGCGGCGACAAGATCGTCCTCATTCGGCTCAGGTTGGATCTCAGACTGAGGGCCTCCACCCTCGATCATGCCACCTCGGCGTTTCTCCTCCTCTAAATATTCGTCGATAGTCATGGTCGGTAGGCTGTGGTCTGGGCGAAAGACGTTCTTCTTCAGGGTTTGGCGGCTGTCCAATAGTGTAAAAGGCCGCATAGGTTTGCCGTCGCCGCTCAAGATGGGCCCAGAGTACCTTAGGCCAGCATACTGACCATCGAGGCGCTCAGAATAGCCATCTTTATCTCGACCGTCCTGTCGGCCGTCTGGCGCTTGCTGTCCCTGTCCCTGTGGGGGCGCGGGCGGAGCTAGCGAGATGATGTGCAGTTCCTGGGCCATCGACTCCAATGAAGCGAATGTCTGATGCACCATGAACGCCAAATTGGTGAGATGTAGCTCTCGTACCACTTGTTCATCCTGCTCGGCAAGCTTGGGATTTTGTCGCAGATACTGTTGTTGCGTGTCTTAGCTCCAGATTCTACCCATAAAAGCAACGTTAGTGTGAACACGTACCTCGAGCTTTCGCTTCAGTTCCTTCTCCTCCCTGAAACGGGAAATCTTCGCGTCCCGTTTCGCCGCGGCATCCCTTGTGTTAGCGGTAGAAAAGTTGTTCTTATCTTCCGCGTAGGCTTCGAAGAGCTTCGCGTCTGCTTTGCCAAGCACATCATAGGAATCTAAGAGCTTGAGAAATCGCTCATAGTGCCCCCGCGCTCGAAGTAGGTTTTGCTTTCGGATTGATATGTCAGTGTTGAAGATCTTCTGTACGAGTTCTGCCAGCTGATAATTTATCGCCATGTATCTAAAAGGGTAAGCGAGGGCCCATGTGCACGGGATCGTGGGCCGGTGTCAAAACACATACTGTAGATCAGACGACGATATATCCTCTAGAGTCTCATTTGGGCTGAACAGCGACACCTGCTCCGATATCTTTAGACATTCTTCGTAGGTGGCGATGGTCGCGCTAAGGTTTTCCTGGTAGGTGGGACTGTTCGCTTCGTAAGAAGAAGAGAGCTCTTCGCGCGCCCTCTCAGCTTTCGAGAACAGACCCCGGAGACTTTGCGGTTCGTTCGACATTGTGCAGAGGTTCAGACTGGAGGTTGTGATAATGTTGAGGAAATGGCAGTGAGAATACACGTGAGAGCGTGAGATGGTGTTGATGAGTCAGCATCGACCCTTCTCAAATCGCGTACCCCGCTATCGCTGCCAGTACAGCATGCACCTCTGGAAGCGGTAACTTCACGGCGACAAACGTTCTTGATGCCGCGAAGTATCCCCAGCACATTCAAACGGTTATGGCCGTTTGATTGGGTCAGGACGAGCGAGTGCGTCTGAGCACCCGGCGTCGGGTACATGCGTGGTTTACTCTCTCCGCTCGCGAGACGCGCAACAAGCTGCGCAAATACTAGCAGCGCGCTCTTGCCCTTAGCCCTTGACTACGTTATCAGAGTAGTCCCTCTCTCACCTTCTCTAACTTGTGACAAATTTGAATTAATTCTCTGGCAATCGATAGCATGAAAGGTGTCGCCTCAAGCACATCGTGGGTAACGATCGAGGAGGAACAGGAAGACTACTTCTCATTCGAGGAGACATCAGCATCTTCTGATTCCGAGGATGATGGAAACTCATTCACAGAGGCGAAACAACAAGATAAGGATGAAGACTCAGATGTTGACGCTGACATTGCGCGCGCCCACGGCCCGAAAACAACCTCGGAGAGGCGCAGAGCGCAGAACGAGGTCTTGAGGGCCTTTGCTGCTAACATCAGCTCGCACTTGACACAGAAAGAAGTTGACGATGCTGCGGCAAAGACCGCCAACGAAGAGCAGCTTTCAATCCGCGATATTCTGGCAAAACAAGAGGGCACATCCCGCATCACGAATCCACGCGACTATCAAATTGAACTATTCCAAAGAGCCAAGAGCGAGAATGTGATAGCGGTTCTAGACACTGGTTCCGGCAAGACTCACATCGCAACTCTTCTTCTACAACATATTCTAGATGGCGAACTTGAACACCGGGCCGCAGGCGGCATCCCCAAGATCGCGTTCTTCTTGGTAGACTCGGTCAACCTCGTTTTTCAACAAGCAAACGTCTTGCGCTGTGGTCTTGACCAGACCGTGGAGGGAATATGTGGCGCCATGGGTACATCACTATGGTCAAAATCCACCTGGGAGAGTCACTTTCACAGTAACATGGTGATAGTATGTACCGCTGAGGTCCTCGTGCAATGTATGATGCACTCCTTCATCACCATGGCTCAGGTCAATATCCTCATCTTCGACGAAGCCCACCATGCGAAGAGCAATCATCCTTATGCCCGTCTGATGAAGGATTACTACGTACACGAATTGGAGCTCTCCAATCGGCCTCGGATCTTTGGCATGACAGCTTCTCCGATCGATACAAGAGGACTATCGGTCGATCATATCAGAGATGTTGCAAACGGCCTGGAGAACCTACTTCATTCTAAGATCGTCACTACGTCCGAGAGCGTTCTCGCGTCGAACAGTATCAGCAGGCCTATCGAGGAGATAGCAGTATATGCACGACTACAGGACGAATATGAGACACCTCTCCACCAAAAGATCAGAGCCAAGTTTGGGGATATGTCGGCGTTCAAGAAATTGTTCGTAGCATCTAAGCACCATGGTTCCGAGCTAGGGCGTTGGGCTTCCGACATGTATTGGTCTTTTGCTTTCACTGATGAGCAGAGTCGCAAGCTCGAAGATCGTGAGCACTTCAAGCATAACAAGGCTAAGCATGATGACGCCACGCAGGAATGGGACGCTAAATCTAAACGCTTGCAGGAGGCAGCCGCATTCGTGCAGCAGCTCGACTTCGGTTTGTGCGCCATCAGTGATCAAGACCTGAGTTCCAAAGTTCTGAAACTTCGTCAATGGCTCAATCTATACTACGAGCGCGATGATCAAGCTCGTTGCATCATCTTCGTTACTCAGCGACACACCGCTCGGCTGCTTCAGCTCATCTTCTCCCAGATTGGTGGACCAAACCTCCGTTGCAGCGTTCTTGTTGGCGTCAACAATCGTGTGGGCGAGCACAACATCTCTCTACGAAACCAGATCCTAACAGTCGCCAAATTCCGTCGCGGTGAACTCAACTGCCTGTTTGCTACGTCTGTAGCAGAGGAGGGTCTGGATATCCCACAATGCAACCTCGTCGTACGGTTTGACCTCTATCGCACTATGATAGCATACGTGCAGTCTCGGGGTCGAGCACGGCATCGAAATTCCAGATACCTTCATATGGTCGAGGACGGCAACGAGGATCATAAAGGTTGGGTTTTTGATGTCAAAAGCGACGAAAACATCATGCGGAAATTTTGCAATGCTCTTCCCCAGGATCGTCAAATCGGCGGAAATGATGTTGACTTGTTATCATTCGAAGACAAGATGTACCCGAGCTTTGTCACAAAGCCTGGTGCAAAGCTCACTTATCGCTCGAGCTTGTCTATCCTCAACCACTTTGTAGCTACACTACCCGGACCCGACAGACAAACTATGCTTCAGCCTACCTATGTCATCAGCCCTGAGGTTAACTACGATGTCTCTGATCCGCAGCGAAGGGGTTTCGTTTGTGAGGTAATGTTACCGGAGCATTCGCCTGTGATCTCGGTCACTGGTGACATTCAGGGCAAGAAAGCAATTGCGAAATGTTCAGCCGCTTTCAAGGCGTGTCTCAAGCTATACAATAAAGGCTATCTGGACGATAACCTACTCCCCACGACCTACAAAAGTTTGCCAGCTGGAAGGAATGCACTACTAGCACTCAGCGAGAAAAAGAAGGGCATGTACTCCATGTTGATCAAGCCAGAGTTCTGGAAGGTGGGACGAGGAGGCATCCCTGCGTACCTATATCTCACCATCATCGACCTCGACACTGGTTTGGATCGACCTCATCAACCCATGGGACTGCTCACTCGCAATCCTTTCCCGCAAATGCCGAACTTCCCTATTTACCTTAATGATGGCAGGCCCTCTTATGTCGTGTCCCAGTCTTCTCGAACTTCGCTACCTGTGTCAGCGAAGACAATAGAGGTCCTCACAGGTTTCACTTTGCGTATATACGAGGATATTTACAACAAGAAGTATGAGAATGATGTCCAAAGGATATCTTATTGGATTGTGCCGGTACTCTCTGCCCAGATGTCCTCTCTGCCATTCATTACCGCCCTCGATCAGATTTTGGACATGGATCAGATTCGCAAAGTCTACGACGAGCCTACGTGGAGATGGACAACCGATACTAAGCCTGAGGACTTACTTGGTCGGTACTTTGTGGACCCTATGAACGGAGGTCGACGCTACTACTCAAACCACCTTGCCACACAGCTCAAACCACAAGATCCAGTCCCAAAGAGTCTACCTCGCAGTGGACACAAGTTTATGGACAGCATCCTTGACTACAGTGACAGTAAGTGGGCAAAGAGCAGGGATATCAGTAGGTGGAATCAATCGCAGCCGGTTCTTGAGGTCGAAAAGATCCCATTCCGTCGGAATCACCTTGCATGCGTCGATGATAAAGAGAAGGGTGAGCTCGATGACCCCAAGACATACATCTGTCCCGAGCCCCTGCACATCTCCAACGTAAGCATCCAAATATTCATCAAGTATACAACAAATTACTAATAAACTAGCTCGAAACGCCCTTCGTAGTCATGTGCTACGTCCTACCGGCCATCATCCATCGCTTCGAGAGTTACCTCATTGCTTTGGACGCCTGCAAAGTTCTGGATCTCAATATCAGTCCGGCGCTTGCCTTGGAAGCTTTGACTAAAGACTCTGACAACTCTGAAGAGCATGGCGATGAGAAAATCAACTTCAAGAGCGGAATGGGTCCGAATTATGAACGGTCAGTATTTGATTCAAACGTAAAACTATCTGCTAATATACCCTAGTCTTGAGTTTCTAGGGGATTGCTTCCTCAAGATGGCTACGTCTCTTTCGGTATTCGTCCAGCAGCCAGATGAGAACGAGTTCGAGTTTCACGTCCGTCGCATGGAAATGCTATGCAACAAAAATCTGATGGAGACTGCGGTGGGCAAAAAGAAAGTGGTCTCTGCAGACGGAACTGAGCGCGATATTCAGCTCTACAGCTATATCCGTACGGATACTTTCTCACGGTACGCACGGCATTGTTCTTAATGAGCTCTTCGCAGACTAACTGGTATAGGCGCACATGGTACCCTGAGGGGCTCAAGCTTCTCAAGGGTAAGGGCTTGAATAAGTCCGAGGACGACTGGCTTAAACTCACGCATAACCTTGGTGATAAGAGTGTAGCGGACGTTTGCGAGGCCTTTATCGGTGCTGCTTTCCAGCAACATTATAAGGGTGGACCATGGAATCCCAATGACTGGGATGAAGCCGTCAAAGCTGTCAAGCTCTTCGCCAACAGTCAAGACCATATAATGTCGAAGTGGTCGGACTACTATGACGCATACCAGAAGCCTAAGTACCAAGTCGCAGACGCCACCGCGGCGATGCTTGATACCGCTCGCAAGGTTGGACTGAAGCACCCGCATCACTTCAAATATCCTCGGCTTCTCCGATCAGCATTCGCTCACCCTTCGTACCCATACATGTATGAGAACATACCGAACTATCAGCGCCTCGAGTTCCTAGGTAAGTCTCCATGAAGAACTGCATGTTAGCATACACTAACTACGATTCCTGTCTCTACAGGCGATTCGCTTCTGGACATGGCTTTCATCATGCATCTCTACTACAAGTATCCGGACAAGGACCCCCAGTGGCTCACCGAGCACAAGACGCCCATGGTATCCAACAAATTCCTAGGCGCCGTGTGTGTCAAGCTAGGTTGGCATGTCCACATCAAGCAGAATACTGCTATTCTGAGCGCCCAGATCCGCGACTACGTTTTGGAAGCCGAAGTAGCAGAGGAGGAAGCGAGTGGTGCTGTCGACTATTGGGTCACCATAAGCGAACCGCCCAAATGCCTGGCCGATGTGATCGAAGCATATACTGCAGCCATCTTCGTTGATGCGGAGTTTGACTTCAGCGTCGTACAGGACTTTTTCGACATGCATCTCAAGCCCTTCTTTGAGGACATGACACTCAGCTCCTACGAGAACTTCGCTTCCAACCATCCAACCACACGTTTGAGTCGCCTCCTCTCTATTGCCTTCGGCTGCAGCGAGTGGCGCATGGCCGCTATGGAGACGGACACATTAATCCCTGGTAAAGGCAAGGCCATCGCTGCTATGATCATGATCCATGGGAAGGTGGTCTTTCACACCCTGGGTCAGAGCGGAAGGTATGCGCGTGTCAGAGCTAGTCATGCAGCACTGGAGAAGCTAGATGGGCTCTCGCCTTATGAGTTCCGGAAAAAGTACGGCTGCGACTGCGTGTACGAGGGAGAGGGCGTAGGTGAGCAGGATGAAGCGGTGCTCAAGGCGAAGGAGGAGCGGATGAAGGAAGCTACGGGTCTGAGCATCTAGACTGTCGGGCTGGAGTATTCGGTTCCTCGCCTAGACGGCTGCAGAGCATGCACATTATGGTCTCTTGCATACGGAAGTTCCACAGCACCCAGCTTCTAAAAGAAAAGGGAGTCAATGATATCTAAAAACCTTGAATTAGCCAACAATCACAATTTTGAGTCTGTCTTGCTACGACAGCCATTCAAGGGACTCGCGTCAGGACCACAGAACTGCAGTCCACTAACAATTAGTAGCCGTTGTTCGTTACCAGCGGCAATATAGACGCCTAAACCGACTGCAGTGAAAACTTACACTAAAGGTATACACTGCCTTTTACATTTCTAGCGATCGATACAAAACACAGCGAATGACATCAGATTACGTGTTAACAAGCACAACCCAAGAGAACGGAGTCTTGTGGCTACAAGATTGTATCAAGGGTATATTCATCCTAACTATGTACAAGAATAACAACGCCATTAGTTCCTCCAGTCATTCAACTCATACTTCGTAATATGTACAAACGATAGCTTCCAGAGCAATGTGTGTAGTTATACGATACTCCAACTTTCACTCCAACTTTCACTCCAACTTTCACTCCAACTTCGTCACAACTGCATCTAATAGTATCTACAGTGAAGTGCGGCAAGGCGAGGCGCATCTAACTTTATGATACGCATGCGTGGAGATTACAAGAAGAGTGCATATACGAACATGGCGATCAGAGCTGCGGTGCAGCTGGACCCAACGTGCGAGGCTGCGCCTTGCGTCTCCGAAGGCTGCGCAGCGTCCCCAGTCTGGCTGGGGTTGCCACTGCTGGAGCTTGGAGTGCCGCTCGGGCTTGTGTTCTCGCCGCTGGGTGTGTTAGACCCATCATTCGATACAACGTTGAGCGACAAGTCCTGGATTTGCTGGCCATTGCTACCGTAGACCTTCTGCTTGACGTTTCTGTCACCAATGTCCACCAGAGCACCGTTCTGCGGGTTCTCGATACCGTTGTCGATAAGGTCCTGGCATCCAGGGCAAACAGCCGGAATCGTAAAGTTTTTGCCAAATTCTTGCGCGGATATAAGGCTAGCGTCGCATTCAGGTGCTTGGATCTCGGTAGATTGAGGGTTGGTCGACTCAAGGGAGCTGATATCGAGCTGGTTGAACTGGTTTTGGAGATTGTCGTAGTCCTTGAGGAGCTTGACAGAGCCGTCTTGATCAATCTCGACTAAACCGTAGTTGGCCTCCTCCTGGGAGTACTCGTAGACGAGACCACCAGAGAGTGCTCTCATCTGGTCACCGTAGAGCGCCTGGACCTCATCGAAGTCCCGGGGAGTAACACGGTTGCAGCCATATTCACTGTAGAAGACAGGAATGGCAGAGTCGGCGAACATGGTGGCCAAGCCATCGTAGCCGGAAGTCTGGTAGTTGTCGCCGTTGCACCAGCTGTAGGAGTTGAGACCAAAGAAGTCGGAGGATGATGCATCCTCTTCATGTACACACTGCATGTAGGCCCAGGTATCTTGCAAGATCTCACGGACATCTGCAGCAGAGTAGCCAACTGGGATGGTGCGGTCGGCATGGTTCTTGATGTAATTCTTCATGTCACGCTGGACAGCCTGAACGTTTTGTTAGTTTGAATCACTGGGTGAGGCAAGATTGACTGAACGTACCCGGATGTATTGTGGGTTGAACTCAGCAGTGGACAGGTCGTTCATAACCTCGTTTGCGGAGAAAAAGCCCAGGGTATTAGGGAAGCCCTTGAAGTTCTCGATGATACCAAGCGCACGAGTAAGGTAATCGCTGTTGTAGGAAGTCCATGGCGCCTCGCGGTTGATGCTCTCTCCTGGTAAGGGCGAGTTGACATCAAGAATCATGTAGATACCGGCGGCATTGAAGATGGAGGCACACTTGGAGTGGTCGAGCGAAGGGTCGAGATTGTAGACACGGATTGTGTTCACACCCAGTTTCTGCATAAGCGTTGCATCTCGCAGGCAAACATCGGCATCTGTGAGGGCATCCTCGCTGTTTGAGGGCTGGTATGCTCCTTGACCTCCGGGCTGGTAGTCAACACCAACGATCATCAATCGCTTGTTCGTGACGGTGTCGACAAAGTCCTGGCCGCGGACTTCGACTGGGTGAACGGCATACGCGACGGTTGAGAAGAGCGCGGGGAGCAACGCGACTGCACGAGTGAACTGGGAAGACGATTAGCGTTGCTCCAGGTGCAGGGAACATGGGTTTTATGCTCAAGAGACAAGGAACGTACAGAAGGCATTTCAGCGAACGACTGTTACACAACAACGACAGTAGAATGAGAGATCTGGAAACCTTTGGGCAATTACAGCGACTACCGTCAAGCCTTATAATCTCTCCGTTATCCGCTCGTGTTGGTATCGCAATGTTATGCACCAAGACTAGTTGCAGTGGATCTTGGCCGCGGAGGAGCAGCTAAGACGGAATCGCTTGCCGGCTACTGTACTGTGATTCGAGCGTGAAAAACGAACGACATGCATACAGCTAGTCCGCTGGAAAAGATAGGAACCTGACAAAAGTGGGTTAAGAGGGAGAGGGAAACGAAACGACAGAACCCAAAGACATTTCTGCTTCTTTGTCAACCGAAGCAGGCAGTGGCAGATGGACGTGATGATTTGGGAAGCTGTGCTTACTGCTTCATCCCATCTCGGCAGGGATTACTTTCACGATAGCAGAAACGGGATGACCTCAAGACCCACGCCGCTGCCATTGCCAATGCGGCCCGCGCAGAAAGCTCTGAAGATGCCTAGTCTAGCGTGCTCCGAGTGGGCCGTGAACGTATACTGGCTCTACCGATGAGCTTGTCTCATCTTGTTCCAAGGTTCTCCCCCAAAATTATCAGGAATATGTCCAATTCGCGAGCCGTGTTGGATTTTCGAGTAGGATCATGACGCCATTCTCCAAACAGACAGCAGGGGTTGCTGCACCCCAGCCACTTTCTGTTTTTGCGCACCAATCATCGCAATCACAACTCCGATATGCATCTTGGCAATGTTTACTGCACATGCGGGACAGAGAGATATAGCGCGCCTGATTCTTGAGGGCACTCCTAGGTACAGCTTCGAATGCCATCAGATCAGTCGTTAGCTGAACCGCCTTTGTTCGATGTCGGTGCAGCTTCGCATCGATAGCCTCACTAACAATGCAGACACATTCATGGAAGTATGCGGACAGCATAGTTCTATACATATCGTTGGCAAAGATAGCCTCTGCACTTGAGGCTCAACGTCTACTTCCAGGTGGATACATGTGGGTCTTCTTAGCCGCAGAGTTTACAGTAGTCCCAAGATCCACATGCATGAGCTTGTCCTGCCCAGGTGGTTTTGAATGCCGAAGCTATGCATCTTGAGAACGCCATGTGGACGAGTTCACATTCCGTATACGTTCCGGAGCCTACCCGACCAGCAATGGCCAGGCTCAGCTGAAGATGGTAACGTGTCGGCAGTTGAGTCGCAAGTGGCTTGACGTTTGTCTGACTTGTACGATCGCAACTGCGACGCTGAAAGCTTTGTAGCCATCTCTCTCATACTGCGGCTCATCCCGTCATATCCACATCTTGTGCCTTCCTCTTCAGACCACTTTCGCTTCCCTCAATCTGGCCCTGAAACTTAGCTTGAAGCGCCTCGAGCAAGACCTCTTTGACCACCGCGAGACTGCCCACAGCTGCGTGCGTGGCTCCCTCGATCAAAGCATCAGGATCTGAGCCGACGTCTCCCTTCATCCATATCTCTGTGATCTCGTCTCTTGAAGCCAGGTAGCCAACCACACATGCAGCAACAACTTCCCTGTGCTCTGCTGGACAAGGATCGAGTATCCTAGCCAAGTCTTGCTGTTGTGTTGACTCGGGGTTCCGTGTGATCGCAGCGACACCTCCACACACTACATCCACGCAGTCTATGCCGGCGTCTGTTATGGCCGCACTGGCGACCGTTATGCACCCTGCCAACACATTCAGGAGACCCCATCCGCTTCCAGTTGCGCTTCCTTCACTCACGGAATCTCCCCACCAGCCGTCCTCATCACCTTCCAGAATCGTCACCACCACTTCAACTCCGCTCTTGGGCCACCTCTCTCCAATAATCACACCTCGTAGTGCAGTCTCCAGGTGAACACCCAGGTCGCGCTCTGCCGAATCGCGTATATAGCCTCGCCTTTGACGTGTTGCGAACGGCGCAAATTTGACAGTGGTCGTGAGAAGGAGCGATGGACTGAACGGTGCGCTGCGGGGAAGAGGCTTGGGGCCTTGTATAGAAGCAGTGATCTTGAGCGATGAAGTTGGCGGAATAAGAGTCGACTTGGTCGCAGGGGAAGAAGAAGGTATTTCGAGGTAGGCAGAGCCCGACGCAGATGGTATGATGGACGTTTGAAGGACTATTGTAATGATTAGCGGCGGACCATGTATGAAGTTTGCTTCACCAGACATGAAGCTCGCAAGTAGCTATGGAAGGCTCAAGCCACCCCGATTGAAGTCTTCACACGCGTGTACAAAAACACATGAAGCTGTTCGGACACTTACAGATCCTGCGAAGCTCATTCGCGCCTCTTGATCTCGTCGGCCTCAGCTTCTCCAGATACTGCGGGTCTCTAATCGTTCGCACAAAGACTGGCGCACTAGTCCCACCGCTCGGCGCATTATTTCGTCTTCTGTCCGCGTTCATTGTGCTTGTATCTGTGTTGTGCTGGACGCGCTGTACTTGCGGATGATTTCATGGTGTTCGGAAAAGTGGATGACTAAGCACAGACCCGCCAAGATTTCGGGACCCTCAAGTTCAATTTTCCTGCGCGTCCGGTTCAACTTTCTTTCCTTAACTCACATCCGCGCTCAAGGTACGTTGACACACTCCCACCCATCCCCTCCCTTTCATTGATGATACCCTTGAAATAGTTCTTGCGATCTCAAATGAGCTTTGAACACATGCACCACCCTCTGATCTCAACTTTGAAGCTACTGCTTTTGCACCCGATTTTGCGACTCTAGCTAACTCAGCCTAGATACAGTCTAGGATCAGACCGTATCGCGCGACGGTACAACCGGCAGTCATAGTCCGTGTATGCTGTTGTTGACGCGACAGCAAAGCTTGAAGAATCGAGCGTCACCATACCTATCGCTAACCTACAGCGCCCCCAAGCTCACATTGATCATTGGTAAGTCATGATTTTTTCCTACAGCCCTACCTTATATGATGATCGTATTATTTCAGTTCTGCTACTGAATCTCTTTGAAGAAAATTTATACCGCTTACCTTTGTCTGATATAACCCTGCACTTTCAGCTCTTCATTTCAGCAATTGAAGAACACAACTGACTTTGCCCACCAGATATCCATCCTTCAGCTCATACACCGCACGCCTACTACTCTTGGTAAGCACCCCGATTCCCACCCCGTTCGCAAGGAGGAAAACTAGTCTATCCATTCAACGACATCTGTCGCCGGGTCACCCTCCCGCACCCTACCAATCTCGGCTGGGATGACGGGTTGTGGAGTTGCACTGTTGGCTTGTCCAACGCCGCGTAATTGTGGTCTTTGAGCCAAAAGTCGCGGCAATCCGTCTTGGGCTGCCGCGACCCGAGGCCAGGCGATGGGGGATGATTTAACACGGCTTACTGAGCACACATTATCACTTGATAATATTACGACATTGCTGTTCGAGCACTGCTAACAGCACTCAGATTGTTGGGAGAGACATGGCTGCAAATAGTGCTCATTGTGGTTATAAGATCGTGATAGATAGTACAACTCTAAATGCATTCATTGAACTTATTCTTATCTCACTCAGTATCGCTCTCTATTCACTTTTCCACTTCATGACACGTAGTGCATGTTGAGGCAATTGTAGCCTGCTCAGTCACTCTACCTACTGCATGTTCATACTCTGTTCGAGGTAGAGTGCGTATGCAATATGGAGAATACGAATGTCCAAACTCACTTATGCTGATGTACTGCTACCATTCGCTGCTTGGGCGGGGATAGGTACTCCTGCACATCATTGCTCTACCAGTCTGAAACGGCCATACTAGGTGGCTTGGCTTAGCCTCACACCACGGGAATCTTGCAAAGCGTCAGCACCCAAACGACAACCACCGTGCATCTCGTCAGCCTTGCGCGTCGAGTCGATTGATTCGGCCATATCTGTTGCAGACGCCACTGAGCTATCAGCACTCCGTCTGGACGTCACCGTGGCCTTAGCGAACAAATCCTTGGCCAAGCCCTACAACGGAGGTTATCAACGACGCGCAGCACCCCGAACGCACGCGAACCACCATCTGGACACCAGTATCGAGGTATTTCACGTCGCAACTACTCTCGGGAGCGGCAATTCCTCTTGGTTGTGACCAACAAGGACGGGAAGTGGTACTTTGTTCAGCATCTTGGTGATCTGGCAGGTCTTCGGTGACCGGGGTCTCCAAGGGAGCAATCGACATCTGGCGCCCAACTCTGAATGTTGCCCTTACATTCATCGTCGAAAGGGAAGATGCACCGCCATGCCTTTTCCAACGGGGCATATCCCTCGCAAGGAGGGGGTACCTTTTCAATCCAACCTCACAAGTACGTTTACCAGCGCAACTATCGCACAACATCTCAGCCCGCGCCTCCTTTACGACTACGACCTAAACAAGCATGTATCTAACTTTCGTTGCACCTTCAGATTCCAACCGCGATCACAGCCTGCGCTCAGACGGCGGAGAACGCTGATACAGCGCTTGCTGCTTATCGGTTCGCTGTTCTTTACAGCCCTATTCTTCTTCTTCCCCGACCTGCGACCGAACCTGGGCTCCGGGCCCCTCAGCTTGATCACCTCGAACGACGACGCGCAACTCGAGACTGTACGATACTACGATTTGAACAACGTGCAAGGAACGGCGAGGGGATGGGAAAGGGAAGAGCGCATTCTGTTATGTGCTCCGTTGCGAGACGCGGCTCCGCATTTGCCCATGTTCTTTGGTCATTTGCAGAACCTGACATATCCCCACAACCTCATCGACTTGGCTTTTCTTGTCGGAGATTCCAAGGATAACACCATCTCACTCTTGACGGAGAAGTTGGAGGAGTTACAGGCCAACCCCGACCCTAAGCAGCAATTTGGTGAGATCTCGATCATGGAGAAGGACTTTGGACAAAAGGTCAACCAAGATGTTGAGAGTCGACACGGTTTTGCCGCACAGGCTGGCCGCCGAAAGTCAATGGCGCAAGCGCGAAACTGGTTGTTGAGCGCTGCTCTAAGACCAACACACAGCTGGGTATACTGGAGAGATGTGGATGTGGAGACTGCTCCATTCACTATTTTGGAGGATCTGATGCGACACAACAAGGACGTTATCGTACCTAGTATGTACAATCACACATAGCGCAAGTCTCGATTGCTAACATGTCACTCAGATGTCTGGCGACCCCTGCCTGACTGGCTTGGTGGAGAACAGCCATACGACCTGAACTCCTGGCAAGAATCTGAGACCGCTCTCGCTCTCGCCGACACACTCGATGAGGATGCAGTCATTGTGGAGGGTTACGCAGAGTACGCTACTTGGCGCCCGCATTTGGCCTACCTTCGCGATCCCTACGGTGACCCAGACATGGAGATGGAGATCGACGGTGTTGGTGGTGTCAGTATTTTAGCCAAAGCCAAGGTCTTCCGTTCTGGTGTCCACTTCCCTGCATTCAGTTTTGAGAAGCACGCTGAGACAGAGGGATTCGGCAAGGTAAGATGCGGTGTTTGCTACTCCAATACAACGCTAACATACTGCAGATGGCCAAGCGCATGAAGTTCTCCGTTGTCGGCCTACCCCACTACACTATCTGGCATCTTTACGAGCCAAGTGTTGACGATATTCGACACATGAAGGAAATGGAGAAGGAACGCAAAGCGAAGGAAGCCGAAGAAGAGGCGAAGAAGGCAAAGGAGGCCAAGATCAAGGATAACTTCGACGAGAAGAAGAGTGATTGGGAGAAGGAGAAGGCAGCCGTCCAAGATATGGTTCAGCAAGCAAAGAACGAAGAGAAGGCAGCAGATGAGAAGAAGAGGCAACAAGAAGCAGCAGCGAAAGAGGAGTCGAAGAAGGCAGAGAGCAAAGAAGAGAAGCCAGTTGAGAAGAAGGAGGGCGATCAACCATAGTCGTCACAGTATCCCAGTAATTTGAAGGGTGTGAGACCTAGGTCCGCACCCGTGTTTGCAATCTCACAATGGAGCGAAGCACTACAGCAACGACAGTAACGACTTGGGCAGACTGGGCGCAGATCTGAACCTATGTTTCTTTCGATCTACTGTATGCTTTGGATTGGAGCCTAGAGATTTTCAAGGCAGCAACATTCCGCCGAGCCGGTCTCCGATGGTGGCATTGGAAACGTGTCTTCCTGCTTGGGGGGCGTTTGAAGACTATTTGGAGAAATGTATACATTAGACAGTAGCTTTGGCATTACGGGCGTTGTAGGCTCGATAGTAGATGAGCATCGCGTTTGTCTGTAACAATATCAAGAAACGTTATAAAACTGCTGCCGAGAAACATGACTATAGCTTGTCATGTGTTTCGTCATCGCCGTCTGACGCTGGTTGGACCCCTGGCGCCAGCACCTCCGAAACTCCGCTAGAGCTAAGCCGCGCCAAATGTTGGAATGGTGACAACTCGACGTCTATCAGTTGCTCAGCACTTGTGGACAGATTGTCGAGGGAAACGCCTTCTCTGCATTCCACAAACTTGAACACTGTCTTTATCATCAGGCGGCAGCAATTGGGAGAATGCGTGTCATCTTTCAAGCCGACTGAACTAGACATATAGCTGTCCATGTGCCCTCCACCTTGAAGACACCCTGTCGCGCACCACACTCCTGTCGCATACACATCTACATACAAAACCCCTCAGCACTATGTCGAGCACCGACAGCGACGACCATGTCGCGTCAACACTCCAAGGGACAATTGTGGACCTGGATCCCCGACCCATTACCGTCGCAGTCAACCCAATAGCTCTGGTGGTCACAGAATGCATTACCGTCACGTCGGCGATGCGAAAGCATGCCCGCTGGGCACATTCATCAGTCGCAGCTATACTGGGTAGCTCTTCAAACAAGGCACCAGCTGTACAACGACGCGACCGTACAGGACAAGGCATCATAAGCGCAGGAGAGCAAGAGGAGGCGGTACCGAGCAGATGGGGCCTACGCGGCAAGAAGGGCAAGAGCATGCAGGACAACCCCCTCATGTCTGCATTTGCGCGCCTGAGGAATGATCTAAAGGGCTGTAAAGGTGAACATTGCAGTCGGAACGGTACATGAGCCAAGCTAATGCGACACCAGACATCCGGACCTTCGATACCCCCTCCATGCTCCATCCCTTCTTGCAGGTCATCCGCTCTTCCTCCACCTCCGCACCGATAACCTCACTCGCCCTCATCGCAATAACCAAGTTTCTGTCGTACGGCATCATTGGCCATGACTCTCCACGTCTTCCAGAAGCTATGCAACAGCTCTCCTCCGCCATTACACATTGCCGGTTCGAAGCTAGCGACTCGGCCGCTGACGAGATTGTGCTGCTTCGCATACTCAGGCTTATGGAGGTCATGATCTCAGGTCGAGGCGGAGAAGTACTGGGCGACGAGAGCGTGTGCGAGATGATGGAGACAGGCTTGAGCATGTGCTGCCAAGCGAGACTATCAGAGCTGCTCCGACGCTCGGCAGAGATTGCTATGGTGTCCATGTGCCAGGTCATATTCCGGAGACTGAAGACGCTGGAAATAGAATCGCCAGATGAACTGGACGCCATGGACGAAGAGCTCGAAGGAAAGGACGAGCAAGATGGCCTGAGAATGGATCCAACAGCGAATGGTGAGGGAGGTTCTTCACAACACAAGGTCGAAGCCCTTCAGCAACCGATCGACCCTGAGAAAGGGCAAGAGGACAACGATAGTACTCTGAATCCAGCGAGCAGTACCCTGGATCTCCCAGCAACAGCCGCGGATGGTCAGCCACAAGCCCCTCTCGAGATCAAGCCTTACTCGTTGCCGTCCATAAGAGAGCTTTTCAGAGTACTCGTCGATCTCTTGGACCCACACGACCGTCAACACACTGACACCATGCGCGTCATGGCGTTGCGCATCGTGGATGTTGCGCTCGAAGTCGCCGGGCCATCGATAGCGAGCCATCCTAGTCTGGCGAATCTGGCCAAGGACACTTTGTGCAGGCACATCTTCCAGCTCGTCAGGTCAGACAACATGGCCATACTGAACGAGTCATTGAGAGTCGCGGGTACGTTGCTGGCGACATGCAGAAACGTGCTCAAGCTGCAGCAAGAGCTCTACCTGTCATATCTGGTCGCGTGTCTCTTTCCACGAGTCGAGATACCAGTTGAGCCCGGTATCGAACCTTCGTTATACGAAGGCGTCCCGCATGCGCCTAGCCTTATCAAGCAGCCGCCGCAACAGAACGGCAACCCCGGTGGCCGTGCATCTCCAGTACCTGTGAGGGATCGGCAAAAGCTGGGACTAGAGGGGGGTGCACGCAAGCCAGATGCCCGGGAAGCCATGGTAGAAAACTTGGGTGGCTTGGTCCGGATACCTTCCTACATGGCAGAGCTTTTTGTCAATTACGACTGTGAGATTGACCGTGGAGATGTCTGTATGGATATAGTCGGACTTCTCTCGAGAAACGCCTTTCCAGACTCTGCGACATGGAGTACTGTCAATGTACCTCCACTATGTCTGGACGCTCTGCTCGGGTTTGTGCAATCCATGGCAGACCGCCTGGACGACGAGCCTGTAACGGACGGCTATCCCAGCGTCGAGTCACTCCGAGAGCAGCGGGCGCGTAAGGCCATCATCATCCGTGGTGCAACCAAATTCAACGAGAAGCCCAAGGCTGGTATTGCCTACCTCGCATCTCAAGGAATCATCCGAGACCCAAATGATCCTCAATGCATTGCCGAGTTTGTCAAGGGTACTACGAGAGTCGACAAGAAAGTGCTGGGCGAGTTCATCTCCAAGAGAGGAAATGAAGCGGTACTCAGCGCCTTCATCAGCTTGTTCGACTTTACAGGACAACGAATCGATGAAGCGCTTCGACAACTCCTGCACGCCTTCCGTCTCCCCGGTGAATCGGCCCTGATCGAGCGAATCTTGAGTGAATTCTCCGAGAAGTACTTCTCCATGGCGAAGCCGGAAGGTATCGCCAACCACGATGCCATCTACATCCTCACCTACGCTGTCATCATGTTGAACACCGATCAACATAACCCCAACATGAAGCAGAAACGAATGCAGCTGGAAGACTTCACAAAGAACGTCCGAGGCGTGAACGACGGAAAGGATTTCGATCCTGAGTTCTTGCAAGGAATCTATGAGTCTATCAAGAACCGCGAGATTGTATTGCCCGAGGAGCACAGCGATCGAAACGCTTACGACCACGCGTGGAAGGAGCTGTTAGTCAAGTGCCAGTCGACCCCCGATATCGTCATCTGTGACACCAACATCTTTGACGCGGACATGTTCGCTGCAACGTGGAAGCCAATCATCGCAACACTGTCTTATGTTTTCATGTCCGCGACTGACGATGCTGTCTTTTCACGCGTTGTGCAAGGCTTTGACCAGTGCGCGCAGATTGCTGCCAAGTACGGCTTGACTGATGCTCTGGACCGTATCATCTCCTGTTTGTCATACATTAGCACATTGGCGCCTGATGTGCCGCCGAGTACCTCACTCAACACCGAGGTTCAAGCTGACAAGAAGAGCGTCATGGTCAGCGAGACTGCTGTGCGATTCGGTCGTGACGGCAGGGCGCAACTAGCGACTGTGGTCTTATTCCAGGTCATCAAGGGTAACGAAGCATCGATAAGAGATGGATGGCGACATGTAAGATTGGCAGTCTTGTTTTCGGTGCACTACTAACATCCCTAGCTCATTCGCATCATGGTGAATCTGTTCGTCAATTCGCTGATACCACCATACTTCCTTTCCTTCCAGAAGACGCTCGCTCTCGCACCGATACCGCTTCAGAATCCGGCGCAAGTCATCGACCGTGCAGAGCGCCCAGCGGACACTGGCATATTCTCGGCGTTGACATCCTATGTCTCGAGCTTTGCCAACGACGAGCCTCCAGAGCCATCAGATCAAGAAATCGAGTACACACTCTGCACTGTGGACACCGTCAAGGAGTGTCATTTCGAAGACATCCTTGCTAACATTAGCCAACTGCCAGTAGAGTCACTACGATCGCTTCTGGCGTCGCTACTTGAGCACCTCCCTGAAGATGGCTCACCAAGGGTTATCGTTGTGAAACCTGAAATACCCGGCGCAAGTCCGCGAACGACTGGCCCAAGACAGAAGGGTAAGGGCCCGCTTTATGATCCTAGCCTTGTCTTCGTTCTCGAGCTAGCGACTGTTCTGGCGCTGAGGGATGATGAGACGGTCAAGGAGCTTGCAAAGGATGTGACAGATGCTTTGGTGTCTGTCATTCGAGACGCCCCTAAGCATCATTACGTAGTCATTGCGCGATCAGTGTACTATCTTCTGAGCCTACTCAAAGCCAGCAACGTAAGTCCCGATGCGCCTCTAAGAAAGCCATATACTGATCGATTCAGGACTACGACTTTATCCGTGCGCCAGTCCTCATGCACACGTTTTCAAGCTTCAACGATGCCCTCCTGCACGAGTGCGCTCAGCCAATCCTGAAGGGCCTGACAGACTGCTGCAAAGGCCCCAACGCTCTTCGCAGTGAACTTGCGGGCTCACCAGATTTCTGGACGATCCTTAACAGGCTCGCAGGTGTGCCTGATGCTGCTGGGGACGTTTTCCAACTTGTCGAAGACCTTACCACTTCCCCTCAACCCGGCATCACTGCGGACAACTACGAAGCTGCGATTGCACTTCTCAACGAGTTCGCAACTGCGGCTCAAGTTGGTGCTCGAGAAGAGCAGCTGCATGACCAGGCTGCACGACGCAACAAGGGACAGAAGTATAAGAAGCTTGAGAGCAGCGAAGTCGTTGTCCGCGGTAGCACTGCTATGAGCATTGTTTTCCAGCTTTCCAGCAGAGTGCCAAATTTCATCGAGCAGTCTCACCTCGAAACTACTGAAGGTAGAGTCATCACCCCTCTCACAAAGCATCAAGATATTAACAAATTCTCAGCATGGACGGCGTACTGGTCGCCCATCTTGAAGACCCTCGCTCATCAATGTCTCAACCCCTGTCGTTCTTTGCGCCAACAAGCTTTCTCCTCACTCCAACGCACCCTTCTTTCCAACGATCTCGCCTCCTCTGAACACCGAGAATGGACCGCGATTTTCAGCGAAGTATTGATCCCTCTCATCACGCAGCTTCTCAAACCAGAAGTCTACCAGTCTGATCCGTTGGGTATGAGCGAGACCCGCGTCCGGGCTGCCACTCTGCTGAGCAAGGTTTTCTTGCATTACCTGGCACTGCTGGACGGCCTTTCGAGTGAAGAGAAAGAGGACGGAGAAAAGAGCCTATCTTTCGAAGAACTATGGATCACAATCGTGGGCATCATGGACCGCTTAGGCAACAGCGGGCAGGGTGACATGGAAGAGGCCGTTGCCGAGAATCTCAAGAACATGCTCCTGGTACTCAGCAATGGCGGGTATCTTGCGCCGCCCGACGAAAACCCCGAACGGGAACAATTATGGCATGAGACGTGGAAGCGCATCAATCGCTTCCAGCCCAACCTCTTCGCTGAGCTGTTCCCAGAAGAAGCTGGAAAGCCCGCGAGGCCGCGACCTAGTAAGGATGAGAGAGCGGCAAAGAGTGAGCCGGTAATCGACGGCAGGGAGATGGACGTCGCAGAAAGGAAAAAGGGTGGCAGCAGCAGTAGCGAGACCGCAGATGGTAGTGAGGTTGAGGAAGAGAAGGAGAAGGTTGCTGAGAAAGAGGGCTAGGACCTACTTCATCATGCAGCGACAGGAGCATCGGGCACGTGGTTGTAGCATTAATTTTACATTGTAGCATAGACGGAGTGAGAAGTAATGAAGACAATCATACGACGCCAAGCAGGACTTGCTTTCTCACATGTTGCATGTGGTCTTGTTCATACTAAAATCATGACACAGCATACTAACTCACATATACTGGATCGTCTAGCGAGGATACAGACTGCACTAGGAGAAAGAAAGTACCATTACTCCGCTCTAATGTATATATTCGAATGCTTCATCTATCTCTAGAAACCCCCTCAATCAAACGCACCCCTTCTTCCGTATCTCCTCGTTTGCTTTGAGCATGTGCTCCCTAGACCATGGCGGCAGTGGTCTCCGCAGGAGTTGCTGCTGGGTCTTCTGTTACAGGAGTCTCTGCGGGTGGTGCTTCAGTAGGAGTTTCTGCAGCAGGAGTCTCTCCGGCAGGTGGTGTCTCTGCGGGGGCTTCTCCAGCAGGGGGCGCGGCGGGAGGCGGAGGCGCGGCGGCCGGATCCTCTGGTGGTGCAGGCACGAAGCTATGGCAGAGTCAGTATCTTGTTCATCAGGAGCATCAGCATATCCTGGATGTCGAGAAAGACTTACGCTGCAGTGTCCAAAGCAAGCTTTCCAGCCGTTCCACCCACAACGTCAGTGCCATCAGTGCTGGATTCACTCTGCTGGCTCAATTTGACATAATCGGCCAACTGCTGCGTATTCGCAGGGTTGACCATCATGACCTGACCCTCCTGGCAATGCGGTCCGGTAGCACAGTACAGATACATGGGGTCGGCGCTAGTGACAGGCATGTTGAAGGTTCCAACATCTGTCTGGCCGTCTTCGAAGGGAATGTGACCGCTGTGGATACCGCCTTCCATAGGGGTGCATGCTGTATCAGCAGTCGATTGCGTGACGGTGTGATTGCCGTTGGAGAACTGGAATTGGATGATATCGCCGACTGCTGCAGTGACAGTGTTGGGGATGAAGGTATCTTGTGGACCACCAACGATTACAGGGATGATCTGGTTGGCGCGACGAAGTGGGTTGGCTTGTTCTCAGTTAGTATAGTCCAGATGAGAACAAGGGGGCATAAACATACACTTGACGCTAGGCAGTCTGTTGACAGTCCTGAAAGCCGGACCAGGAAGCGCACTTGCAGTGGCAGCAAGGGCGATAGAGAAGATGAAAGACTTCATTGTGTAATAGCGAATAGCTTGAGTTACAAAAAGGTATCGCTGGTATATAGACAAAAGAGTTAAAATACCGTTCAACGGTGGAGTAAAGAATCGAAAGTAAGTATTATGTAAAGACCGTTCTACGGTTTGCGTAGTCAAAGAGCGATGTGAAGAGAATGAAGGGTGAAGAAACTCCAATAGCGCAAGAAAAGCCATACAAATACTTTTGACTTCATATAGACTTGCCTCCTCCACTATACTCTGTCCGCGCGCTTGAATCAACCCTTACCGTCTTCTATCCACAGCCTGAATCTTGCCTACGTACCTTGCCTCCTGCCCATAATACCTCAAACATCGAAAATGGCCTGAGGTTCTGTAGGGCTGCCACAAAGCAACCTATAGCACACAACCGTGTGGATACCGAAGCTGTAAGACCACGGCGGCCAAGCTGTCGCATTGTTGCACGTCAGCTAAACGAGGTTTGACAGCCTTGATTGCCAAGAGAAAGGATGGTAAATGTGCATGGGTAGTGGCGTAGTATGCCGTTTGAAGATGAGTGGGGCGAGGAGTGCCGAGTTGCATCATGATCGTTTGGAAACCTGAAGTGCCTTACCATGCGCGGCGCTTAGGCTTGGGAAGGCAGAGGCGGATAAACGGCAGGGTATGTTTTGGTGATGGATGAACGCATATCCAGAAGAAGTAATGCGTGCGTCGATGATGTGGATAGAGTCAATGGGTTGGTCGAGCTCTGGAGAGGGTTGTTTGCGAGCAAGTCCGCTGCAGACAGGTCCCAGGGCGATTCGCGACTCCTGCAGACCTCCCATTGTATCAACATATCATCAAAAGAAAAGGCGCATTCATAATACTATCGAAGTTGTGGATGACAGGTATTTCGCAGGTGGAAGTCGGTGCTTGGTTCCTGCCTGGAGCGAACGTTTGGGTCCACCACGACCCGCGGTGCCGCGGTGCCGCGGTCCCCTTTATCTCTGCCGTCTTCAGTGCGCCAAACACTTCCAAAGTTCATGTCCGGCTTGGCTCAGACCGCATAACTACTGCTTTTTCGTGAATAATGCGATGGTGAATGAGATGAGTATCTATACCGTCGATGATATAGCCTCCACATACCGTCGATGATATAACCTCCACATACCGAGGCCCAGAGATCTTCCATATGAGACATGACTAACATTGTATCCATAGCGACAGCGGCTGTATAGACTGGACAGCAATTCCATGCCTGCTACTCTCTGAATCGAACACGTTGACAGTCATGTCTTTTGCCAATTTCGGATGGCCGTGTGTCCATCGCCTTCGCTGACGGAACGCTCCGTTATCGTCTCTTGCAGATTTCTTTGCGTCGATGGTAGGCTCGAGTATTGGATGTGCTCAACAGCTCATACTACGTCCGCTCTAAACAAATTGGTAGGTATGGATTGAATTTGCGTCATCGTTCGCTCTTTTGCTTCAGCAAGGATCTGTCGGCTTTTGTCTTTGAAGAGTGGAAGCGACACAATTGGAATACGGATGAAGAGTTGACCAGATCATGTAAACGCACTCCAGGGAAAAACCAGAGGGGCAAACCGAAACCCGACTCAGGGCACTGTAGCCTGAAAACGATGGAAAGGACTCAAGCATGTGAACATGTGGACTCCACAGACCCGGGTATTCCGCCTGCATACAGTCAATGGGAAGCGTGGAAGGCGGTCGTCGAGCAGCGTGTGCATTAAATTCACGACCCAACTCATCAGACGAGTGGATTTGCGACTTGCCAAATCAGTCATCTTGAGCAATCGCTGATCTGCTGATCAGATTGCAATCGGTCGAAGAACGAAAGCGACATGCGTTCTTCAAACTGTGTGCCACATGCGAAGTACATGGGATCTAAACTCGAAAGCCAGAATGGATGAAGGAACCTTGGAAAGCCCTAAAGCTTCTAATATCTCGATGCAAATAAGTTTTTTTCTATCAGTTCTGCCTTTACAGAACTTATCACCAGGTATGTACCAGAACAGGAGATCAATACGTTAAATATGTGAATATGTATAGAGAACATTGTAGTGCTGGAGTGTGTAGCACTGTGAACGTGCTCACGACGATTTGGACCTAGCGTACTTCGGCCGGAATTACTTTTCCGCCAGCCTGTAATTTTCTCTGAGCTCGCACCCGCCCACTCGTCTTTAGTCCCAAGCTTCACAAAAGTCACACGGAAGACAAACTCCAGCAGCCTGGAATCAGGTCCACAGCATTCGCGATGCATACGCAAATGCTGCTAGCCCCGCGTAGGGGTGTTGGCAATGTTCCCACAGCTGCTGCTTTGGACCGCGACCTCGGCTGAACGCGATCCATGAGTGCGGAGACCGCTTCCAACCGCTCTCCGCAACACGTCGCCAAATCCAACTATACAGATCACCTCCCTCTCTTCATTATCACACGATGCGGACAATCTCGGCGCTAGCTTCGCCTCTGCGGAGATCAACACCTACAGCAGCGCGCCAGAGTACGCGGAGATGCTTCTCAAGCTCCCACAACCTGCAGGCTACATGGGGTTTCATAGGACTGGGACGCATGGGTTAGTACCATAGCAGCTCACATGACTACCCTCTCCTAACACTCAAGATAGGATATCCCATGGCGAAGAACCTCAGAGCGAAGATACCGGCTGAAGACACTCTCTTCGTGCACGATGTCAACACCGCAGCTACAAAGCAGTTCCTTGAGGAACACCCACAAGGCGTACAAGTGGCCAAGAACGTTCGAGAAGTCGCCGAGAAAGCCGTACGTATATCTCTTTCATCACCTCCTATCGCTCTATGATGAATTAATTTTCCTATCAATGATCTAAGTTGGGGTCATTCGTGACCCTCCTCCTGATTACACAAATATTATAGCCAATCCTCTGATGCTTTATACTCAACACATCTTCTCGTCACCAGCTTCGAGCGCGGTACACTGACAGTGTTGCAGGAAACTATTGTTACTTCGTTGCCAGAACCAAAGCATGTAAAGGCAGTCTTCAAGGAGATGCTGGAGCCAGCTACTCTTCTTTCAGACAGCTCTGTCAACAAAGAGCGTTTCTTCATAGATTGCTCGACCATCGATCCCATGACCTCTGGTGAGGTGGCGCAAGCTGCTCACTCTACGGGTCAAGGGAAGTTCATCGATGCGCCTATGTCAGGTGGTGTGGTTGGTGCGCAGGCTGGCACGCTCACCTTCATGATCGGTGCGCCGCCAGAAGCAGTCGAGGGTGCTACCAAGGTGCTGTCAATGATGGGTCGGAGAGTAGTGCACCTTGGCGGACCGGGTGCCGGTCTCAAGGGAAAGCTTGCCAACAATTACTTGCTCGCGCTCAACAACATTGCAACTGCAGAGGCCATGAGCATGGGCGTGAAGTGGGGTTTAGATCCAAAGGCGCTGGCTGGCATGATCAACACAGCGACTGGCAAGTGCTGGCCCAGTGAGGTTAACAATCCTGTTCCTGGTGTCATTGAGGGCTCGCCTGCGAGCAGAGGCTATGAAGGAGGGTTTGGCATAGGTCTGGCCAGCAAAGATCTCAAGCTCGCGCTAAAGGCTGCTGATGAGGCAGGTGTCAAGCTCGCGTTAGGGGAACCTGCAAGAGCGCTCTACGATGCTTGTGAAAAAGCCGAAAACTGCAAAGGCAAAGATTTTTCAGTAGTTTACCGGTATCTTGGAGGCAAGGAGTAGGCTAGACAATAACATTCTGGTGAACATCAACTCTAGCTTCACACATATTTCCAGTTCTTTTTGCTATGTCTGTTTGAAAGGCATTCTAAGCAGTGCTATGAAACACGACATATGCCAGATCGTCCAGCAGCGAGTTATACGGCATTCGAATGCCCTGCCTGCTAATTTCAAAGCCCAGCTTTCTCTTTGTGTCTCCCGTTCTGCACAGATACAGTTCCAGTTGCCCGCTTCTTCTTGAATATATATGAAGTACAAGAAGTCTTGCAGAGCGCCTATCGTTATGAGCACACTGGTCCAGGTGGGAAGCTCGTTTGCGCTTCCTTGGATAGAAGTTCGTTAGGTTTGGCAAATACATTGTTAGTATAGTAGCAGATCAGTGCGGTAATGTGCGAGCCAGAAGGTCGTCGCAAGACGTTCAGTGGCTGACATTGTAGGAATGAGAATGCAGGTCTCTCGTGTGAGTTTATCGGACGACCATCGCAGAGCTCTAATAGCTCTCCAAGATATGTTGAAGTATAAATTAGGTCGTTGGTTTGCAGCATCGAGATGAGGCTCTCGTAGCCCCGATCGCTTGTACAGCTGATGATAGTGACTTTGTAGATGTGTTTGGCTCGGACAAAATCAGTATCAGGAACTGCGTGAGGTAAGGATCAAACTCTTTGCCAGCTTTCAAGGTACGGCATGTGATGCCTAAACCACGATCAATAGTCCTGCGTATTGTATAGAGCGTAATGCGACGCCATTGCAAGTAGCCCCACTAAATATTGGAATTACTACTATGAGAGTCGTCACTAAGAACTCCAATGAAAAAAGTGACGACGAGGTGAGAGATGAGCACTGGACGATTGCCGATGTAGTCTTCACGGCGGGTATCCCACTTAGTACTAAGGTTTGTTCTAAACAGAGCATCGGGTTCTAACCAGTAGTAAAACGAGCAAGGTGACGCGTCATCAAGACCCTGACAAGGTGGGCAAGCGCTTCATGAGAGTTGTTTGCGCCACATGGGTGGTGAAGTAGGCGGGGGAAGGAGGAAGCTCCAATCAAGGTATGATTTCTGGGACTTGTCCGAATTACACGTGCTTCTCCAATGCTATTTCTCCCTCCTTAAGGACTTAACCTTTTGATCGTCCACTCCGCCTCCTTGATCCCCTTCGTGTTCTCGTCCCCACCAACCTTCCTATAAATAAAGCGATCGTGCAACCGACTCGGCCGCCCCTGCCAAAACTCCACCATCTCTGGCACAATTCTCATTCCACCCCAAAACTCCGGCACCGGAATCTTATCCTTGCCACTGAACCTCTTCTCTACATCTTCCACTCTCTTCTCTAGCTGCTCTCTTGATTCAATCACACTACTCTGCTGACTGGCCCACGCCCCAATTCTTGACCCGCGAATCCTAGTATCGTAGTAAACCTGCGATTCCTCGGACGTAAGCCGCTCTACAGTCCCTTCGACGCGAACTTGGCGTTCGAGTTCGCGCCAATGGAAAGTCAATGCCGCATGGGGGTTACTTCGTACATCGCTAGCTTTGCGACTCGTGTCCCAATTTGAGTAGATGACGAAGCCGCGATCGTCCAGCTCTTTCATGTAAAGCGTACGTGCGGAAACTCTACCGCTAGGTAGTTCGGCGGTGGACAAGGTGACGGTTTCGGGTTGGTAAACGTTGTTTGCCTGGGCTTCCTGGAACCACTTGTGGAATTGGTCGGTTGGAGTGGGAAGGAGGTCTTCACGGTCTAGTGCGCCTTTGTTATACTGGGTTGCATGGCCAGGGTCTTCAGAGTTACTCGTGGGCGCGAAGATCTTCTTCGCTGACTCGGTAGCTGAATGCAGCATATTTTTCGGTCGGCGTTGAGTCGTTCGGGGAAGCTTTACAACGGGAAGCGATGTGCGTTGGCGTATGTAACTTGCACTATTGATGATCCTTGAGGATTTACTGAAGAGGTTTCTAGAGCTGAGTATTAGCATTGATTTTTCCAGACTGTGGTGAGGATTCGGTACGTCGAGTGACTTTCGTGGCGTGATTCGAGTGGTACAACTGCTCGGAATGAGTCCTCACGATCGGAACGAAGCGAGGTGACGTAACGAGATGCTAGCGCGATTGTCGACCTTGCACCTGAGTTATCACACGAACCTTGCACAACTTCCGACTGTTAACAGAAAGGATGAGGCCCTAAAGCTTCTATGCAATAGTAACATTGTTCTTAGAACCTCTTTGAATGATTCTTCATTGGATTTTCACTGCTACGCCAAGATAAATTGAGGCTTTTCCATATATGGGACACGCTAATCTACTTCAAATCGAGAAACGGCCGCGCGAGCGTCGTTGCGAAAATAGTTTCCTGCAGGGTCCAAGACATGTATTGCGCAAAGAACGCCCATAAAGACATTGAACGGCCATTGCCTAATCAGCGGTCAATCTCAAACAGTCCTCCTTCTCATCAACATCGTACCTCACGTTCGTGTCCACCCTTTTACCTCCTTCGTAGTTCTCCCTTGTCCTGAGCAACACCTGAGTCTCATCGTCGAATCCATACAGCAATGTTGGGAGCGCACTTTCCTTCCACACTGGTAATCTCAGTCGTGCAGACTCGACTATGACAAGAATCACATAGAGTATTCCTATCAAAAGCATGCTGATGGGATACGCTAAATACGCCCAGTCCACCCGTACGTGTATCACCCAGCTTTGCGTAGACCCCTCGTGTCGCTGAGGCGAGGTGTTGCGTATCTGACTAGTGAGACTTCTGGCGACATTCTCGAAAGTTGCGGTCAAATTCGTAGAGTTCCAAAGCGCGTCGATCACAGGCGGTGCGTCGCTGAAAGGGAAGGCGATAGGACGCACGTACGATTCGTTGCCATGTGTAACGGCCATCTTGATGTCGTCTTCAGTCCGTCCTGTGAATTCGTGGAGGTACTTGATCGTGCTTCTGATGAGCGCATGAGAGATGTTAACACCCTGCGCTATCGCATCGGGGCGTGCAAAACCTTCGATTGGATCCGGACCAATTTTGAGACGTAGATCGTACCTTGACAGATCTGCAGTCTCTATCGGGTCGTATAGATCCTCGATATCGACGTCAAGCCACGGAGCTCCTTGTACGGCCTCCACCCCCGGCTCCGGTTGGATGCTACCTGAAGGATCGATTGCGAAAGATTCTTGATCTCGAATAGCCCATGAACCAATCACACGCTCTTGGAGTACTCCGTTCTGGCTTTTGGCTTGGTAAGCATTCGTGCAAAAGTATAGCGCGCACTCTGTCGCAATTGGCCGCGATGATTCCCAAGGCACTTTCGATTGGATCCATTCATCAGGTGCCCTCACGATAGCAAAAGCCATCATCAGAGTATCGATGTTCGCATGCCTCAGGGTACGCGACGACTTACAAGTGGTGTTCAACGTCATAAGAGTTCGGGACAAGGACTGCGAGTTGCCAGTGGTGAGATTCCACCAATTCTCGTTGACAATCTCTGAGTAGCCATTCCAATTTCGGATTTCTGAATACGGTCACGCAGAGATAGTGAAATTATTTTCGTAGAGTCCCGCGTTGGTAGTTGTGGGAACGTTAGTTCCATTGTACATCCCGGACCCTGATTGGGTAAAGATGTCGTTGGATATATCTTTACACGAACTACACACAGCAGCCGAGACAAAGGTCGACCAGGTACAGTTGCCTGTAGTGCATTCAAACGCCACGGTATTTCCAGTAAGCACTGAGTCATTGTGAAAACCACCATAGATGGAGCTTACCATCCCAAAGTCTGGTCGACTAGTCGTCTACATATCGTTAGGGGGATGATGGTCGATTGACGTGAAGCTGTATACTGGGACTTACCTGTATGATACCGAGCCATCCAGCCGATGAGTTGAATCCTACCATAGCGGAACCTGGAGACTTCACAATCTGCCCACCATCAACTCTCCAAGTTTGACCCACGGTAGAGATTGGGTCCGCATTGATGTTGTCCATTTGGCCGTACGTGGATATGACCGCTTGCAGAAAAGGGTCGAACGCAACTGTCCCGACAGTTACTAAAGCTCCCAGAGCTGCCCAATGTCTGTAATATCTTTAGCTGAACTCTCGCACATAACGTTTCAAGGGCACCGTACCTAAATTTCAGCCAGATAAATAGCCGTATTCCGCCCCATGGGCCGCGACTTGCTTCATCGAACCTCTGGAAAGCCCGTATACTATCAGACCTCCGACGGAGCCAGCTCCACTTTTGCTGTCCAACGCAAGGGCTCATAGCAAAAGCCAGAGTAGTTCTGGCTATCGTTCCAAGAGTGGCGATGACTGTGTTCAGCGTGAGGACAAATTTCCAGGCCGCAATAGGTTTACCGTTCTGGTGGATAAGGATTGCGATAATTGCGACAATGGAGGCCACACTCATTGTTAATGCAACGATCTCAAACACCCATGAGGTTATTGTATTGCGGTTCGGAGGCGGTCCGGATGTTACCTTGGACTCATGGAAGGGAGGTAGGAGAGGTGGTGATGAGCGTGGTTCGACCCGAGTCGATGGCTCCGTATTTAGATCCTCTTCTACATGCGATATAGGTCTCCTAGAGATGAGTCGTTCGTAACTGCCAGCTCCGCTATACATCTCGCCATGGCGCTCAACCGGAATCGTTCTCGGATTTCGTACTGGATTCGACTCCCATGATGGAGCAGGGGACGGCTCATCAAGCGAAACAGGTAACAAAGCTTCAGACTGATGATTCATGATATCTTTCAATCGTGTAGTTCCTCACAAGACGGATACCGCGACCAGCCAGACCAGCGGACGGAGGTCAATCTTCAAAGAATGCAACCGCAGTACTCGAGGGCCTGGTGGCGCGAGGCCAAGTTTCACCTCAGGTCAGCGGGGCGTCTCTCTTTTGGGGACCAAAAGGCCTATACCAAGCCTTGGCGTCCGGCTACTCTGATATGAGGTTGTGGGACACAAAAATTGCTGTCGTCTTGTAGCACGAGCATTACAAGTAGTGAGCTATAAAAAGAGGGTGTAATCTGACGACGTGTTCTGAGTGTCATGCTGCTTTTGCGTAACCAGAGTAACCTAGTGAACGGAGTAAAGTAGTTTAACGGAGTAGGAGTTTTTCTTGCTATTTCTACAACTCCAATTATAGGTAGAAGAACTCCTTGGCACTTGCACCGCCATCCTGGGTGCAGTCGTCAAACCAGTGTTGGTTAGAGGTTTGGAATCGTTGAGTATATTTTGCGGCTAAGGATGCGTGCATTACCTAGGTACAGTGGTGTGCGAGTCTGCGCAAATGATGAATGCCAGAATGGACAGCATTTGACGAGTAGTCGTACAAAAGCCGCCGAGCTTGCTGTAAAAAGACAGGACGTGGTTTGTGAGACGACTCGACCGTGTTTTTGCCACGCAAGCGACCCCGAGGTCTGGCCTACCGACGCGGAGACGTTCCGCTTCATACGTGCAAGAGCCACCCTCCCGCCCAATGTTTGTAATACACAAATCCCACACTCACCCCACCTGGCAATAACTACAATGCACGACTCAACTCCTTATCGATACGATCTGGGCTCTTTCCATCGAAAGATCAGCACTTCCAGTCCAAAAGCACAGGAATGGTTTGATCGCGGCTTGATTTGGTGTTACGCATTTCACCATGAAGAGTCTGCCCGATGCTTCGAACGAGCTATCGACGAAGACTCAACTTGCGCAATAGCTTATTGGGGTGTAGGTCGTTGACAAGCCCCCAGAGACGTCTTGTTATTCTTGTAGCTGATCGCCACAGCTTGCGTTCGCCCTCGGACCGAATTACAATAAGCCTTGGGACTTGTTCGATGAGACAGAGCTCAAGAATACACTAAGGAGGATAAATGAAGCGAACGAAAAGGCCAAAAAACACGCAGCCAAGTCAACGGAAATCGAACGAGCTCTGATCGACGCTGTTCAGGTGCGTGTGCCGAAAGGTCTAGACGAAGCCGCTTTCCAGGCATGCAACAAGGAATATGCCGAAGCCATGAAGGCCGTTTATGAGGGGTTCTCTAGCGACCTCGATATCGCATCTCTCTATGCAGACTCCCTCGTCTGCCTCTCGGCGTGGAATCTTTGGGATCTCAAGACTGGCGATCCGACACCAGGTGCTCGATCATTGGAAGCCAAGACCGTGCTCGAGAAAGCCCTACAGCAAGAGAGCTCACACAAACATCCAGGAGTTCTCCATCTGTACATTCATCTTATGGAGATGTCAGCAACGCCGGAAGTAGCCCTTGTCTGCGCAGATCATCTAAGAAAACTTACCCCAGACGGAGGACACTTGCTGTAGGTATGTGTCCGAACTACATGTGAGGCATGCACTAACTCCATACACCTACAGACACATGCCGTCCCATCTGGACATCCTTGTTGGCGACTATCGACGTGCCATAGACGCTAATGTGGATGCTTGCCGTGCTGACGAGAAGTATGTTGCCGAGCATGGAGCAAGAAACTTCTACTCATTCTACATGATGCATAATTATCATTCACTCGTATATGCAGCCATGTTTGCAGGTCAATTCAAGGTCGCACTAGATGCAGTCAACCGGATGGAGGCGTCGCTGCCTGATTCGCTACTACGCATCGAAAGCCCGCCCATGGCAGACTGGCTGGAGAACTTCGCGTCAGTTCGGGTTCATGTCCTGGTTCGTTTCGGGCGGTGGGAGGATCTCATCGCGCTCGAAATGCCGTCGGACAGAAATCTTCACTGTGTGACAACAGCAATGATGCATTACGGCAAAGGCGTTGCATATGCCGCTACTGGCGATGTCGCAAAGGCACAGAAGGAGCGCGACGCCCTAGTAGAAGCAGTAGAGCGTATCCCAGCATCGCGGATATGCGGAGATTTTCCTAACAGGTACAGTGTAGTCAAAGTTTCCAGAACAGCGGGAGCCCCCATATGTAAAACAGAATCATACTAACCAAGATAGGTCTAACGTTGTCCTGCAAGTTGGAGTTGCAATGCTAAATGGCGAGCTTGAGTACCGGAAAGGCAACTACGAAGAAGCTTTCAAACACCTCGAGACGGCAATTCAACGTGATGATGACCTCGTATACGCCGAGCCCTGGCCCTGGATGCAACCGACACGACATGCGTATGCCGCTCTGTTGATGGAACAGGGCCGAATAGAAGATGCGGCGGCAGCCTATAAAGCAGATCTGGGGTTCGATGATACGCTACCGCGGGCAAGGCAACATCCGAACAACGTATGGGCCCTGCGCGGCTACCATGAGAGTTTGCTGACGTTGGGTCGGAGGGATGAGGCCGGTATCATCGGGCAGCAATTGAGGATTGCACTTGCTGTAGCTGACGTTAGTATCAAAGCGAGTTGCTACTGTCGACGTAGTGGGGATGCGTAGACGGGGAAGTTCGTGATGAGCCGAGATATTGTATCCAAGTACGATCGTCGTCGAAAGCATATTGCTGGCCAGTTGAGCTTCCTCCCGTGTCTGCTTGGCCGACGAACTCTTTCAGGTATTTGTTGAGGCCGATCTTCCACCTTGGGTTGAGGGACAGGAGAGGTGCCTGCGGTGTGGAGGATACAAGGGCGATCAGGCGTTCCTGGCTATGCTGATGTCTTTTCGAGCGGATGAATGCAACTCAATTCCCATATCGGGCTGATCGAAGGGAATCGAACTGCAAACTTAATACGACTCGCGGCTCATCCCTCATATCTTTACTTGGGCATTCCCCTTTCCATCAGATAATGAATGTCAACAGCTTTACGTACATCGCCGGAGTAGCTTCCGTCAGCGTCAAGCGGCGAAGAGCGACAAGAGCGACCCGGGAGACAGTCCCACTACTGAACAAGCCGTCTTCAAGTGCCTTGGTGTGCATTGTCACTGAGTCATGCCCCATTGATCAATCACCCACTAATCATGCCTCGGCATTTCAACATTTAAGTTTCACGATCTGCCGCTAAGGTCGCCGACTTCCTAGCTACCCATGTAACTCCCACGTGTTTTACCAAGACCGTGCTAGATGGTCTCGCTTATTATGCCTTGGTGGAAATTTCATCCCAACAGGGTCACGACTCCCATGCAACTGCGCAAGCAAACATGCATCGAAAACAGTCCCTGAAGCCACGCGGATCCTTCCCGTCTCTGGGCCACGCGACAGCGAAACTTGGCGTTTAGCCGGATTTCCCTAACGTTAGAAACCAAAATCGGGGTCAGCATGTGGAATAAGAGCGGGTCTCGAAAGTCTTGAAAGCTACACACACGGGAAGCCTGGGACCGAAAACTCTGACATCCGCAGTCAGAGCGGGCACTTGATTGATAGGAACGGAGTCCGTCGACGTTTATTGTGTACGGGTAGTCTAGATTGCGGGAGGTTCACGAGCCGCAAGCATCTATCAACAAATTATGATCTTCTTTTACTCACGTAACTCGGCAGGGGACCGAGAATGTACGCCCAGAGTGGAAGCTGCGAAAGTACGGGAATAATCGCCACAACATCCCTGAACCCCATCGTAGCGCCTGAGCGTTGAATCAGCATGGCGTGCAACCGGACCCTGCCCTGACATGGCGGCGGTGTTTCCCATTCAGTAGCACTGGGCAGGCCCACGAGCCGCCTTTCCCCTGGGTGCCCATCGAATCGAGACTCGCTAGAATTGTGGGCTGACTCATTTTGGCTGATACCCAAGACTTCGGGTACAACGTATATGGAGCCAAAACCCGCCGGATTTCTCAGGAATCTGGGGGGAACCAGATTTGCCCGACTTTACGCCATCATCATGGCTACAAGGCACGAACTCGAGAATCGAGGACCTGAGCTGCAGGCGGTATGTTGCCGGAACCTGAACGAAATAAAAACTATCCGCTAATGTTTGTAGGTATGCTCGACGTTCGTTTCACTTGCATTCATAGCCACTGTGCTGCGAGTCTACGTACGGGCGCGCGTCGTTAAAGCTTTTGGAGCGGACGATTGGTGGATGGTGGCAGCATTATGTAGCCATGTAATGTTCGCCACTTGTGCAATTGTAAGATCTATGAATTCTACCTGCTAGTTGTCTTAACTAACTATGTTAGGGTGGAGTTCACTATGGCACCGGACGTCACATGGATACACTCTCAGGCGAGCAACAGTACAAAGCAATGCGGGTATGCCTTGGCCAATGGAATCTCATCAACCAGAAAACTAACACTACCTACAGTACTGGTGGCTCTGCTATATCGCGTATTGCTGGGCGATGATCACATCCAAGATGTCTATCGGCCTCTTCCTCCTCCGCGTCACCGTCAAGAAGCTCCACAAGTACATCATCTACAGTGCGATGGGCCTCACGGTTCTCTGCGGACTTATCTTCTTCTTCGTCACTCTTTTCCAATGCCACCCGGTCAGCTTCTTCTGGAACAAAAGCATCAAGGATGGTACTTGTATCAACGTGGACGTCATCATCGGTCTCACGTTCTTGTACAGCGCCATTTCGGTCATTAGCGACTTCACGTTTGCTATTCTACCTTTCTTTCTCATCTGGGGCTTGAACATGTCGGTCAAGACGAGGGTTTTGTTGATACCCATTCTCGGCATGGCCTGCATCGCCAGTGTGGCCGTCTGCGTTCGCATGGGATACGTTATGGACTTCAAGAACCCCGACTTCCTCTGGGCCACGGTTGACATCGCGATTTGGTCAGACATCGAACAAGGACTCGCAATCACGGCTGGTTCCCTCGCTACCCTCCGCCCCCTCTGGCGACAAATTTCCGAAAAGTTCGGTTTCACCAACTCATCATTCGGCCCCTCGCGTCCATCTGGCGTGCGGACACCACAATGGAACAACGACCCGAACAAAGAGCTGCGAAAGAAGCCCAGCCTTTTCAGCATGACAATGTCTCTGCTGAAGACTGAGAAACCTTCCAAATCGGAAATCGACGAGGACTATGGGATGGGAAATCTCGCGCCTGTGAGACTGCGAGATGATCTTTCCGCGGAAAACGAGAAGAGCGATAAAGTCTTCAATAGCTGGAGGATCAAGGGGGGAGGCAAGGTATCTGATGAGGAATGCCGAGTTGGCGAAATCACTATGGAGACGCACATCAACCAGAAGAACGAGCGGCGATAGGCTGATAAGAGGAAGGCGACGGTTTGAACAAGTACATGATGAAGACGGCCGGGTTATAAGTTAATTTAGATTCCATGATACCACCCTCATGTCGGCGCGAGCCAGACAAAACAACATAACAAAAATAAAAAGGATAGTTGATTAAGCTTGTCTGTGTGCCATGTTCTCATTAGAAGTATCGTGACACTTGTGGAACTGGGGAACTGCCACGTGAGGGTCCAGTGAACAAAAAATCCCCACGCCGACCCGCATCTACAAGCGCAGGTTACTCGTCTTGGCTCTCAAAAAATTCTCAACCATCTGATCAGTAACCTCGACTACGTTAGCCGATTGACGACGGGAATCCCCGTTACTCTCGACCGCCGAATCTGGACGCCGTTCTTCACGAGGCGTTGCGTCGCCGACCGATTTCCTTAGCGCTCCAACCTGAACCGGCACGTCCGGTGCGTTGCCGTTAGACGTCGTTGCCGCATCCACCGCGCCAGCAGCCCCATTGTGCTGCTGATCTTGGCCATTAATTGATCGCCTACCCTCTTGCGTCTGCCCCTGTTTTTGCGCTCCACCTACTCTATGGTTTGAAGGTGTTAGGTCGCCGCGGAACGGGCGTTGTCGCTGCTCCGCGGCTTCCCTGTCGACTTTCCATATGCCGCCCGAGGGGTCGACGGTATAAGCTTGAGGGTCATGCTTGACTAGTTTGTCGAAGACTGGGTCGTTGGGTACTCTTTTGAAGAAGATGTGTTTAAATTCCTCGCCTTTTGCTTCTTCGTCCTTGCGCATTTGCCTTTGGCCGTTTTCGACTGCGTTTTTCGCTGTTGTGACGCCCTTCATGTCGCCTTTATGCAAAGAGGAGATGACGTCGCTCCATGCTTTTCTGCTTTCCCAGGGGTCTTGTTCTGAAAGGTCAGGCACAGTCATGGGTATGTGCTTGATGGTCCTAACGTCAAATGTCTCCACCTCGGAGCCGTTCCGCGCGTCCTTGATGGTAAACGTGCTGTTCCAAGCTCCCTCGATTGTGTAGATTGTCTCATCAGGTCGGTCTGCGTGGAAGAATCTTGCTTCGAATCCATTCTTGTGACCGGAACCAAAGAAGGATTTGCCTTCAAATTTGATGTGCGATATGTATCCGTTCGAAGAGATCAGAGAGTATTCACCGTACAACTCCGGATGTGGGACCCCACCCAACAGACCCTTAACCTTGATATTTGGCAAAGGCAGGAGGTAGTCTTCGTTGTATTTGTCGACATGTACAAGGGCATAACCCTTTTGCTTGATACTGACGTTTCCTGAGAAGGTGATCTCTTGTTCCGTGAATCCTTCAGCTCGGATGCCAACTTGGTTATTCCACAGGTAGCACGCCGTTACTGGTGGATGATGGCCAACCTGCTCGGAGACTAACCTTGTCTCTCCCAGCTCCTCAGTATTCCAGCTGCCGAGAAAGAGCTCGCCAAGAAAAGCGTTCAACGGCTTCTTGACACCATCCTCCTCGTTCCGCCCCGCATATTGCTGCCCTCGTAATGAGCCCAGAAAGTTCTTCAGCACAAGCAACGCGCGCTTCTCAGGATCTTCTTCCAACGCCGGCGCAGCCCAAAGATATGGATGGTCCGCCCAGTACTGTGGTATCTCAACCGTTGAGTTGTCGGCTAGTACAAAAGGCGGCGCAGTAATATTTGAAAGATCTCCCGAGATGGTCGCTATGGAAGAGATAAAGTCCTTGAGCCCCGAGCGGTTTGCAGCAATTTCATTCGACATGACTGCGGATTCGAATTGCAACTTAACATCGTGATTACCGGGTACATGGATGTAGTTATGGAGATAATGTTGGCTTCCTGTAGTAGCGCCAAGTCATGACGTCGATGGTGCAGCGCCTTGCAGCGGGACCTGGCCCAGGAGTTTGGGAGGCTGTGCACTGACGACTCCAACGGCGCATCGCGCAATCAGCCGTATGTGATTTTGGTCCGTCGCACGATGAACCCAGCGAAGTCCGACCAAACAGCGTCGCGTATTCTTCCCTTACAGTCTACGAAAATTCAAGACCATTTTTAGGAGCAACGTCTTGACACCAGCCAGCAGGCAGCACTGTAGCCTGACACGCAACCAATCATAAACTTCATCCACTATGCTGACTTCCTATTTCGCCGCTTCCTTTTCACCATGTCGTTGAACTGTATATCCTCTTTCTGCGAATCGGAGATTTCCTCGTTGTTCATATTTGCTCGGTAAGGCGATGTCTTTTGAAGAGTAAAGGATATGTAAACCGCATGGATACTTGTTCGAGTGTGGAGACATGGTTTGGAGTACGTAGACTAAAGTTTATAACAGCAATGCCTTCTACTCGTCCGATATACCCGTCTTGGCGGCGGAATCACTGAGCACACGAACTGATGTAGTAGATTATCTATTGGAAGTTATTGCAGTTAGTTCGTGGTATTTTCTAAACCTGCTAACGCATATATGAAATGTCCTCCTCAAGGCGCAGGATAACTCAATGCAAAGGCCTCTCTAATCTCCGCTTCACTCCAGCCAATGGTGAGCCCTAATTGCAACAGAATCCTCGCCTTCTGCGGGTTGTAAAATCCACTCGCAATAGTAAAGTAACCACTGTCTGGTACCAGCCCGTCTGCACTTCGATGACTAGCAACCATCGGAATACCAGTGGCAATATACAGCTCCTCAGCGGCTAAAGCAGCCTTGGTAGACACACCTCCTGCGCCAACTCCTGCGTAGACGATACCCTGAGCACCCGAGGCATAAGACGCGTTGAATAGTGAGGTATCCATGTCCTGGTGGGCGTATAGAATAGGTACAGATGCTAGGTCTGTGACGTTGGTCACATCAAAGACTACGCGACCTACAGGCTCTGAGGGCGCAAAAAAGAAGTATGGAACCTGATTGATGAAGACTCCGAGTTGCCCTGCCTCTGTTGAGGAAAAGGTGTCTAGGGTATTGGCGTTGTTCTTTGTCGTGTAGAATGCGGAGCCAATGCGGTCGTTGAGCACGATCTAGGAATGCTGTTAAAATGTGTTCTGTAGATGAGTTTGATTGATTCACTCACCATTGTCCCTCGATTACGCCCAGCAGGCGATCCAGCAAGAGTAACCGCTTGATACAAATTGAGCGGTCCATCAGCACTCAGTGCTGTAGCTGGCCTCATAGCGCCGACGACAATAACTGGCTTTGTAGAATTCACCGTACTCTCTAAGAAGAAAGCAGTCTCCTCGAGCGTATCCGTACCGTGCGTAACCACAACACCAGAAACCTCCTCCTTCGCCAACTCAGCATTAATCATATACGCTAAGCTCAAGCTGATAGTCTCATTGACGCTGCCAGAACCGACATTAGAGATCTGGTAGCCGGCAATATTCGAAATATTGAGAAGTTCTGGGACGGCATCTACGAGCTGTTGCACGCCTAGGCCGATAGAGTAACCAGTGGTTTGTGTGTTGCTGCTGCCCTGTGATGCAATTGTGCCACCGGTCGCGAAGATGGTGACATTAGGAAGGGACGAATTGATTGGTGTTTGGATGTCCTGGCGTACGAAAAGTCGGTGGAGATTTGACCGACTAAGATCGACTGGTGATGCTAGGGTAAGCGTTGTGAAGAGAGGGAGGAGGTGAGCTGGGAACCTCATCTCGCCGACTGGAAGGCGCGCGTAACTGGAACTCTAATCAATGCTTACAAGAAACCGACGCCAGGTTTTATACTCTCTTATGACCTCCATCTTACACAGCTCAAATGCCAAGTTCACCGCCGGCGAACCTACCACGCCTATCTCTACGGCCGCTTATCAAGCCAGTGTCGAGCTACGGACAAAATACTATCGCCATACCGTCTTGGTATGTCTTGAAGCAGCTCAATTAGTTAATCCTCCGAGTAGTAGCAAGGCTTGAACTTCTTGGCTATGGAAACTCTCCAGATGCGTCGCCGCGACATCGTGTCTTATCAGTAAGCCTTGCATGCGATACCCCACACTCTGGACCCGCTAGGATGTGTCGAGTAAGAATGCCAAGAGTATGCTAGCAAATCCCGATGCTGGGAGTCTTCTTTGATAGTCGTTACTGGCCTCTAGTCGTGAGGCGGCTTACGTTTGGTTTGCTAGGGTGTGAGCGTGGGCGGTACCTGGAAGATACGCACTGCCGATCGGCGCTAGAGAAAGGTCAGAACTACAGCCAAGGAAGTCGCGATGCAAACAGTAATTTAAAAAAAGGGATCAAGTTATTGACGCATGTTGGTTGAAGTGCATGATTGAAGAATCCTGTCCAGGCCAGTCGTGTTGGTGAGAGTTGAGTTCTCGGAGGTATGGTGGCTAACCCCGCTCCCTCACGCCTTTCCTCTCGATTAGGAATTAAATGACAAGAAGGCGTCCAAAGTCATATAAGACTGACACATAGCACCATGGAATTGCACACATTCTTTTCTGATTTATTTATCACCATTTATATCGTCTAACGCAGCAATGTGCCCACCATCAGACCTGGCCATCACTGGTGCCCGCGATTCAGATGACGAGACATATCCGCGTCTTTTGGAATGCAGCCCCAACACAGACATATCGAAAGCTGCCTATACACATGCAGCTGATCTGTTACATACAGCAGTCCTCAACCATAGTATCAGAGTCTATCTCTATGCTAACGCGTTGGCCAAACACACATCATCAAAGTATTTCACAGACGTCCACCACCGCGATTTACTCTTCACCGCATGCCTTTTTCACGATATGGGGACTACGCAAAAGTATGATGGCTCGCAGCGCTTCGAGGTTGAGGGCGCCGATGCAGCAGTCAGGTTTCTGTTCACCCACGGTGTCGAAGGAGCAGATGCGCATGATGTCTGGACAGCGATTGCGTGCCATACCAGCCCGGGAATCGCCGAAAGGATTGGCGAGCTCTCGAAGCTGGTTCGAATCGCCGTTATCACAGACTTTGGAAGGAAGAGCGCGGACTGGGAGGTGCTCGAGTCACTGAGAGAGCAGTTGGAAGTGCGGTACGAGCGGGTAGGGATCGAGAAGGTGCTTGGTGATGCGGTAGTGGAACAGGCGAAGCGAAAGCCAGAGAAGGCGCCGAAGGTTTCGTGGCCGCATGCAATGTACGTGGCGTCGCTCGCGGAGCCGGAGTGGGATGGTGTCAACAAGGCGTTTTGAGAGGCTGTCTGCGAGCTTCGTATCGTACAGGCTTGTAACCCACCTATATCGTTCTTGCCCTCAGCCTCCATCGCTTCTCTCCAAAAACCCGGGATCCCTCTCGATCTTGCCCTCAAACTTGGTCCACCACGCTTGGAATGCCTTCAACGGCACCGTATCTCCCGTGCCCCAGCTTGTCAAGAAGTCATAACAATTCTTAATGATCCTCTGTGCCAGTACCTTCGTCTCCACACTCCTCTGCCCCCGAAGTACTAACTCGTTGCCTTGTCCCATGTTCGGTGTTGCCGATGCCGCGGCATCTTGTGCCTTCTTCTGCTCCAAAGCTGCAGCGACTTGTTGCGCAGGCTCGATAGCTATCCCAAGAGCTAGCGGTGCGGTGCTACCGTTCGACGCATCCACTGACACACCTTCATCCACCATGGCATCGTCATTGTCGCCTAGTCCACCACCTGCGGGTCCACCAGCCTTTGCGTTGACTTTGAATATCGCGCTAGGTTTCTCGTTTGCGATTGCGCCGAGAAGTTTGAAGTCGGTGGTGCCGGGTAGTTGCGCGTATACGGCGGCGGCTGTGCCATCTGGTAATGTAACGCCTGGGAGTAGGAAGATGACGATGTGGGAGAACGACGGCTGCGAAGGAATCTGGAACGCGAACTGGGTAGGCGATATCACCGAGGAAGGTTCGGTCACGACAGGCCGTCCTGAGATGACAACGCCGACGGAAGACATGTTGGGCGTGTTGGAGACTCAGTATTCGAGTCTGTGAGCGGGGATGTACTTGGAGTGGCAGTAAGGCTGCAAGCCGAACGAAAGTACTTTTGTCATGAAAGATTCATTGTTGTGGCAGCCTTCGCGATATTTCGAATTGTTTCTGCGTCATTCCTGGTCCAAGCTTCACCCCACGTTCACCCGTCTTCGAGGTAGCTCAGGCTGATAGTCTCTTGAAATGCTGCGTAGTGCTCCATCACGAAAAATCTTGAAGTTCTAAATTTAGTCACTCCATGTGACTTCTGTACATCGCAAGCCATAAATCCGCAGCATCGATCATACCCCAGTTCTCTCCTCATCTCACATCCTGAACCCATGCACAGCGCTGACCCATGCTTGATCCATCAATTTGCTAGCCGTAATGAGAACCCTACTTCCACCCATTAGTGCCTGGAACGAACGTATCCTCTCTTCCCTATCCATCAGTATGAAGCGCGGTAGACCGATGGCTAACACGGTTTTCGCGTGATGAGTAGGAACTACCGGCACATTCAAGGGCTTTTGGAGCCACGCCACGATCGCCTGAGCAGCGAATGGGTTGAATCCTACTCGACGAAGAAAGACTTCCCAGCTTGTCTCCTGAGCAATAGGCTTGATGTCGCCAATGTCCACAGAGCCGTGTGGCAGTCCATAGTTTACCATCTCCACCACCGTGGAGCGTGCGAGAGCCTTTTCCCCTCCACGAACATACCGAACGACCACATCACCCTCCAGTTTACTAGCAAATTCCTCAAAAGCCTTTAGTGCCTCTGTATCGCGTGGGTCATCCGGCCGACTTGATCCCAGCTCTTCCATTTCACGGCTTAGGCCTTCGCCCACTAGGACCACCAGTCTCTCGTACCGTAATTGAAGAGTCATCATACGTTCGTTCACTGGTGATCTATCTGGCTGGCCGGGGAGAGCTCTTTGTTTGACCTGCTGTAAAGTGGTAAAGATCAGTCCTGTGGATGGCGAGAGTATAATGTCGGCTTCTCTGGCTACTGAATGCGGTAGCGTGTAGTCCCGATACACCATCTCTGCTTTTGGGTAAGTTTGTTCGATCTGTTTCAGCATTCTTCGCTGCTGGAGGAAGGTCGACGATATCACGAAAGAGCAAGGCGCTAGATTGCTTGGAACGGCGGGCAGTGTGGGCAGTGGCTTATTGACCGTTTGCGCCTGCTGGTCCTGAGTCGCTGGCCGGTGCGAAGATTGCCTTGATCGAGCATATCCCTTCAAATCCGGCGCCTCGCTCGTACTGACCTTCGCGGGGTCTACGGGCTTTCCCCGCGTCTTCATGAACTTATGAAGAGCGGTTGACGCTGAGAATCCACCAAAAATTAGATCGCCACTCGCATCCTTGGGCGCTTGCGGTCTCTGAGAGGCATGATTCATCGTCTTCGATCGGATCGTTGAGATCGGAACTGGTCCTTGTCCTTCAAAATGATGACTCTGTTGCATCACTCTAAGCGGCTGGATCTGTAGGTGTCCAGACTTCTGCGCGGATGTCCGCTTTCGATGCTTTTCTTCCATCTCTTCTTCCATTTCTAACTTTCGCTTGCGTATCAGGGCTTCCATGTCCCACCGCTCGTTGTCTTCCTCCGGATCCAACTCTTCCTCGTTCTCGTCTTCATCAAGAATACGCAAACCTTCACGCTTCCATACCTGTGCAGAGCTGGTCGCAAAGTCACTGGTCTCTGCTTCAGTGATGATCTTAGTCATTTCAGACTCGCCATGAAGCTTCTCTTGGAGGCTTGGAGTAGACACCTTGGTATTGAGAAAGCCCCACTTTAACTCTCTTTCCAGAACCGAAAGCCCATGCCACGACGTCGCCGACTTTAGGTCTTCGCGCTTGATCCGCGAGATGAAATTCATCTGGGCTTGAAGCTCTGAACCACCAGGCCGATGTTTGCCACCCTTCTGCTGATTGTACTCATTCCATGGTGCAATGGGTAGCGAGAAGTCAACTTCAGGAATATTCACTCTCGCAATCGTGTCGGCGCCTGATAATCGCTCACGGTCGATTCCCCTCCTCGCTTGCTCCGCCAAGGCCTCGATTTCTTGAAAGAACTCGTCGGACTCGATACCGGATTTGTTTCCCTCACCAGTCACTAGATCTTGACCCCATGGTTCGTAGGGAATGTACTCATGTAGAGTGTCTGCGAAAGACACAGTTTTCAGCTTTCTCATGGGCGAAGTGGAAAACATTGGTGGCGTGAGCGGACCTTCCACCTTGAGATCTTCGGCTCGGCGCTTCAGTGTGAGTAAGGTGGATACTTCGAAGACAGTATCGAAATTGGGTGGGTTAGTGATATCGAGTAACATTGAGTCGCTGCTATCAGAGTCCTTGCGAAGCAGAGAATCCGCCGCCATGATCTGGTCGTGCAAAGCTTGCGCCTCAACAGTGACCGAGTCGCTACTATATGAAGCTAGTGGCAGACGATTTGCAGGTGAGGATGGAATATAAGGTGTCACTGGCGGCGATAGTGGGAGCAATGGTGGTGTGACAGGCCGGACGATCGATTTCTGCATAGTTAGTAAACGGATACTAACAAGAGCTTTGCCTACCTGTTTTCGTATCATGCCTTCTGCTTCGATCTTTTCGCCATCTTCCGGTATATACGCATCTCGAATAGCTTCCTGCAGATAAGCCAACACTTCCCTCGTGACAGCGAGTTTCTCGGCTTTGACTTGCGCGTCGCACTGTGCAGGATAGGAGAAGTACTTGGTTGGCCATCCGAAGCCTTCGTCGTTCTGCTCTACAGTAACCTCGGAAGGGATTTGCAAGGTTTTGAAGTCAGGCACAGCTAAATTACCGAAGCTCAGCAAATCGAGCTGATGGTCCGATTGCAATACCGGCAGCTCTTGCTTCAGACCACGTATCCACATTTGGCTGCTAGTCGCTGACGGGTCGGTTGTAGGCACTTCTCTAAGGGAATGTACTGCCTTGAGGAGTAGTGCAGCGTTCTTGTCCACTGCAAGTCGTTCCTTGATAAGTGCGCTGACGGCACTAATGATGGTCGCATTAGAGGGATCGTGAAGATATCGATCAAAATCATCGTTTGATGGCACCAGGAAATTGCCAGTATACAGCAGCTCAGTCTCGTAATCTACGCAGGCACGTTGCGCTCGCGCCCATTCGAGGATGCTTGGATCCTGCTCTTGCGATATGGGATCTGGGTCGAATTTCAGTTCCATTGCAGACACGGCCGAGGTATTTTTGTATCGACAAAGGTGAGTGAGAATAGCGATACTTCAGCTTCAGTACTGAAACTAGTGCAAACGGTGAGTTTCAAGTTCGAGAGTTGCGCCTTCCTCAACCTACACGCTAGGGCCTTCACGTGGTTATACAGTCAGCGGAGTATCACTATGAGCAAGTCGCACACAGATGCTTTGGATGATTTGTTGATTTATTCTTTCATTAACTCGTGGCTACACTGTGCCATGCTTTGTCTCGGATTCTTCCATATATTTTCAAGTGAATGTGCAAAGGATATCGAACTATGTACATGCGGGTAAAACTGTACTTCCTTCCACTAAGCGTGTGCGCTTACTTAGGAACTGGCTTCTGGCCGAAACCAAGGGACTGGTTACCACCGTTGAAAGCAACAAGCTGTGCCTTGAACATGGTGTCGCCGTAGATCTGCAGACCTGCACCCTGGTTACCCTGTACACCACCGAAGCAAGTGGTGTTTGCTGCATCGACAGTGGCGAAAGTGATCTGGCTACCGGGGATCTTGGCCATGTACGAGTCACCGATTGCAACACTCATGTCGGGAAGAGTGGCACCGCAAGGGTAGATGAAACCACCGACCTGAGCGTTGAGCTGAGCACCCTTGACTTGCGAGTAGTATGCCTCGGCGACCTGCTGGTCGACGAGGAGGAGCGATGTACCGGTGTCGGCAATGGCGTCGGATCCTTGAGGGTTCTCGAAAAGCTGATCGCCGACAGCAAATTTGGTAGAGCCAAACTGCCAGAAGCCAGTGTCGGCCTTGACCGGAATCCATGCCATGTCGCCTTCAAACTTGGTGGCATCGATCTTGCCGAACTCATACACGCCGGTGCCATCTGGGTCGAGATCGGCAGTGAAGACGGGCATGTCTAGATTGGGCATAACGTTGTCGAAAAAGGTCTTTGCGGGGGTCTTCTTGGTACCATCGTTTACTGGCTATTGTCAGTACAAATACATGTGTACATCTCGCATAGGAAACTTACCAGTGTTGAGGTTGGAGAATGCAAGACCGACAAGACCATCAGTGTTGGTATCCTGAACGAAAGACTGAGACACTTGGTTCGCAAGCTCGACAGTCTGACCCTCGACCTTGACACCTCCAATGGTGACAGTGTCGGTTCCAACAACACCAGCAGCGCCGGAACCATCACCGTAGCTGATCTTCCATTGAGCACCGGCTGTCGCCTTGAAGGTAGTAGACTTGGACGCATCAAAAGCTGTGTGCTGGCCAATCAATTGCGGGTCGAGCTCAGTGCTGAACATCCAGCTGGGCGATAAGAGTCAGTAAACTGTGCTGCATAAACACATGGTAGGTGTGGAGCTTACAGATCGGAAGAGCCAGAGTCGAAGTCCAAGTTCAGCGTCTGACCACCAATATCGACGGGCGACAAGAACAGAGCGGCGTTTTCCTCGGGGTTGGCCGCAACAGTACCAGTCTTGTTACCACCAGTGGCAGCAGCCGCAGTCACGTTCTGGCTTTGCTTGGAGAATGAGATGAAACCCTCCTTGACCATAAAGTCTTCCTTGACCTTGAAGTTGTACTTCCTAAACACCTTCCTCATGGCAGCAGCGCCATTGGGTCCAGTAGGGTGAGCCCTGTTGATTTGCCTGGGAACTTTGAATGAACGTTTTTGGAGACCCCTCTTGCGTGCAGGGGCGGGAACGGCTAGCACAACGGCTGCCAAAAGAGTGACGAAAAAGAGGAATCGTAGAGAGAACATGTTGAGCTAATGCTGACCGGCAGCCGGACTGGAAGAACCTGTCGTTTGGAAAGAAGGGAATGGTTTAAAGAAAGAAAAGTACGAAACGAAACACGACTTCCTCGAAAGAAACAGAACAGAAGGCTCGGCCTGATGGTAGTCCACGGTTCTCAAGGAGTGTGCGAGGAGAGTGCTTTTAAAGAAGGAACGTCTACGCGACCAACGATGTAGAGAGTGTGAAACTTGAGGAAGATGAAACCCGTACCTGCAATTCGAACCGATACCGACGCATGATGAAAGATGTGGGAGCGCTAACTCGACACTCAAGGCCAAGCTGAGATCCACGCGGCAGCAGACAAAACGCTATGCGTGCTGCATTGATGATGATCCATGGGGAACATCAAGCCTAGCTCCTGTCAGGTTTTCAGGCACAAAGTCTAGAAGCCGGCCTAGTTGGCTAGTAAACGTGAGAAACGGGGTCTATGGGTCTGGTAACCGCGACATGATTGGCTCAAAAGCACCTCGAGCCTCATCGGAGAGGTATCGATAAGGGGATGGGGGTCGTTACGCGTCCAGCTTGACGCTGTTGAAGAAATGTGGAGAGGGCTAGCAACAGGCATGGCATCGACTGCAGGTACGTTTCAGTACCGTGGTACCAGCCAACGTCAGAGTCGCACGAGAGGCTCTCTAACGGCAGAACTAGCTTGCGTGTGGCGATGCTAGAAAGTTGTTTCTGCCAGCCACCTCATTTCAACTGACGATTGTTATTGCTCTGCTGCTTTGGAAGCACACATCTCTGTCTGCCGAGTCGTCTGAACTTGACGACGCGCGGTTATGCCGTCAACGAGCATGAACCGGTGAGCTGACGAAGCCGCGGGAGTAGTGTTTCGCAATGCCAAGACCAGACAAGCTAACTGGGCGTCGCCGCAAGGATGAAACAAAGGGCCCGCCAGCCCGCAACTCGAGAAGAAGCAGCCGACGGAGGATTCTCTCCATGTCTCTCGCGTATCCGAGATGTTAGACAAGCAACCGGGGCGAGGCTTAATTGTCATGTTGCGGCGTCGGATGTGCGGTTCCTCCACGGCCAACCAACCTGATGTGTCTCTTCCCAAACATGCTCCATCACTGCAAACATGCTTCATCGCGGTTTGGCGCCACTTATCTCGGCAAGTAAACAGACTGGGCATGCGTCGATGCGAAGTTCATGTTTCGAATCTCATGACGAGCTGTTGGTCAGACCAGTGCAATAATCTCCTCACTTTACAAGCCGTCGCCTCGAAGGACGAATGGCCAGCGCCAGGCTGCGTGGACGATCAGGCTTCTCCACTCTATATTTTGGTACAGTCACGTAAAAGAGATGGCGCAAAGCATAAATGAGTGCTGTTGGGAACAGCACGCATCGCTAGGCGTTAGTCCGAAAAAGTAGTCGCGTTGATCTACTCAAGCGAGAGTGGCGTCACAAGAAGGAACCGCAAGTGCACAAGCTTCCCCGGGAAGGCGCCAACATCTTGACACTGACAGGCGGAGTCGACTGCATGAAATCAATGCGTATATTCGAATAGTGAATGAGAGCGCTTTTGTTCTATCATAAGGTGATGTTCCTATTACATCGTCGACGCGTCACCATAGGCCCATTCCTCATCATGAGTCTGGTCGCCAATACCGGTCTACTCTCGGACAACTCATACGCTGCCAGCTCTTTGATCCTTTGCTCTGCTCGAACTATGCCATGTACACATCACAGCTAGGCGATAACCGCATGCAAGATTGGTGCTGTACATTCGAGTGCATCGGCGTCCAACCCCCTCGGCATGGACTTTGTACTCCGAACATCGGCCTACCGCATAGGTCGATGCATGGCGCCCTGATAGCATTGGTATGGCTAAATTTTGATCCTCAGGCGTTTCATCCAAGCAGCTCCACATCTAAACCGATAGCCCTCATGAAGAGGTTCACGTTGGCTGTACGTGCGCTTGCCATCTCAGCAGGTAAAGCCTTGCTAACAGAGACCGTCTCCATGACACGGTCCTTGACGCCGAGTACCAAACGCTGTTGCTGCTCGGGACTGGCGCCCACACCCATTGCAGCCAAGAACTGCCAGATGTACATATCGTCGGTATCGTTGATGCTTCCAGGGAACAGATAGGGAAGAACAGGCTCGATGACGTCGAACAGGCGGTTGTAGAGCGCTGTCCACTGTTGCCAGTCGGTCACCATTTCAGGAGCTGACTGCTTAAGAAGCTCAGCACGGGAGATGAGGAACGTGAGGAGTGTAAGACCAATCCTGCTGCGAGCCACAACGTGGAGGTTAGTACGGTCCAAGACAAGACCAAGAAGACCGATGACGATGTTCAATGGTGCTTCCGAGATGTGTGCGTGGATAGGCGACATGACGGTCTGAGAGAAAAGGTCAACCTCTTCTCGGATGGCTGCGCTCAAAGGCTCTTCGGGCGTAGCGATAGCATGCCCAACCACGGAGAGAGCATCCAGATGAACCACAATCATGGTGACAACGGTGATGCGCTCCTGCTCGTTGATGTGTCGGAAGAGTCGCGGAATCACCTTCTTTCCCTTGGCATGTGAAAGGATGGAGATGAAGGGATGCGGTGTGCTAGTCATTGTTAGCGAGAAAGAGACTTTGGGGGATATCGACACATGCCTGGGGTTGATGGGCTCCATGATCTTGGTGTTTAGCCAAAGTTGCTGGTGGAGAGCCTCAATCTTCGATCGCCACTCCATGTGCGCCTGGATGGCTTCAGGAGGGCTGCTTTCTTGGATCGGCGGTGGCATTGCCCGCTCATGGTCTTCCATCTGCATAAGGTTCTTGTACACAGCCTCGATGTTGCGGAGGGCTTCCTTCCGATCAGCAATGGAAGACTTGTGGTTTTTCGGCAGCTTGTCGTTGGTTTCCGGTCGCTTGAGGTTGAGCAGTGGTCGTGGGGTCTTGGAGTTGCTGAAAGCAATCTTTCCGAGGCTGCCTTCAACAACGAGCTGCCTAGCCTTTGGCCTCGCTTTGGCAGCCTCGACTGCTCGCTGGATCTGCTGCTCCATGCGTTGCATGTGGTTGTCACCTCCTCGGCCTTGTCTGCGGTTGCCAAACCGGTTGTTAGTCTGGAACAGGTAAGTCTGGGCAAATTGGCTTGCTGGCTGGTGAGGGTTTTGACGTGGAGCACCCCGAATTTGGGTGAAGACCTGGTAGTAGAAGTCCTCAGCAATAGCCGCCTCGGGTCCTCTTTCCTCCAAGTTGCCGGTCGCAGTCATCAGCTGCTGCAACTGGATTCGAGTGATGAAGTTCTTATCCTGCGGCGTCATCAGGCCGTTGTCCTTTGCCAAGAGAGCAATCTTGTGGTTCCGCTTAGCTCGTTTAGCATCTTCCTCGAGGAAGGCCGCGCGCTCGGCCTCGGAAAGCTGTAGGAGTTGCTCGGGGTGTGTGATGACCATTCCGGGAAACGAAGGACCCCGGTTGTGACCTGCCGGAAGACCGCGAGCGGCTTGAGGGCCTTGCGGAGCGTTTGGAACCATCGGTTGGCCTTGACCGGCCAGACGGTTCGGGTTCTGCAAGATCTGTCGAGGCTGTGTAGGTGGGCCTTGAGCCTGAGCCTGTGCCTGGGGTGGCGCCTGGCGTTGCTGCTGGGCGCTGGGCTCGTTGGCCTGAGGCCTCTGTCGCTGTAGGATGGTGGGCTGTTGAGGCGGTTGAGAGCGGACGGGTTGATCGGGGAGCTCAGCTCGAACCTGCTGCTGCTGCTGTCTCGGTGGCTGCTGTTGCTGTTGAGGCCTTTGCAGAATCTGGGGTGCAAATTGTCCTGGCATACCTCCAGCGGGCATGCCGGGGTACTGGGGCTGACCGTGTGAGAAGTGTTGCTGGTGCTGTTGCGGGTACTGCTGTTGTTGCGCATATCCTGGGAAGCCTGGAGGTGGCGCCTGTTGAACTGGAGGTGCACCAATGGATTGGGCGCGCATCATGGCTTCGACCTCTTCCATGCTCATGGCCTTTCTAGTCGGTGCAGGCTGTTGCGAAGCGGCAGGGGGCTGCGGAGAAGGTTGCCTCTGTGCAGCTGGTTGCTTCGGCTTGAGGCCCCAAATATCGGCGCGCGCCTCCAACTGAGGGATGTACTCGGGGTCCTTGTAGCTCTCGTAGCCAGTTCGGTTAGGTTTGGACGCTTGTGGGACAGGCGGTCTCTGCTGGTACTGTTGTTGCTGGTGGTGTTGGTACTGCTGCTGCTGCTGCTGTTGCTGTTGCTGCTGCTGAGGATACTTCTGACGAGCCTGGTACAGCATCTGCTCCTCTTGCAGGGTGTTTGATACCATGGACGTCTGGCCAGCGAAATCGAAGTGTTTCCCAACAGACTGCTGCGTGGCGGGGCCGCCGCCAAAGGTGTCGTCGTTGAGGTCATCGGCATCGTCGTCGAGCTGGTCGCCTAGGCCGTCGTACGTCTCCTCAAAGTCGATGCTGCGGAAGGGGTAAGTGGGAGCTGTGGCCTATATTGGACGCGACCTACACATCGTCATCGGCTGCCCCTCCACCAAGTGCGGCGAAGGCGTCGTGCTGGCCAAAACCGGGAGCATTGGAGGCGTGGCCCCGGTCTCTCGGGAGATTCGTATCAAAGCCGAAGAAAGACATGGTGGGCGGTGCCCGGTGGGGTTGATGGTTTGGCTGTTGCTCTTAGACTTCGGGCGAGCTGATATTTGACACGCGAGAGTGGTGACGTTGGGCTAGGGTAAGGGCAGATTGGCAGGGCGGTGGTCGCATCGGCGCAATCACGAAAGAACAGCGGTCAAGGTGCAAGCTGCGGAATCCGAAAGCGGTCGCAGCGTACAGCAACTCGGACGGTGGTGGTAGTGGGCGAGGTGGTGCTACGACTTGGGTTGGCTGTGTTCGCGCCTTCGTCCCAATTGGCGGCAAGTCCCGCCCTTACCCAAACATGGCTTCTGGGCGAATCAGCCACACTTGACCACTTTACCACTGCGCCCGATACGACCACTCCTTTTACCTTGTTCCACCACGTATTTTCTTCTTCACCCACGCCCTCCTTCACCTTGACCACCCCTTACCTGCTGATGCGCATTCCCCGCGTCTCGCATCCGCTCGTTTCCCTATAGTCCATTTCCGGGGAAGACTCGCGCCGAGTGTCCGGCACCGCCATCTGGGCTACGCCTCACGCCTTCACCTGAACTTGAACCTACGCTTCCCACCACACCTCGACCGTCGTCTGCAGCGCACGCAATTGAGCAAGCAAAGTGGAGGGCCCCAACGTCACCGAAAAGAAACATCCGTCCGAGCAGCAGCCTCAGGGTCGGAACGCCATGGCAGGCAGCCAGCGGTATATCCGCTACATTGTCTTTGCGGTAGTGGTACGTGCCGTCCACGTGTAATGATTACAGAAGCAGCCATTGACTTTTTCTAGGCACTTGTCCTCCTCTACTTCATCGGCTCCTCCTCGTCTGTGCCTTCCGCAAGCTGGCCAGTCTACCAAGACAACAAATCGCCCGCGACTCCCCAGGGCAATGCTCCAGTCGCCAACGATGACGTCCAGCAAGTCACGCCCCCTACCACACCCAACCAGCAGAAGCTCCCGCCCGCGACCATGCCCGGCGACCGCATGAACGCAACCTTCGTGACCCTCGCCCGTAACTCCGATGTCTGGGAGATTGCCGAGTCTATCCGCCAAGTCGAAGACCGCTTCAACCGCAAATTCAACTACGACTGGGTCTTCCTCAACGACGACGACTTCAGCGATGAGTTCAAGAAGGTTACCACTGCGCTCGTATCCGGTACGACCAAGTACGGCAAGATTCCCAAGGAACACTGGTCCTTCCCTGAATGGATTGACCAGGACAAGGCTGCCAAGGTTCGCGAGACCATGAAGGAGAAGAAGATCATCTACGGCGACTCTGTCAGCTACAGGCACATGTGCCGCTACGAGTCTGGCTTCTTCTTCCGCCACCCCTTGATGCTCGACTACGAGTGGTACTGGCGCGTCGAGCCCAGCGTCAAGCTCTACTGCGACATCAACTACGACACCTTCAAGTTCATGGCCGACAACAAGAAGAAGTACAGCTTCACCCTCAGTCTCTACGAATACGTCGAGACCATTCCTACCCTTTGGGACGCCACCAAGAACTTCACCAAGCACTACCCTCAGCACATTGTCAAGGACAACGCCATGAAGTTCCTTAGTGACGACGGCGGTGAGACGTACAACCACTGCCATTTCTGGTCCAACTTCGAGATCGGCAACCTCAACTGGCTCCGCTCCGACGCATACATCGACTTCTTCACCTCGCTCGACCATGCTGGTGGTTTCTTCTACGAGCGATGGGGCGATGCTCCTGTGCACTCCATTGCTGCTGGTCTGCTCCTACAAAAGGACGAGATCCACTTCTTCAACGACATTGCCTACTACCACGTTCCCTTTACGCATTGCCCAACTGGTGAGCAATACCGTCTCGACCACAAGTGCTCCTGTAACCCCAAGGACAACTTTGACTGGAACGGATACAGCTGTAAGTTCACCTGAAATTAACCATCAACACACGCTTACACCATGACAGGCACATCTCGCTTCTACGAAATGCAAGGCATGGAGAAGCCAGCAGGGTACGAAAAGGAGCAATAAGCGCTCAATCTCACTTCCATCCTACTTCGATCCGAACAACCTTGAATTTATCTCATCTCTCTTGGCACACTAGTCTGACTATTCGTCAAGTGCACCACTCTCGACTTCAGCCAAGGTTTGGCGTGTGCTAAAAATTGTCTTCTTCGTTCTCGCAATTTTGACTCTCCTCGGGACGTGTATTGCCAGAGGGCGGCGACCGACCGGGCACTTTGATCAGGGAAAAACTTCATTGCCCAAGTGGCCTTCGTAGGGATAGTCCAAAACCATATCGGTGTATATGCGGAATTGGTGTTGGTTCTGGTGATTTTTGTGGGCTACTTTTTTGGCAAGTCATCCGGATGTGGGCGGGCAATTGGCGGTTACCTATGTATTGTGTTGTTGAATCGATGCACACATGCAGTTGATGATTGTAGAGTAATGACATCTTCGATCATGTGCGAACATCTCAGATATTCTTTTCGTTGAACCATTGCAATCTAGATATTGCTTGTTCACTTTTTAAGACTCGTAGTCTGATTCCAGTGTTTATCGTATGCCTGCGTTTACTTTTTCGTCACAAAAGACTCCTTACGCTGCCTCATACCCGAAAACGGACACTCTCCTGCTCCCCGACTCTTCATAAATTCGGCAGTCGCCCTCATTTCCTCAAAGCCCTTGCCCTCTTGTGGTGGCGGTCCGATCGTTTTCAGGTCATATCCTGTTGGCTTGTACCTATCGGCCTTACTCCCTGGTTTCCTCGCGCCAAACATCCTCAGAAGTAACGCGCCAGGACTCCAGATGGACCAAAAGCCGGGCTGAATATACCAAGGTTGAAAACCACTATGGCTGAAATTGTACAAGCCCTCAGCATTCGGAGTAGGCGCGACGGATTGGTAGGCAAGAACCTCCGGACGAGGCAGCATAAAGTAGCGGAGGAGTATCTTGCGGATGCTCCTAATGGTGAACAGGAGAGCAGACACGAGAGGATGAGGTGCTTCGATGCAGAGACTTGTTCTCATCGTGTCATCCAGATCCGAACCAACGATTTGTCTAAGGAATGCCGTGGCTCCCTTGCCCATCTTCTTGGTGACTGAATCAACATAGACCCTCACATACTGGTCGCCTGTCGTTGTCGGCTTCGAAACCTCTTTCTCGTACCCTCCCGTCCATTCAATCAACTCAGTCACGAAATGTAACCCATCCTGCCATCCCGATTCAGAGCTTTTCAGTGGAGTGAATGGAATCTCCATGTCTTCGCCAAGGTTGCGATGGAAGATCCCCACGGCGCACTTTTCGGCATCGCTGAGCTTCCGCCATTCCTCTTTGTCTATAACGTGCAAGATTTCCAATGCCCCGTCACCCAAGGTGTGCAAAAGGTCCATGTCTAGAATCTTTCCCGCTTTGCGATATCGAGCGTGGAGGTAGTTCATTCGCGCAACAGCATCCATATAGCGCTCAGAATCCCGTGGTTGCGTCTGTGACTCGCGTAGAAGGATTTCCGTATCAACAGCTCGTCTTCCTGCATTTCTGGTGTTATTTTGGCCGGTGACGGCGAATAGCTTTGACATTGTGGGTATCCCGCCCGCCTACATGACCGAGTCAGTGGCAATAACACTTAGAGGGTTTGGAGTACTACACATACCTTCAAAAGCGCAACACTTCGCGCCTTGTTCATTGCATAGGGGAACTCGAGCGATTGCAGCTGGGTCATGATGTCAAACGCTTCCTGCGTAGTCATGCTCGACAACGGCCTTTTACTGTCTGCAAAGGGAGACGCAATCTTGTCGGCACGCTTGTAACGTAACCAACGAACAAGGGCGAGATACGCAATTGAAAAGCTCATAAAAACAAAATGCTTCGCGGTAAAGGCTCGCACGCATGCTAGCGAAATTGACAAACTTGGGGGTTGGAATATATCTGGAGCCATGATGAGGACTGAGTAGAAACAAATTGCAGCGTCTTTCTTGAAAGAGAAAAACGCAGATGTTCCAAGTTATATACATGCCGCTGTCGAAGCGGTGAACTTCACATGAGAAAAGTTCCCATACAAATTACATGAAGTATTCCAGTAGTATGGTCGGTTGAACTTCCAAGGTTTGTTCATGATAAATCGATTGGATATTCGCAACTCATCCTCACACGGGCCGATTGAGTAACACATGAAAAAGATTGAACCAATCAAGTCGCAGCTGAGTGCCGAGGTAGAGACATCGCACGATGGAAGTGCCAAGTCAAGCTTTACCCTAAAGCTCCAATCTTGCGAGACGAGCCGAATATAGGCAGTGGTTCCAGGCAAGAATCAAAGTCGCGCTATTATTTTGGTAATGAAAATGGTTATAGGATTTGAAGCTCAGAGAAATAGTGAAAAAAAATCCATAATTCTGCGTCTGATGCACTAGAGAATTGGAACGATTCGCAAGATTCTCCATAACAGTCCATGAAGATTCTAAGCTCGTACAAGGCTTGGACTAAGACGTAGTAGATACTAGGCAAGTCTTACCGAGAGGACGCAGCTTACTTACGTAGGTAGCTCGTTTGTGGGATACCCTTCAGCAAGTTACTTGGCATTTCCTAAACCTGCGTATCATATGGCGTAATTGAACTGAGTGTGGAATCACTCAGTTTCTTAGAAGACAAGGAGTGTGTGAACGAAGACGTGAAGGAGACGTAAGAATGAGAATCTAGTTGAAATGCACGCTAGTACCACTATGCTCGCTAAGAACGCTAATACCATCAAAGCCCAAAACCATATTTGCTCGCTGTTTCATGAGATGGACAACAATCAATCATTGTAGTTCACCACACCACTTCCATCCTTATTTGCCTTGGGCACTCCATACTTCTCACTCAACTCTTCCTCTTGCGACCGGCTCTTTGGGTCAAGGTACGGCCGCTCAGCACGGACAGTGACCCGCACAGCGTGCCGGCGATGGGGTGCAAAACCATAAGTAGCAGAGTGGTTCTACTGCGTGTCAGCACATATCACATAACTGGGAAGACTTGACATACCGTGACCCTGTTATCCCAGAAAGCTACATCACCCTCGTTCCACTGGAACCTGGCATGTACCTCTGGACTAGTTGCCACAATCTCAGTCAAGAAACTGATGATGTGGTCTGACTCCGTCTTCGGTACACCGACGATCTTCGTCACGAAGCCAGGATTAAAGAAGATGCTCTTCCAGCCAGTGACAGGGTTCGTTCGGATGAGTGGGTGTTCAGTGGTAACAGGCTCCCGGCGTACTGTTCGTCCAAGGTCCCGTGAGCCTTGGGCTTGGAGCTCAGCGGAGTGTAGGGCGGTGAGGCCTTCAAGGTACTTTTGCATGTGTGGTGATAGCATGTCGTATGCTGCGTATTGTGAAGACCAGAGAGTATCTCCGCCGCCACCGCGAGGCGGGCCGGTGAGGACTTTGAGGGAGGTGTAGGAAGGAGGTTGGAGTTCATATGTTACCTGCTTCGTGTTAGTAACTCAAGCTACTTTCAAGGTGTTGAAGTCTTACATCGGAGTGCCATAGGAACGAAGGGGTGAACAACGCCCTCAGGTCTGGGCTATCCTCGCCGGTGTAGATAACATGAACATCCTCCAAACCTTCACGCTTTGGCACACCAGTTGTAGCATGCCTGTGAAGCTCACCAAAGTACTTGCTAAGCTCCCTTTGCTCATCGATGCTAAAGTTCTTCTGGTTTCGGAAGAACACAACCCCACGTGTGGCAATCAGTCGAGCAAGGTCGTTCTTCTGAGCATCTGTAAGGTTTGCTAGATCAACACCGTGTACTTCAGTACCAATCTTTGGATTGTAGTCGAAGACATCTGTGGCAGTTGCGAGGAGGTTCTTGAAGTTGGGGTCGCCTAGTTGGCCTTTGTCGGCGTAGGGGATCTCAGTGTAAGCTGGCCATGTGATGTTGGGGAAGTGTGGCCGAAGATCTTCGTATTTGTAAGGTACAGCATGCTTCTTGACAGTGGTACGACCAGGGACGTAGCTGTGGGCATTACTAGACTTTGGTGTGGGGAGGAATGTGGATGTGGATGTGGTGGTGGGCGGGTAGTTGGTTTCGACGAGTCCGGGCGCCATGGTTGTACTGGGGTATAGGCAAGAGATCCTATGGAATGCGGATACTTTGAAGTCTACGGCGGCAAGATCTTGGTACTTTGAGGAGATGTGGTCCCTCTTCGTAATGAGTAGGTACGGCAATGCAATGGGGTGACTAGTAGATGCTGAAGAAGGTGCTAGACTTGGTATATGAAGGGAAGATGTGTTTGTGTGAGGTCTCTAGGGATCGGTAGATGATAGATAGATAGCCAGGAAAAGAAGCATGCCCTTATATGTACTACTTCAAAGCGGTATACGTGTGATTCATGTCACAGTCAGTGCCCACTTGCCGTATCGGGACAATTGCGCCATCGCACACAATAGGATAGCCGATCGTCTCTGACGCCGAGCCGCATGACACTAACATCGAGATGCAACCGCAGACGATTGGGATATGTAAGAGACATATTGCTCACGCTGCAGGCTCAAAAACTGTGAGGAGGATGTACCAAGAGCGCAGCCGAGCATGAAGACATAACCGCATTCCTCTGCGTTCCGCCTTTCACTTCATCCTTGCGATGATCCGTGAAACCAAGAGGACGCCTCTCACTGTATTCGCAGTAGCGGATTGCAAGTGGGACGTTGGAGCTGGAGTAAGATCGGCGCTAATGATGGCGCAATATTTCGTTATCTACCCTGGGGAATTCAACATCGCGGTGCTCGGACCACCTCACGCCCATCTGCTCTCTTGCTCATATTTCTTCTTTACCGTTATCTGAACCCGGTGTTATAAGAGGGGACTTGCGAATGTTCTCGAATCCTGGATTGGATCGCAGATCTGGACGTGGGTTGACAGTCTCTGTAAGATCGATCTCGTGGCTGTATGAGAATGCCAGCGTAGCAGCCTATACGGACGATTCCAGCTCCACAACCGATCCCGCAAACAGTGCCATTTTCCAGTCCGCGTATCCGAGGCATCATTTCTTGAACAAAAGTTCTCGCTTGAACGCTGCGATATCTAACGCCTGTACTCCGTGCACACCGCCTCTTCAAATAATTCACTGACATGTAGTACCTCTTGGTAGAGACCCTAATCTCATGCATACTGTTCCCTTGAAGGTGTCGCGGCCCTTAGTCCATCGACTTGGGCCCGAGGAAGGGTATGGGGACACCGTTCAGGTTCATGAACTGAATCGAGACCCCACGCGACTCTCGTCCAGCTTCCACCCGAGTCCCCGTAGCACCATTATCGGAGGTGCCTGAATTTGTCTTGTTACGCGGTATGGTCAAGCCTGCTTGCTCGAATTTAGGACTCCAGTACGGGTGGGTGCCCTTGTGGATCCGCCACAGTTCGTAGTTGCCAAAGATAAGGACGATGGTGGAGGTGATAGGTATCCGCGAGATGTTGTGGTATATACGTGTGGAACTCATCGTGATGTTTGGTGCAGAGCTAAGGATATGGTCTAGCACGACTAAAGGAACACGCAATGTGCCTGAGGATCTGGATGTTGGTGATACGAGGACGACGAGACGTCGGTGTTGCGGAGTCTGGCGAGAGGTGAGTGGCTGCAGCGCGGGGAGCCTAGCGCGAAATCGCCGCCGAGCCGCAATCAACTTTCTTGACGATCTACAGCTCCATCCATTCACTCCAGTCTTTGGCAGCCACCGCTGGACGAGGATTAGTTGTCGCATAGAGATCTGGCGCGACATCTTCAAATCTCTACAAACCCGTTACCCTCTTCACGACTACGACACCATCGTTCTTTACATACGCCTCGACTACACGAAGAAACGCGCGCCGCGAACGAGGCCAAACCGCAACCATGGACGATCTCGCAAACCTCGAGTTCCTGTCGCTCGTCTCAAAAGTCACATCCGAGATTCAAAATCACGTCGGTGTATCTGACAAGACGCTCGCCGAGTTTGTCATTGATCAGCATGCGAAATGCAAAGGTGTCACAGACTTCAAGAACCAGCTGGAGGCCATGGGCGCCGAGTTCCCCCAGAGTCTGGTAGAGAGTATTGACCGTCTCATCCTGACACTTCATCCAAAGTACAAGAACAAAGGAGCAAACGGGAAGGAAGCTGGCGCAAACGGGGAGGATGGCGGCGATGCGACGGATCGCAAAACGCGTGTCTTCAAGGGCCTGGCGATTCCCGACAAGGACGTGGACTACGAGGTAGCAGACGAGGAGCCTGATAAGGATGCGCCACAAGTCGACGCGCTGGACGATACTTTTGCGATGTTGGAGGGTCTGGCAGGAAAGGCGCCGGGCAGCAAGCCCAAGGAGAGGTCGCGGAAAAGGAGCATGAGCCCATACGACAGCGATGACGATACAAGCAGAAGTAAGCGACACAGGCGGAAAGACAGGTCATACTCTCGCTCGCGATCAAGGAGTCCACGGCGAGGAAGGCAGCAGAATGACGAGCTAGTCTTCGAAGACGAGTTTGGACGTACACGTACAGTGAAACCGAACAACAAGCAACGAAGCCGCAAGAAGTACCGCGACGAAGATCTGGACGAGTTCCGACGACCACCCACCCCCGAGCTCGACGATGAGCCCGTGCTATACAAAGTGTACGATGGCAAGGTCACAGGTGTCAAGGATTTCGGGTGCTTTGTCAATCTTCAGGGCGTCAAAGGCAAGGTTGATGGCTTGGTACACGTCACACAGATGATGGAGGGGCGGGTCAACCATCCGTCTGATCTTGTGTCGAGATGGCAAGAAGTCAAAGTCAAAGTCATCAAGAACGAGAACAACAGGATTTCGCTCTCGATGAAAGAGGTGGACCAAAGGACAGGCCAAGATCTTGATCCCGGAAAACGCATAGCCTCTTTTGGAACAGGCGCGAACTCTCAGGGACTTGGAGGAATACCAGGTCTTGACAGTTCAGTGCCAGTTGTGGAAGAGGGCTTCAACAGTCGCAAGAATGGTATGCGGAAGCGCATGACCTCACCCGAACGTTGGGAAATCAAGCAGCTTATCGCTTCTGGTGTAATACCAAAATCAGACTATCCCGACATCGATGAAGACTTCAACGCGCATATCAATGGCGAAGGTGGTTTCGAAGAGGAAGAGGATGTTGATATTGAAGTTCGTGAGGAGGAGCCGCCCTTCTTGGCCGGTCAGACCAAGCAATCACTGGAGCTTTCACCAATTCGAGTTGTCAAGGCACCAGACGGCTCACTCAATCGCGCTGCGATGGCTGGTGATACACTAGCGAAGGAACGTCGCGATCTCAAACAACAAGAAGCTCAAGAGAAGGCCGCAAAGGAGGCTGCAAACGTCGACTTGAGTAGTCAGTGGAATGACCCCATGGCTCAACAACGACAGTTCGCAAGCGATCTTCGCAACACCCGAACGAACGAACCTAGCCAAGCTTTACCAGAATGGAAGAAGATCTCCACGAATAGCAGGGAAACCTCTTTCGGTAAACGTACAAACATGAGCATTAAGGAGCAGCGAGAGTCTTTGCCTGTCTTCAAGTTCAGAAACCAACTTCTAGAAGCTGTCGCAACCCATCAGATCCTAATTGTCGTCGGTGACACTGGATCCGGAAAGACCACGCAGATGACCCAATATTTGGCCGAAGCTGGCTATGGTAACGAGCTGGTCATAGGTTGTACTCAGCCGAGACGTGTAGCAGCCATGAGTGTTGCTAAGCGTGTCGCTGAGGAGGTCGGCTGCGCTCTCGGTAATGAGGTTGGTTACACGATTCGATTCGAGGACAAGACTTCGCCGGACACCCGTATCAAGTACATGACGGACGGTATCTTGCAGCGTGAGATTCTGTTGGATCCCATGCTGTCAAAGTATAGCTGTATCATGCTTGACGAGGCTCACGAACGTACAATCGCCACAGATGTCTTGTTCGGACTGCTGAAGAAGACACTTAAGCGACGCCCGGACATGAAGCTTATAGTGACCAGTGCCACCTTGGATGCCGACAAGTTTTCGGAATACTTCTACAAGTGTCCTATATTCTCTATTCCAGGCCGAACCTTCCCGGTAGAGGTCATGTACAGTAAAGAGCCAGAGTCTGACTATCTCGACGCGGCGCTGGTCACGGTCATGCAGATCCACTTGACCGAGCCAGCTGGTGATATTCTGCTCTTCCTAACAGGTAAAGAGGAGATCGACTCTTCCTGTGAGATCATATCAGAGCGTATGAAAGCTTTGGGTCCAAATGTCCCAGAGTTGATGATTTTACCCATTTACGGTGCCTTGCCGTCCGAGGTGGCCTCTCGTATCTTCGAGCCCGCCCCCAACGGCACTCGCAAAGTTGTCATCGCTACCAATATCGCTGAGACCAGTCTGACTATAGACGGCATCTACTACGTTGTGGACCCGGGTTTTGTCAAACAAAGTTCGTATGATGGAAAGTTGGGAATGGATCGTCTGCAGATTACCCCTATCTCGCAAGCCCAGGCTCGCCAAAGAAGTGGACGAGCAGGTAGGACAGGACCAGGAAAGTGTTTCCGTCTGTATACCGAGGCCGCGTTCCAGAATGAGATGTTGCCGACTACTATTCCGGAAATTCAGCGTCAGAATTTGTCCAATACGATTTTGATGCTCAAGGCCATGGGTATCAACGACCTGTTGCACTTTGACTTTATGGATCCGCCGCCTACAAATACCATGTTGACGGCCTTGGAAGAACTGTATCAATTAGGCGCGCTGGATGACGAAGGTTTGCTGACGCGTCTCGGCCGTCAAATGGCAGACTTCCCAATGGACCCGTCTCTGTCAAAGTCACTTATCAAATCTGTCGACCTTCAATGCTCGGACGAGATTCTGACCATCGTCGCCATGATCAGCGCAACTCAGAACGTTTTCCACCGTCCGCGTGACAAGCAACAACAAGCCGACCAGAAGAAGCAGAAGTTCAACGACCCCTCGGGCGACCATATCACCCTTCTCAACGTGTACAACGGCTGGAAGCAGGGAGGATTCAGTACGCCATGGTGTCATGAGAACTTTGTCATGCCCAAGAACATGCAGCGCGTGCGCGATGTGCGAAACCAATTACTGCAGATTATGGCGCGACACAAACATCAAGTCGTATCATGCGGTCGCAATACGATCAAGGTCCGACAAGCCTTATGCTCAGGCTTTTTCCGCAACTCGGCGCGCAAAGATCCTGCTGAGGGCTACAAGACACTGGTTGAAGGCACACCGGTCTACCTTCATCCCTCTTCTTCGCTGTTTGGCAAGCCTGCCGAACACGTTATATACCATTCTCTTGTCGAGACGACGAAGGAATACATGCATTTCTGCAGTGCTATCGAGCCGAAGTGGCTTGTCGAAGCAGCGCCGACGTTCTTCAAGGTTGCGCCGACGGATAGATTGAGTAAGAGGAAGAAGGCCGAGAGGATCCAACCTTTGCACAACAAGTTTGCAGGTGAAGATGATTGGAGATTGAGCGCACAGAGGAGGGCTGGTAGAGGTGGTGGTGGAACATGGGGTTAATCTTGAGTGTTTTGGGACTATAGTCTGTGTATGAGATACCTTTGGATGTTACTTAAAACCTATTGAAAGTTCAAGATCGATTGCCTGACGCTTTTGTCAGTGTATCGGATATCTAGTCTGTTACTGTTGCTGCTCTTCGCGTGATGTTAAGAAGGTGTGCACAGACCCACACTTATTTCCCCATCCGGACAGCGCGACCGCGTTTTCGCGTGTTTACAGTCCCCGCAAGACTCCTGTATCAGCAAACAGCACCCCACATCACGATACCTATACGCACACCATGTCTTCTTTACTAGATCTCGCACTAAATTCCGATGCCGCTCCCACTCCCTCAAGCGCGTACGGCAACGATGCACGCACACCGCAAATGCGATCCTCGTCTGCAAGACCCCGCGGACCACCCTCTGAAAGCGCCGGCGCAAACAGCGATGTAGAAGGAGACCCAGATGACGAAATTATTGGAGCACGAGTACCAGGAAGGCGCACAAATGCCCCACGAACAGACATCCCCAAGGTGGTGGATGTTACTGGAGAGACACTGTCGCTGCGGTTCCAGGAGTTCCTCGAAAAGTGAGCCTCACAACAGCAGCCTCGATGCTGTGCACTGTACTGATGACAAGATAGCTACACAGAAGACCCCTCGTCATCGGCTCTTCCCGCCTCAAGCGCCGTACCCACCACAGACAAGTACTACATCGCCCAAATACGGGGCATGCGACTGTACGGGCTCTCTACCCTCTACGTCGACTACACACATCTCCTCAGGCATGAGGATGGTATTCTCGCCGCAGCAATTGCGAGTGAATACTACCGCTTCCTGCCATACATGGTCCGGTCGCTCCACAACCTCATTGCAAAGTACGAGCCCAAGTACTTTCGCCAGCACAAGCAGCCCGCCTCGACTGCCTCCGCAGCAGGTACATCGAACGCCGGTAACGCTACGAGCCAAAATGAGAGTCTCAACGAGAAGACGTCGAACCAGCAGACAGACAAGCTGTTTACCTTGGCCTTCTACAACCTTCCTCTTGTTTCCCGCATTCGCCAGTTGCGCACCACATCAATCGGCAGCTTGCTTTCCATTTCTGGCACTGCGACACGAACATCTGAAGTCCGACCAGAGCTTTCAATGGCCACCTTTGTATGCGAGATCTGCAACACCGTCGTGCCGAATATCGAACAAACCTTCAAGTACACCGAACCGACACAATGTCCCAACATAACCTGCATGAACAGGGAGGGTTGGCGCCTCGATATCCGGCAATCGACTTTCGTAGATTGGCAGAAAGTACGCATCCAAGAGAACAGTTCAGAGATACCCACTGGTAGCATGCCCCGAACCATGGACGTCATCCTACGAGGAGAGATGGTGGATCGAGCAAAGGCTGGTGAGAAGTGTATCTTTACAGGTACAGTGATCGTCATCCCAGATGTGAGCCAGTTCCGCGTACCTGGTGTACGCCCACAAGCAATGAGGGATACAGCAAACACGACGCGAGGCAACGATGTTGGTGGATCGGGTGTCAGTGGTCTCAAAGCCCTTGGTGTCCGCGATCTGACATATCGCATGTCCTTCCTGGCGTGCATGGTCTCACCAGATCACTCTACTCCCGGACAAACCTCAAACCATCACCTGACAGGTCAGGCAAGCAACATCCTTGCGTCTCTTGGTCAGGGACAGATTGAGTCAAATGCAACAAGCGGCGAAGAGGCACAGGAAGAATACCTCGGTACCCTGACTGCTGCAGAGATCCAGGATCTCAAGGACATGGTACATAAGCCCAACATCTTTATGCGACTGGTTGACTCGATAGCGCCAATGGTCTACGGCCACCAGGTCATCAAGAAGGGTCTCCTGCTCCAGCTGATGGGCGGTGTATCAAAAGAGACACCCGAAGGTATGGCGTTGCGTGGAGACATCAATATCTGCATCGTCGGTGATCCTTCTACGTCCAAGTCACAGTTCTTGAAGTACATTTGCAGCTTCCTTCCTCGTGCCGTCTACACCTCTGGTAAGGCTTCTTCGGCTGCGGGTCTCACAGCTGCAGTAGTCAAGGATGAGGAGACAGGAGAGTTCACAATCGAAGCTGGTGCTCTCATGCTTGCCGACAACGGTATCTGCGCTATCGATGAGTTCGACAAGATGGACATTGCTGATCAGGTCGCTATCCACGAAGCCATGGAACAGCAGACCATCTCTATTGCGAAGGCCGGTATCCAGGCTACGCTCAATGCACGAACCTCTATCCTTGCAGCAGCCAATCCTGTTGGTGGACGTTACAACCGCAAGACAACGCTACGCGCCAACGTCAACATGTCTGCACCCATTATGTCTCGTTTCGATTTGTTCTTCGTAGTTCTGGACGAGTGCGACGAGGCTGTCGATCGCCATCTTGCTGAGCACATTGTTGGTATCCACCAGCACCGAGACGAAGCTGTAGACCCGGAGTTCAATACTGAGCAATTACAACGCTACATCCGGTTTGCAAGGACGTTCAGGCCTGAATTTACCGATGAGGCAAGGGAAACACTAGTCGAGAAGTACAAGGAGCTGCGAGCAGACGATGCACAAGGCGGTATCGGCCGCAACAGCTACCGTATCACTGTTCGACAACTGGAGAGTATGATCCGTCTCTCGGAAGCAATCGCAAAGGCCAACTGCGTCAGCGACATTACCCCCGAGTTTGTCAAAGAAGCCTACAACCTCCTCCGTCAGTCCATCATCTCAGTCGAGAAAGACGACGTCGAAGTTGAGGACGATGACGATGAAGCGCTACTCGCCGCGGCCGCCGCAGCAGAACAGGAGGGTGATGCGCCAATGGACGACCAACAAGATGCTTCTAGAGACCGAACAGCGACTCCAGCTGCTGCGCCGCGTGAGAAGACCAAGATCACGCACGACAAGTACGTAGCGATGCGTAACATGTTTGTCAAGCGCGTCAACCAAGACCAAGAAGAGACACAAGACGGTGTCGAAGAGGAGGAGCTGCTCATCTGGTACCTTGAACAGAAGGAGAACGAAATGGAAACGCAAGAGGATTTGGAGAGGGAGAGGGCACTTGCCAAGAAGGTGCTGAAGAAGGTTGTCAAGGTACGTTGTAACAAGACCAAACTTCTAGTGATACGCGTACTAACGAAAACTACAGGAACAATATCTCATGTTGATCCGGGGTGAAGGACTCGCGGACGAACAGGGTCAGGGTGAGGGTAACGATAAGGCGGTCTACGTATTGCACCCCAACTGCCCGATTGAGGACATTGTTTAGACGTTGCGTGGCCATGTTTCTGTTGATATGTGAACTGGAGTTTGGATACCACAGTCAACTACATGTTTGATAATGTTATACCCAAATGTGGCTTTCAAGCATATGACGTTTACTAAGAAAATGGTCTGGTGATCAAGATTTACATTTATACCCCCCATCAAACGTAGACAATCATGTCCAGCAGATTAAACATGTAACGCTACGACGTCCATCTTTGAGATGCTCATATGTCTTTTGCACCTTGTTAAACCCATAGCTCGTACCCTATACCCCTCTGATTCAAGCCTTCTTGTTCTTCAACGCGTCCAGGAACTCCTTTGGTGGTTGCTGTTCGTAACCCTCTGGGTTGTTCTCTGTCCACTTCCACAGATCGGCGCAAGCATCCTCCAGTGTGAACTCTGTCTTCCAGTCGAGTTCCTTGTTCGCGAGTGTTGGGTTCGCCGTCAGGTCGAGCACGTCACCCTGTCTCCGTGGCGCAACCTCATATGGCAGGTCGCGTCCGACAACGTTGCTGAATGCCTTGATCATCTCGAAGACGGTTGAGCCCTTGCCAGTACCCAGGTTCCACGCCTTGACACCGGGTTGTTGTTCGCGCAGGTAGTTGAGCGCCTGGAGATGACCTCGCGCCAGGTCGAGGACGTGGATGTAGTCGCGGATTGCTGTGCCATCCTTGCTCTTGTAGTCGTCACCGAAGACGAGGAGCTTTTCGCGCTTGCCGATCGCAACTTGTGCCAACAAGGGAAGGAGGTTGTATGGTACACCGAGAGGGTTCTCGCCCATGATACCACTGGGATGCGCACCAGCGGGGTTGAAGTACCTTAGTAGCGCAGCGTTCCACTTCTTGATCTCCTTGTCGTCCTTGCCAGCCTTCTTCGCATTGTTGCGCTCAGCCTCAATGGTATCTGTGATGGCACCCTCGATGGTGGACTTTGTGCGGCCGTATACGTTGGTCGGACCGATGGGGCAGTGTTCAGGGATGGGGATCATATTGGGGACGCGCGTCGCATCACCATAGACGGTCGCGGAAGAAGAGAAGACAATGTTTGTGACATTGTGCTTGACCATGGAGGAGAGGAGCGCGATGGAGCCGCCGACGTTGACGCGGTAGTATTTGAGGGGAATCTCGCCAGACTCTCCAACAGCCTGGGAAATGTTAGCTCGACGATATTAGCTGGCAATTGACAAGTAAACGTACCTTTAGAGCAGCGAAGTGAATGACATTGTCAATGTCGGGGTTCTCCTCAAACACCTTGTCGAGCGCGGCCTCATCTGTGACATCGACTTGGTAGAAGGCAGGTCGCTTGCCGCAGATGAGCTCGATGCGGTTCACGACTTCTGGGGAGGAGTTGTAGAGGTTGTCGACGATGACGACTTTGTAGTCTGCTTCGAGGAGGGCTAGGGCTGTGAAAGAGCCAATGTAGCCGGTACCACTACGCTCTTGTCAATATCCATGACCATGATGCTTTCGCATAGTTGAATGGAGGGGTGGAGGGGTAGCTTACCCGGTGACGAGAACAGATCCTACAACCATTGTGAGAGCTTGGAATGTGGGTAGTAGGGGATGTATCTGGGGGGATGTTGCTCTTATGCGATCTGGGGTTCGTGTTTGATTGCGAGGTTGCAGATATATAAAAACACGGCAGTACGAGATGCTGGGTTCATGGGCTGTGCCACTAGTGATGGGAGAAGAGCCGCGTGCGGATAGATTTCCTGATATGGCAAGGGCTGTCTAGCTGTGTTATGGCCATGGCCAGACATGTGTTTCTTAAGGACATCTATGACCTTCTAAATGTCTAAGCATGTTAATCTGCTTTGTTGGAAATACATATGCGTATCAGATGAAGCGTACGAGTTGACCATGTCACATGTAGGCGCAAGGGTTCAACTTCTTGTGCTCTGCTCTACCGTTACGCTGGAAGTAGGTTATGCAACGACTGAAGACACCGTGAAGCTCACGTATGGTACGAGTATGTCAAGTTGGGTAGAGCAACAATGTAGGAGCAAGGGATTGTGACATGGTGGGCCGATTGCAGGTGTCAGCATCGCCGCCTGTCAAGCCCGTAGATCATCATAGCAACCCACAGGCAGTTCATGAGACGTTGCGTGGACTTGACAAGCCATTCCCAGTCCTACAGCTACATGCGCCAGTCACGTATGGCCGTACGACATATCTTCGTCTGGACTAGAGTTGGGTGACGCAGGTACATGCGAGAATGCGAAATAAGCGTTGTGGCTCTCAGGGTCTTGTGCTCCGCTTCCAGCTGGGCCCGGAAATTTCATGCATCATCCATGTCTTGTGGTAGCGGAGACACTAGCCCCCAGGCCTCTCTGATGGATGCTCCATCGCTCCCAGCTTGCTATTCTTGCTCATGTCTGCTTGTGTCCTTTAAAGAGTTAGTTTTTTGTGTCAAAGACTGCCATGTCACTCACCGCCGAATTAAGCGCCTACTCGCTTAACCCCCCGTTTGCGGTGGCTTCCGGGCAGGCTGAACCCTTGCACCTCAAAGCGCGACCTCGAACTTTCAACAACCACATCGTCACCCATCAATACACACTGGAAAACATCACACCGGATCCTGGGAACATGATCGCGAGTCGCAAACTGCACATACACGAGCGCCAAAAGTTTTTCCACCCATTTCAATCCCACGGCTGTTTTGCCGACCTCGACGCGTGAGAGTTTGTCCACGTGTTTACGGACCCACTGCAGGAACCCGTCACCAACAACACCGTCATTGGAAGTGTTAAAGCGCAAGAGTTGGAACATTGCTTGTTGACGCGCTTGAATTCGCGCAGTCTGGACGCGAAAGAGCTGGACCTCAGGACGACATGTAAGTTGGCGCGACTCTCCTACCCATATCTCGCGGTGTGAAAATGTCTCCCATGCATCGAGGCTGCATGCACGTGTCGTTCTGCTTCACCTTCACCTCTCATCTTCACCGCGCAAATTTTCGTCAGCTGGCTGCAACAGGAGTCGAATTTCCCCACCCTTGTTTTCTATTGTCTTCGCCATTGTTGTGTAGCTATCTTTTCTCTTTGTTGCACACTTATTGTTGCGCGACTCTAGTCATCCGCCTCTTTTCTTTCATACATGACTGTCCCGACGACTCCATTTCTAAACGAACAGTTACTCACTAAAGCTCAGCAAGCAATCCAGCCCTCATCGCCCGTTCTTGGTTTCACATTTCCTGGCTCCCCAGCACTTCCAGACTTCAATCGGGATAGTGACGAACTCATCGCCATGTCTCAACGTGCTAACGGGGAAGCGCGCACGCCTGGAGGGCGGCACCGCCGCTCAGATCGACTCAGCGCAAAGGCAAACTCCGTTACTGCGGAATCAGTTGTCACCAACGCCACAGCTTCTGCCGCAGCAAAACGCACAACAACAACTTTGACCAAAGTCGCCAACCGCAGATCCAATGCTTACGGTGCAAGCGGTCGTATTGGAGCCCCTGACAAGCTCCCGACTGCCCCTGCTACAGGTTTTACGCAGGCCATGGAGAGCCAGCTCGAAAAGTATGCCAACGGTGAAGACGAGGAAGAGGAAGAAGACCATCGGACAGAACGAGAGAACAAAGGGGATGATGACGCCGACGAGCTTGGTAGCGAGCATCCATCACTCTTCATCAGGCAAATGCGCAACAGCGGCAGGCTCTCACCGGATTTTGCGCGCAACCCCACATCCAAATCAAAGGCCACTCCCGGCTACTCTTTCATCGACAGTGATGACTTCAGTCATAGCGACGATGATCTCGCAGCGTCTGTAGGAAACACCACCAAGTCGTTCGGCCTTGCTCACGAGGCTGGCATGCTTGTCTCCCAGGACCCATTCGCTGGGGCGCCCATTCGGGACGAGCCTAGAAGCTCACCTTTCGTCAAGCCTGCAGCACTGAACCGCAAGCCCGAATTGGCAGCGTCAATCGCACAAGATCATTTCGCCAAGCCTGCAATGCCGAATCGCAGGCCCGCCAGCCGCACTGTGAACGGAGCAAGGACGCAAGGACCAACCCCGGTTCTGTCTCAACGTCCTGTTCGTAACAAGACCCCAGATTCGACCAAGATTCCCACTCAAGCCGAGAAGCCTGCCAAGGCACCCATCCAAGACCAGGCGCGAACTAGGCCGAACCTGAAGCAACCAACTGTTCGCACTACGTCAGCTGAGGTTGAAGAATCCATCGAGGAACTGATCGCTGAAGAGCAGGGTAGGCTCCACCAACAAGGCCCACCACCACCACAACTACAGCGACAGACTGAGCGACGTCGCCCTCACCAAAAAGACAGAGTCGAGCTCAACGCGTGGCTTGGCGATGTCGAGCCGCCTGAGGTCGACGAGCCGGCGTGGGCGTGGAAGAAGCCTGTGACATGGGCCTTCGCAGCGTTGGCGGCTTTTTTGCTATTGGGCTGGTTGACCTCCGCCTACATGACAGCGACCGAGCATCCTGAGTCTGCAGCGCGGACACCTGGGTTGCTGAAGGCTGTGGGTGCCCGAGTCAGCTACACGTACGAGAAGATTGCTGAGGCCATTCTGCCTCCTACCGAGCGCAAACTTACTGAGGCTGAGCTGGCGCAGGCATACAAGAACAACGGCGACGACAACCTCTTGTGGGGCCGTATGTCCAATATTGAGAACCGTAACGCAAAGCGCGTGGAGGACGTTCGTGCAGATATGCGTACGGCAATCGAGGAGCTCAAACGGGAGCTTCCGGAAATCATGATTGTCCGACGTAATGAGGATGGTTCCTCTGAAATCACGGATGAATTTTGGATGGCACTAACTGGCAAGACACGTTCAAGCATGGGTGACAGGGAATGGGCGAGCTACGTGCAACAAACCAAGACCAAGCTCAGCGAGCTGTTCGACACCACAGCTCATCAAGAGCGCAGGCACACCGACAGCTGGCCCCAAGCTGTCTCTCGTGACGAGTTTGTTACTTTTATGGAGCGCCGATACGAAAACCTGACCGTACAAGTCGACAAGAAGATCGACGAGGCTATCCGAGCCCAGAGCGCCCAATTCAAGACGATGGTGCAAGCAGAGGCCCGAAAGACTATGATGGATCAAATCCGTCTCAACTCCTTAGCCCAAGCCAACCTTGTCGCAAACTACGAACATCACCTGAGCAAACCCAACTACTTCTCCCCTGGTTTAGGCGCCATTGTCGAACCTGACCTCTCCTCCGTCACCTTCAACAATAAGCCCGGTCGATTCTACGAGTTCATGCGCCGCATGGCATTGACCCCCAGACGCAACCCACCGATGGCGGCGCTTACAAAGTGGGAAGAGCCAGGCGACTGCTGGTGTTCTGCTGGACAAAGCGGAACGTCAACCGGTCAGGCTCAGCTCACAGTCAGACTCGCACGTCCTGTCATTCCGAAGCAGGTCACCATCGAGCACGTACCTATAAGCATGATGCCAGCGCGCAACATCTCCAACGCTCCCCGTGACATCGAGCTCTGGGTCCAGACAAATGCACCCATCAACCCCTACTACTCGCACCGCCAAGTGACTTGCCGCGACCCGCCGCCATCCAGCATCGGTGGGCCCACCTGGAAGTGCCTAGGATCATTCAAGTACAACATCCATGCGTCGAACCATCTCCAGACGTTTGACCTCGCTGGTGAGCCGTCCGAACCCATTTGGAGGACCATGGTACGTGTGACCAGCAATTGGGGTGCTAGTCACACGTGCCTGTACCAGGTGAGACTACATGGGACAGACGCGGAGAAGGACTACGAGTACCCAGTTAGCCTAATGGATTAGGCCGGTAATGTTTGGGACGAAAGTATGACGGCGTTTTTATTTATTTTTTATCATATACCTTTGGGTTTTTTTTTCACGAGTGTTTTTGTATACCCCAGAATAGTACTAGAGCACTAGCAATTGATATCTAACTTGATGATAATGAAGCCAGGAAGACTACAATGATTTGTGATGTAATGAAGTGCCACAGGCTCACTTTTGTGGCATGGTATCTACTTCTAAATACCCCTTGTATTCACCAGACTCTAACTAAGGTGATTCAAACAACTCTCTCAAGATTGCTGTATACCCTCAGGCCAGTCTATCGCACAACACCTCCCTTGAGGGTAGGGATGCTACACAGACCGTCCTTGGTCCTCAACTTAGCTACACCCGTCTTCTTATCCGCGCCCTCGCCGCTCAACTGTGGCACGACACCAACATCGAAGCCCACTTCCAGACCATCTGTTGTAGTGAAGCCTGGCTGGATCATCTCCCATACCTTCTTCTTGGGGTTGAGTACGGGCTCAGGCTCGCCTTCCCAGCCCTCAAAGTAGACGCGGTCGCCAGCCTTGCTCTCCTTGGGGGGATCTACCAACTCGACCGGTCCCTTGTGGCTGTCCTCACCCTCGGCGACGCGTGGTGACGCAGCGAGTACCATCGCACAGCTCTTGACACCGCGCATGGTGACGGGCTTCAGGTTGCACACGGCGACGATTTTGCGGTTCTGCATCTCGGATAGAGGGATCAGGCCGTTGAGACCAGAGCATACGGTGCGTACCACCTGACCTTCGTACTCGGAGGTGTTGTCAGTGCCTGGGGCGTCGCCGCATGCGATTGTGGATACGTAGAGCGAGTCGGCGTTGGGGTGAGTTTCGGCCTTGAGGATGTGGCCTACACGGAGGTCGATGAGGGCGGGGGAAAGAGGCTTCTCGACTGGCGCGCTGCGTGTTGTCAGATTGCATACACACTCAACAAGATTGTTTGACTTACGCCTTCTGAGGCTTGGGCTGCTTCTCTTTCTTTTCCTTCTTCTTCTTCTCGGTCGGCGCACCTTCTGGCGCACCGGCAGCTGAGCCGCCCGCTGCGTTGCCAACAACTGCGGATGCTACAGCGGAGCCAGCAGCCTCGGCCGTGCCCTTTGCCTTCTCTGCCTTGCTCTTGCCTCCCTGGCCTCCTTGTCCACCCTGTCCTTGATCGCCAGTCAGGGTAGTAGCTGTGGCGGCAGATGCGGCGGCATTGGCGGCAGCAGCCTCCTTCTCCTTCTTCTTGCGCTCCTTCTCAGCCTTTGCGTCTACCGGCTTGATTTTGAAGATAACATTGTCCTGGTCGATGTTGACCTTGTCGTCCAACTTCAAACCGAAGACAGGCGAGTTCTGGACAAAGTCGACATGGCGGACAATGTGGTGGTATCCTTGCTCTCCAGTCCTTTCCTCGGCACTCCACTTTGAGACGACTGGTGCGAGCTTCTGGTAGAGGGCGATGTCTGCGACGGAGGGCTTTGCGCCGAGGACGGTGGTTCGACTCGAAAGGTGTGTGTTCAGTGATGACAGGCGCTCGGAAGCTTTGGCGGCGTCCTCAGAAGAGGAGGCGATGTGGGAGGCAGTGATGAGCCATTGGCTGAGCTCGGTCTTCTCGGCGTCGGTGTAGGTGATTTCGGGGAAGAGAGCCTGCGAAGCCTTGACAGCGTCTGTCTCGTCGGCAGCGTTGTTAGGCGCGTGTGTCTTGAGGAAGATAGCCAAGGTTTCGTCAATTGTGGCCATGGTGGGCAGTGGTGGGAAGGTTCGCTGGAAAAAGTCGAGAGCAAGTGGCTGTAGTGGGGTAAAGAAATCCGCGGTAAAGCTACTGGCGGCGGTGGCTATGGACCTGCGGGGATATCTAGGCGGTGTCAAAGATGCTCCGAGCTGACAGTGTCTGGGCCGTGGGAATTGGGGCCGTCCGATGTGTAATATGCGAGAGAAGGGCGTAGCTGAGGGATAACGACGAAGATGCATGATACACGTGAGTCAAATTCAGGTCCCCCGTCACCGCGGGGCTCAGAAGCTTGCATGTCGCCGCACAGGCCATCGCGTTTCCCCAAAGTCGCGTATCCATCACATGCATTCACGTCTGCTGCATCTCAGGATGACCTCATCATGTTGGAGTGAGACGTCGCCTTGTATCAGAAACTGTACTCGACGAGTAGATGGTACTTGATCTTGTTTTGTCCACGTCTCGATATTCAAATGGCACAACCATGCCCCCAACCGTGCTGAGCAGACGATGCTGTAGCCTATGACATGTCTGGTAGAGGCAAAGAAAGTTCGGATGACGAGTCGTTTGCTGCCTGCGCCCCACGTTTACCTGGGTATAACATGTCGAGCTCAGAACCCCTTCCCCGCAACACCATTTCTACACAGCACTACCATGGCTTCCGAGACATCGCCAGACGTGCCCAAGGGCAAGAAGAGGTTCATTCCTCTGGGTATGACATGTTTACTTACACTGTAAATACGCCAGCTAATGCGCGACAGAGAACAACCCGGATGTCATGTCCGCTCTCGTTCACAAGCTCGGTTTGTCGGAGAAGCTTGCTTTCCACGATGTCTTCAGCATAGATGAGCCCGAACTGCTTGCTTTCGTACCGCGGCCTGCCCACGCTCTACTCCTCGTCTTCCCCGTCAGTAAGACATACGAAAAGTTTCGCGTACAGGAAGACCAAGACAAGGCGGAATATCAGGGCCATGGCCCAGATGAAGAGGTCGTCTGGTACAAGCAGACTATTGGTAATGCCTGTGGTTTGATCGGTCTGCTCCATGGTGTCTCCAATGGCTCTGCACGCGCCCACATCAGTAGGTAGTCGTAGTGCACTGAGAAAGGGGCTGAGCATACTAACAAAGGCTTCAGAGCCCGACTCGAACCTGGCCAAGCTGGTCAACGACGCGATACCACTCAAGCCCATCGAACGAGCCGATCTCCTCTACGAGTCTGAAGCACTTGAGAGCGCACATCAAGACGCTGCATCGGGAGGCGACACCGCGGCACCCGAGGCCGATTCTGACGTCGATCTGCACTACGTCTGCTTCATCAAGTCGGACAAGAACCATCTGTGGGAACTTGATGGTCGCCGGAAGGGTCCTCTTGACCGTGGCGCATTGGCTCCAGACGAGGATGTCCTCAGTGAAAAGGCTCTTGATCTGGGTGTGCGCAGTTTCCTCAAGCGCGAAGCAGAAGCTGGTGGAGGCGAACTACGTTTTAGTCTGATTACGCTTGCCGAATCGTTCTAGGAGGACTGTGCATAGAGAGACGCCCATGAATTTCCTCAAGTGTGCTGGGGTAACCTTCCGTGTGCAGGGGAACATGGGCAGGATACGGAATCTCGGATGTTTTGGAGCAAGAATATTTCGAAAACGAAGAATAGCTCTACATAGGTGCTGTCACTGATGGACTTGTGAAGACCCGAGTTTAATTCATCATGGATACCTAAGCCCTTCCTCCACCCTGTCTTGACGAGGTATGTCAATTACGCAGTACACAGTGCGAAGTTGGACTAGGGCAAGGAGGAGGCTACATATTTCGATTTCGCTGTAACAGCTGTTTGTAGTATGCTGTCAGATCATGCCGAGACCTTCCTGATCTATGCTACTCCACAAAGTCTGTCGATTTGCTCAAAACTCATCTACCTTTACTTCTCGCCCTTCCTTCAGCGGCAAATACACCTTCTCCCACAAGTCACTTCTCTCGCCAAGATGATATGTCAAGCTAACATCTTGCATACCTGGCGACGAGGCAGTTGATTTAGAAGCCATGTTTTCGAGCTGCGAGATGATGTTCTCCAAACCCAGTGCCTTTCCGGTAGCTTGCGTACTGCCAGCTTCCAGCGAGACATGGACGATATGGATGTGAAAGTGGTAGTACGTCGGTTGATCTACCCACCTGTTAGCACATCTTCCCAAACCACTCCTCGATATGAACTTACAATGCACATAAAGCTTCAGCTCGTCCCTCTCGATCTCCGGATACAGCTTAACAGTAGCCTCAATCATCTTCTCCCGCATATGCTTCACCCACTCCGCCATGTTCTGTTTCAAATCCCTCACACTCCAAATGTCTCTTCGCTCCACCAGACCCAGCAAGTGCAGGCTACCCATTGTCTTGCGATCCCAGTTCAGATCCGGTAAGAGTAAGAAACCTTCCTCACCAGACTCACGGTACATGACATCCTCTTGCTCGGTTCGCCCTTCGAGGATATTGAAGATCCAATCCAATGCGCCCTTTTCACGTTGCGCTTGCATATACGGCCTCACATATTTTTCGTAGATTTTCGGCGTCTCCGTGACAACTCTCAAACGCTGTTGCTCATACTTCTTGATATGTTTCTCTGTACAAGGATAGATCAAATTCAACTTGAAATCTGGAGGCGGGTTATCGTCGTTGGGATTGGAGTTTGCGAGAAACCAGGCGTAGATGTCGTTTGCACCGAGATTTTTGACGTTACGGAGTGAGGTGGAGAAGTTGGATAGGACGCTGGGGTTGGTGTCGAAGGCGGCGCGCTCAGCGATTAGAAGAGCGGGCTTGGACTCTATGGTGCCGAAGAGAGATATGCGGCGGCCGGCTTGATCAGAGTTTAGGAGGCGGGTTAGGTGGAACTTAGGGATTAGAGATTCGACGTGGGCGGCGATATCTGGGGGTGTTGTGGAGGTCATGGTTGGTAGTGATTGGGTGTTATTTCAGCGTCTTTATTCTAGACAGATTATGCCTGTACATCACAATCAGTAAAACAGAACGCGTAAGACACATGCCGATTTCAATGTCTAAGACTCTGAGTCAAGACTCTTTCTTATAGACTTTTCATGCCGTATCTGGGTAGGGAAACAAGGCTACTCATGCCATATTAGAAAGAACGAACTTACTAGACGAAGATGGAATGGTCCTAAAAGTACACACAAAGAGGTCTCCCGCAATTTCGGGTTGATGTGGGGGTGGAGATTGCGAGATCACATGTCTGCGCGATGTCGCGTATCACTGCAGCAACCAATAGATGCGACCCCCATCAGCGCCAAGCAAATCGAATGAGGTCACCGAGCCCAACCACCCCATCATCGCACGCAACTATCAAGACGTCAAATAACCAACAACCACATAAAATCGATCGAAAATACTCCAGAATGGCTCCTAAACGCAAAGCATCCGGCCCAGTGGCCAAATCGCAACAATCGACCCTCGCGTTCCACGGGACGACGAATAGGGTCACAAAGTCCGGCGCCAAAGCACAAGGCGCAAAGAAGAACATACTCGAAGCGAGGCTGAAAGACATCAAGCCGGAGATTGTCGACATCTCAAATACTGAGCCGACAACGACGGAAGCTGCGATAATCGAGCAAACAAAACAGGAGGTCAAGGCGCAAGAGGTGGAGAGCACACCAGAAGAGGACAAAGCACGGCGCATATCAGATGCAGCGATCAAGAAGTACTGGGCAGCAAAGGAGAAGCAAAGGCTTGCACCGCGGGCGCATCAGGGAGCGCTGAGCCTGCATGACAAGATACTTAGGGAGTTCGACATGAGCGCACACTATGGCGTAAGTCACCAAGTCCCCACCCAGCAAGCTCCAGTTTGAGACCCCTCTACGTTGTCATTGCACTGCTGACACGATATGCGCTATGTAGCCATGTACCGGAATCGCTCGGTTGAAGCGCTGGAAGCGAGCCCAACGGCTCGATCTCGACCCACCGATCGAAGTACTCGCGGTTCTGTTGAGAGAACAGGATGCTAGCGATAAAGAGAGGATAGCTGTTCAGCGCTCGATCGTCGATGATATTCTGAATTCCAAGGCCGAGCTTGATGTATGAGAATGGGTACTAGCGTGTTGGGCGCAAACTGCCGCAAGGACACCGTAGGAGCAACTTGCTCCTCGACGACTCGTGCTATGAACATGAGCTTTAGGATACTGGCGTTATGGGAGGAGTTGGGCGTCATGATTGAACAGTGCCCATGAGTGGCTGTGCCTGTACAGCAAAAGCGGATCGTGGGGCACGCGAGCACATGTGTAGTTTTCGCCATATAGGCCGACTTCAGGCTGGCTAGATTGAGCTACATGAATTCGATGCAAGATGCAAGAGTTCAATCTACGAATCTAATTCACATTTCTCTCTTGTACGTCAGCATGCAGTGGAGCATACACCCTCGAGACTGGGGCATCGGCTCGGAGTTACTAAACTAACAAAGACACCTAGTCCTGGCCTCCTTGCAGAAGCGATAAGAAGCGACATGGAGATGCGGGGTTGCGAAGTGGGCACGATGCGGTATGGTCGACAAACGGTGCTTGATTAGCATGGCATGCAGTCTGCAGCTGGTCGTTTGACAGCCATTACGAGGCTCCAGACTCTAGTATGCTTCGGCGGCTCCAGAGCCAAAAGGCGCGGGGTTGATCGACAATCGCTCGATGAAGCTCCAGACCTCAAGCTCGCGTGTTGGGTGGCAATTGCTGAGCTGCACGGCAGTGGGGCATGATGCTGGATCCGCATGCGAATGGCACACTAACCGTCAGCCCGATTCCACGCAGCCGGCGACGTCCTTGCTAGCGGGGACTTGTTCACTATAGTTGCTAGTAGAATATGCACAGTGCGTCTGCCATATCTCCGCACACATCCTTGCGAAGCCCGCGAGATCCACTCATTGGTATCCTTATCGCCCTTGCAACAGCTGCGCCGTGATGCTGCCGAATCCCAGCGGCTGTCACGAAGCCGAAACTGCTATTTCGGCTGCTTGTCGTGCTGTGTGGTTTGCACGAGCCAACCACAAAAGGCTATCGGAGCAAGCGTTGCATGGTGGCTGCACCATGAAGCCGGGTTGGGTGAATTAAAACGGCGCCTTGTCGAATGCTTGGGAAGGTGAGATAGCGGGGAACCACTAAAGACGCTCATATCATTCTTGGTGGCTACAACCTCCATCGACACCCCTCGCCCCTCCATGTTTCTTTCTTCCTGTTCGATTTAGTTCAATTCATCGCATCCCCCGCCAATTCTCACTCCACCCCTCTTCCTCACAGCATGTCTACCGTCGCGCTTTAGGTTGACTCTTTCCGCAAAGGGCCGCGACTTCTCCACGGTTCCCGTACTTGCCTCTTTAACCCCGGCTGTTGATCAACTCAACAACTAACGTGCGCCGTCATCCCCAAACTTTCAACACAGTAGGTCCCACATCTCGAAGCCGAAGACACCTTTCGGTCCTATATATTTATCAATTGCGCGACAGATTACTCTTGCCACTCCACTCTGTCGTGATACGCACGCTTCTGCTGTACTTTGGTGGTCTTGACCCCTCCGCTGCATCTCGTTGATTGGGAAGGGACCATCACCATTAGCCAGCCTATTGTCGTTGCAGAGAACCTGCCCAATTGATCCCTCGCCCTCCGCAAGTCCTCTTCCCACGTTGCGCACCTTCGACCACATCTTAACCCCCAGGCCTTGGACTTGTCAATATGGCCGCTGCTGTCGCCAGGTATCCTTCTATGCTCGGTCGTTCTTCAACACCTCCACCGCACCTATCGATGAACACCTCTTCTCGTGGTACACCTACTGCTATCCCCAACAAGCACATTCCGGAATGCTCCCCTGGTGGACTTCCCGCAACCCCCCCGGCATCTCCTCCGCGGCAAGACAGTCTCATTGAACAGTCATCAATCACATACCCACCAGATGCATACTGCTCGCAATACTCGGATGACCCGCCTGTATACACCATCACTGCGGATCGCATGGCGGAGGCCCTAGAGCACATTGCAACTCAGCCTCTTCCGAACCCTGACCAAGTCTTCCCATGGATGCACGGTCTTCATTCCGAAAATCAGATACAGCTTGCTTTTTTCTCGTCTCGTCGCAGAAGCGGCCGAAAGGTTCCTAGATGCATTCGCAGCATTACCGTGGTCAAGACTGGTGGAAATCTGTCATCGTCCAAGTTAAAGGGCGCGGTTGCACCAGATGAATTACTGGAGTCTGTGTCTTCTGAATCACCCAAGTTTCTGGAGTGCGACCCAAAGGATGGCTTCTCTGTGCGGAACTTCCAGATCCAGGCCTGTAAGTTGGCTATGGTTTCGGACATCATCGTATATGGCGACCACAAAACCAATCCGCAAGACACGATTGCGCTCGCTCAGAAGATCTCGAAGGCTCAGAGGCAGTACGAAACAAAGAACGGATTTTCGCATTGCTTGTTCAATACGTTCGTGCTTTCAGATTCTTTTGCGTCTATGCAAGAAAAATACCCAAAGCTCATCGCCATTAATTCCGCGGGCGATATGACGGGAGAGGTTGCTGATTTCTTCTATTGGGAGCGATATGAGATGAGCGCAATGTCAAAAGCGACTGAGATCAGCAACAATGTCTTCTTGGGGCCTACGCCTGATCAGGCACTGCATCCGGACTGTGTGGGCGAAGAAGCCTACGACATGCTCATCGAAGCGACTGATCTTGCGCATATACCCGAATCACGCTCACTGCGAGCTCTCCGTATGGGTCTTGAGCGAGTCCACCGGAAATCCACCCTGCACATGGAGTTCCCGTCATCAGGAAGCATCATGCCTCCTACGTGGGCACATGGCGAAGTTGATGGTCTTATGGACATGTGCAAATGGATGTACGAACTGGCGAACCCACAAGAGGTCCGGCGGTCAAAGCGAAGACGGGAAGAAGAGGACGAGGCCATAGAGATGGACGACATTGCGGCGCCGCGCAGGTTCTTGATACACTGCACAGATGGCTACACTGAGACGACTCTTCTTGCTTTAGCTTACTTCATGTATGCGGAGGGCTTGCCTGTTCACGATGCTTGGATTCAAATGCATCGTGACAAAGGTCGCAATTTCTTTGCGTACCCTTCAGACGTTGCGTTATTGACAGCGATACAACCTCGAATCCTCCAAGAATCTCCTCGCTTCAGCCAGAGTGTTCTGAACATCTCGGAACCACGCTGGCTGTCGAAGCTTGATGGCAGCCTGCCCAGCCGGATCTTGCCCTACATGTACCTCGGCAACCTTGGACATGCTAACAACCCGGAGCTCCTCAGCGCTATCGGAATCACACGAGTTCTGAGCGTTGGGGAAGCACTTTCTTGGCCTGAAGACGTCGAGAAAAAGCACGATTGGCCCGAGGAGAACTTTCTGATGATTGACCGAGTTCAGGACAATGGTGTAGATCCTCTCTGGGGCGAGTTTGAGCGTTGCCTAAAGTTTATTGGTATGTATTGCAGCTTCATGGTAAGGCTTACTTTTACTAACACTTTGTAGAAGCAGGAAAGAGAGAGGGAGGCGCAACGTTAGTGCATTGCCGTGTAGGTGTATCACGGTCTGCAACGATCTGTATTGCCGAAGTCATGAACGAGCTGGGGCTGTCTTTCCCCCGTGCCTAGTAAGCAATTAACGACTTCCGTCGCGACTACGACTAACACTCTCCCAGCTGCTTTGTCCGGGCCCGACGACTTAATGTTATAATCCAACCTCACCTTCGATTCACTTACGAACTACTCAAGTGGGAAGAGTACCAGCGTCAACGACGCAATGAGCCTCTTCGCCGCGACCTGGAGTGGGCGACTGTAGCGCGCGAAATCGCTCTCATGAACAAGCCCTACTCCAGATAACGACTTCCACGACCTATCTACTCGATATGACTCACGACGACACGACTCGTACATGTACGACTACAAGCCCTTCACCTCTACCCTACCTTTTCAGTGCAGGATGATTCCACATCCTTTGCGTGCGATACATCGGCGTTTGCGGTCTCTTTTTTTGTTCGTTCCATACTCTCTCCTAATACTTCCGGCTGTTACATTGTTGCGCTGATTTCGTACTGCGACCCTGCTGTTTTGCATTACGGATCTGAACCTAGTTTCGCGCTGTCTGGTTTATTTTCGCGCAACTACGGCTGCAGGATTTGACCGTATCTGATGTCTATGAGTTATGGTATCAAAGGGCTGGGGAATCCCTCATCACTGATCTTTTTGATCCATGTATTACTGTCTCGATCCGCTGCAACGGACTTAGCGCTGCTGCGTTCTACTGTCGATCTGTCGTGGACTGATGTTCTGAAGGATCATGGAGTACCGGCTTTCAAAGTACTTTACGGCGTACATACGTTTAGTTTCAAGAATTGGGTCTCCTTCCATCTTGCTCTTCATACGCGTGTCAGTGCTGTTACCACCTTCTCTTATCAGAGTCGAGAGAAGATATCTAGTACTAACACTTGAACGTGTGGGGTCTACGAGTTTCTCCTATTCACCACTCTGTTATACATGCTTCTCTTGAGCTTTTACCGCGATCTCCTCTTTCCGTCTAACCTTTGGCTTCTCCTCACCAAAGTATGTGTCTTCGTCCTTCCCTTGACTCAATATTTCTTGCTTGAGTAGTGCCCTTGCACACATTGCAAACACGAACATATACGTAGCGACCAAGGAGATGGTCATGACGCTGCCTACCCAACCCACAGCCATGCTCCCAAACATGACTCCAATCTTGATCGTCGCAAGCGTAAAGCCAACATTAGGAAACACAAACGCCCACCAGTTAAGATGAAACGTCATTTCCTTAGCCACAGCAAGTATGCTCAACACCGCAATGCAGAAGAACCAGAGTGCCAAACTCCAGATAAACACTGCCACCATCGTAGCCACCATCTCCAGCATATGAGCCGTCGCTTGTCCATCTGTACCGAAAAAGGTCGCAGTGACCGGCCACGCTCTAGCCATGCCAATAATTGCCAACGAAGTAAAGGCCGGCGGTCCAACAGCGATGAACATAGCCGGTCTGCTCTTCGAACTAGGAAAGCCCCATTCAATCATTCGATGAACGTACATGACATACATGATAAGACTGACAGTCATACCCAGTCCTTGCGCTGTAAGTCCAGCGACAATCATGGCAACTGCGTGCATTGCCGGTTGATGTCCAGCGCCGATCGCAGCCAGCGTACCGGAAAGCATGAAAGGGAAGATGGGTAGATCCCAGGCGGGCGTCATGTCTTGGATCTTGAGCGCTGGTGAGGAGAAGAGGAGGTAGTAGCTCCCGATCGCCACGACAAAGGTAGCTGTAAAGTAGAGCCAGAATACAATACGGTAAGCGATGAGAAGCCAGGTGCCGCAAACGGGCACGCCATAGAGATGCATACCGCCGATGATGCTGGCTAGGGAGAGGAACGAGGTTGCGAAGAAGAGGCTCTCGGACGGGTGGGTCAAGCTTTCCCTGAGTAATCGTGGGCACCGTGCGAAACGAACGCTGATGGCGCATGCTACTGCTACAAAAAGAAAGACCTCGAAGACATAGATGCCTCTTCCGATGGCGAGGAGACCAGAAAACCTGTTGGGCTGGTTGTCGGGATGGAGCAGTAGTGCTAGACCGCCGGTTGACATTGGGAGTGCGAACCATGCCTGCGTCGAAATGATCAGCGAATGCACGAATCAGGACATGGCCGAAACCTCGTTGGTACCTACCCATGTGAAGTGCTCGAATCTTTCCAGAAAGATTTTCTGCTTCTGTTCATCCTCTGTCAACGTGACCGAGGACTCGTTCCCCCGTTCTGCATCGTAAGCTGGCCGACATAGTCTTTCCGACATCTAAAGCATGCGACAGCTGTCCTGTGATTTTCTTGAACCAAAGAAGAGACCAATTTCCAGTGCGCGACAAGATCTGACGTCGTTGTTGGGGTTTAGAGCCTGAGAGTTTCAAGGCGGCCATTAGGCAAAGGCGCCTCGTGTTTGCTGACTACGTTGTCGTAATTCCATGTTTATGCGCATAGACTCATGCTGAAGCTGCAGAGAGGTCCAATAATAGTAACGATGTGCACGATGCGGCGTGCTCAGAGTCTCCTCCTTTATCTCTTTTGTTGAGGTGGCACAGGAACGCCCGAAAGTGGCGTGATGCAGCGCTATCATGGAAATAACGCTCAAACAGTGAACAATCATGGTACTCGATAGAAAGCTGTGATAGAAGTATCAAACACTTGCTGTGGTATCATTCATTCCTTTTGGTCGTGCGAATAGGCATAAAGTATAGACATAACTTCCCCCAACCGCTTGACTTCCCCATATAACGCCATGAAATGATCATAAATTGTCGTTAAATCGACGAGATGCGACAAGAATCCAATGAAACCTTTCCTTGACACTTGGCTAGTAGGTTTACTCGCCATCCGACTCTTCTTCCGCAGTCTGTGATAGTGTTAACAATATATCTCATATGCCTTTTGACCTGGGTCAACTTACGTTGTCGTGGAAGTTTGTTCCGTGCGTGGTCTCGTTAATGTAACCCTTCCTGATGACGAAGTCACCAAAGTGCTCTCCCTCGTTCCTCTCCTTGGCGTATTGCTTGATCATCGGCTGCAAGATCTCCAGAATCTCTTCCTCCTTAATCGAGCTCCTGTAAAGCTTGTTCAGCCTTTGGCCGTGGTAACCACCACCAAGGTACATGTTGTACGCGCCATAGGCCTTGCCAACGAAAGCAACCTCGGCAAGCCAAGGACGTGCGCAACCGTTAGGGCAACCAGTCATGCGCATGACGATACTGTCTTGTCGTAGACCAGACTCTTCGAGTGTACCCTCAAGCTTGCTGATAAGCTCAGGCAGGTAACGCTCTGACTCAGCCATGGCAAGACCGCAAGTGGGGAAGGCAACGCAGGCGGAACTGGACAGCCTCATACCAGAGAAGTTGGTGTTGTCAAGCTTCCATTTCTTCAGCAGCTCCTTCATGGCCGGCAGGTCTTCGTCAGCGACGTTGGCTAGAATCAAATGCTGGTTACCAGTCAACCGGAACTCGCCCTTGTGTACCTTGGCCACCTCGATGAGACCAGTCTTCATGGGGAACTCGGCAGTGTCCTCAATGCGACCGTTCTCGATAAAGAAGGTGAAGTGGTTAAGGCCAGTCTCATCCTTCTGCCAACCGAAGGTGTCGATGTTGCTTTGGAACTTGAAGGGCTTGGGTTCGTCAAACTTCTGACCCCAGAGCTCTTCAACCTTGCCCTTGAAGACATCGACACCCATGTCGTCGATAGTGTACTTTAGACGGGCGTGCTTCCTGTTCTTGCGGTCACCGTGATCGCGCTGGACGAGCATGATCTTCTCGCAAACAAGATGCACTTGCTCAGTGGGGACATAGCCAAACATGCTTCCAGTTCGCGGGTAGGTCTTCTTGTTGTTGTGCGTTACACCCATACCACCACCGGCGAGGACGTTGAAACCTACAAGGTTGCCGTCTTCGCCCCTGATGGCGATGAGACCAATGTCGTGAGCGTACACATCGGTGTCGTTGTGAGGAGGAATGGCAATGGTGATCTTGAACTTTCGTGGGAGGTAGAGAGGGCCATAGAGTGGCTCGTGGTCTTGAACAGCCTCACCAGCGACCTTGCGCTTCTCCTTTGTCTCGTCATCCTCCAACCAAATCTCGTGGTAGGCGGTGGTAGAGGGAAGGAGATGGTCGCTGATCTTCTGTGCAATGTTGTGGACCTGGCCGTGATACTTTGACTGAGTCGGCAGAGAGCTGCACATGACGTTTCGGTTGACATCACCGCAAGCCGCGATGGTGGTCATCAACGCCTTGTTGATAGCCTGCATAGCCGGCTTGAGCTTGCCTTTCACGACGCCGTGGAACTGGAAGGTTTGTCGAGTGGTCAGCTTCATGGTTTCGTTACCAAGCTTTGTGCTGATCTCGTCCATCTGTAGCCATTGCTTAGGGGTAGAGACACCTCCAGGTAGTCGGCAACGGATCATGAAGGAGTATGCTGGCTCAAGACCTTGCGCCTTGCGTTGGTCGCGAAGATCGCGGTCATCCTGCATGTAAGTACCGTGGAACTTGGTGAGCTGTTGGTCGCTTGCCGAGATAGCACCAGTGCTGGTGTCAGCCAAACCCTCCTCGATAGTGCCTCGGAGGAAGTTTGAAGCAGCCTTCATATCCTCGTTGGTCAGCGGCGCTGGTTCCTCAGGCAGGTTCTCAACGTTGGCAACGCCAAGCTTCTCCCAAAGCTTTGGCTCCCATTCAGCGTATGCAGTCTGGTAAGCATCGGGATCCTGATCGTCTCCAAGACCACACTCCGCCAAAGGTTTGCCGCCGAGAGCGATTAGGCGAGCATGAAGGTCCTTTGCGGGCTTGTTGTAATAGACCTTGTCCTCCTTACGCGGCCAGTAATGGCTGTCACCAAGACCGAAGACACCGAAGTTGACTGTCGCAAGATCCAGGTCTGTAGAGTCCTTGACGGTTTCCCAGAATGTTCGACCGTTTTGAGGGAACTCTCCCTGACCAGCTACACTAGTCATCAGAATGACGTTCTGCTCATTGGGCAAGTCTTCAATCGGGAAGTCATCCATGGCCATGACCATGGTTTTGAGACCTCGAGCCTTGCCACGGTTTCCGAGGCGCTTGGCCAGGTTTTCGGCATTGCCATTGTCAGAGGCGAAAAGAATGGTCATGGGGTCGCCCTGGAGACCTTCAAGAAGCTTGCTGTAGGCATCCTTAGCCTTGCGCTTTTGCAGTTGTCTGACCTCAGTTCCGTAGGATCCGGAAATGTTGGACGAGAATTCGGGGTGCCTCTTCATAACCTGAGACATGTAGTTGTCACGAGAGAGGAACTCTTCTAGTTCCTTCTTGATTCGCTCAGAGTCAAGCTTGAAGTTCTCCTCGCCCTTCTCCTCAGCTCGTGGATCCCATCGGTACAGCGGCCAGTAACCAAGGTCAACAGCCTTCTTGGTCTCTTGTAGAACGGACAGAGGTGTGTCGTTCTCCTTCTCGTACGGAAGGTATGCAAGCACGACGGAGGGACCATTGAACTTGTCGGCCTCGATCATGGCCTCCAAAACCTGAGTGTAGGAGCTGTATACAGCCACTGAAGCGACATAGGCGTTGCCGTAGTTCATTGCGTACAGACCGATGTCCTTCTTCCGCCTTGCGGCATCAGCGGCAGCGCGCTCAGAGTAGGGTGTGGAGTCGACGATGAGCATATTAACATTCTCGCCAGAGGCCAGTACGTGGTGGACACCAGAGTTGCCAAGATCATATGCCCAAGCGTCTGACCCGATCAACCACGGTGATTCCTTGTAGAAGAGCTTCTTTGATGATAGCAGTTGGCTGGCAGCGGGTGAACCATCGGTGCTCAGACGGGCAATGACTTCGGAAGCGAGGTCATTGGCCTTGTCGGTGTCATCGGCGTTTAGTGCCCACTTAGATAACCATTCCTTAGGTGCCTGTGTAGTGAAGGCATTCTCCTTCGAAGCAGCCGCAGCCTCGTCCACGAGTCGCTTCCGGTGCTCCTTGCGCGCTACTAGTGAGCCGAATCCGTACTCCGGACTGGAGGAGATCTCGTTGGAGATTCCGGCGTGCTGTGAACCAAGCTGGTTAGCAATGTGAAGCTTCTCACCAAAGACCTGGTTCAGGATCTTCATGTAGGCGTTCTCTAACCCTGGTTGCTCGGCCTTGATAGCCTGGGGCTCGGGGCCATCGAGGTTGCCGATGACGAGGTTTTGCACAGGTGTCTCGCTCATCAGGTTCTGGAAGACACCACGCATTGCTTGAGACACAGTCTCCTCATTGATGTAGCCGAGTTGGTATCCTACAACCATGGGAGAGGCGCCGCCAGTCGACTTCAGCGACATCAGCAGGTCGAGCAGTACAGGTCCCCATCGAGTGGTCTTTCGTCGAACTTGCTCTAGCACAGCGATCCTCTTGAGCGAGCGGGGAAGCATAGGCGCAAGTGAGGCACCCAACCAGGGGCGGTATAACCTCGCGGTGATAACGGCTGTGTTGGCGTATGCCTTGGTCTCCTCGACGCTGTCCAACTCGGTGGCAAACACAGCCGTGTCCGCACCGAAGAGGAAGATGGCAGCCTCCTCGTTACCAGTGCCGGAGAATGCGAATGCATCGTAACTTCGGCCGGTGGCATCCCGAATGGTGCCCCAGATCTGTGTGGCGAAGCGGTAGATATCCTCGGACGAGACAGGCTTCGAGATTAGGGACTCAACTGTGGTTGCAGATGACACGGACGCACCGCTCGTGCTAGCGTCACGCTGTGATGAACCAGAGGAAGAATCGGCGCGTTGGCTGTTCCTCTCCGATACCGGAAGCGACTTAGCCTGCTCGGGAGGGCTGACTGGTGTTGCTGCAGGGGCGGCATTGACAGCCTGACTCCGGGCGAAGGTCAGTGTGGGGTTCCTGCCATCGTCGGCGTATAGTGATGTCTCCTCTGACTTGGCGTTCTGATATGCCGCCGCAGCGTCCAGGTCGATGACACTTCGGACCAGGTCGGCATCCTCGACTTCAACAGTCTTCTTGAAAGCGGTCGCGCCTGAGTCGAAGAAGTGAATAACACCCTTGCCTGACTTGATGGCCAAGGCATGTGCAGTAAGTGCAAGATCCTGCAGCTCTTGTAGTGTCTCTGACTGGATGAAAGCGAATCCAGATTGCCTGATCGAGGTGATGTCGGAGAAGTCAGGGAAGCCGGAGGGCGCTACCGATACGTGGAGAACGACGGGATATTGAGCCAGCTTGTATAAGTGCGGTATCGACTTGACGAGGATGGAAGAGGTTGTGGTGACGCTGGTGAGCTTACCAGCGCGAATGGGCTGGAAAACGGAGAGAAGAGGATCCGCATTTTGGCGGACTGTAAGGATCTGAGGGTGGTGTTACTACAATTCCGTCGAATACAATCAGAATATGTGAACATACCTCTGGTTGTATCTTGCAAACGACGCTGGGCGCGTTGTGCTTCTGTAGTCCCCGCAAAGGCTCAGAGAACTCGGATTCGGCCGTGAGGGAAGGGACGACCGACACGATCACGTCAGAGGCCAAGTGGGCAATTCGGGCCACTACGCAATGTATAGATCAGTATATGTAACTTCAAACTCTCCAATTGCTCTCAGGCGGCGGCGTGCTGGGGTAGAGGCAATGGCGGGGCCAGTGGTTGCGGGGGACATACCGGCCTCTCCTGCAGTCGAGATAGACCCCATATTGACTGCAAATTTAGGGTTGACGGTAACAGTAAGGAAATGTCCACGGGGGAGACGAGTAGTAGTAATAGTTCGGACCGTCGGCGACAGTCCTCATAATCAGCGGCAACGGCAATGGAAAAATTCCCTTTAAGAGGTCATGACAACGCGTGCCGAAAGCACGCAATATTTTAGTGCACTTCAGGGTCTGGGGCGGAGGCCGAACAGCGGCGAATCAGACGATCATAGATGCGCGAGTTCGGTGTAATGCATTTGCCTAGACCTGCTTGTCAAGCACGAGGCGAGGCTGAAAACCGAATTTCACCCATAGTGCATCTCGTGGTGGAGTCCTGTCCGTGGGTAGTGGTGATGCTTACTCCCGGATGCCTGAGTGGCCAGGTGAGGCAACGCCGCCTTGCCGTATAGGGATGTACCGAGGATCCATATCCTTATCGATAGGGGCACAGGCTACCTCCACCTGTTCGCCTCTGCTGGCATGGCCGACACATGCATCATGGCATGAACCAGCACGCCCGTACGACCAATCGTCGACACTCACACCTACCCTTACCGTAATCGCCTACATCTGCATCTGATGTCGTGATTAGCGTCCTTTTATTGCAATGAACACCGCCTCCGGATTTCCAGATCCCCTCGTCTCCGATACCCCGCTGCCCTTCCACGAGCTGTGCACGCGCATCAATGACCGCATAGCCGCGTTCCTGGACGTGAAGGATATATCAGATCGCGTCAAAAATGTCCAGGAGCAGACGCACACGTCGCTGAAGGTGATAGAGGAGGCACTGGACAAGTACAGGTTGGTCCTGACAATGTGGGGCACCGTGCGGAAGCTGGGGACTGACAGCTATGTAGTCTACCGGAGCTCTCCTTATCGTATAATGGCGGCAAAGACTGCCTCGTTCTTCTTATACTATATCTCTGCGCTATGCATAGAAGGGGTCTAACGCAGACCTCGAATCCCTCGTCCAGCATCGAAACCGCCGTACAGTGCGTGTACATACAAGACGCGCATCCCTTTCCAGAAGTAGAGGAGTTCGTCGCCCATAGTAGCAAGATATACTCGCTTGCCTTGTTAGAATATGCGAAACCTATGAAAGCCGCCTTTGCCGACTACTTAAAGGACATGCCGTCAGTCAAGGCGATATTGGTGGGGACGCGGCGGACGGATCCGCATGGAGAACATTTGAAGCATTTTGACCCAACAGACTCAGGGTGGCCGGCCTTTGTACGGATACATCCTGTCATAGACTGGCACTACGTGGATATTTGGACGGTATGCGGCATTTACGTACCTTGGTATCTGCTTACTGACATGCTTAGTTTATACGGTTCCTCAACATACCCTACTGCTCGCTGTACGATCGTGGATATACCTCGTTAGGCGGGACGACTGATACCCACCCAAACCCGAAGCTCGTACGCCAGCCATCTACGCAACAAGTACCCCAAGCTGAGAATGGGATTGGCGCCCCGAGGCCAAAGTTCAGGCCGGCATACGAATTGGTAGATGACTACGAGGAAAGGCTAGGAAGAAATAGGTAGAAACATTATGTTATTGTATGTGCACTGTATCTGCGTTGTTTTGCTATGTCGCACGATGACGTTCCTCCCCGGTTGACAAACGTACTTTCTACTTCGCCAGCATGGCCACTTCCCCTTGGATACACGATGCGGGACGAGCAAGCTCTGTATAAAACATACTCACCTTACAGCCTCTCAGGAGGGGAGCTCACGGTACTCTCAAGCCTATTGGAGTTTCCTCGGATATTCCCCAATTTCTCCGTTCGCGCGGTGGTCTCTCGGAGACATTCGCCCACCGTCCTAAGTCTGCACTCGCATTCGTACTCGCGATAAATGCATGCTGGGTCAATTTACTACTTTGCGATATTTCGGGCACCTCTCTTTTACCCTTTCCTTGACTTGATCCTGACTGGATGGGTGTTTTAGACGGTGAGTTGGTGTGACCGCTGCGACGTGGAGGCCGTTCGTCGCAACCGCAACAGTCCATAATCACGCGAACTACGAGAAGACTGGTATCAAGACACGAATCGAGCTGTTGTGGGCAGCTTTTTGTTCAACTAAAAGTGCGCATTGTCGCACAAGCATGTGCCGACTCGTGATCGCATGAGCTGTCTTCTGCTAAGGCTCACAGCTCGTAACCTTTGGCGGATGCAACCTACCATCTTGCACATCAAGTACACAAATCTGATCGTATCAAACGTGTTAAGTGGCACTAATTGGTATGTTACACTATCCTGCACAAACTGTTCCCGAAGCTAACGTTTGCGATGTGTGCAGGCAAGCAGATCTGAAGTCCTACGAGAAGCACCAATGATGGACGCAATCAACAAGTGGACGAACAGCAGAAACTGATGGAGATGTCAACATTGTGCTACAGAATATGTTCATGGGCAACTATACTCCTTTTCTAAATCTGTACCGGCAAAGTAGAACTTGGAGATACCCTAGGCTCTTTGACTTCCAACATGCTTTTCACGACGTATTTCCTAGTTCTCTTGCCCTTGACGCTGAAGAGCTCTGCAGCTGTAATCCCAGACAGTTACTCTAAGTTCATCCTAGGACCGGGACTTCCGTCCCTAGCATCCCTCAACCTGACTTCAGCTGACCTATCTGAGTTACCGGTGCTAAGGGGTTCGACTGGTAAGAGTTTATCTTCCTAATCATACGTCGTGGGCTGGTATGTGACTTCACCTAACAATCTCTTCACAGCTCAACCAGCCACCTCGGACAATGAAATGGTGTGCGGACCAGAGGATGGCGCTTACACTCGCGTCGATAACCTTATTGCCTGCTACAACTATCTTCAGAAACTTGGCAGAACGCGCTGTGAGTTCGAGAACAGAGAGGCGAAAGTATTGTGTTGGCATAGAATCGATACTGTTGTCGTTGGTGTAGGTCGGACTGGAGTCCACGAGAGTAGCTACTGGTATGCTCATCCTGACTTCTTCCATTCGGACGACCGACTTTGGTTTAGGACTAATCTGACCCATGAGACACAGCATCGATCTGTCCTTGGCAATCTTAGCCGTTATCGACGGCTGCATAAGACCTGACAAAAATTGTGCGGGATTTGCAGTAGCCAATGGGAATGCGAACATCATGGTCGGTGGAACGAGTGCTGAATATGAGTGGCATTGTTGAGGTGAGAATCGAGGTTGCCTCTGTATTCATGATCGCATTCATACCAGGTGTCGCAGTTAGTTAGGTCGGATTTGATCGGCACGACCTCGAACATCTGAACGACATCCTCTCAAAACACTCTTAACTACTCCCAGATTTTCTGTTTATCAGTCCCGTGTGTTGCGTGCTTGACGAGCAGATTCCGAAGGCGCCGAGATGTCAACCTGCACCAAAGTCAGAACGTGATCATGCGCCTCATCCACTAATCCATTCCTTCCAGCAGAATACTACCAAGAGATTGCCTTCCCCGCAAAATTCTCTAGAGCTAACACTTTTCCCCAGACTTTACCTTTCGACACTGCGCAAACGGAGATCTGGGGTTACCGGGTCTTTTTAACTTCCTCCAACCAGAGGTTTCTCCGAACCGAAGATGTTTTGCATACATCAGCCAACACTCGGCTACAGCCATGATACACGTCCGAGCTACCTTATCGAGCCACATATTGGTCATGCGGAAAGATCTATGGTGTCCGATACATGCGGATGCTCCCGCGGCGCCATTGGCGACCGAATCCCACCTAAGAGAGTTCGTCTTCGATATGAAGCTGTCGGAAATCAAGCCACTCTTTGAACTTCACGGAGATGAATAGCAACAATTATTGCGGTTCAAACGCCGATGGTATATACATAATGAAGCTTTAGTATGTTCATATAGTCTCCCAGCAGAAGACACCCAAACTCGTGTCCCAATAACACCAATCATGAAGCTTCCTACTTCTCTTATCCTTTTCACAGTAGCCGCGGTCACAGCATCGCCTACTCCAACTATTCGGGAAGAACCGGCGAAGGCCCTAGAGAAGAGAGCTAGCATCACAGATGCTGCTAATGTTGGATATGCGATGGCAAACGGAGGCACTAAAGGCGGAGCCGGTGGTCCCACTACCACTGTCAGCACTTTACCTCAGCTCTCAGCCGCGGCCAACTCTACTGGGCCCTTGAACATTGTCGTCTCAGGAGCTATTAGTGGTGCCGCAAAGGTCCAGGTCAGCTCGGATAAGACCATTATTGGGAAGACTGGAAGCTGTACGCCCTCAACCTCCGTCTGTTTCACTTGAGCTTTGACTAAAACTCTACAGCCTTGACTGGTATCGGTCTCACGATTCTAGGTCAGAAAAATGTCATCGTGCGCAACATGAAGATCACAAAAGTGCCCGCTGCATACGGCGACGGCACTACCATCCAGCTTTCCACCAACGTATGGGTCGATCATTGCGACTACTCCGGTGATGAGTCTGTGGGCAAAGATACCTATGATGGTTTGGTCGACCTTTCGCACGCTGCTGACTTTGTCACCATTTCCAACACTTATTTCCACAACCATGTACGTTCGATCTTCTTAGATACTTCTCTCCGTAATACTGCACGATAACTAATACGACACAGTCAAAAGGCACTCTAGTAGGTCATTCCGACAAGAATGCTGCCGAAGACACTGGCCACCTCCGCGTAACATACGCAAACAACCATTTCTACCGCGTCAACAGTCGTGGCCCACTGCTTCGTTTCGGCACAGCGCATATCTTCAACAACTACTATAACGAGCAGTCTACGGGCGTAAACACCCGCATGGGTGCGCAAGCTCTGGTTCAAAGCACAGTCTTCGAGAACAGTGGCAAGAAGATGGTGTACACGGAGAGTAGTGCAGAAGATGGATTTGCAGTTGTAGAGGACGTCCTGTTTGGTGGCCAGAGCGCTAACACGGCGCCCAAGGGTACGCTTAATGCGCAAAGCTTCCCTTACGAGTATAAGCTATTGGGAAGCGCTAACGTCAAGGCTGCTGTTACCAAGGAGGCAGGACAGACACTGGCTTTCTAGATTGTTTATAGCCGGACGTGCCAAGTATGGTTCTTATAATATATACCTAGCTATCCGTCCGATCTCCGATTCTGATGCGAAGAGCGACATGCATAAGTGACCTTACAAGGTATAGAAGGCATGTAGGCGTTTGCTCTAATATCATGTGGGTTCAGCTATTGGGTGGTGGTGTTGCTTGAACAGAGTTCGCCCACCAACTTCGCCTTCACCCAGCTCTGGAGCCGAGTAAGAAGACAGAAACGTACCACAGCTAACATGCTAGTGGCCATCCACCGATATACAAAGTGCTGGTACACAAAATGTATATGGGAACCTCAACCAGGTAATGGCTGATTGATGTTGTGTTAGGACAATTGCATCTGTCTTACCGGTACCTAGTTAGGCAACATTAGACATTCAAATTGGCGACCAACGAGCGACATTCAAAATCTATTAGCCGCTGCACCAAACATCTTCGATTTGATAATTCCACTTACCAACCAGATAAGGGCTTGGAAGGAGGAGGATGCGACCCCCACTGACTCCAGGGTTATTTCAGCCATTGCTCCCGAGGTTTACACGGGTGTACGCGCATGGTATTAATTAGCGAACATGCGCACCTACAGTAACCCGGCTCCAATGTTTTATGCCCCTAACCGCGTGAGGTGTTTTGCACCAATACTCATCCATGTGAAGGCAACAAATCATTGATGTGTCGCGTAATATGGTGACGGCCTCATTGAGGTTACACCCGGTCAGGAGACCTGCACCGGCAAGGAACGCCTCGCTGGCTTAGTTATAACTGGGACCGGAGCTCTTCTTCAACAACGGTATATCACATTCTTCATTCGTATACGCGACATATCATGGCGGGCATGTCACCACGAGATGTTGGATTTAGCCAACAAGGCCAAGTCGATTGGGTGTCTTTTGGGAAGGGTGTGAAGAACCTAACTGTTGGTTTGATCATGAGGTTTCAAGGAGCAGGCGTGCAGCATGGTACGTATCTAGCGATTATGGAACTTTCCAAGTACTTTTCCCTTTCGGAGAAAGGCGAGGAGAACCTTATTGCCAGCATCCGGCAACAGAAGGCCTGTTGGCGGTGGGAGGCACTCTACTTCGGCTTTGACGAACGGAGTTTATTCATGACTTTGACGGACAATGCCGAAGGCCTCAAAATCATAACGTTCTGTTCCTCTTTGAGTAAGATGCATTCAACAACATCGCCGCTAGGGTACTGTCAGCTCTACTGAAACATCAACAATGTCCTGAGAACTACCATCCATCACATTCGCAACTGCTGGGCTTCGTAAAGGTCTGTAGTGGTGCACTAGCAGGGTCACCACTTCAGGAAATCGTTCGCCATATGCTAGGTCCAACAAAACCTTGGAGACCTGACGACTCGAGATCTGATCCTATAGACATAGCCAAAACACTCCAAGGACTTTTCGACATCACCCAAGGACGAAAGAAGACCATTTCTGTTACTGGAGGTCAGAGTGGTGCTTACATTGCTGCTGCAGCATACTGGCTCTTCTCACTGAAAGTGTGGGTTCAGGATCATAACGGAAATTTTATCTTCACCTCTGCCATGAGCACCTCGTCTTCCGAAGTGTACGTCCAATATGTCACCGACCTGAGCGTCCCCCATGTTGCCATCACAAACTAGACATATCAGTTGGGGAGATACAAGAGCTTGTTCGGTGTCGAAGAGGTCGGAACTACCTGCCGACGTTGCCCTTGGAATTCTTGCTTCCACGAGGCGTTTGATTCGGAGTTCACCAGATTCATGGATTTGGAGACATGTTTAGGTACCCTGTTAGGATGTGTAGCCCGTATCTACTTGGTCAAGTATGAGGGGATCACGACCCTCGATTCCCTCGATCGTACATTCTTCATAAATTACACCGACAGCAGTTATGGAAGGGGTTCCATCCACGCAGTTCGAACGGCCTTTCCAGAACTCTCATCACAGAACTCACGCACGTCGATGGAAGAATGTCTGAACGGTTCTCTAAGCAATGCGAATAGGGAATTGGAGGAAAGCTTTTCATTGTTCAAGAAGCATTGTGGATGCTCCAGCTGCGCAGGCAGTGGAAGAACAGAGAATTATGGTTGTTTCATGGGATTGGCTGCTACCATAGTCAACCTTGTCTGATAGGGTAATAAAAACATATGTTAAGTAAAGTGAATAGCGTAGTCTCTTATCTCTAAGAAGCACTTGAGTAATCTACTTATAAGAGCTTAATTAAGGGCGCTAAGCTTATTAGATAGACAGATAGTTGTTACGATCCAAACAAAAACTCGTGGAACGAAGTTTTACGAACCATCGGTGTAACACGGGACGGCAGAGGCTGAGCGAGGAGGACGATTATGGTCCCAACATGTTTGCTTCTCTCGCTCGCGCCTTGGCCCCTGAACCTGCTCATAACCTGCGCTCCGCGCGTTAGGAGGTGGACAAGAATTGTTCTCACGACCTCCCCATCTAGTGTAGTAATCTAGAGCTTTTCCCCTACTATTCTCTTGTAGTGTGAAGCAAATATTATTGCCTATAACTACCCCTTACATATCGTTAGTATAAGGTAGATATACTCCCTGTCAAACGTAATATAGAACTAATATTATCACAAGTCTCTAAGTGTCCTAAACACGTCGTTAGCTATTAAATCTACGGCAAAGCCTTAATGAGTCGAGTTTTATCAATACCTACAACTGCATACAGCGAATACAAGGTGTTTAGGAAATACACCTACATTAAGTTTACTAGGCTAAGTTACTTAACTGTGTTTTGTAGCTCAGTCTTCGCATTAACTCCCTACCGTAGAATAAATAAATAAATGCGCCTTTAACTCAGGGTTGCCTAGTTATTCTTAGCGCTGGCCATTGAGGGGTTCTTTGGGATAAAAACAACGCCTGCAGTAATATACACAGTTAGATTACAACATCAAAGTACCCAACCAGAGTCCTTTGCGTAAAGATCCAACAGGCCGAGCGCGAAAGCCAGAAGATATCGTTGTGGGTGGGTTTACCACTAGGATTGTCATCCTGGGGCTGTGCGTCAACACGTCCCAGCGCTTTCTTTTTTCATTGGGGAAGAGGTGAAGAGGTGCGCCCATTGTAACGCTAGTGGTTAATAATCGTGCACCCAGCTGTAAAGACAACACGAGTACCTGTTAATAACCCGCCCATGATATTCACCGCGTAGCCGTTGTAATTGTATGTTAATTACGCTAATAACATTACGCTTCCCAACCGCGCTCAGCGCTCACCATACTCCATGTATATTTCTGTATTATTGCTAGGCAATAAGCTTATTGTAGGGTGAGATCGAGCATCGAAACAATACTCGGACTTGATTCTACGGCACGTGATTCCGCGTCTTATCACGTGACAGGTTGCTTTCCAACTAAAGATCTTACAAGCCCGATCATTAGCGTTAGATCCTTTTTTGCAACCTACCAGCTTATTGGAGCGCCGTATTACAAAATCATACATGGAGTACATGCGGGCCTGGGACAATTATGCGGTGGGCTGCCCTTTGCATGCTTCGCAGGGCCAGCGATGCAACTAGGTATGGATGAAGGACAGCATGCAGACGCGTCCCTCTTGTTATGCGCATACATAGCCATTTTACGTCAAGGGCTGCGTCAAGGGCTCCTTCGAGTGATGCTGTACGTACCTATGTCCAACCGGCACTACTACGAGACTTGTGGCCACTCTCTTCATGTCCCTCCTGTAGATGTTTCCCTCTCGCACTTTTCTGCTGGTACCTTCATATTACTTTCGATATATGCGTAAAAGTCGACATGTAGCGCTCAGTGCCAATCTCCACGCGTCGGGTGAATGCAGTGTTGCGTATCCTGACCGTTACCGTCAGTGTCCCTTTTCTGGAACTGTACCTGCCGATCAGCCCTGCATCAAAGGGGGTTCCTTTTTGAGTGTTACAGCAATCAATGTTGATTGGGCTCTAGCGTTCGCAAGCTCTTCCCGATTTGGGTCCAGTTGCGAGTACCCATGTTTGTGGCGTGCAATACCCCAACACCCTTTCTCCCACCAAAGGCACAGAGACTCTATATAGTAAACACCACTCCACACAGCGGACAAGCGGTGCATCAGGTAGACTCTTGCAAGAACTTGCCGCCAGACTCCCGTGCCGCCGTTGGTGCTTCACCCAATCTAGCTGCGCCTGCCAGACAGAGTCGATTTATCTTTGCATCACTGTCACAAATTGTGAGCCAAATAGCATTGCCCTGCCCCCATTCACAAGACCCACGTCTAAATCAAAGCCAGACTACGCACTACATGTAGCTCGGCGCTGCTTGCTGCAACTATCCACTCTCCATCCGTCTTCTTCAACCTTCAACCCAGCAGTCCTAATATTCCCTCCACCATGGCCATTAATCCGTGGGCCGGCTGCAATTTCGACATTGACCCCAATGTGTCATGCACTCTGGAAACGTGCTGTCTCGCTCAATCGTCCTTTCTCTACATCCCCACGTGGGGCGGAAACCTCTTCTTCACCATCTACTTTGCCGTCCTGTGCCTTCCGCAGTTATGGCTTGGCATCCGCTATCGCCAGCCGGGCTTTGCAATCGGCATGCTGATAGGGCTCATCCTTGAGGCCGTCGGCTACGCTGGCCGCGTGATGCTGCACAACGATCCCTTCAACTCCAATGCTTTCCTGATGTAAGTCTCGAAATTCTCCAATTTGCTTCTGCAGACGGATGCATCCCATGCTAACGCATGAACGTCTTAGTTATCTCATCTGCCTGACTATTGCCCCTGTCTTCATCAGCGCCAGCATTTACCTCTCCATCGTGCGCATCATCGGTCTGTACGGCAAGCACCTGTCCTACTTCAAGCCGCGGACCATTGCACTGATCTTCATGACCTCCGATTTCGTCTCGCTAGTGCTCCAAGCTGCAGGAGGCGCCATCGCGGACACGTCCGAAGGCGATGCCAGGCAGACTGGCACGAACATTATGGTGGCCGGTTTGTTCCTACAAGCCATTTCATTGACCGTGTTCCTGCTGTACCTGGCCTACTTTTATCTGCAATGTCGGAGCGGCGGCGTCCTGGACATGAACCCGGCAAGAACGGCGTGCCGCAGCCGCGGGCTCTTCAAAGTCTTCCTGTTCAGCCTGGTGCTCGCCACCATCGCCATCCTCGCACGGTCCATTTTCCGTGTCGCAGAGCTGTGGCAGGGCTTCTCGGGCGAACTGTGGAACGACGAGGTCGATTTCATGGTACTCGACGGAGCCATGATTAGTCTGGCCGTGCTTTTACTGACCGTCTTCCACCCGGGTCCCGCCTTTGGTGACCAGTGGCACGCCGCGAACTGGTCGTTCCGATCCAAGCCCAACAACGACCCCACATCCGTCTCTGAGTCCAAGCACAGGCGAAGGCGGTCCTCGCACAGCCGACACCGTAATTCGCACAGCCGACATCGTAGCTCGCACAGCCGACAACGTAGCTCGCAAAGGTCCCGAGCTTAAGTGAAGCTCCCTTATCGGCGATGGGCCTGAGCACCGATATCAAGCTGCAGGACAGGCACATGGAGGGCGATTTGGATGCGTACACACGCCGAGATGATGAGGTAGGAAGCGCAAATTACTGTTTCTTCGTCTCTTTGATAAGAGGGGCAGATAAGGGGGAGGTAGTGGGACTAGCCGTTCACGAAAGTCCTGGTTGCAACAATACGCGAAATGTTCCATTGAGTGCCATCGATCCCAAGAAGAGTTGGAAAAATTTATTGAATGGTGACAGTGCATTCCTCGGCGACAGCGCAGCTCAAGAAGTTCGTTGTTTTGACTCGATAGGATGGCACCAAGCCTGCGTCTTTCTTATGTCGTTTTACTCTCTGCACCTATATTTTGAACAAATTGTACATACCAACACATGTTTCTCTCCCCCTCCCCCTTCCCTTCCGACCCCAAATGCCTTTTTTGTTTCACGCCAGTATCACAGCGTAGCTAACGTTGCCGTAGAAACAGACCGTAACTGAACGTCGATGTTATTAATAACTTCTGGCAACAACACGCTCGAAGTCTACATTTAAGACGTCTGTGAGATCTGTGGGCTGCTACCCACCTCAGATAGCTATAGTACTGCTCGTTAGGATCCTAGACAACATAAGAAAGAACGATGCTGATTGACGACGATGAAACATGACGAAGTGATAGATTCTGCGGAGGAAAACAAAGAGGTATACAACGCCATCATCTAGACTGAAAACCAGGCACCACAGGAAAATTGAAGAGTAAGCAACCGCAGAACACAGGGATCTTGAGCTGACACCCTTCCCATAGAACTGCCTTTACTGGGTCGTAAATGTCAGCACACAGCCTCTGAGAGAATCGCCAGTCTTCTCGTGTCTAACATCGACGAACGAGCAAATTTCTGCTGTCGGCACTATGACACGTAGCAAAAGAAGAAGTGAGATTCGTACTCAGGGAGCATTAGAAAAATCAGAGCAGAGACACTCCTCATATACCTGTGTCCGCTCATTCATCGTCGTCTTGGAAGGACACTAGGTCGATACCTTCTGCGATCGTAGCCATTGTCTCGGTGAGGAACGCGACCTAGAGAGCGCGCCGTCAGTCAGCGAGGTAATGGGTGACGCAGGGGCTGATATCATTAGCACTTACGTTTTTGGGCTCCAGGACGTTAAAGTGATGACCCTTAATGGGATAGCTCTTGTCGATGACAATGGAACTAGCACGCTCGTTCCAGCCAAGCGTTGGGCTGTCGCGGAACTGGTCAACGAAAGACAGCGCGGCCGAATACCCTTCATTCTGTACGCTCTCAGTAGCACACAGCATCAACGTGTACGGCTGGCGCTGTCGCCGCCACACCGGCGGCTGCCAGCTATGCAGCGTATTCACGGTCCGCAGAATGGCCTTATCTAGCTTCATCTTTGCGGGACTTGGAGCGTCTTCTGAAATGGGGGATTCTGCGCCCATGTACTCAACGTGGCGGTAGTCCGGGAACGGGCTATCAATCATGACGATGCCGTCGACAGCGAGACAGGGGTCGCGCACACAGATCCACGCTACCTGCAGTGCAATCATGCCGCCCAGCGACCAGCCTGGAAGTTTCTTCAGTCAGCCATAACATATACGCGGTGATCATCGAGCAGGGAGTCATCTTGGGTCTACGTACCGCCCAGCATGATCCTGCCCTTTGGTACGACGGCCTTGATGGCCGCGTAATACCGCCTGCCCATATCCCGCATGCTTTCGGGCTCGTCGCTATCCATACGCGAGTTCGCAATTGCGTAAACGTCGCGGCCCATGGGGCCCAGCGCATAGTAGCTGCTGATAGTGCCGCTGGCGTCGTGGAAGAGAAATAGAGGGATGGCGGTGGAGCCTGACGAGCGTTTCTGGATCTGCCGCAACATGATGATGAAAATGAATAGCTAGTATAGCCTATGTAGGTGGATACCCAGTGAAGGGGTTTGGGACGATGATGCCTCGTTTGGGTATGCGATGGACCAAGGAAATAACGAGGGCTGTGAGAGGGAGAGGAAATGATTGTCGGTCGACCAATTATGCCGCTGAACAAGTGGGTACAAGGAAGGATAACCTCTCCAGGGATATATACGCACGTACGGGGATGATAGCTGTCGATGAGTCAAAGTTTTTCAAAAGTCTGCCTACATGCTTGCCTTTGCTGATGGGCATTATTCAAACCGGCCGTTACTTAGTTACGTTGTTACAAACAGCATGATTATACTCTATGTAGTAAGCCATAAGTCTGTTCGCGCTAAACGCACGGGCCCAATAACAACATGAGATCACAAGGTTCTGTGACACCACACGGTTTCGTTATTATGAGGTCTTTGGCACTGAGCTTCTAGGCGGTCGAACCACAGGAGGGGAATTATCGGAAGCGTAACACGTATATCTTAGCCCAGGATGATGCTGGTGCATCGACGCACGAAATTAGTGAGACGCTTGGTTGTGCATAGCGCGCTGTACTGAAGATTGTCGCGCGATGGAAACCGACCATTTACCATAACAGGAGCGACCGTATGGGCCGCGCCCCTAATTTAACTAGTAGAGATTATTGTCGACTTCTTATCATCGTCAAGAAATATCCTACAATCGAGTACAGCGCTCTCCGTACGGCCGCGGACCTTGACGGTGATGACACCACGGGTCTGATTTCGAACTATCGCCTGCGCACTTGCAAGTACAAACTACTCTGAGTATAGAGCCGCCCGGAGGCCCAGAATCAAAGCGAGTACTGCCAGAATTCGCCGTAAGTAGGCTCTATAATAGACTAATTTGACTAGGATCGTAGTACTCTAAAGTTCAGCGTTAAGTGCAGTATTGCCCGCAGATCTAGCTGCAATCCTCGCTGTGTTTAGCGTTTACTAGCTGATAACTAGAGGTATAAGATAGTAGAAAATGAGGAGACTAGCTAGCAGCTAGCTCGTATAATTTAGACCACGATTTAATTAACTCTAGGGGTAGAATGGGGCGTAGTTATCTAGTAATTATAACCCGCAATATAGCAACAACGCGTAATAGCTATACAAGCCTTAGCTATACTAAGGCTTTCGAGGAAGGACTCCGCGATAATTATAAATAAGGCAATCTGTATCTGTAGGATAACGCATTAACGTATACTGCCTATCGCTTAAGGGAGTAGCTAGAGCTTTACAGTGTTTATACTATCGATTAGCTACTATATTTACCTAATGTTAACCTAATAGGACACTTGTAGTATAGTCTTAAAAAAGGACTTTATAAGCGCAAACCTTATGTTAAATATAGGGGACTTAGAAAGTAAGTAGGCTGAGTTTAGGATAGGCTTAAAGGAGGCGTGGGCTGCCATACTGGAAAAACTAGTACGCAGCCTTATTACATCTATGTTATAACGTATTAGCATAATTCCTTAAGCAAGAGGCTACTAGAAACGATATTAAGGCAATTGCGAACAATTCTTTCGTTTCGGAATTTTATTTAGAGCTACTTTGATGTAGTTGAGTTGAGTTGAAATGTGTGAGATTAACCAGGCACCCTCTTGTTTTGAGATTTTCTGGGTTCGTGGCCCGTAGGTTGCGGTCGACTAAACTTTTGGCGTGGAACTGTATTATGCCCGGCTTATAAGCAGGCTTCTGTCCTAGACAACTCTACAAGTCACCTCGCTTTAGCCAAGAAGGAGGGCTGTCAAATTTGAGTGAAATTAGCACTCTAATCGTAACCTAATTATTCAGCTTACGAATTTACATAGTTCTTGATACATGGCTTAGATCCTAGTTTGCCACGTTTTCGCAACCGGCCGGGCTTATTACAATGTCCAACATGGAGTCAGCACTGTGGTAAGAAGACCTCGATCTAGATGTTTAATACTCACACTATCCCCCCTACAGCTATGTATGTGCTATTTCTATATATTGTGCAAGTAGTCTATCCGTAGGTGCGTCAACTCTTCTAGCTTTCTACTCTCGTCTTATGCCTCCAAGGATCGCTAATATTACATAATAATAAACAGAGATGTATATATGCATGGTAAGCAGGGGAAAAGCAGCGCTGCATTACGAAGAGATATGATATGCAGATCGGGACTGTATTTGTCTGCCGTAGCAAGCAGTAAATCCTTTACGTAAGGCGCTGAGCAGATAGACAGTGGGTAAGTAATTGTACGAACCAACTTTGCAGGTAGTATACGCCGGCCTGTTACAACCACATGCCTAGGTTGATATATAATGTTCGAGCAGTTAATCGACTCGAAGTTGCCCATTGTATCTTCCGCTCCTTTACATTCTTGCATGTTAAGAGCAAATTAGTCACTGCCGCACACAAAAACATATCATGTTATAAGCGCAGATACCTACCTGCTAGTGTGACCTGGTGGGTACGGGGCGATTTATGTCCGGCTGAGGAAGTAGAAGGCGTTGGATGGGCTGTCTTAGGGGTGCTCATGCCACGCGAAGAGAGCCATCGGAACTGCCCTTACAGGCTAATTACATTATATTCGTTATTGAGTTCTCGAACATGATTACATTCATGGCCATGCGCCGATAGTCTTGAATGTTCTCAGTCGATATCGACCGGAACGAGCCGTACGTATGAAGATACGAAGGAGGCACCTAGCACTTACTTAGTAAGCAAGGCTGCGCAGTCACAGCGCGAGCGCGCCTCCCCGTACCTGCATATGTAAGAACCCGAGTAATAAACGCGCCCGGTAATCGATCTTAACGTGGTGGGCCCAGTCTTGGCAGAAGATGCGGACTACCGACATTAAGGCTCACGTGCGCATGTTCTACATGACTGCGCCGCGCGCATTCGATGCGTCTTGCAACCAAGTCAAAACCAAGCTAACCTTTTTCCAGGTGGAAAAATGGTCTTATGTTACCACGTAGCAACTGTGCAATGGCTGCTCATTCTACAGTCTATCGGGTCCCAATCACACAACACATTGTACTAATCGACCGCCGTCTCTTCGAGTCATAACGGCGATCGAAGAATGATGGTCCTCCATCAAATGCGCCCGCAACAATTCCCGCCCCATAGCTCGACGAGATCTGGGTCTTTCAATGCAGCGCTGCATTCTTTGTAGACGAGCCTTCCAACCCCTAGCCACACCCCAGATGGCGTTCTCAGTAGAGCACTGTTCCCGGGCGTTACACAACCAACTTCGTTCTGGAAGATGATGGGGGAATAGAATGTGGTGTGCACGTTCGGACCCAACCAGATGCTTCGTGTAATTTTCCAGGAATGACACTGTCACAAGATCTGTCTGACTCAATAAGATCTAGCCAGTAACCAGGTCTCCATCAGTTAGTATTTTGACATGCTTGCTTTAAGTTAAGAAGATGCGCTGAATGTCTTGGAAGTCAAGCTTGCTGGGCCGTAACGACTATGCAACCAGTCTGTGGCAGACTAAACGGGTATTTGATTCCGGTTTGGTCGGTGATAGGCTGCATGGCGTGGCGACATGTAGCCAAAAAAGCTATCTACAGCCCAGACTGCTATCACGCCACGATATAAAAGATGTAGTGATGATTATATAGTATATATGTATGCATAGATAACTCGTAGGTCTCGGGCATGGAGGGGTGTCTTGTGCATGGACGGTTTGCCTATCCACCCCCATCGTGACCATCGAGCGAGTGGTGTCAACCTGCAGTGCTTCTAAGCTGCTCCTATATTTGCTCATTACCTGACTGCCCTTCTGTTCGCACTTGGAAAAGCCAATGAATGGTAGAGGGATTTTTCATAAGTAGTAGAAGCGCTATTCATAGTATTTGGAGGAGCTGATTGTACGGCTGCTCTTTTGAAGTGAAGCACTTGTAGTTGTCTCCATGGTCGTAGCAATAAGGGAACCAAAATCATATTTAACTAAGATCTACTAACCAAAATCCGAACTGTGCAATTTGATCCCACATCCTGCGAAATAGTGCAAATAACTAGAAACAAGCGCCAACAAATACAAATGAAAATAAGCACGATGCTCCTATCTAGTTGAAAACAATCTTGTTATGAATGAGTAGTGCGAGCAAAATTTCCTTTGCTCAATCGCTGGCCGGAGCCCTACCACTTGCCGCCATGTCCGTTATCTGCGTGATCGAGTGATTGCTACTACAATGTCGATTGGCCAAGATAGTCGCCAAGGTGTCCTGGAATCGGCCAAACAGTGTTCTTGCGAGCTCATCAGGAATTCGATCCACAGCAAATGCAAGGCTCGCAGAGATGGCGCCATGTTCATCCTCTACAGTCTCGATGGCAAAATCAACAGATGCGTAGGGGTCTTTTTGGCTGACAAAAGCGTTCCTGTAGACCGTCGCACCGAGCGACATGTCTTGCTTTGACGCCTTCTGATGATTCACCATGCTGACGCGTAGATCTTCTGCCTCTGCTTGTGACCAGCCCATACAGCGCTGAGCGATCTGCTGAAATTCGAGGCTTTCATTTTGCATACTGTCGATCTGCTGCTGCCTGATTTGTTCGAGCAGTGTCTGCAGTGTCCACTCTGGTTCGTATGCGACACGACATGGCACCGCCCTTGCGCAGCATGCGACGACGCCCGCGACTGAAGGATGCACTGTGCTCCGTCCAGAAGATATTTCGGCAAAGACGACATCGTGAGTTGCCACGTGCTGGCTCAACACTATTGCCCAAGCCGCTTTGACAGCTACAGCGACTGTGAAGTCTGATTGGCCGCTTCTTGACAGTTTTATCGGCTCGCTCAAAAGCAGACCCAGTCGTGAGACCCGCGGTTCGGTACGTCCACTAACGCTTGGAATGACAGCTCCGCAAAGAAGCTCGCGCCAGTGGTCTTCGGTTTCTTGTGTTGTCCTGGCTTGCAGACTATGGAAGTACGATCCGACAGGAATGAAAATGCCTTTGACTTCTCCGGCAAAGATGGCTTCCAACTCTGACCACACCTGGTGCAAGGTAGCTCCATCGTAAAGCGCGTGTGAGATGCGGAACACAATGCGATGTTGGTCCTTGGCAACGACGATGGCTACATCGAACATTGGTCGTGCAAGGGTTGGCGCTGCGAACATATCTTGTTCTAGTGATCGTTGACAGAAGCTATCAAGACCTTCATTGGTCTGGAAAATGCGGACTTCTGGTTGCCATTTCGCGTAGACGACTTGCACGAATTTCTGCCCGCTGGATCTCGCGAATCCAGTCCGAAGTGCCTCGATTCTAACGACCAGCTCAGAAACTGCCTGTGTCAATTTGTGCGGGTCGCAACGACCGCCCGCGTCAAAGGCGAAATAGTTCAATTGCCTGCGTTCGGGTTCCATGTTCTCTCTGATGATTTGAGCCTGGAAATCTGTTGTTGGCAGCATGTCGAGCACATCCAGTTCTTGTCCGAGCGAGGTATCAGAAAGCACGTTTTCAAGGATGCTTGATCGTTCTTCCTGTGAGATAAGCGCGAAGGGCTTGTATTGTGCGCTTTCGTCAATGTCCGCAGTGATCCATTTCGCCATATCAGAGAGGACGGGGTAATTGAAAATCTCGGGTACAGAAAGTCGCAATCCGCGTTTCCGTAGCTGTTGAATGAGGGCCATCGCAGTGATAGAATCGCCGCCATGGTCGAAGAAACTGTTCGTCCGTGATAGAGCCATATTATCGAGGCCAATGCAGGTCGTCCATAATTCCGAGAGTAGTTGCTCCATAGCGCCAAGAGGCGGTTGATAAACCTGGGACTTGGCTGTGTATTCCAGCCATTTTTCTGATGGTATGGACTCCAGTAAGATACCAACCGATCGGCGGTCCATTTTACCACTGTCATTGAGTGGAAACGCGTTGATGGCCAGGAACGCTGAGGGTATCATGTACCTGGGCAGACTGTCGCGGAGAGATGTCTGGAGGGACTCGAAGCGTTTCTGTTGCTCAGGGTCGGGGGTGATTATCGAATGTCTTGGAGCTTCCTCGATATTGCTATCGGATGTGGTGGATTCGATGACAGCAACTAGGACCTGTCCCTTCTTGGAGACATAAGCGTGCTTCGCGTCTGGCAGTAGACGTACGATCTCGCTCTCAATCTCGCCGATTTCCACCCGCTGGCCGCGGATCTTAACTTGCGTATCGCGACGGCCCAGGAAGGTCAGCGAGCCATCCGTATTCTGCTGTACCATGTCTCCGGTACGGTACATGCGCCGGCCTGGACCGAGGGATAGATCGAGCACAAACGCAGGATCTGTGACGAAGGCAGCGGCTGTCTTGATAGGGTCGTTCAAGTAGCCGCGCGAAAGGAGGGGACCCTCTATGAGAAGCTCGCCCGGCGCGCCGATAGGAACAAGGCGGTCAAGATTGTCTGGGTCGACCACCCAGTCGCCTCCAGCGATCTTCTGCCCAACGTTTGCTGCAGCCGCAGGATCTTGTATCGGTGGACTGCAATGGAACACGATGGATGCTTCGGCTGGCCCATAACCGTTGATTACTGCAGCATTTTTATTCCACCTGTGAACGACGCCTGCATCAACGGCTTCTCCAATAAGCACAAGCGTTTTCAGCGTGGGGAGCTGCTTTGGATCTAAGAGCCGAGCGACTGTAGGTGTCACATTGGCATATGTCACCTGGAAGGCTTGTGTTGTCTGATTGAGGTTCGACAGACGCTCGTCTTCGGAGGGCGAGCAAACGCAGCCACCAAAAGCAAGAGTTGCAAATATGTCAGAGATACTGACATCGAAGGTGAAAGCTGCGAACTGGAGAGTGCGTGTGGAGGATGACAGTCCCCATAATGGTGCGTGAGCCAAGATGCTTGTTACAAGACTGCCATGCTCGAGCACGACGCCTTTGGGCTTGCCCGTGCTTCCAGAGGTGAAGATTACCCATGCCACGTTCTCGGGCCGTACAGACGGGCAGACTGTAGTAGACGCTTCAGACGTCAATGCTTGGGTGACAGGAGCCGCTTCGAGGAAGGAGTCTACTGCAAGCAGAGGCACTTGGGCTGCCAGCGCGGCTAGCCGCTGCCTGTGGGCACGATCGACGAGCACGATCGGAGCGGAGATATCTTTCACAATAAGCTCGATACGACCCAGCGGGTGCCCTACTCCGAGAGGCACTACAGCTCCGCCAGCCCGAAGAATGGCTAACATGGCCACTATAGTCCACTTTGATTTATCCATGCAAAGCGCAACCATCACTTCTGGACCCACGCCGCACCCAGCCAGATGGTGTGCCAGCCGACGGCTAGCCACATCGAGCTCCGCGTATGTTAGCTCACCATTCCACGCGCAGATAGCTGAGGCTGTCGGCTGAGCGGTGATATGGTCTTGTACTAGTTCGTGAACGCAGCGCTCGATACGTGGCGGCATGATCGCGTTCCACTTGTACAATTGTGCCGTATCTTCCGGCGAAAGCAGCCTGAGGTTTTTTAGGGGCTGATCTGCGTTCTCACAAATGCCACGGACGGCTTGTATGAGACTATGGACGAGTCTCGCAGCTGCTGCTTCTGAGAGCACCGCTGTTGAGTATTGTATATTGATCTCAAGTCGTGCTGGTGTCACGTCGACGCCAACGTTCACGTCATACTCCGTCGGATCCTCCCAACCTAGACCTTCGATAGTGATCGCTGTTTCATCAGAACTAGTCGGGGATTGCCGCTTGTATGACAGGGTACTGTTGAATAGCGGTTGGCTTCTAGATAGACCAAGTTCATGCTGGATAGCCGCAAGTGATACCTGCTGGTGATCAAACGCTTCGATAGATTGGCGTTGAAGTTCGCGTGCTGTCTCTGATACACTTGCACTCCAATTTAGCTGAAGGTGGCACACGAGCATATTGATCATGGGTCCCACTAGCTCATCTACCCCCGGGATAGGCGCGTCACGGCCACTTGACAAATTGCCGAAGCTGACATTGTTCGATCCTGTGTATCTGGCGAGTACCAGAGCCCAGGCGAGTTGACATATACTGGCGATTGAGACACCATGTGTATCTCGGAAACGATGGAGTATAGCCAGGTCGTCGAACCGTGTGAAGACCTTTGCAAGCTGTGCATTGTTGGCTTCATGTGGTGGGTTTTGCAGTGGTACAATACACGACTCGGCTTTTTTCAGCAGGGTGTTCCAGTACGAAATGTTGTCCTGCGGTTTTCGTTCCTCAAGGAAGGTGATGTAGGCACTGTATTGGGAGCCGCCACCCTGAATCGTGCCCCCATAAGCATCGATGAGGTCGCGGATGATCAGAGCTAGCGAGGAAGCGTCTACAAGGGAATGGCTGATATCCAGGCGACAGTAGACGTTCCCCGTGGTCGTCGTCAGACAAATCAGGCGGTGTGGTGGGGAGCGGAAGTCTGAAAGGTTGAGTGTCGGCTGCGAAGATAGCCAGTCCGCCACGACGTCGTCCGATATTCCGTCTACCTGGACGATTTGGCAACTAGGCTCCCTGAGGACGATTTGGACGAATTTCTCTTGGCCTGGCAGTGGTTCTAGCAAGATAGTTCGAAGAATTGAGTGCCGTGCAATAACCTGATGCCACGCTTTGATGAGCTCCTCTGCGTTCACCGGCTGCAGAGATCTTTTCGATGCAACAACTCGACACGTTTGTTGAATGCAGTATGTTGACGGCGATTGGAGTTGCGTGAGCAGAATGCCTTGCTGGAGTGGCGAGCAAGGAAGAATGTCTTCAATTTCGTTAGTGGAGGAGAGACCGATAGCAGGCATGAAGTTCCTCTCCACAACAGCCATGTCATTGTCGGAGAGATTCATAAGCGGGAAATCAGTAGCAGTAGCTGTTGGCGCTGTCCTGACCAGCTCGTGTACCAAGGTACTTATGACATTCACATATGCTTGAGCCCACTGCTGGATAGCTGTCTGATGCCGCGCTTGTTGGCTAAAACGAACGTTGATCAGTAATTCATCGGCCTCGACAGTAACGGAGACATCGAGCGCAGCAAAGAGCTTGACTAGATCACCGACTTCAGACGCTGCACCAGTATTGTCATCGTCGTTGTTGAAATGGAACAGCGCGTCGTCTCGCTCTGTTTGTTGGAATCGTCCGATGTAATTAAAGACAATTTCAGCTGGGCTGTGATGCGCAAACGCTTCCTGTCCATGGGCAGTTAGGAAGCGGCTACCGAAGTACGGTACGCCACGACCGGGAATGCGCCGTCGCTGGTCCTTCACCTGTCTGACAATGCGAACAGCACCGTTCGTGCCTAGCTCCGGGAGAAGTGGAGTCATTGTTGTAAACCAGCCAACGGTATCCGATACATCGGTTTCATCATCAGTAGCCTCGCGGCCATGCCCTTCAGTGAAGACTGCGGGAACAGGACGGTCTTCAAAGATCTCCTTGAAGGAGATAAATAGAGCAGCAAGCAGGATCTCCAACGGCTCCGTTTTGAGCGCAGTATTGGCGCTACTAAAGAGGAGTGAGGTTGTATCAGAGTCGCACTTGGACTGAACGCTGGTCAGACTGCCCCAGGTAGCTTGGCCGGGTGTAAGACCCCAGTAATCCCAGTTTGGTTTCGGCACCGCAAAGTGCAAGGTGTTCGGGATCTCCAGTGTGCTCAGCGAGCGGCGTTGCCTCTCTAGCCATATTGGGAATGCCAGGCTAGTTGCGTTTTGCACCCTCTGGTGGACGAGAAGGTCTTCCACATCTCGAAGAAGTATTCGCCAGGATACAAGGTCAATCACAAGATGGTGGGCGGCCAAATGGAGGACTTGTCTATCTTTCCGTTCGAACAAATCCACTGTGAATACTGGGCCATACTCAAGGTCAAGCGTAGCGTGAGACTGCGCGATAGTGCGGTTCATGGACTCTGCGTCAGCTGCGACATGCGTATTGAAACGGTAGGATCCAGTCAGCTCTTTCTCGATCCACTGCTCCCAGCCATTTGTCTGACTATGCCGGAAGCGAGCTCGGAGCATGGCGTGTTTGGTGACAGCAACATCAAGTGCCTCAACTAAAGCTGATCGCTCTATTCGACGAGTACTACGCAGCGAGACGCTTTGAACATAACGGTGTTCGCCTTTAGCGTGAAGTGAATCTGCGGCGATATCGTTAAAGTACATCTGTTGAATAGGTGATAGCGCGAAGGGTCCATTAGACAGTCGTGCTGCGTGATCCGTGTCCCCGCCTATCTGGGCTTTGGCTGCCAGCTGGGGTATTGTTTGACTTTCGAGGACTTTGCGCACACTGAGGAGGATGCCACGAGCTCGGCTAGCAGAGACGACCTGCATTGCTGTAATTGAATCGCCACCAAGACTGAAAAAATTGGCCGAATGTGTTATGTTGGAGAGCGGTACGCTGAGAACTTCGCTCCATATCCGCCGTAGTTGTCGTTCAACGGGCGTGGCTGTCTGATCGTCCACATTTCCAGTGTCACTGTTCGTGCTATTGAGTTCGGCAACCTCGTCTGGTGATAAGGACTGTACCCATCGAGTGAGCGTAGAGCGATCGGTCTTCCCAGAAGCGTTTACTGGCACAGCAGCTAGAGGGATCCATATGCTCGGGACCATGTAGTGCATAACCTGCTGTGATAAGCTCTGCTGCACCTCCTTCAGTCGTATTCGTGCTTCTTCCCGCTGCTCTTCAGGGATCCGTTGAGCAGTAGCGTACTGGTGGCGTTCGGAAGTCGAGCTCTCTCCCAGAACGACAGCAGCAACGAGGCGACCTGTCATGTGACCTTGACGCACATAAAGAACGACAGCCTCATGCACGCTTTCCTGCTTACCAATGTGGTACTCAATTTCGCCTGTTTCAACACGCTGGCCACGGATTTTGATCTGTGAATCTATGCGGCCAAGGTAGACCAGCGTGCCGTCCTCGGTTTGACGGACCAAGTCGCCGGTGCGATACATTCGCTGGCCAGTAACAAGGCCTAGATCACGTACGAAGGCCGGGTCTGTCACGAATGCAGCAGCCGTTTTGACCGGGTCGTTGAGGTATTCGCGCGCCAACAGTGGACCTCCAATCAGGAGCTCTCCAGGTGCGCCACGTGGAACCAGCTGTCCGATACTGCGAGGATTTACAATCCAAGTAGCACCGGCGATCGCCGTCCCTATATGCAGAGCTACTGAGCTATCTGCAACCTTCTTACATGTCGAGTGTATGCAGCACTCCGACGGCCCGTAAGCGTTTATAACGGTAGCGTGCTCTATCCATTGATCGACAACCTTTGGTTGAACGGCTTCTCCCATCAATATCATGATTCGTACACTGGGAGTCTCCTGAGGCCGGACGAGTGCAGCTACAGTCGATGTCAAGGTGGCCAACGTCACCCTTGATTCTGCTAGGTAGGCTGTGAGCCGGTTCATACGATCCTCTTCGGAGGGAATACAGGTAGAGGCTCCGAACGCAAGAGCTGTAATGATCTCTTGGATAGCAGCGTCGAAGGTGAAAGCTGCAAATTGCAATAGACGGTCGTGCGATTGTATATCGAGTCGACGACCGTGGTAGAAGATACTTGTCGCAAGAGATCCATGTTGAAGTACGACACCTTTAGGCCTGCCGGTGCTGCCAGAAGTGTAAATGACCCATGCCACATGCTCGGGCCCAACGGAAATGCAGGGCTCGGCGGTAGGTACAGGCGTGGCTGGTGCAGTTTCCAAGAATGAGTCAATGGCCAACAGCTGCGCACGCGCTGCCAAAGGTTCCAGCCGCTGCTCATGAACACGGTCGACGAGTATGAGTGGTGTGGCAATATCTTCGACGATGCCCTTGATACGTGCCAATGGATGCTGCACTCCGAGAGGGACGACAGCTCCGCCAGCTCGCAGGATGGCCAGCATAGCTATCACCCCTAATTTCGACTTGTCCATACACATGCCGACCATGATGTCTGGGCCCACCCCTCGCTCGGCCAGGTGGTAGGCCAGCCGGCGACTAGCATCATTTACCTCGCTGTACGTCATCTCCCCATCCCATGCGCTGACTGCCAGTTCATCCGGCCGAGCAACCATCTGGTCCAGCACAAGATTGTGAACGCAGCGGTCGAGGCGTTTCGGCACGGTGGAGTTCCACCTGCAAATCTGTGCTGTATCCTCGACTGAAAGTAAGTTGAGCTGGCCGAGCGAATGTTCAGCGTTTTCGCACACAGTGCGGATAGCTAGCACTAGGTTCTGGGCGAGTCTCGTAGCCGCTGAAGCTGACTGGGCTGCGGTCGAGTATTGAATCGCTAGTTCGAGTCCAGTTTCCGCCACATCGATGTTGACATTGATATCGTACTCTGTTGGGTCCTCAGAGCCCAAGCTGTCAACGACGATTCCGGCTTGCTTCAAGCTAGGGGAGATTCGCTGCCGCTTATACGAAAGCGTACTGTTGAAAAGCGGCTGGTTCCTAGAAAGGCCCAGTTCATGTTGGATAGCTGCGAGGGAGGTCTGCTGATGATCAAAGGCCTTGACAGACTGTCTTTGCAGCTCACGCGCTGTGTCAGATACCTTTGCAGTCCAATCTAATTGAACATGACAAACAAGCATGTTTATCATAGGACCAACCAACTCCTCTACTTTAGGGATAGGTGCATCACGACCGCTCGAGATGTTACCAAAGCTCACATTGGTCGACCCAATCTGCCTTGCAAGCACTAGAGCCCAGGCGAGCTGACAGATACTGGCGATAGAAACGCCGTACGCATCGCGGAAACGATAGATTGTTGCAAGATCTTCAAGCTGAGTAGAAACTCTCGCAAGCTGCGCGTGTTCGATGCTGTGCAGGGGCTCTTGTGGAGGTACAAGACACGGGTTGGCGGTGCTCAGCATCTCTTTCCAATACACGAGGTCATCTTGTGGATTTCTCTCGTCCAGGAAGGCAACGTAAGCACTGTATTTGGAGCCACCTTCAGCTGGCAAAGCATCCTCGTAGGCGTTGATAAGGTCGCTGAGTATAATTCCTACTGAAGAGGCATCCACAAGTGTATGGCTTATGTCGAGACGGCAGTAGACCTCGCCAGTAGTTGTTGTTAGGCAGGTTAGACGGTGTGGTGGATGGTGGATATCTGAAAGATCAAGTGTGGGCTGCAAGGCGAGCCACTCCGCGACGGCATTGTCCAATATACCGTCCATGTGAACAATGGCGATATCTGGCTGTTTGAGCACAATCTGGATAAATCTCTCTTGACCTGCCAGTGGCTCAAGAAGAATAGTGCGGAGAATGGAGTGTCTCGCAACAACTTGACTCCATGCTTTTAGAAGCCGTTCTGCGCTGACAGGCTGGAGGGAGTTGGATGGCAGAATCCGGCACGTCTGCCGGATACAGTAGGTTGATGGCGATTGTAGCTGCGTGAGCAAGATACCCTGCTGTAAGGGCGAGCAGGGGAGAATATCTTCAATCTCGCTCGTGGACGAGATATTGATGGCGGGAAGGTACTGATTCTCCACCACTTCCATATCGCTATCAGATAGATGCATGAGCTGAAAGTCGGTAGCTGTGGCTACTGGGGCCGTCGTTGTTAGATCTTGAACGAGGCTGCTCACAGTGTTGACGTAGGCTGTAATCCACTGCTGGATCGCTTCCTGGTGCCGTGCTTGGCGACTGAAGCGGACGTTGACTTGTAAAATGTCTGCTTCGACTGTCACGGACACGTCAAGCGCAGCAAGGATCCTGACAAGACCACCAACCTCTGATGCAGTGCCCTCGTCTTGATCATCATCATCATCATCAACAAGATGGAAAAGTGCATTCTCACGCTCCGCCTGCTGAAAACGCCCAGTGTAATTGAAAATGATTTCGGCTGGGCTGTGATGCGCAAAAACTTCGCGTCCAGAAGCGGATAGAAAACGGTTGCCAAAATAGGGTGCACCGCGTCCAGGGATTCGTCGACGCTGATCTTTTACTTGTCTGAGGACATCAACAGCGCTGCGAGTATCGGTCTCTATTGGTACGTGGATCGGAGTCATTGTGGTGAACCAACCAACTGTATCTGACAAGTCGGTTTCGTCGCTAGCTTCACGACCGTGTCCCTCAGTAAAAACAGCTGGTACAGATCGGTCATTGAAGGACTTTTTGAAGGAAAGGAACAGCGCAGCGAGCAGAATCTCAACTGGCTCGGTCTTGAGGGCGGCATTGGCGCTGCCAAACAGAAGCGACGTTGTGTGAGAGTCGCACTCAGCACGGATGCTAGAGACACTATCCCAGGTAGCTTGCCCAAGAGTGAGGCCCCAATACTCCCAGTTCGCCGCCGGGATAGTAACTGGCAAAGAGTCCATCGGCGAGATCTGCGCATTGCCAAGTGAGGTGCGCTGCCTCTCTAGCCAGACAGGGAACGATAAGCTACGTGGGTTTGGTAGTTTGTGATTTGTAAGAAGTTCCTCAATGTCTCGAACAAGGATACGCCAAGACACGAGGTCTATGACGAGATGATGGGCGGCCAGATGGAGGACTTGTTTGTTGCTGTCTTGCCCTTCAATCAAATCGGCAGTGAATACTGGGCCGTGCTCAAGATCAAGCGTAGCCTGGGAGCGGGCAATAGTGCGTTGTATAGACCGCGTGTCAGCAGTTGTATGGGCATGAAGGCGGTATGATCCAGCAAGCTCTTTCTCGATCCACTGCTCCCAACCATGCTCGGTACGCCGGAAGCGGGCGCGGAGCATAGCGTGCTTCCCGACAGCTACATCTAGCGCCTGGGCCAACTCTGCTACTTCTAATCGACGCGTAGGACGGAGTACGACGCTTTGATTGTATCGGTGCTCATCGTCAGCGCGAAGCCCGTTAGCTGATATATCGTCAAAGTAAAGTTGTTGAATTGGCGATAGTGCGAAAGCCTCGTCAGGTATCCGTGCTGCCTGATCAACGTCCTCGGTTGTCTCAACTTCGGCTTGGGAAGCGAGCTGGGGTATCGTCTGGCTTTCGAGGATTTTCCGAACAGTGAGAAGAATGCCGCGGGAGCGGCTAGCCGAGACGATTTGCATGGCTGTAATCGAGTCGCCACCAAGGCTAAAGAAGTTTGTCGATTGTGTTATTTCGCCAAGGCTTACACCGAGCACTTCGCTCCAGATTTGCCGCAGTTGTCGCTCAACGTCCGTGGCGGGCACATAGTTCGCGTCCTCGGACTCGCTTCTAGTCACGGCAGCAATTTCATCTTGTGACAGAGATTGCACCCAACGAGTAAGCGCAAGCCGATCTGTTTTTCCAGAGGGATTGACGGGCACAGCTTGGAGCGGAATCCAGACGCTCGGCACCATATAGTGCATGACTTGCTGTGACACGTTCTGTTGAATCTCCCGTAGTCGCAATTGAGCCGCCTCCATCTTGTCTTCAGTAACGCATTGAACGACATCGCTAGTATACTGATGGCGCCTGACTGCAGTAGTGGTTGAACTCTGCCCTAGGACAACAGTAGCAACAAGACGACCAGCAAGAGGACCTTGGCGTATGTAGAGAACGACAGCATCCTGTACGCCTGTCTGATTCCCCATGTGATACTCAATCTCGCCAATCTCCACTCGTTGCCCACGGATCTTGACCTGATTATCGCGTCGACCGATCATAGTGAGCGAGTTACCAGCATTCTGCTGTACTATGTCCCCAGAGCGATACATGCGACGACCAGGGCTGAGGCCTAAATCTTGAACAAAAGCAGGATCTGTTACGAACGAGGCAGCCGTTTTTGCGGCATCATTCAGGTACCCACGCGCTAGTAGCGGGCCTTCGATTAGTAGTTCACCCGGCGCGCCCAAAGGAACCAGTCGGTTGATGTCAATGGGATCCACAACCCAGAATCCGCTGGACATGGGTGTGCCCACTATTGAAGCTTCCTCTTTTCGGCGGAGAGCGTGACTACATGCGATGAACATGGAACATTCAGACGGTCCATATGAATTGATTACACGAGCAGTGCTGGACCACAGCTCAATGATGCGGGGATCCAGCGGCTCTCCGCCAACTACGAGAGTAGAAAGCCCTGGGTGCTCAGAAGGGTCCAAGAGATTGACTACGGTAGTAGTGAGGTTGGCAAAGTTGGCGCCTGACTTCTGCATGGCGGATGCCAGCTCGTTCATGCGCTCATGCTCGGACGGGATACAGATACAGCCACCAGAGAACAAGGTGGCAAGTATGTCGGAGATACTTACGTCGAATGTATAGTTCGCGAATTGGAAGCACCTGGTGTTCCTTCCCATGGAAAAGAAGCGGAAGTGGGTAGCAACACTGGTGACTATAGCGCCATGCTCGAGCACCACACCCTTAGGTTTGCCGGTACTACCGGACGTAAAAATGATCCACGCCACATTTCCGGACCGCACTGATGAGCAGGGTTTGACAAACGCTTCACCCGTCAATTCTGGGGCCTTCGAAGCCATTTCGAAGAAAGAGTCTACAGCTAAAAGCTGTGTTTGGGCTGTCAGAGTTGCTAGTCGCTGCTCGTGGCCGCGGTCAACCAGGACAAGGGGTGCATCTGTATCTTTGATAATGCCCTCAATGCGAGCTAAGGGATGCTGTACTCCAAAGGGAACAACGGCGCTGCCGGCACGGAGAATAGCCAGCATGGCAACTACGGCCCACTTCGACTTGTCCATGCACAAGCCAATCTTCACTTCTGGACCTACTCCGCGCTCAACCAAGTGGCGGGCTAGTAAACAGCTGGTAATGTCCAAGTCGCGGTATGTCATCTCCCCATCCCATGCAGAGATGGCTGGCGAGTCTGGCTGGCTGGTCATTTGCTCGTGCACAATTTCGTGTATGCAAGTCTCGAGATGTGGTGGTATGATTGAGTTCCACTCGCACAGTTGCGCGCTGTCTTCTGATGATAGTAGTCTGAGGTCTCCGAGTGGTTGATCAGTGTTGGCAGTACGGGCTAGCTGGTCCACAATATGTGCAAACTGGGCAAGCAGTCGTTGGACCTTGTTGTTCTCGAGGACTGTCCGGTCGTAGCGTACTTCGACGTCAGATTTCCGTGTTGACTGATCCACTGTGCATTCGACCGTCAATGCGTACGCATCGAACGCATCCATCGACGTGGCCTCGCGTTCGAGCTCCATATTGAACAAAGAGGTTGCCGACTCGCTTTCCCCAGCTGGCTGAACGACAAAAATGTGGCCTGGATCGAAGTCTGGTCCAAGGCTAGGCACCATTCGTCGGATATTCTGTAGGCCAGTATGCTCAAATGGAATCATCTTTGTTGCACGATCATGTATACTAGCAAGAAAGTCACGTGTAGGCTGGTCCTTCGCAGTAGACACGTGGAAAGGCACAGTCGTAACGGCGGGTGCTACGATGTGTGTAATGCTGTCAACAGGAGCCATGCGTCCAGACAGTACGACATTTATAACGGATTCGTCCGTGCCTGTATGAGCAGCGACTAGCAGCGCCCAGGCTGCACGTAACACTGTAGAGATGGTCGTGGATCCTGTCATTACGGGGACGTCAACCTGCTGGTGTTGTACATCGCATGCGTTGACCTGATGCTGCGGGGATGGCAAGGGCGGATAACGAGTCCAGTTTGCGCCCTGGAAGTGGTTCTGCCAGAAGGTCGCAGTTTGTTCTTTATCCTGCCGCGTCAAGTAACTGATAAAGCGCGACACGGGCACTGAAGGTGAAGGCGCTTCTCCTTTCAGTATTTGCCCAAGCAGCTCCATCGTCTTTATTATGCTCCAGCCATCATATATACTGTGATGTGTGGTCCACACCAAGTATCGATGTGATCCACGGCCGATGATTGCCGTACGATTGAGCGAGGCACCGTAAGCAATAGGGACAGCCCGATCTGCGGCGAGATAGCTTTCCAGTGACGCTTCGTGGGCCTCATCACAAACCGGCTGCCCTCTAACTACAACCTGCAGTGCGATAGCCTGAGCCGAGGGAATTATACGTGTCCGCAGAATCGGCAGCATCTCGACGAGTTGCATCCAGGCAGCCTTCAGCTGCTGTGTAGACAGGTCAGCATGAAGCCGGAAAGCGCGCTGCACTACATAGGCTTCAGGGCGTTGAGCGGTGATAGCCATGAGTCCAGCCTGCAGTGGGCTGCATGGGTAGATGTCCTCAATCTGCTCTGCAGATATGCTACACTGCGCAGCAACATCTGCTAATAGCTGTGAGCGTTCAGCATCACCAGCGTGGGTAAATTCGCGCCAGAGACTCAATGGAGCTGGGTCTTCCGTAACAAGGCCAAGGTGTTTGTTGTCGTTTTCAACTGCGGCTGCAAGATCTTCCAATCGGGGCCAGTGGAATATATCCGCGACAGACAGAGGAATTCGTTGGGCTCGTGCCGCAGCTGTTAGCCTCATGGCTGCAACGGAGTCTCCTCCAAGCTGGAAGAAGGAATCGTTTGTCCCTACTGTCTCTGGTGAGAGCGATAGTATTGTGGCCCAGAGACCCTGCAGCGTCTCTTCCATTGTAGTTGTCGGTACTTTCTTGCTATCGGGTGAGCCATAGAAGTTACTGAGCGCAGTGCGAGGTAACAATCGCAACTGATGCTGAACCGCACGGCGATCTAGCTTACCTGATGCGTTGATGGGCATCATTGGAACCAGTACGATCGACGAGGGAACCATATACGCTGGTAGTACTTCCTTGAGTTGGACGTCTAGCTTGTTCAAAGCTGCCCGGGTAGCATGGGTGATCTGTGGAGGCTCATAAGGCTGCAGTCCTCCGCTCGTCGTGCTACTGTCGTTGATCTGAGTTGACCCGGCTATTGCATACTCGATAACAGCCACTAATATGAGTGGTCCGTCGTCAGCCTCGCCAGCAGGGCGAATCAAGTCGACGACAGTCTCGCGTGCCTCTGGCAGCAGCCGGAGAATCTGACTCTGTACTTCGCCAATTTCTACCCGCTGGCCGCGGATCTTAACCTGCATGTCGCGACGACCAAGGTAGATGAGCGAGCCGTCCAAATTTTGTCTCACCATGTCGCCCGTACGGTACATGCGACGGCCAGGCTGGAGGCCAAGCTCATGAACAAATGCTGGATCTGTAACAAATGCGCTTGATGTTTTGATAGGATCGTGGAGATAACCGCGTGCTAGCTGGGGACTCTCGATAAGAAGCTCTCCTGGTGAGCCAACTGGGACTAACTGTCCGGTATGGGAAGGGTTTACCACCCAGAACGAGCCTGCCAGGGATTTTCCAACATTGCTAGCCTCCGTCTTGTCTACAAGACTATTCGCTGTTGAATGTATACAGCACTCTGAGGGGCCGTACGCATTGATCACATTGGCGTAGCCTATCCATTGATCAACCACCTTTGCTTGAACTGCTTCACCCATTAATACGAGTGTTCGTATGGAAGGCGTCTCCTGTGGCTGCACTAAGCTGGCGATCGTCGAGGTCAAGGTTGTGATCGTGACCTTTGCTTCTGATAAGAACTGAGTGAAGCTATTCATACGTTCGTGTTCTGATGGCACGCAGATACAAGCACCAAAGCAAAGAGTCGTCATGATCTCTTGTATCGAAACGTCAAAGGTATACGCTGCAAACTGTGAGAGCCGGTCATGAGACTGTATACCAAAAGCTGGTCCGTGAGCGAGTATGCTCGTTGCCATAGCGCCGTGCTCAAGCACAACGCCTTTCGGTGTACCAGTACTACCGGAGGTATAGATAATCCAGGCAACGTGTTCTGGTCGTACCAACATGCATGGCTCGGAGGACTGGTCGAGTTCTGGCATCCGCTTTGCCGGGACCGCGTTGAAGAAAGACTTTACGACAAGCAACTCCGTGGAGCCTGCCATTGCTCCTAGCCGCCTCGCATGGGTGCTGTCGACGAGTAGCAACGGCATGTTTGTATCATGGACTATGCCCTCGATGCGAGCCAGCGGATGTTGCACCCCGAGAGGGACTACCGCACCACCAGCGCGGAGGATTGCCAGGATGGCTACAATGGCCCACTTCGATTTATCCATACAGTGACCGACCATGATCTCGGGGCCTACCCCGCGCGCGGTCAGATCATTAGCCAGGCGACGACTAGCATGTTCCAGCTCGCTATACGTCATTTCTCCATCCCAGGCGCTGATGGCGAGCGCGGCGGGCTGAGTGACCATCTTGTTAACCACAAGTTCGTGGATGCACCGGTTAACCCGGGGCGTTATACTTGCGTTCCACTTGGACAACTGGGCCCTGTCATCTGCTGCTAGCAAGATGAGATTCTTGAGCGACTGATCGGTATTGGCATTACGCGCTAGCTGCTCCGCAGCGTGGGCAAACTGCGCGAGGAGACGCTGTGCTCTATCAACGTCAACCACAGCGCGGTCATAGCGTAATTCGACTTCAACATCCCCTGCTCTTTGATCTACTGTACATTCCACCGTGAGCGCAT